GGGGGGGGAGGGGGGGAGGCGGGCCTAGGGTTTAGGGTTTAGGGCAGTTTAGGGTCATGAATATGATGAACTGCGTACTTCCGTACACTCTGCGGGTCAGGCACCAGGATTGGTCGGAATCTCTCGCCGGCCAGGTAAAGCAGTCCCAGGCAGCCGACACAGACCTGTCAGATGTCTGATGAACCGCTCTTTGAACGCCTTCGGACAATCACCGACCTGCGCAGACATTTTTTACACTACCGACCTGCGCACACCTTTTTTTGCATTGTGTATCGAAGCCTGGGCCCATCGAAGGAGCAGACGACCAGCGCAGATATCATGTCCTTCATTGCAAGATTGTAGGGTTCACAAAGCCCCCATAACCCGCAAAACCCATAAAACATCCTCAAACCTGAACAAAACATGATCCTGCACGCCCGCGGCGCGCAGCGAGTTGTGCCACTCAGGCTCTGCTGCAGGTGGCCTTGAGGAAACCAGCGCAAGATTCCAGCATCACAGGCGCAAGGCAATTTTGTTGTGTTTATGATGATGATGATGATGATGATGATGATGCTGATGATGATGATGATGATGGAGATGATGGAGATGATGATGATGATGATGATGATGATGATGACGATGCTGATTATTGCTCGTCTGTACCATTAGGCTTGTCATCATGTGGTTGTTAGTATTTGTACTCTCCAGCCTGGCACGCTCGGCTGCATAGGCTGCAGCACTTTGGCGATGCTCCTTTGCGGGTGTCAATGTGGGACCATGTAGGACCTCACCTGCTGGCTGCCTCTGCAAAGAAGGCCGCGTGCCGCCAGCCAGGCCGATTTGGAAGCCAAGAAGGAAAGGCCTTAGCCAGATGACATACCAGGATGGGCTATTAGGCCTTAAAATCCCCAGAATGAACCCTATAAAGGGCCGTTTGAGGGATTATAGGGTCTGATAGCCCATCCTGGTAGGTTGAGCCGGACAGTGTGGGTCAAGAATCACAGCAGTGCGAGCGGTTTGCATCGAGGCTCCTCAGCGGCCAAGTTCGGAAACTCTCCGATCATAACCTCAGGTCAAAAACGCAGCAATAGTCTTCATAGCTATGATCATCATCATCATCATCATCATCCTCATCAGAACAAACCAGAGATAACAACTTGTGATCACTTTATCACAATGTGCACAACCTGCACAGCCTGGCAACTCTGGGGCTCCGGGCCAGCGTTCCCCTACTCGCTTTTTCCAGGCGCTCGCAGGCACCGGCGACAAGGCGCCGGGTCACGGCCAGGCCATCGCTGCCTCTGGGAGATTGCGCTAATTAAGGGGCATAGCAAGTCGCAGAACCCCGATTTCACGCTAGCGACCCCCCTCCCTTGAAATCCCTAGAAACCTCTCGTGACGCCCTTGGCAAGACCTTTTAAGGGACTTTTCGGGTTGTGTGCCCGGACCGTCTTCACAGGCTTGGGTGCAGTTTTCCTCCTAATCGAGCTGGTCTCACCAACAAATAGATCGGAGTACACGCCCCGAAGCGGAGTGTTTGTAGCTTCAGTCATCATGTGTGCAACATTCGAAAAAATCAACCGTCACATATACAGTAGTGAGATGAACCAGCGATGTTCAATTCAAGTCTCTGCGAGGATTGGCAGCTGCTATGTCTCCTTGCGCGACCTCATGCAGCCCACCTCCATCCACGTAGAGCGAAGCGCTTGCCGAGGCAGGCACCGCAACAAAGGGCGGGTTCGCTACCTGAGCCGTTCGGCCACGGCCCAGAGCAAGATAAAGACTTCACTCCCTGCCTCCTAAACCCCTAAACTGAAAGCCCTATAAGCCCTCAGCCCTAAGCCCCAAGCCCCAAAACGTAAACCCGACACCCTAAACCCTAAACCCTAAACCCTAAACCCTAAACCCTAAACCCTAACCCTTGATCTCTCAAAGGAGCCATCAAGTCGAAGACCCCATGCACCTCGCCGATGCCTTCCTTAGGTTTGAGCTGTGCGACACCGTGGCCATCCCACTCTTTGCGAGTTCGTCCCAAGAGGCTTTGAAAAACAAAGACTCACGACTCTTTTAGGAGGGGACTGCTCGGAGCCCCGAAAAGCTCAGCCAGTGTGCAGTTTGGGGGGGACGCATGGCCGGGTAGCTACCATCATGGCCCAAAGTTTGTTCACTGGTTCTTGAATGGGGACGAAAGAGAGTGCGCATGTGTGTGTGTGTGTCTTTGTGTGTGTGTATAATTAAACGACAGCTAGTTTCGAGTAGATCTCATGTCAGCCTCTTTTTTCCATTCGCACTCGCACGCTCTCTCTTGCACACACACACACACACACACACACACTCCGGCTTGCATCGAGGCATCGAGCTGTGCAGTTGAAAGTCCAAGCTTCGAAGAGGTCTCCTTGATGTATGGTCAGCTTGGAATCCAGGCCATTGATGAAGCCGTTCACCTCGTCAGTGTTGCGGATTAACACAAAGCCTCGAAGGTTGAGATTTAGGCAAGGCTGCTTAGCAAGCGAATATCCGGAGCAGCTGCGACTTCGGGACAAAGTTGGAGAAGCTTCCGAAGGTTCCCAGACCAAGGTCGAAGCCTTTGCGATCTCTGCTGCCCGCGGGCTGATATCCACGGCGACCACCTCTGGATCAAATGCACGGAAAAATTCAGCGGAACGCCTTTGCAAGAAGTCCTTGCCCTAACGACATCCTTCGTTGTGGGAGTCCGTGGGAGCAACAGTTCATTGTGGGAGCACGCCTTTCACACACAACAAAAAAGCAGTAACTCAAGTCTTGTCCGACGTCACCTCCTGCGCACCACACCGCAAGGCGTGTAGTGCAGCAATGCCGCTGCCAGTGCAAAGATCAAGCACCTCAATCTGAAACATTGTGACAGGTGCACGACAACTGGCATAGGGGTACCCTTTTTCGGGGGTAAACCCTAAACCCTAAACCCTAAACCCTAAACCCTAAACCCTAAGCCCCCGGGATGACACCCCATTTTCAAGACACACCCATCTCCAAGCGTTCATCTCTCAGGGCTGCGGCTGGGCCGCCCGGAGGCCTGCGAGGTGCGCCTCGGGGAAGCCAGGGGGCTCGGGCGGAGCCAGGGCCAGGCACCTGAGTCTTCGCAGATAAGGTTTAGGGTTTAGACGGCTTTAGATGGGTTTAGGGTTTAGGGGTTTAGGGGTTTAGGGGTTTTGGGTTTAGGGTTTAGATGGGTTTAGGGTTTAGGGATTTAGGGGTTTAGGGGCTTAGGGGTTTAGGGGGTTTAGGGTTCTTACAGGAGGGTTTATACAAGTAGGGTTTAGGGTTTACCTGAGTCTTCTCAGGTAATGGTTAGGGGTGTTTAGGTTGTTTAGGTTCTTGGGGGGTTTAAGGATTTTAGGCACCTGAGTCTTCAAAGATGATGTCTAGGGTTCTGAGGGTTTAGGGGTTTAGGGTTCTTAGGGTTTATACAAGTGGGGTTTAGGGTTTACCTGAGTCTTCTCAGGTACTGGTTAGGGGTGTTTGGGTTTTTGGGGGTGTTAAGGATTTTAAGCACCTGAGTCTTCAAAGATGATGTCTAGGGTTCTTAGGGTTTATAGGGCTTAAAGGGCGTTTAGGGTTTATAGGGTTTAGGGGATATTACACAAGCAGCTTGTGAGTCGCCTTGAGGCTCCTCACATTACACTGAGCATCCTGCAGCTCCAGTGAGTCCGTACCAATTGCCATCACCTTGAGTGCACTCATGATGCTGAGTGTAAAGTGCTCTGAACTTTTGTGTGTGCGTGTGTGCTGGAATCGTGCCGGCTGACCGGCTCGTTCCCGGGAGGTCCCAGTGTCACGCTCGGCCAGTCAGTGAGAATGGCCAGGCCTCCGCTCAGGGCCAGGCGTTTTGAAACGTCACAATGGCAAAGATGGGCAAAGATGGGCCAAGATGGGGTGACCTCTGAAGGGGTAGAGCTGCAAGCCAGAGACCACATGACCAGGCAAGACTTCCTCGAGACCAGTGTTCGCTTGAGCACGAGAGTTTGTGGCTCCTTTTACGTGCATTTAAGCCCGACGTGCAACCAGAAACAAGCCTGTCCTCGAGCAAACCGACGTCAATCAGAGCATCGACCTGTGTTGTGACTTGCTAAGTTGCTTGAAGGATCTCGCCATGTTCGGTACACAAACCCCCTCGCAAAACCCCGAACCCAAAATCCCGACCGTGAAGACCTGCGCACGAAACTGTGGATCCACCTGCCTCAACTCCCAAGGTCGGTTCGGCACGAGGCAGAGCCTCCCCGACGCAGAGGAGCCGCACCTCATCTCAGGGGCAGATGGCCGCTGGCCACGCCAAAATGTCACGTTCCTGTCAGCCATCCCCACGATTTGATACTCAACCTCAGCACTGGAGCATGAATCGGATCCAACGCCCCGCATGTCCCTTGCCACCCTCATTCCAGCCGGTTAAAAGAAAAGCTTTTGGCAGCGGAGGCACCCAAGCTTGGGAGGCCAACCATGGAGGCACTTCCCTGAGCTCAGCTTGGGCAAGACTTCGTTTTGTTCTGGAAATCGGGGTACACTTGTAAGGGGCGTTCCTGTACCTTGGGGGGGGGGGGGGTATCATGGGGGCACCCTGGTTTTTGGGAGGGGCCCATCGTGGATTCGAGGCCTGAATCCTGTCTAAACCAAGCTGCTTCAAACGAAGGCGGTGGAGCTCCCAGGCTGGCAGGAGACCTGCCACGTAGCAAGTGCAACGCAAATCATCAGCGGAAAACACAGTTTGCCTTTTGCGTGTGCTTTGCGGCTCTACAGTCCCCGACTCCTCCCCCGCTGTTTTTGAATGGAGTGCTCTGCGATGTAGGGCTCTCTTCGTTGGATGAGAAGCCTGATGTGTGACTGTTAGTCAATGCTGGCCCAACGAAGCAAATGACCAGACTGCTGCTGCAAATGCCAAGAACCCAAGAACCCAAGAACCCAAGAACCCAAGAACCCAAGAATCCAAGATTCCCGAAAGTAGATCCTTCGAGCCTCCTCATGAGTTTCATGCACTTAACGGTGCTCTCACCAGCTGCCACCAGGCCTTGCAAGTCGATGTCGTACGCGCCAAGCCTGCGAAGAGCTCCAGCGAGCTGCGCGAGAGCCTTGCGGCAGCAACGAGCCAGGCGACACCGGAGTTGAAACAAAGCTTTCGAATACATATATTTAGGCACAGTGCCATGAGTTACATCGACTCAACGCCCCTATCATGGCACGACTGCTCGCCTCGGAGGTCATGCGCAGGCAGCCGGTGGACAGCAGGACAGCTTGGCCACGCACCTGCCAAGCGATGGCCGCACAAAGTGGGCGCAACCAGCCAAGCAGAAACAACAGGCGCTCCGAAAACTTAAGCTTCGGACGTTTCCGTTTAGTCGCCGTTCATGTCGGTATCACCTCCGACCCCATGCAAAAGGCCCAAATTTTCTACTCGAACCCTGAGCCTTACAAGCCACATAGGCGCCCAAGCTCAAGCCAAAAACCCTAAACCCTAAACCCTAAACCCTAAACCCTAAACCCCCCACCAGGGCACCTCCGCCTCGCTGCGCAGCGCGCGGCGCCAGGCCGCTGCCGCGGGGCCCACGTCGCCGAGGCTGCGGAGGGCAAAGCCCAAGTTCCTGAGTTTGGGTTTAGGGTTTAGGGTTTAGGGTTTAGGGTTTAGGGTTTAGGGTTTAGGGTTTAGGGTTTAGGGTTTAGGGTTTAGGGTTTAGGGTTTCGGGTTTCGGGTTTAGGGTTTAGAGTTTCGGGTTTAGGGTTGAGAGTTTAGGGCGTAGGGATTAGGGTTTAGGTTAAGGGTTTAAGGTTCAAGGGTTGCAAAAAATGAGGGTTAAGTGTTTTCTTCTTCAAGGGGGATGGCAAGGGCTTTCTGGCCTGCTTGGGGTTTAGGGCTTTCTTGGGTTGGAGCAAGCAAGCGGGCAAGACGGGCTAACATACCGGGTACTCATTGAAAAAGTGCAACGCAGGGACTTTTCGACGCCTTGTGGCCCTGGGATTATTGGACGCATTGCAGGTTATGAGCAATAAGCCGGAGGCCCCAAGCCCGAAGGTGAAAGGTTAGCTACTACCCTGAAGGCTCAGACCAGTCACAATAGCACGTCGCTTGGAGTCTCGCCTCAGCTAAGACTGCAAACGTGTTGTCTGCAACTGGAAGAATTGTTGAAACTTCTCCACATGGCAGACAACGCGAAAACCGAAAACTGAATAATAGAAACCATGCGGCCAGGTCTCTAGAAGAAGCCTCACTCAGCGCGGCGCTGCGCTGGTACGCCTCCACGGCTTCTTCGTAGCGTCCTTCTTCGTCCAGCCGATTGCCCAGATCGAAAAGCTCGTCAGCATCACACAAGCGGGCAACTTCTTCGCTACCCGCCATGGCATCGCATGGTCAGAACCCCCGCTGCAACATAAACAGGATAAACATCACAACCCGCGACGCAGCAAGCTTCCACAGCAGAACGATCATACTGCTTATATGTTTTGTATAATCTACATATAAAGGTATAAGGTTTGGCGGCAAAAGTCTCCTTTAGCCTCTAGTTTGAGCCGGAGTCACGCTGCAAAGACTCGGGTGAATTCCCGAAGCTGGCTAGTTGGCTTGAAAAAGCCTCTACCAGCGCCCTAAAGGTCAGTACAGCAACACCGCGGCTCTCTCAAGCACCGAGAGACCAGACCGCCAGAAAATGCCCACAGACTGACTGAACTCCGGCATTCTGGAGGGACCAGGCTCACGCACCAGCATGTCTGTCGGGGTAGCCATCCGGGTTGTGCTTTAGCAGTTTTACACCTGCTAACTGCAACCTGGCGGATCTGGAACAAACCGACTGCACGAAGTACACAAGCACAACCGCACAAATGCCCGTCTGTGGAGCTTGGACCGTCAAAACCTTCAAAGCACCGCTACTGCAAGGCAGGTCGTCGCGCATGCTGTTTTAGCGCCTCGCACCGGCTGCCTTGAACACCATGGGACCTGGCAATCCGCGCTAAGAACAACAGTCTGTTCTTTCAGGCTTAGGCTTTAGGATCCAGCCCAGTGTCACAAGGCCTGACCTCAGACCTCAAACTCCAGTCAGACAAAACGGGGATGGTTGGAAACAGGATCTCGAACGATATCCTTTCAGTACACAGAGACACAACTACCACATCTCTGAACCTGACAGGTGGCGAGCTTAGGGTTTGGGAGCTTGAAGCTTACACTTCGGGATGCTTTGGGATGGTTATAGGCCTGAGGCCTGCTGTGCGATTCCTCCACTTGGCGCGCATGTGGCTTCTGAACTCCATTTGACTATGTACTGTTGAAGGGCTTGGTGCTTAGATGCTCGTCAGGATCTTGTAAGGCATATGATGGCATTATGTAACATTCTGGCATGCGGCGGCATGCCAGGCTATCAGCATGGCGAGGAAATGCTGTACGCGGAAGTCAACGGTCGGGCCCGTGAATTGACGGTGTTTACAATCATGCGGGGTTGCAGGGCGCCCCGAACAAGCTCCTACTTTCTTTCGGTCCTTCTACGGGTGTTCTATGCCTACTTATGCTCGTTCCGTTGCCTCTGGACAGGAGGATTAGTTTTACGGTCGTTTAGCAGCATTACGGGTGTGGAGAAATACGGTCTGCCAACGACCTAAAAAATACCTAAAAAGAAATCCGTCGTCTGGGGATGAACAACTGAGCCCCCAAGCTCCCGGTGCCTGCGACAGCTGCGACAACGTGGCCAGGCGGCAAGAACCGGGTCCTGCCCAAGCTCACGCAGAAAGAAAAGCAGGAGGAACGCGTGGCACAATGGTGCTCAGATGTGCTCAGCATAGGGCCGGTAGAGCTGCCCTTGCTGGTTCGCAAGCTGGGACTGCGAAGCCTGAAAAACCTCCCAGAGTTCAGTTCTGATGTGCTGGGAGATCTCAGGGCAGCTCATTCGCACGTGAGACGCCAAGCTGGGCATCATGCTCCAGAGGCTGAGCCACCGAAGGCTCCACCGTAAGCCTTGCGTCTCACCAAACTCGGCACGCACACTTTCCCAACTTCCGCGGTTTCCACGGATTCCCACGCCTGACCGACGGTTGCGCCCATGGGACCATAGGAGCCACCGCCATACATCCTCCTCACATGTGCTCACTTTGTTGACCCTACACTGGCGTTGAGGTTGCCACTGCACTTCAGAACTGGGCACACGGCCCGCCCATTCCGGGCATACCAGGCATGCCACCCATGGCCCGAGATGCCGGAGCAGGGGCCTGGTAGAGCAAACATGAGCAAACACAAAACGCACAGCAACCCACGGCAAACAAGTGAACGACAAGGCCAGGCGCTTTCAGCAGAAAGGGCCCGGACACCCTGCTGCGGCACTTGCGTTTGCATGGTCATCGCCTGCCACGGCAACCCGAACCTGACCACCACTAAACCTGCCCAGCAGATATGTATTCAACCAGGAGAAAGCATGAAACCTTCCAGCTCAACTTCTGCCAGGAGGACCGGCACGCCTGGGGCGCACATCGACCTGCACCGCGCTTCGCCACGCTTTGCCATGCTGCTCATGCCCCGGACTGAGACCAACGCCTGTGGATGCCGCCCATGTGGTTGGAAAGCTGCGCTTGCTGCAGCGATGCCTGACAAGCTCTCTTCTACCCAGCGTCCCAGCATGCTATTGAAGAGGGATACCCAGTGTGGTGAGCTCAGCTGCTCCCGATGAAGGAGCGCGTTAGTTCACATTGACATGCTGCTCGTGTTGTGGGGCAGTCTGAAGGTGCCCTGATTTAGGCCACGTCATGTCCACATTTCATCTCACTCGCATGCCGTTATTGGTGGCGGACAACAAGCTGGGCAGGCTGCCTCAAACCCAACCAAAGATTCTGGCCTGCAAGCCCAGTTCAGGGTGCCTCAGGCTTTGTAGAGTAACCACCCCCCACACGCGACCCGCACCAGTGAATTCTTTCCCGAAGTTTCCATATGAGTCCTGTAAAGCCTCAGGTCTGACTCAGCCAGCGAGCGCATGCGAGCGCCTCCTCCTCAATCTCCTCAACGATGGAGTGCAACAGAGCCGCGCGGCCTTTAACCTCGGCGACTACACAGTCCTGTCGGGCCGGACTGGCTCGGCATGTGTCGGGCCTGGGCGAAGAGCCTCTGGGCCTTTTCTAGCTTGCACACGGCTCAACGAGGCTGGAAAGTTGAAATACTCCCTCAGATTCCGAAGCTTCCGTTCTTGAAGGCCCCTAACTCCTACAACCTCTAGAGCTGCATGGGTGGCCTCGTTTCGGGCCGCTTCCAGCTCCGCCTCCTTCGAACATGAAGCAGGGGAACAAACAATAGGAGCACCATTCGGGCTTGGGAGGGTGCAGGAATCCAGGTTCCTAGGACCAAGCCTGCCCCTGCCCTCCCCATCCCCTGGCCTCCCCCGTTGCTACCCAGTAGCGGGGTCAGGCTCTTCTGTTTCTCATGCTTGTGGCCGAATTGGCCGAGCTACTGGCAGCTAGGTTGTGTTTTTGGTACTTGTTTTTGGTTTCGGGTGGCAAGTCTAAGGCCTCCCCGGTCATAGTTGCGTGCTGCCTCACGGCCTTATGGGGCGCGCCTCACACTCGTGTAGGCAGACGCGCACATTATGCGCAATTGAGACAGCAAGCGCAATTTGATCCAGCAAATGGCTTTGGAGGCTCTTGAGGTGCTTTTCAGATGAGCTGTGGGCTTCTCAAGGAGTTGAGAAGCTAAAGGATATACGTGAGAGAAATGCTAAACTCCCACCCAGCACACTCCCACCCGTGCACGCGGCGCTGCAATTCGCGCTCATGGCGAGGACGCTCGTACATGATGGGATTTGGAACACCCGGGCTCCCCCCCCCTCCACATTGCAAACGCAACGCACGCATGATGGGGTTTGGACAGGACTCAGATGTTCTGAATCACTGAAGCAAGCTCGCGCGGCTTAAACAATCGGGGAACCACAATGCTCTCATGATGGGGATTGGACAGGATTCATATGTTGTCCTCGCACGGCTTCGATTGAACCGCAGGACCTGGCGAGACCTAAAACAGTTTTAAACACATAGATACGGAATAATTTAACATTCAAAGTTTTCCAAAAATAGGCACGCAGTCATAGTGTTTCGGTGAAACCTTTCGGGGGCATGGGCAGGCCCAAAATCCTAAACTCAAAAGGCCGAAATACTTTGCGGTCATCGCTACTTTTGTAACTTTGTAAGGCCCATTCACCTATGGAAGTACAAAGGTAACCTGCAAAACAAGTGTACTCCTGACAAGCACGAATCGATCTTTGGGGCACCACAGTGCGTGTTTCGCTAAAAAAGGCGGGAAACACAATGTTCGCGTGATGGGGTTTGGACAGGATCTTATGTTGTGAAGCCAGCTCGCATGGCTCAAAGAAGACGGGGGTGTGGGGGGGGGGGGGTGGCGCACCCCCCTCCCCCCTCGCCCCCGCCACTTGCACAAAAAAAGCATGAACGGGTTTCGACAGAATTCACATTATTCACATTCACGTATGATGTAAATATACATATGTATATATATATATATATGTATAGAAATGTTTTGAAGCAAGCTTGCACGGCTTCAAAAAAAGGAAAAACGCGGCGACGCAAACCCCCCCCCTTACCATTTGCAAACACAGCGGTCGCATGTTGGCGTTTGGCCAGGATTTCTGTTGTCTCCCCCGCCCGTTTGCAAACAGAATGCTCGCATGAAGGGGTTCGGGACAGGAACTCATACGGAGTGAAGCAAGCTCGCGAGCAGCTCGCGCAACAGTGGGGGGGCGGGGGGGTGGGGGGCCGGGGGGGGCCGGGGAGGACGCAGCCTTTCCTTTTGGCAAACACCAGCATTCCATGCTTTCCTCAACTCATCAGCCCCCGGGCTGTTCTCACAGGACCTTGCGAAGCCTTTCCACTCCGAACGGTGAGTCGACCTGTTGATTCGCTCCATCGGTAGGCTATTGGGGGACGGCAGGCCAATAGGTGCCAGGGCAAGTGTTGCTGGCTGCGGCCTAGTCGGTGCGAGTGTTGCTGGTGTGGGTGGCTGAGTCTTTGCTGGGGGTGCTGTGGCAGGGGCACTATGCACGCATCATGCATGATGGGGTTTGGACAGGATTCATAAGATAACGCGGCTTGAACAAAATACGGGTGCAGACCCCGCCCTTTGTGAAAAAGCGTACCGCCGTCAGACTGACACGCTGCAGCACGATACGCCATGCGCCGAGCAGCTCAAAGGCGCGCAAACAATGCAAACAGCAACACCCCGAACCCCAGAAAATCCACAAACGCCAACGCCCAACAACAAAAACCCAGGCTCGACTCCTGCAGTCGCCGGCGCTCCGCCGGGCCCGGCTTTCCATCTGCCTACAAAGTCTCAGCTGGTTGGAGCGCTTTGGCAGGGTCTCCTTTGCGGATGTTGAACCGCAACCCTAAACCCCAAACCCCAAACCCCAAACCCTAAACCCTAAACCCTAAACCCTAAACCCCAATTTGTTTCTTTCTCCCCAGGAGGCCTCCGCAGCCTCCCGCGCAGCCTCGCGCGCAGCCTGCAGAGCGGACTCCTTTCGCGCGGAACTGAGGAAGCGATTTGGGGGGCTCCGAGATTTGGGGCGCCCTTTTGGGGTCCTTATTCTAAGGGAATTCTATAAGTTGGGGGTCTATATTAGGGGTCCCTTATTTTCTTAAACCCCCACATTTGCTAAGGTGAAGGAAAGCCCCCCCACCTCTGCCTGGGCCTCTGGGACTGTAAACTTGCCCGTTCAAAGGGTTTGGTGGCCTGTCTCATGCTCTTAGCCGAGCACAGAACATGAAAAACAAAGAGCTTATCTTGAACCACTTTTTGTATCTCTCTTACAAGGCTAGGCGAGTTTGGTTCAAAACAGTGTGCTGTGCTGCCTCTTCTTTTTCCCTGTGGTTTGCAGGAAACTGGAGCTCACACCGCAGGTGCCCTAAACCATATAAACCCTAAACCCTAAACCCTGAACCCTAAACCCTAAACCCTAAACCCATTTTGTTGTCTCTTCTCTAAACCCTAAACACCCCTACACCCTAAGCCCGATCTTTGTGACCAATTCTTCAGCTGGGCGCCCCGTAGCCAGCCAGAACCATGTGCAGGGGCCCCGATAAAGGGAAAGAAACCGAAAGATGACGCGGGGGTGTCATAGCAGCACGGGGCCCGAGCTGCTCAACAGCGCGCAAACAGCAATTCCCCGAACCCCACAAAACCCCGCAAGATGCCAAAGCCCTTTAGGGTTGAGGGTTTAGGGTTTAGGGTTTAGGGTTTAGGGTCTCCCAACAACAAAACCCAGGCTCGACTCCTGAAGCCGCGGCCGCCGGACGAAAGGAGCCGCCTTCGTGTATGGGACGTCTTCAGCTGCACTACACCCGTCATGGCCAGCCTGATCATTTTCAGGTTTCAGAGGGGTCCCTTTGCATACGCCCGGCTCTATAGGGTGCTGCTTCTTTCCCATTCCGGGTATTCAGGGGATGCAGACATGGGCGGAGGATGCGGAGCACAGGAAATTTGTGTACTGCGGCCTTGACTCCTCTGGGGGATGGCTTCCGCGAACTTGCGGAAGAGTCCAGCCGGAAGAGGGGTTGCTGCAAGTGCGTATGGCAACGCGAAAACCTTTAAGCATCTGCTTAGAAAGTCGGGGATTGGGGGTCATGTTGAATCTGCTGCCGGCCTTCAATGTGCTTTCTCACAGTCCTCAATAGGGATTCTATAATAGTACCCCCCCCCATTTGAACCCCGATGAAGGACTGCTAGTATAACAGGGAACATCCCAAGATATCCCAAGGCATGGACATAATGGGCGACTCATGCTTGCGGATCTTTCTTTGTGCCCTGCAGGAAGCTCTAGAGCTTCTGCAGCGGTAAGCCGCGATGAAACTGAATACGTTTAACACATACCTGCGGCAACAGAGAATCGCCGAATGTCGCAGAAAGCTCAGGCCCCGCTACACAGGCGAGCAGGCACAAACAATTTTGCGCGCAGGGTACGCAGACATGCATGGACCTCTCCGGATTTGTGGATGAGCCTGACGGGGAAGAGGCGTTTCTACAACTCGATGGCCTTTGAAACAGTTGGGTGCGACGAACTTTCTGTCGGCCACGCGAACTCCCGCGAAGCCCCAGAACTCCCAACAGATCCCACCGAAGTCGTGGGGCACCTGGATCTGGCTCTCGATCTCGTCGAGCCACAGCAGCATCTTCGCTGCCTCGCGAAGTCTCTTCAGGGGGCCCGGGGTTTGGAGATGATCCCGTGTTTTCGTGATAGGCTTGTTTAGGGTTTGGTTTGGGATTTTTGGGGCACAGAATCATATACCTACCTACATACATACATACATACACTGATTGGACATGCGCACATGCATACTTAAGATGTGTTTCTGTATAAATATATACACATACAGATACATACATTGCACATGCCTGTGTACCTATACCAGATACATATGTACATACACGCATATACATGCATTTAAAGATCTCGAAAATTGTAGCCCTTTCGATGGGGCCCTGAACCCTTCTCGTATCTTGACCGCGCCAGTCCTGCACATGCTGGGCGGTGCAGAACAGCGAAGTAGGAGGGGGGGGGGCAAGTGGACTGCAAACTGCTTTCGGACACTTGAACCACTTGCACCACTTGCTCCACTTTTCTGGTCCAACTGGTCCTGCCTTAGCCGCATCATCATCCACGCCCCCTTGCCCGTCCCTGCTTTGCGTCGGAAGTCGCTCCTGGCATCCCATTGATTGACATTCTGAACTTAGCAAAAGGTTGAATTTGAAAGGTTTCAGGAAGACCTTCTATGCAAGGTTTGATGTCCCGCCTTCGGTTTTGGAACTCCTTGAAAACATGAAGAGCTCACAAAGACAAACTACGCATACAAGTCTGGGCGAAAATCATGTCCCTCCGGGCCCGCGGTGTTGAGATCCCCTTGGAAGAAAGAACAAAGGCTCACTAAGAATCGACACAAACAAGTTTTGCCAGGGAAAAGCTACCAGCACGCACTAGGAACTGTGGAGTGAGCATGGTTCGCGACGCGGATCATCGGAGCGCGGCAGGTTGCGAGGAGACAGTTAGCAGCGTTGGGAAATTTTATGAAACCTTGCAGCCCGGGTTCTAGCTCCAATCGAAGCTTCAAAGCACTGCGGGAGACCGGCAACAAGAAGCTTAATATCCTCGATCCCTAAAAACCCCTATCGAAGTGTACTTCGCCCTAACCCTGAGATCGGGGGATCGCAGCAACAACCCCCTCGAACCACAGCGCACTGCAGCTTCAGCGCATCAACTTTGAAGCGTCCCACTACGCCTGGTCAAATCTCACAAATATTTACCAACCCCCCCTTAGCTACTAGGATCCCCAACTCATTCCCCAAAGGAGCGCCGTCTTGTGCTTCGCAAGGCACCTCGGCCTCGCGGTCGAGTTCCTCCTGGAAAACCCATCAAAAAAACTTATTCCCAATCAAAACAAAACTTTCCTTGGTAGTTTACAAGAGGTTTTGAGTCTCTTGGACGACACCTGACCCATCAAAAAAAAACTTTCTCTCCATCAAAAAAACTTACCGCATTCGACGCAAAGATATGTATATTTTAGTGTGCATGTGTGTATATATATATATGTATATATGTCTTGGGTGGCAAAACAGACACTCCTTTCTGCACGGCTTAAAAAAAGCGGGGGAGTTGGGGGGGGGCGCAGCCCCCCCCAGTTGCAAACACAATGCTCACACGATGTTTTTCAACTAGTTTCTTGGGCTTTGAAGCACGCTTGGTACGGCTTACGCAGCCCCCCCCCCCCATTTGCAAACACCCTGCTCACATGATGGGTGTCAACAAGTTTCTTGGGCTTTGAAGCACGCTCTGCACGGCTTAAAAAAAGCGGGGGGGTTGGGGGGGGGGCGCAGCCCCCCCCATTTGCAAACACAATGCTCACACGATGTTTTTCAACTAGTTTCTTGGGCTTTGAAGCACGCTTGGTACGGCTTAAAAAAAGCGGGGGGGGTTGGGGGGGCGCAGCCCCAGCCCCATTTGCAAACACCCTGCTCACATGATGGGTGTCAACAAGTTTCTTGGGCTTTGAAGCACGCTCTGCACGGCTTAAAAAAAGCGGGGGGGTTGGGGGGGGCGCAGCCCCCCCCATTTGCAAACACAATGCTCACACGATGTTTTGCAACTAGTTTCTTGGGCTTTGAAGCACGCTTGGTACGGCTTAAAAGAAGCGTGGGGGGGGTCACGCTCTGCACGGCTAAAAAAAGGTGGGGGGCTTAGGGGGGGCGCAGCCCCCCCCCCCCCACTTGCAAACACAATGTTTTTTCAACTAGTTTCTTGGGCTTTGAAGCACGCTTGGTTGGGGTTTAGGGTTTAGGGTTTAGGGTTTAGGGTTCAGGGTTCAGGGTTCAGGGTTCAGCATCTCAAGTCCGAGCATTCACTAGTCAAGCAGCTTGTCAAGCGTTGGAAAGAAATCCCACCCACCCAAGAAACCCATAACATTGAGAAAATATAAAGTTCACTCAATACTTTCCCGGTAGGCTTAAAGCTCAAAGTCCAATTGGTCCAAAAAATTTTTTAACGGACCCAAAACCCGAAATCTAATCTAAGGCCCACAATAAGCCCTTTATGCTCTTAAGGCCCTAAACCCTACGGTTTAGAAGCCCCTATCGGTGAAGTCACAAAATCCACAAATGCCAACGCCCTCCCAACAAAAACCCAGGCTCGACTCCTGCAGTCGCCGGCGCTCCGCCGGGCCCGGCTTTCCATCTGCCTACAAAGATCTCAGAAAGCTGGTTGGAGCGCTTTGGTAGTTTATGAGGTCTCCTTTGCGGATGTTGAACCACAACCCGAAACCCCAAGCCCTGTGCCCTAAACCCCAAACCCTAAACCCTTTGGGTTTGTTTCCTTCTTCCCAGGAGGCCTTCGCAGCCTCCCGCGCAGCCTCCTGCGCAGCCTCGTGCGCAGCCTGGAGAGCGGACTCCTTTCGCGCGGAACGTTGGCAGCGATTTGGGGGGGTTCCGAGATTTGGGGTCCTTATTCTCGTAAACCGCCCACATTTGCTAAGGTGAAGGGAAAGCCGGTGAAGAGGTGTCCGGTTCCCCCCCAAGTTCCCCCCCATCTGCCTGGGCCATTTTCTGGGGGCCCTTTGGAAGGGTTTGGTGGCCTGTCTCATATTGTCTCATGCTCTTAGCCGAGCACAGAACATGAGAAAAAAGAGCTTATCTTGAACCTTTGTTATCTTTCTTACAACGCTAGGCGAGTTTGGTTCAAAACAGTGTGCTGCGCTGCCTTTTCTTTTTCCCCGTGGTTTGCAGGAAACTGGAGCTCACACCGCAGGTGCCCTAAACCCTAAACCCTAAACCCTAAACCGTAAACCCTAAGCCCGATCTTTGTGACCATTTCTTCAGCTGGGCGCCCCGTAGCCAGCCAGAACCATCAGTGCAGGGGCCCCGAAAAAAGGGAAAGAAACCGAAGATGACGCGGGGGTGTCATAGCAGGGGGCCAGCAGCTCAACAGCGCGCAAACAGCAACACCCCGAACCCCACAAAATCCACAAACGCCAAAGCCCTCCCAACAACAAAAACCCAGGCTCGACTCCTGAAGCCGCGGCCGCCGGACGAAGGGAGCCACCTTCGTAGGAGTTTCAGATGTCTTTGAGACCTGTGCAGTTTCGTGCCCCCTCTCCGTCACATCACCCCGCGCGCCGACGTACAGGCGGAGTCACAAAGATCGAGGACATGTTTCGCTGAGCGGGCAAACACTGTGCGACCTTCTGCTAGCCTTTGCATCCACGGAAAGTAGAGAAGCACGACAACATGCACTCTTCAAACGCAATCGCGGTGAGGCAGCAACAGCTGCTGGCTGCAGTGCTACATTACTGTTTTCTTGTATGGGACGTCTTCAGCTGCACTAAACGCACCCGTCATGGCCAACCTGATAGTGTTCCGAGGTTGGGCAACCTTTGCTTTCAGGTTTCAAAGGTCCCTTTGCATACACCCTCTAGGCTCTATGCATACACCCTCTAGGCTCTATAGGGTGCTCCTTCGTTCCCATTCCGGGTATTCAGGGGATGCAGACATGGGCGGAGGATGCGGACTGCAGGAAAGTTGCGAATACTGTGGCCTTGACTCTTTCCGAGCAGGACTTCCGCGGTCTTGTGGAGGCGTCCAGCCGGGAAGTGGGGTTGCCGCAAGTGCGTATGGCAACGCGAAAAACTTTAAGCATCTGCTTAGAAGGTCTCAGAAAGCAGGCGGGGATTGGGGGTCATGTTGAATCTGCTGCCGGCCTTCAATGTGCTTTCTCACAGTCCTCAAAAGGATTCTATAATTGTACCCCCCCATTTATTGAATCCCGATGAAGGACTGCTAGTAAAACAGGGAACATCCCAAGGCATGGACATAATGGGCGACTCATGCTTGCGGATCTTTCTTTGTGCCCTGTCCGCAGGAAGCTCTAGAGCTTCTGCAGCAGCAAGCCGCGATGAAACTGAATACGTTTAACACATACCTGCGGCAACAGAGAATCGCCGAATGTCGCAGGCCCCGCTACACAGGCGAGCAGGCACAAACAATTGTGCGCACAGGGTACGCAGACATGCATGGACCTCTCCGGATTTGTGGATGAGCCTGACGGGGAAGAGGGGTTTCTACAACTCGATGGCCTTTGAAACAGTTGGGGTGCGACGAACTTTCTGTCGGCCACGCGAACTCCCGCGAAGCCCCAGAACTGCCAACGGATCCCACCGAAGTCGTTGCGCCAAGCGGGGCACCTGGATCTGGCTCTCGATCTCGTCGAGCCACAGCAGCATCTTCGCTGCCTCGCGAAGTCTCTTCAGGGGGCCCGGGGTTTGGAGATGATCCCGTGTTTGAGAGCCTTAGGCTTGTTCAGGGTTTGGTTTGGGATTGTTTGGGCACACAGGGTGTTTCGGCCATGGCCAGATCCTTGAGGCGGCGTGTCGGCATAATTCGTCGAAGTTGTTCGCTTGCCCATAAACACAGAATTATATACCTACGTACGTTCATACATACATACATCCATGCATGCACACATACATACATGCATAAAATGTGTTTCTAAATGAATACATATATATATATGTATATGTATACACATACAGATACATACATGCCCGTATACCTATACCATATACATATGTACATACACGCATATACATGTATTTAAACATCTCGAAATTGTAGCCTTTCGATGGGGCCCTGAACCCTTCTCGTAATGTTGCACCCGCAATATTCTAGGGGGCCGCTATTATGAAAAGTTTTTCGGCTATTGAGGATCTGGACCCTTTGTTTTGGAGGTCCGCTATAATGAAAAGTTTTCGGGCCGTGACTGTTTTTTTGAGGGTGTCAGGAAGGCATAAGCTTCTCGAGAAGGAGAGATACTTGAAGCCTGAAGCCTCGACCTGTCCAGGATCTCCGACAATCTTCTTTTCTCAGGGCGCCTTTTCTTTATAAATTTCTTACTTAAAACTAGATGATTCCATAGGCGAATCATATCCGGAAAGGGGGTACCTTACGGAGGCCTCCGGACACACTTTAATACCTTTGTTTGGGGGCCCGCTATAATGCAAGTCTCCCGGGGCCAGGGGCTCAGTCCTTCGGTTTTCAGGAAGGCATAAGCTTTCTCGAGAAGGAGGGATACTTGAAGCCTGAAGCCTCGACCTGTCCAGGATCTCCGACAATCTTCTTTTTTCAGGGCGCCTTTTCTTTATAAATTCCTTACTTAAAACTAGATGATTCCATAGGCGAATCATATCCGGAAAGGGGGTACCTTACGGAGGCCTCCGGACACACTTTAATACCTTTGTTTGGGGGCCCGCTATAATGCAAGTCTCCCGGGGCCCAGTGCTCAGTCCTTCGGTTTTCAGGAAGGCAGAAGCTTTCTCGAGAAGAAGGGATACTTGAAGCCTGAAGCCTCGACCTTTCCAGGGTCGGGGGGTAGCTTAGGGAGGCCTCCGGGCTCCGGACCCCTCCCCTGCCTGGGATGGGTAGAAACACAAGAAAGAAAAGGCCCGCGCAGTAGCTACAGAAACGGCCGAGTAACTAGGGGACCCTGACCCATAAAGACATATATGGTTGATGATAAGGGTTAGGAACGGTGTTTGGGGCATAGGGAGTAAGGAAACAAGCGCATAGCCCGCATAGCACACGAAAACGCACCCAGTCCGATTGAATCCACTTCCCACAAATTGGGACCACAGAGAGCCCCAACCCAGAGAAGTTCTTAGTGAGGAGATGTTAGGAGCTTGTGCCAAAGGTGGGCGAGAGTTTAAGTGCGCACTCAAAGCGAGGCCTCCTTTGCCGATGTTACCGATGTTGAATCAGTCTCCTCATCGTCTAGCTCCTGCAAAAACTGGAGCTCTCAGATCTCTCCGTATGCATGTCTCCGGCATTTTGCTACGGCCAGCCTAGAGAGGCCCAGAGCAAATCAGCACGTACTGATACTGGGTTTTTCCCATCGACTATAGACATGATCTTCCCTTGATTTCGATTGGAGCATCCTCAATCCTGCCATTGACATTCAAACCAAAAACATCGCTTTGCACCATCTCCCACCAGTCCTCTGTGATTGGAGAAGTTGGCGATGACCCCCAGCTGGATGGCGACGGATCCCCACAACTGAATCCGCCTCAGGGCTGCAAGAGCGGTGGGGCACGGAAGGGTAGCACGATTGCGGCTGTCTGCCCAAAACCCGCGGTCACACATGCTGATGAGGAGCCGGTGGTCATCGGGGTTTGTCCTGCACCATCTTCCAGTGCTTTCGAAGATGGCGACGTCTTGACCTGGTCATGGGTCAGGCATGTGACTTACCATTTCACGCTCCTACCCACCTACCGCTGAACTCTGTGCTCTTTCCCAGTTCACATATCAATCTGGAAATCCCTGGCCTCCTTCTGGCGCGTTGGCACAGAGCAAATCCTGTGGCCACGCCGTACATGCGAAGGAACGGGTGCTCAAGAACGGGGAGGAGGAGTTGTAAACTCTTTCGAGCTGCGCGGGGGGATCTAATGAGAAACTAAAACGTGCTGCTCCTCGTTTGCAGCAACTTTATCCTTGCAGCATGTGCAGTGCTTAAGCCATTGTACGCAAGCTATTTTGGTCATGTTCTTCGCTTGTTTCACGGTCCCGTTAGGCATCAACCTATGCGCCCCGTGTTTTGTATATTATTGCGTATCAGGGATCAGAATGGCCCCAAATGAGAAGCAAAACCCGTGATGCATGGAGCACCTTCGCAGCGAGTGAAGCAGGACGAAGCTAGTTTAGACGACGAGCCGTGTCGCGTCGTACATGCAAATGAGGCGATCACTCAAAGGCCCTGAGTACTTCTGACTGCTCGTGTTGCAGAGGGGGGTGAAGGGGTTTCCTCCATTCAGAACAGCAAAGACGTGTCCCAGCTGAAGATGGAGAGGCCATTGTGTCGGCATTGCAAGCATCAGCATCCCGCAGACCCCCAAAAGCCTCCAGAACCCCTTCCGCCATGAAGCCCAAAACCCACAACCCGGCCTGCAGAACGCAAGCCAGTCGAGGCAAGATGCCATGGCACCGAAAGTGGGGGCTGTTAGCATTGTCACAGCCCCCCACCAAATTCTGTTCTTTTGGAGGCGGTTGGGATTTCTGCCGGAGATTCTAGGGCTTCTTGATGCTTCTTGATGTTTCGAGGCCTCTAGGACCTCGCAGGGCTCAGGGATGGCTGGGGGAATGGAGGGTTTCGCCTTTGCAGCCTCTCTCTCAAAATCCCCGGGCACTGGCACCTGCTGCATCCCTGAAGTGGCCTAAAGCTTCCTGGCCTAGAGCTCAAAGCTGCTAACAAGCTGCTAACAAGCTGCTCAGACTTGGTTCTCCGCAATCCGACGCCTTTGAGCCGGAGTCACGCTGCGAAGACTCGGGTGAATTCCCGAAGTTGGCTTGAAAAAGCCTCTACCAGCGCCCTAAAGGTCAGTACAGCAACACTGCGGCTCTCTCAAGCACCGAGAGACCAGACCGCCAGAAAATGCCCACAGACTGACTGAACTCCGGCATTCTGGAGGGACCAGGCTCACGCACCAGCATGTCTGCCGGGGTGCCATCCGGGTTGTGCTTTAGCAGTTCTACACCTGCTAACTGCAACGTGGCGGATCTGGAACAAACCGACTGCACGAAGTTCACAAGCACAACCGCACATGCCCGTCTGTGGAGCTTGGACCGTCAAAACCTTCAAAGCACCGCTACTGCAAGGCAGGTCGTCGCGCGTGCTGTTTTAGCGCCTCGCACCGGCTGCCTTGAACACCATGGGACCTGGCAATCCGCGCTAAGAACAAATCTCAGGACTTTCTCACAGTCTGTCCTTTCAGGTTTACGGTTTAGGCTTTAGGATCCAGCCCTGTCACAAGGCCTGACCTCAGACCTCAAGCTCCAGTCAGACAACACGGGGATGGTTGGAAACAGGATCTCGAACGATATCCTTCCAGTACAGCTGCAGAGACTCACACAAACTACCACATCTCTGAAACTGACAGGTGGCGAGCTTAGGGTTTGGGGGCTTGAAGCTTAGACTTCGGGATGCTTTGGGCGCGCATGTGGCTTCTGAACTCCATTTGACTATGTACTGTTGAAGGGCTTGGTGCTTAGATGCTCGTCAGGATCTTGTAAAGCATACGATGGCATTATGTAACATTCTGGCATGCGGCGGCATGCCAGGCTATCAGCATGGCGAGGAAATGCTTTACGCGGAAGTCAACGGTCGGGCCCGTGAATTGACGGTGTTTACAATCATGCGGGGTTGCAGGGCGCCCCGAACAAGCTTCTACTTTCTTTTCGGTCGTTCTACGGGTGTTCTATGCCTACTTATGCTCGTTCCGTTGCCTCTGGACAGGAGGATCAGTTTTACGGTCGTTTAGCAGCATTACGGGTGTGGAGAAATGCGGTCTGCCAACGACCTAAAAAGAAATCCGTCGTCTGGGGATGAACAACTGAGCCCCCAAGCTCCCGGTGCCTGCGACAGCTGCGACAACGTGGCCAGGCGGCAAGAACCGGGTCCTGCCCAAGCTCACGCAGAAAGAAAAGCAGGAGGAACGCGTGGCACAATGGTGCTCGTGCTCAGCATCTGACCGGTAGAGCTGCCCTTGCTGGTTCGCAAGCTGGGACTGCGAAGCCTGAAAAACCTCCCAGAGTTCGGTTCTCATGTGCTGGGAGATCTCAGGGCAGCTCATTCGCACGTGAGACGCCAAGCTGGGCATCATGCTCCAGAGGCTGAGCCACCGAAGGCTCCACCGTAAGCCTTGTGTCTCACCAAACTCGGCACGCACACTTTCCCAACTTCCGCGGTTTCCACGGATTCCCACGCCTGACCGACGTTTGCGCCCATGGGACCATAGGAGCCACCGCCATACATCCTGGGCAAAAGGTGAGAAGAGTGAGAAGAAAACTGTCCTCACATGTGCTCACTTTGTTGACCCTACACTGGCGTTGAGGTTGCCACTGCACTTCAGAACTGGGCACACGGCCCGCCCATTCCGGGCATACCAGGCATGCCACCCATGGCCGGAGATGCCGGAAGAGGGGCCTGGTAGAGCAAACATGAGCAAACACAAAACGCACAGCAACCCACGGAAAACAAGTGAACGACACCCAAGGCCAGGCGCTTTCAGCAGAAAGGGCCCGGACACCCTGCTGCGGCACTTGCGTTTGCATGGTCATCGCCTGCCACGGCAACCCGAACCTGACCACCACTAAACCTGCCCAGCAGATATGTAGTCAACCAGGAGAAAGCATGAAACCTTCCAGCTCAACTTCTGCCAGGAGGACCGGCACGCCTGGGGCGTACATCGACCTGCACCGCTCTTCGCCGCGCTTTGCCATGCTGCTCGTGCCCGGACTGAGACCAACGCCTGTGGATGCCGCCTATGTGGTTGGCAAGCTGCGCTTGCTGCAGCGATGCCTGGCAAACTCTCTTCTACCTAACGTCCCAGCATGCTATTGAAGAGGGATACCCAGTGTGGTGAGCTCAGCTGCTCCCGATGGAGGAGCGCGTTAGTTCACATTGACATGCTGCTCGTGTTGTGGGGCATTCTGAAGGTGCCCTGATTTAGGCCACGTCATGTCCACATTTCATCTCACTCGCATGCCGTTCTTGGTGGCGGACAACAAGCTGGGCACGCTGCCTCAAACCCAACCAAAGATTCTGGCCTGCAAGCCCAGTTCAGGGTGCCTCAGGCTTTGTAGAGTAACCAGCCCCCACACGTGACCCGCACCAGTGAATTCCTTCCCGAAGTTTCCATATGAGTCCTGTAAAGCCTCAAGTCTGACTCAGCCAGCGAGCGCATGCGAGCGCCTCCTCCTCAATCTCCTCAACGATGGAGTGCAACAGTGTCGCGCGGCCTTTAACCTCGGCGACTACAAAGCCCTGTCGGGCCGGACTGGCTCGGCATGTGTCGGGCCTGGGCGAAGAGCCTCTGGGTTTTATATAGTTGCACAAGGCTCAACGAGGCTGGAAAGTTGAAATACTCCCTCAGATTCCGAAGCTTCCGTTCTTGAAGGCCCCTCACTCCTACAACCTCTAGAGCTGCATGGGTGGCCTCGTTTCGGGCCGCTTCCAGCTCCGCCTCCTTCGAACATGAAGCAGGGGAACAAACAATAGGAGCACCATTCGGGCTTGGGAGGGTGCAGGAATCCAGGTTCCTAGGACCAAGCCTGCCCCTGCCCTCCCCATCCCCTGGCCTCCCCCGTTGCTACCCAGTAGCGGGGTCAGGCTCTTCTGTTTCTCATGCTTGTGGCCGAATTGGCCGAGCTACTGGCAGCTAGGTTGTGTTTTTGGTACTTGTTTTTGGTTTCGGGTGGCAAGTCTAAGGCCTCCCCGGTCATAGTTGCGTGCTGCCTCACGGCCTTATGCGCGCCTCACACTCGTGTAGGCAGACGCGCACATTATGCGCAATTGAGACAGCAAGCGCAATTTGATCCAGCAAATGGCTTTGGAGGCTCTTGAGGTGCTTTTCAGATGAGCTGTGGGCTTCTCAAGGAGTTGAGAAGCTAAAGGATATACGTGAGAGAAATGATAAACTCCCACCCAGCACACTCCCACCTGTATGGGATTTGGAACACCCGGGCTCCCCCCCCCTCCACATTGCAAACGCAACGCACGCATGATGGGGTTTGGACAGGACTCGGATGTTCTGAATCACTGAAGCAAGCTCGCGCGGCTTAAACAAGCGGGGAACCACAATGCTCTCATGATGGGGATTGGACAGGATTCATATGTTGTCCTCGCACGGCTTCGATTGAACCGAAGGACCTGGCGAGACCCCAAAACAGTTTTAAACACATAGATACGGAATAATTTAACATTCAAAGTTTTCCAAAAATAGGCACGCAGTCATAGTGTTTCGGTGAAACCTTTCGGGGGCATGGGCAGGCCCAAAATCCTAAACTCAAAAGGCCGAAATACTTTGCGGTCATCGCTACTTTTGTAACTTTGTAAAGCCCATTCACCTATGGACGTACAAAGGTAACCTGCAAAACAAGTGTACTCCTGACAAGCACGAATCGATCTTTGGGGCACCACAGTGCGTGTTTCGCTAAAAAAGGCGGGAAACACAATGTTCGCGTGATGGGGTTTGGACAGGATCTTATGTTGTGAAGCCAGCTCGCATGGCTCAAAGAAGACGGGGGTGTGGGGGGGGGGGGGTGGCGCACCCCCCTCCCCCCTCGCCCCCGCCACTTGCACAAAAAAAGCATGAACGGGTTTCGACAGAATTCACATTATTCACATTCACGTATTATGTAAATATACATGTATATATATATATATATGTATAGAAATGTTTTGAAGCAAGCTTGCACGGCTTCAAAAAAGGAAAAACGCGGCGACGCAAACCCCCCCCCTTACCATTTGCAAACACAGCGGTCGCATGTTGGCGTTTGGCCAGGATTTCTGTTGCCTCCCCCGCCCGTTTGCAAACAGAATGCTCGCATGAAGGGGTTCGGGACAGGAAATCATACGGAGTGAAGCAAGCTCGCGAGCAGCTCGCGCAACAGTGGGGGGGGGGGGGGGGGGGGGGGGGGGGGGGGGGGGGGGGGGGGGGGGGGGGGGCCGGGGGGGGCCGGGGAGGACGCAGCCCCCCCTTTTGGCAAACACCAGCATTCCATGCCTTCCTCAACTCATCAGCCCCCGGGCTGTTCTCACAGAACCTTGCGAAGCCTTTCCACTCCGAACGGTGAGTTGATTCGCTCCATCGGTAGGCTATTGGGGGACGGCAGGCCAATAGGTGCCAGGGCAAGTGTTGCTGGCTGCGGCCTAGTCGGTGCGAGTGTTGCTGGTGTGGGCGGCTGAGTCTTTGCTGGGGGTGCTGTGGCAGGGGCACTATGCACGCATCATGCATGATGGGGTTTGGACAGGATTCATAAGATAACGCGGCTTGAACAAAATACGGGTGGGCTGGGGGGGGGTGCAGACCCCGCCCTTTGTGAAAAAGCGTACCGCCGTCAGACTGGCACGCTGCAGCACGATACGCCATGCGCCGAGCAGCTCAAAGGCGCGCAAACAATGCAAACAGCAACACCCCGAACCCCAGAAAATCCACAAACGCCAACGCCCAACAACAAAAACCCAGGCTCGACTCCTGCAGTCGCCGGCGCTCCGCCGGGCCCGGCTTTCCATCTGCCTACAAAGTCTCAGAAAGCTGGAGCGCTTTGGCAGGGTCTCCTTTGCGGATGTTGAACCGCAACCCTAAACCCCAAACCCCAAACCCTAACGATTTCGATTTGTTTCCTTCTCCCCTTCTCCCCAGGAGGCCTCCGCAGCCTCCCGCGCAGCCTCGCGCGCAGCCTGCAGAGCGGACTCCTTTCGCGCGGAACTGAGGAAGCGATTTGGGGGGTTCCGAGATTTGGGGCGCCCTTTTGGGGTCCTTATTATAAGGGAATTCGATGAGTTGGGGGTCTATATCAGGGGTCCCTTATTTTCTTAAACCCCCACATTTGCTAAGGTGAAGGAAAGCCCCCCCACCTCTGCCTGGGCCTCTGGGGCTGCAAACTTGCCCGTTCAAAGGGTTTGGTGGCCTGTCTCATGCTCTTAGCCGAGCACAGAACATGAAAAACAAAGAGCTGATCTTGAACCACTTTTTTATCTCTCTTACAACGCTAGGCGAGTTTGGCTCAAAACAGTGTGCTGTGTTGCCTCTTCTTTTTCCCTGTGGTTTGCAGGAAACTGGAGCTCACACCGCAGGTGCCCTAAACCATATAAACCCTAAACCCTGAACCCTGAACCCTGAACCCTGAACCCTAAACCCTAAACCCTAAACCCTAAACCCATTTTGTTGTCTCTTCTCTAAACCCTAAACACCCCTACACCCTAAGAAACCGAAGATGACGCGGGGGTGTCATAGCAGCACGGGGCCCGAGCTGCTCAACAGCGCGCAAACGGCAATTCCCCGAACCCCGCAAAACCCCGCAAGATGCCAAAGCCCTTTAGGGTTGAGGGTTTAGGGTTTGGGGTTTAGGGTTTAGGGTTTAGGGTTTAGGGTTTAGGGTTTAGGGTTTAGGGTCTCCCAACAACAAAACCCAGGCTCGACTCCTGAAGCCGCGGCCGCTGGACGAAAGGAGCCACCTTCGTGGGACGTCTTCAGCTGCACTAAACACACCCGTCATGGCCAGCCTGATAATTTTCAGGTTTCAAAGGTCCCTTTGCATACGCCCTGTAGGCTCTATAGGGTGCTGCTTCTTTCCCATTCCGGGTATTCAGGGGATGCAGACATGGGCGGAGGATGCGGAGCACAGGAAATTTGTAAATACTGCGGCCTTGACTCCTCTGGGGGATGGCTTCCGCGAACTTGCGGAAGACTCCAGCCGGAAGAGGGGTTGCTGCAAGTGCGTATGGCAACGCGAAAACCTTTAAGCATCTGCTTAGAAAGTCGGGGATTGGGGGTCCTTCAATGTGCTTTCTCACAGTCCTCAATAGGGATTCTATAATAGTACCCCCCCCCCCATTTGAACCCCGATGAAGGACTGCTAGTATAACAGGGAACATCCCAGGATATCCCAAGGCATGGACATAATGGGCGACTCATGCTTGCGGATCTTTCTTTGTGCCCTGCAGGAAGCTCTAGAGCTTCTGCAGCAGCAAGCCGCGATGAAACTGAATACGTTTAACACATACCTGCGGCAACAGAGAATCGCCGAATGTCGCAGAAAGCTCAGGCCCCGCTACACAGGCGAGCAGGCACAAACAATTTTGCGCGCAGGGTACGCAGACATGCATGGACCTCTCCGGATTTGTGGATGAGCCTGACGGGGAAGAGGGGTTTCTACAACTCGATGGCCTTTGAAACAGTTGGGTGCGACGAACTTTCTGTCGGCCACGCGAACTCCCGCGAAGCCCCAGAACTCCCAACAGATCCCACCGAAGTCGTGGGGCACCTGGATCTGGCTCTCGATCTCGTCGAGCCACAGCAGCATCTTCGCTGCCTCGCGAAGTCTCTTCAGGGGGCCCGGGGTTTGGAGATGATCCCGTGTTTTCGTGATAGGCTTGTTTAGGGTTTGGTTTGGGATTTTTGGGGCACAGAATCATATACCTACCTACATACATACATACATACACTGATTGGACATGCGCACATGCATACTTAAGATGTGTTTCTGTATAAATATATACACATACAGATACATACATTGCACATGCCTGTGTACCTATACCAGATACATATGTACATACACGCATATACATGCATTTAAAGATCTCGAAAATTGTAGCCCTTTCGATGGGGCCCTGAACCCTTCTCGTATCTTGACCGCGCCAGTCCTGCACATGCTGGGCGGTGCAGAACAGCGAAGTAGGAGGGGGGGGGGGCCAAGTGGACTGCAAACTGCTTTCGGACACTTGAACCACTTGCACCACTTGCTCCACTTTTCTGGTCCAACTGGTCCTGCCTTAGCCGCATCATCATCCACGCCCCCTTGCCCGTCCCTGCTTTGCGTCGGAAGTCGCTCCTGGCATCCCATTGATTGACATTCTGAACTTAGCAAAAGGTTGAATTTGAAAGGTTTCAGGAAGACCTTCTATGCAAGGTTTGATGTCCCGCCTTCGGTTTTGGAACTCCTTGAAAACATGAAGAGCTCACAAAGACAAACTACGCATACAAGTCTGGGCGAAAATCATGTCCCTCCGGGCCCGCGGTGTTGAGATCCCCTTGGAAGAACAAAGGCTCACTAAGAATCGACACAAACAAGTTTTGCCAGGGAAAAGCTACCAGCACGCACTAGGAACTGTGGAGTGAGCATGGTTCGCGACGCGGATCATCGGAGCGCGGCAGGTTGCGAGGAGACAGTTAGCAGCGTTGGGAAATTTTATGAAACCTTGCAGCCCGGGTTCTAGCTCCAATCGAAGCTTCAAAGCACTGCGAGAGACCGGCAACAAGAAGCTTAATATCCTCGATCCCTAAAAACCCCTATCGAAGTGTACTTCGCCCTAACCCTGAGATCGGGGGATCGCAGCAACAACCCCCTCGAACCACAGCGCACTGCAGCTTCAGCGCATCAACTTTGAAGCGTCCCACTACGCCTGGTCAAATCTCACAAATATTTACCAACCCCCCCTTAGCTACTAGGATCCCCAACTCATTCCCCAAAGGAGCGCCGTCTTGTGCTTCGCAAGGCACCTCGGCCTCGCGGTCGAGTTCCTCCTGGAAAACCCATCAAAAAAACTTATTCCCAATCAAAACAAAACTTTCCTTGGTAGTTTACAAGAGGTTTTGAGTCTCTTGGACGACACCTGACCCATCAAAAAAAAACTTTCTCTCCATCAAAAAAACTTACCGCATTCGACGCAAAGATATGTATATTTTAGTGTGCATGTGTGTATATATATATATGTATATATGTCTTGGGTGGCAAAACAGACACTCCTTTCTGCACGGCTTAAAAAAAGCGGGGGAGTTGGGGGGGGGCGCAGCCCCCCCCAGTTGCAAACACAATGCTCACACGATGTTTTTCAACTAGTTTCTTGGGCTTTGAAGCACGCTTGGTACGGCTTAAAAGAAGCGGGGGGGGTTGGGGGGGGCGCAGCCCCCCCCCATTTGCAAACACCCTGCTCACATGATGGGTGTCAACAAGTTTCTTGGGCTTTGAAGCACGCTCTGCACAGAAAAAAGCGGGGGGGCGGGGGGCGCAGCCCCCCCCCCATTTGCAAACACAATGCTCACACGATGTTTTTCAACTAGTTTCTTGGGCTTTGAAGCACGCTTGGTACGGCTTAAAAAAAGCGGGGGGGGTTGGGGGGGGGCGCAGCCCCCCCCCCATTTGCAAACACCCTGCTCACATGATGGGTGTCAACAAGTTTCTTGGGCTTTGAAGCACGCTCTGCACGGCTTAAAAAAAGCGGGGGGGTTGGGGGGGGCGCAGCCCCCCCCATTTGCAAACACAATGCTCACACGATGTTTTGCAACTAGTTTCTTGGGCTTTGAAGCACGCTTGGTACGGCTTAAAAGAAGCGTGGGGGGGGTCACGCTCTGCACGGCTAAAAAAAGGTGGGGGGCTTAGGGGGGGCGCAGCCCCCCCCCCCCCACTTGCAAACACAATGTTTTTTCAACTAGTTTCTTGGGCTTTGAAGCACGCTTGGTTGGGGTTTAGGGTTTAGGGTTTAGGGTTTAGGGTTCAGGGTTCAGGGTTCAGGGTTCAGCATCTCAAGTCCGAGCATTCACTAGTCAAGCAGCTTGTCAAGCGTTGGAAAGAAATCCCACCCACCCAAGAAACCCATAACATTGAGAAAATATAAAGTTCACTCAATACTTTCCCGGTAGGCTTAAAGCTCAAAGTCCAATTGGTCCAAAAAATTTTTTAACGGACCCAAAACCCGAAATCTAATCTAAGGCCCACAATAAGCCCTTTATGCTCTTAAGGCCCTAAACCCTACGGTTTAGAAGCCCCTATCGGTGAAGTCACAAAATCCACAAATGCCAACGCCCTCCCAACAAAAACCCAGGCTCGACTCCTGCAGTCGCCGGCGCTCCGCCGGGCCCGGCTTTCCATCTGCCTACAAAGATCTCAGAAAGCTGGTTGGAGCGCTTTGGTAGTTTATGAGGTCTCCTTTGCGGATGTTGAACCACAACCCGAAACCCCAAGCCCTGTGCCCTAAACCCCAAACCCTAAACCCTTTGGGTTTGTTTCCTTCTTCCCAGGAGGCCTTCGCAGCCTCCCGCGCAGCCTCCTGCGCAGCCTCGTGCGCAGCCTGGAGAGCGGACTCCTTTCGCGCGGAACGTTGGCAGCGATTTGGGGGGGTTCCGAGATTTGGGGTCCTTATTCTCGTAAACCGCCCACATTTGCTAAGGTGAAGGGAAAGCCGGTGAAGAGGTGTCCGGTTCCCCCCCAAGTTCCCCCCCATCTGCCTGGGCCATTTTCTGGGGGCCCTTTGGAAGGGTTTGGTGGCCTGTCTCATATTGTCTCATGATCTTAGCCGAGCACAGAACATGAGAAAAAAGAGCTTATCTTGAACCTTTGTTATCTTTCTTACAACGCTAGGCGAGTTTGGTTCAAAACAGTGTGCTGCGCTGCCTTTTCTTTTTCCCCGTGGTTTGCAGGAAACTGGAGCTCACACCGCAGGTGCCCTAAACCCTAAACCCTAAACCCTAAACCCTAAACCGTAAACCCTAAGCCCGATCTTTATGACAATTTCTTCAGCTGGGCGCCCCGTAGCCAGCCAGAACCATCAGTGCAGGGGCCCCGAAAAAAGGGAAAGAAACCGAAGATGACGCGGGGGTGTCATAGCAGGGGGCCAGCAGCTCAACAGCGCGCAAACAGCAACACCCCGAACCCCACTAAATCCACAAACGCCAAAGCCCTCCCAACAACAAAAACCCAGGCTCGACTCCTGAAGCCGTGGCCGCTGGACGAAGGGAGCCACCTTCGTAGGAGTTTCAGATGTCTTTGAGACCTGTGCAGTTTTGTGCCCCCTCTCCGTCACATCACCCCGCGCGCCGACGTACAGGCGGAGTCACAAAGATCGCGGTGAGGCAGCAACAGCTGCTGGCTGCAGTGCTACATTACTGTTTTCTTGTATGGGACGTCTTCAGCTGCACTAAACGCACCCATCATGGCCAACCTGATAGTGTTCCGAGGTTGGGCAACCTTTGCTTTCAGGTTTCAAAGGTCCCTTTGCATACACCCTCTAGGCTCTATGCATACACCCTCTAGGCTCTATAGGGTGCTCCTTCGTTCCCATTCCGGGTATTCAGGGGATGCAGACATGGGCGGAGGATGCGGACTGCAGGAAAGTTGCGAATACTGTGGCCTTGACTCTTTCCGAGCAGGACTTCCGCGGTCTTGTGGAGGCGTCCAGCCGGGAAGTGGGGTTGCCGCAAGTGCGTATGGCAACGCGAAAAACTTTAAGCATCTGCTTAGAAGGTCTCAGAAAGCAGGCGGGGATTGGGGGTCATGTTGAATCTGCTGCCGGCCTTCAATGTGCTTTCTCACAGTCCTCAATAGGGATTCTATAATTGTACCCCCCCATTTGAACCCCGATGAAGGACTGCTAGTAAAACAGGGAACATCCCAAGGCATGGACAAAATGGGCGACTCATGCTTGCGGATCTTTCTTTGTGCCCTGTCCGCAGGAAGCTCTAGAGCTTCTGCAGCAGCAAGCCGCGATGAAACTGAATACGTTTAACACATACCTGCGGCAACAGAGAATCGCCGAATGTCGCAGAAAGCTCAGGCCCCGCTACACAGGCGAGCAGGCACAAACAATTTTGCGCGCAGGGTACGCAGACATGCATGGACCTCTCCGGATTTGTGGATGAGCCTGACGGGGAAGAGGGGTTTCTACAACTCGATGGCCTTTGAAACAGTTGGGGTGCGACGAACTTTCTGTCGGCCACGCGAACTCCCGCGAAGCCCCAGAACTGCCAACGGATCCCACCGAAGTCGTTGCGCCAAGCGGGGCACCTGGATCTGGCTCTCGATCTCGTCGAGCCACAGCAGCATCTTCGCTGCCTCGCGAAGTCTCTTCAGGGGGCCCGGGGTTTGGAGATGATCCCGTGTTTGAGAGCCTTATAGGCTTGTTCAGGGTTTGGTTTGGGATTGTTTGGGCACACAGGGTGTTTCGGCCAAGGCCAGATCCTTGAGGCGGCGTGTCGGCATAATTCGTCGAAGTTGTTCGCTTGCCCATAAACACAGAATTATATACCTACGTACGTTCATACATACATACATCCATGCATGCATGCATACATACATACATGCATAAAATGTGTTTCTAAATGAATACATATATATATGTATATGTATACACATACAGATACATACATGCCCGTATACCTATACCATATACATATGTACATACACGCATATACATGTATTTAAACATCTCGAAATTGTAGCCCTTTCGATGGGGCCCTGAACCCTTCTCGTAATGTTGCACCCGCAATATTCTAGGGGGCCGCTATTATGAAAAGTTTTTCGGCTGTTGAGGATCTGGACCCTTTGTTTTGGAGGTCCGCTATAATGAAAAGTTTTCGGGCCGTGACTGTTTTTTTGAGGGTGTCAGTAAGGCATAAGCTTTCTCGAGAAGGAGGGATACTTGAAGCCTGAAGCCTCGACCTGTCCAGGATCTCCGACAATCTTCTTTTTTCAGGGCGCCTTTTCTTTATAAATTCCTTACTTAAAACTAGATGATTCCATAGGCGAATCATATCCGGAAAGGGGGTACCTTACGGAGGCCTCCGGACACACTTTAATACCTTTGTTTGGGGGCCCGCTATAATGCAAGTCTCCCGGGGCCAGGGGCTCAGTCCTTCGGTTTTCAGGAAGGCATAAGCTTTCTCGAGAAGGAGGGATACTTGAAGCCTGAAGCCTCGACCTGTCCAGGATCTCCGACAATCTTCTTTTTTCAGGGCGCCTTTTCTTTATAAATTCCTTACTTAAAACTAGATGATTCCATAGGCGAATCATATCCGGAAAGGGGGTACCTTACGGAGGCCTCCGGACACACTTTAATACCTTTGTTTGGGGGCCCGCTATAATGCAAGTCTCCCGGGGCCCGGGCTCAGTCCTTCGGTTTTCAGGAAGGCATAAGCTTTCTCGAGAAGAAGGGATACTTGAAGCCTGAAGCCTCGACCTTTCCAGGGTCGGGGGGTAGCTTAGGGAGGCCTCCGGGCTCCGGACCCCTCCCCTGCCTGGGATGGGGTAGAAACACAAGAAAGAAAAGGCCCGCGCAGTAGCTACAGAAACGGCCGAGTAACTAGGGGACCCTGACCCATAAAGACATATATGGTTGATGATAAGGGTTAGGAACGGTGTTTGGGGCAGAGGGAGTAAGGAAACAAGCGCATAGCCCGCATAGCACACGAAAACGCACCCAGTCCGATTGAATCCACTTCCCACAAATTGGGACCACAGAGAGCCCCAACCCAGAGAAGTTCTTAGTGAGGAGATGTTAGGAGCTTGTGCCAAAGGTGGGCGAGAGTTTAAGTGCGCACTCAAAGCGAGGTCTCCTTTGCCGATGTTACCGATGTTGAATCAGTCTCCTCATCGTCTAGCTCCTGCAAAAACTGGAGCTCTCAGATCTCTCCGTATGCATGTCTCCGGCATTTTGCTACGGCCAGCCTAGAGAGGCCCAGAGCAAGTCAGCACGTACTGATACTGGGTTTTTCCCATCGACTATAGACATGATCTTCCCTTGATTTCGATTGGAGCATCCTCAATCCTGCCATTGACATTCAAACCAAAAACATCGCTTTGCACCATCTCCCACCAGTCCTCTGTGATTGGAGAAGTTGGCGATGACCCCCAGCTGGATGGCGAGGGATCCCCACAACTGAGTCCGCCTCAGGGCTGCAAGAGCGGTGGGGCACGGAAGGGTAGCACGATTGCGGCTGTCTGCCCAAAACCCGCGGTCACACATGCTGATGAGGAGCCGGTGGTCATCGGGGTTTGTCCTGCACCATCTTCCAGTGCTTTCGAAGATGGCGACGTCTTGACCTGGTCATGGGTCAGGCATGTGACTTACCATTTCGCGCTCCTACCCACCTACCGCTGAACTCTGTGCTCTTTCCCAGTTCACATATCAATCTGGAAATCCCTGGCCTCCTTCCCTAAACCCTTAACCCTGTGAGCAGGGCTGTCTTCGGCCACTCCACCCATGGCTGGGCCCATTTACGATATTGAGGTGCTTCAGTGCCCAAACCCGAGGCCCCTTAAACCCGAAAGCCTAAACTTAAAACTTAACACCCTAACCCTAAACCCTAAGTCTAACCCGAATCCCTAAGTCAAACCCTGAACCCGACTAAAATAAAACTAAATACTACACTTGCAACAACCACAAACCCAATTTTCATATGTTTCCCTACTACCCCCTCTATACTACCCCCCTAGGTTCCCTCCTTAAATAACCTTAGTTAGGCTTAATTGTCCCTAACTGGGAAATGTAGGGGGGGCGGGGTAATCTAGATGGGGGGTTACTAGGGGAACCCATGAGGTTTTCTTGTGGGGTTAAGAGGATTGTTTGTTTTTTGTCATGTGGAGGTTTCCGAAATTAGGGGTACCTTATTCAGGCGCATCCTACTATTTGGGGGTCTATATTAGGGCTCCATTTTCTTCAACCCTCTGTATTTTCAGGGTTGAAGCTTTCAGGGTTTAGGGTTTCAGTTGTTCGTTGGGCTTTTGGGTCTGGGACCACCCTTCTCTAGGTCTAGGCCCTAGACCCTGGTGACCCTAGACCCGGAACCCTAAAACGTCTAGCTCCTGCAAAAACTGGAGCTCTCAGATCTCTCCGTATGCATGTCTCCTGCATTTTGCTACGGCCAGTCTAGAGAGGCCCAGAGCAAATCAGCACGTACTGATACTGGGTTTTTCCCATCGACTATAGACATGATCTTCCCTTGATTTCGATTGGAGCATCCTCAATCCTGCCATTGACATTCAAACCAAAAACATCGCTTTGCACCATCTCCCACCAGTCCTCTGTGATTGGAGAAGTTGGCGATGACCCCCAGCTGGATGGCGAGGGATCCCCACAACTGAGTCCGCCTCAGGGCTGCAAGAGCGGTGGGGCACGGAAGGGTAGCACGATTGCGGCTGTCTGCCCAAAACCCGCTGTCACACATGCTGATGAGGAGCCGGTGGTCATCGGGGTTTGTCCTGCACCATCTTCCAGTGCTTTCGAAGATGGCGACGTCTTGACCTGGTCATGGGTCAGGCATGTGACTTACCATTTCACGCTCCTACCCACCTACCGCTGAACTCTGTGCTCTTTCCCAGTTCACATATCAATCTGGAAATCCCTGGCCTCCTTCTGGCGCGTTGGCACAGAGCAAATCCTGTGGCCACGCCGTACATACGAAGGAACGGGTGCTCAAGAACGGGGAGGAGGAGTTGTAAACTCTTTCGAGCTGCGCGGGGGGATCTAATGAGAAACTAAAACGTGCTGCTCCTCGTTTGCAGCAACTTTATCCTTGCAGCATGTGCAGTGCTTAAGCCATTGTACGCAAGCTATTTTGCTCATGTTCTTCGCTTGTTTCACGGTCCCGTTAGGCATCAACCTATGCGCCCCCGTGTTTTGTATATTATTGCGTATCAGGGATCAGAATGGCCCCAAATGAGAAGCAAAACCCGTGATGCATGGAGCACCTTCGCAGCGAGTGAAGCAGGACGAAGCTAGTTTAGACGACGAGCCGTGTCGCGTCGTACATGCAAATGAGGCGATCACTCAAAGGCCCTGAGTACTTCTGACTGCTCGTGTTGCAGAGGGGGGGGAGGGGGTTTCCTCCATTCAGAACAGCAAAGACGTGTCCCAGCTGAAGATGGAGAGGCCATTGTGTCGGCATTGCAAGCATCAGCATCCCGCAGACCCCCAAAAGCCTCCAGAACCCCTTCCGCCATGAAGCCCAAAACCCACAACCCGGCCTGCAGAACGCAAGCCAGTCGAGGCAAGATGCCATGGCACCGAAAGTGGGGGCTGTTAGCATTGTCACAGCCCCCCACCAAATTCTGTTCTTTTGGAGGCGGTTGGGGTTTCTGCCGGAGATTCTAGGGCTTCTTGATGCTTCTGTTTCGAGGCCTCTAGGACCTCGCAGGGCTCAGGGATGGCTGGGGGAATGGAGGGTTTCGCCTTTGCAGCCTCTCTCTCAAAATCCAGCCGGGCACTGGCACCTGCTGCATCCCTGAAGTGGCCTAAAGCTTCCTGGCCTAGAGCTCAAAGCTGCTAGCTAACAAGCTGCTCAGACTTGGTTCTCCGCAATCCGACGCCTTTGAGCCGGAGTCACGCTGCGAAGACTCGGGTGAATTCCCGAAGTTGGCTTGAAAAAGCCTCTACCAGCGCCCTAAAGGTCAGTACAGCAACACTGCGGCTCTCTCAAGCACCGAGAGACCAGACCGCCAGAAAATGCCCACAGACTGACTGAACTCCGGCATTCTGGAGGGACCACGTGCTGTTTTAGCGCCTCGCACCGGCTGCCTTGAACACCATGGGACCTGGCAATCCGCGCTAAGAACAAATCTCAGGACTTTCTCACAGTCTGTCCTTTCAGGTTTACGGTTTAGGCTTTAGGATCCAGCCCTGTCACAAGGCCTGACCTCAGACCTCAAGCTCCAGTCAGACAACACGGGGATGGTTGGAAACAGGATCTCGAACGATATCCTTCCAGTACAGCTGCAGAGACTCACACAAACTACCACATCTCTGAAACTGACAGGTGGCGAGCTTAGGGTTTGGGGGCTTGAAGCTTGGACTTCGGGATGCTTTGGGCGCGCATGTGGCTTCTGAACTCCATTTGACTATGTACTGTTGAAGGGCTTGGTGCTTAGATGCTCGTCAGGATCTTGTAAAGCATACGATGGCATTATGTAACATTCTGGCATGCGGCGGCATGCCAGGCTATCAGCATGGCGAGGAAATGCTTTACGCGGACGTCAACGGTCGGGCCCGTGAATTGACGGTGTTTACAATCATGCGGGGTTGCAGGGCGCCCCGAACAAGCTTCTACTTTCTTTTCGGTCGTTCTACGGGTGTTCTATGCCTACTTACGCTCGTTCCGTTGCCGCTGGACAGGAGGATCATGCAGTTTTACGGTCGTTTAGCAGTATTACGGGTGTGGAGAAATGCGGTCTGCCAACGACCCAAAAAAGAAATCCGTCGTCTGGGGATGAACAACTGAGCCCCCAAGCTCCCGGTGCCTGCGACAGCTGCGACAACGTGGCCAGGCGGCAAGAACCGGGTCCTGCCCAAGCTCACGCAGAAAGAAAAGCAGGAGGAACGCGTGGCACAATGGTGCTCGTGCTCAGCATCTGACCGGTAGAGCTGCCCTTGCTGGTTCGCAAGCTGGGACTGCGAAGCCTGAAAAACCTCCCAGAGTTCGGTTCTCATGTGCTGGGAGATCTCAGGGCAGCTCATTCGCACGTGAGACGCCAAGCTGGGCATCATGCTCCAGAGGCTGAGCCGCCGAAGGCTCCACCGTAAGCCTTGTGTCTCACCAAACTCGGCACTCAAACCTTCCCAACTTCCGCGGTTTCCACGAAGTCTTACGCCTGACCGACGTTTGCGCCCATGGGACCATAGGAGCCACCGCCATACATCCTGGGCAAAAGGTGAGAAGAGTGAGAAGAAAACTGTCCTCACATGTGCTCACTTTGTTGACCCTACACTGGCGTTGAGGTTGCCACTGCACTTCAGAACTGGGCACACGGCCCGCCCATTCCGGGCATACCAGGCATGCCACCCATGGCCGGAGATGCCGGAGCAGGGGCCTGGTAGAGCAAACATGAGCAAACACAAAACGCACAGCAACCCACGGAAAACAAGTGAACGACACCCAAGGCCAGGCGCTTTCAGCAGAAAGGGCCCGGACACCCTGCTGCGGGACTTGCGTTTGCATGGTCATCGCCTGCCATGGCAACCCGAACCTGACCACCACTAAACCTGCCCAGCAGATATGTAGTCAACCAGGAGAAAGCATGAAACCTTCCAGCTCAACTTCTGCCAGGAGGACCGGCACGCCTGGGGCGTACATCGACCTGCACCGCTCTTCACCACGCTTTGCCATGCTGCTCATGCCCGGACTGAGACCAACGCCTGTGGATGCCGCCTATGTGGTTGGCAAGCTGCGCTTGCTGCAGCGACGCCTGACAAACTCTCTTCTACCTAACGTCCCAGCGTGCTATTGAAGAGGGATACCCAGTGTGGTGAGCTCAGCTGATCCCGATGGAGGAGCGCGTTAGTTCACATTGACATGCTGCTCGTGTTGTGGGGCAGTCTGAAGGTGCCCTGATTTAGGCCACGTCATGTCCACATTTCATCTCACTCGCATGTCGTTATTGGTGGCGGACAACAAGCTGGGCAGGCTGCCTCAAACCCAACCAAAGATTCTGGCCTGCAAGCCCAGTTCAGGGTGCCTCCGGCTTTGTAGAGTAACCACCCCCCACACGCGACCCGCACCAGTGAATTCCTTCCCGAAGTTTCCATATGAGTCCGCCTGTAAGCCCCTGTAAAGCCTCAAGTCTGACTCAGCCAGCGAGCGCATGCGAGCGCCTCCTCCTCAATCTCCTCAACGATGGAGTGCAACAGAGCCGCGCGGCCTTTAACCTCGGCGACTACACAGTCCTGTCGGGCCGGACTGGCTCGGCATGTGTCGGAAGAGCCTCTGGGCCTTATATAGCTTGCGCAAGGCTCAACGAGGCTGGAAAGTTGAAATACTCCCTCAGATTCCGAAGCTTCCGTTCTTGAAGGCCCCTAACTCCTACAACCTCTAGAGCTGCGTGGGTGGCCTCCTCTCGGGCCGCTTCCAGCTCCGCCTCCTTCGAACATGAAGCAGGGGAACAAACAATAGGAGCACCATTCGGGCTTGGGAGGGTGCAGGAATCCAGGTTTCCAGGACCAAGCCTGCCCCTGCCCTCCCCGTCCCCTGGCCTCCCCCGTTGCTACCCAGTAGCGGAGTCAGGCTCTTCTGTTTCTCATGCTTGTGGCCGAATTGGCCGAGCTACTGGCAGCTAGGTTGTGTTTTTGGTACTTGTTTTTGGTTTCGGGTGGCAAGTCTAAGGCCTCCCCGATAGTTGCGTGCTGCCTCACGGCCTCACGGGGCGCACCTCACACTCGTGAGGCAGACGCGCACAATATGCGCAATTGAGACAGCAAGCGCAATTTGATCCAGCAAATGGCTTTGGAGGCTCTTGAGGTGCTTTTCAGATGAGCTGTGGGCTTCTCAAGGAGTTGAGAACCTAAAGGATATACGTGAGAGAAATGCTAAACTCCCACCCAGCACGCTCCCACCCTTGCACGCGGCGCTGCAATTCGCGCTCACTTTTGGAATGGTACCACGTTGGCGAGGACGCTCGTATATGATGGGATTTGGAACACCCGGGCTCCCCCCCCCCTCCGCATTGCAAACGCAACGCACGCATGATGCGGTTTGGACAGGACTCAGATGTTCTGAATCACTGAAGCAAGCTCGCGCGGCTTAAACAAGCGGGGAACCACAATGCTCTCATGATGGGGATTGGACAGGATTCATATGTTGTACTCGCACGGCTTCGATTGAACCGAAGGACCTGGCGAGGCCCCAAAACAGTGTTAAACACATAGATACGGGATAAATTTAAAATTCAAAGTTTCTCCAAAAATAGGCACGCAGTCATAGTGTTTCGGTGAAACTTTTCGGGGGCATGGGCAGGCCCAAAATCCTAAACTCAAAAGGCCGAAATACTTTGCGGTCATCGCTACTTTTGTAACTTTGTAAAGCCCATTCACCTATGGAAGTACAAAGGTAACCTGCAAAACAAGTGTACTCCTGACAAGCACGAATCGATCTTTGGGGCACCACAGTGTGTGTTTCGCTAAACAGGCGGGAAACACAATGTTCGCGTGATGGGGTTTGGACAGGATCATATGTTGTGAAGCCAGCTCGCATGGCTCAAAGAAGACGGGGGTGTGGGGGGGGGGGGGGGTGGGGCACCCCCCTCCCCCCTCGCCCCCGCCACTTGCACAAAAAAAATGCATGAACGGGTTTCGACAGAATTCACATTATTCACATTCACGTATTATGTAAATATACATATGTATGTATATATATATATAGAAATGTTTTGAAGCAAGCTTGCACGGCTTCAAAAAAAGGAAAAACGCGGCGACGCAAACCCCCCCCTTACCATTTGCAAACACAGCGGTCGCATGTTGGCGTTTGGCCAGGATTTCTGTTGTCTCCCCCGCCCGTTTGCAAACAGAATGCTCGCATGAAGGGGTTCGGGACAGGAAATCATACGGAGTGAAGCAAGCTCGCGAGCAGCTCGCGCAACAATGGGGGGGCGGGGGGGTGGGGGGCCGTTGGGGGCCGGGGAGGACGCAGCCTTTCCTTTTGGCAAACACCAGCATTCCATGCTTTCCTCAACTCATCAGCCAGCCTCTTGCGAAGCCTTTCCACTCCGAACGGTGAGTCGACTTGTTGATTCGCTCCATCGGTAGGCTATTGGGGGACGGCAGGCCAATAGGTGCCAGGGCAAGTGTTGCTGGCTGCGGCCTAGTCGGTGCGAGTGTTGCTGGTGTGGGTGGCTGAGTCTTTGCTGGGGGTGCTGTGGCAGGGGCACTATGCACGCATCATGCATGATGGGGTTTGGACAGGATTCATAAGATAACGCGGCTTGAACAAAATACGGGTGGGGTGAAAAAGCGTACCGCCGTCAGACTGACACGCTGCAGCACGATACGCCATGCGCCGAGCAGCTCAAAGGCGCGCAAACAATGCAAACAGCAACACCCCGAACCCCAGAAAATCCACAAACGCCAACGCCCAACAACAAAAACCCAGGCTCGACTCCTGCAGTCGCCGGCGCTCCGCCGGGCCCGGCTTTCCATCTGCCTACAAAGTCTCAGAAATCTGGAGCGCTTTGGCAGGGTCTCCTTTGCGGATGTTGAACCGCAACCCTAAACCCCAAACCCTAAACCCTAAACCCTAAACCCTAAACCCCAAACCCCAAACCCGATTTCGATTTGTTTCTTTCTCCCCAGGAGGCCTCCGCAGCCTCCCGCGCAGCCTCGCGCGCAGCCTGCAGAGCGGACTCCTTTCGCGCGGAACTGAGGAAGCGATTTGGGGGGTTCCGAGATTTGGGGCGCCCTCTTGGGGTCCTTATTATAAGGGAATCCTATGAGTTGGGGGTCTCTATTAGGGGTCCCTTATTTTCTTAAACCCCCACATTTGCTAAGGTGAAGGAAAGCCGCCAACACATGTCCGGTTCCCCCAAGTTTGCCCCCCCCACCTCTGCCAGGGCCTCTGGGACTGCAAACTTGCCCATTCAAAGGGTTTGGTGGCCTGTCTCATGCTCTAGCCGAGCACAGAACATGAAAAACAAAGAGCTTATCTTGAACCACTTTTTTATCTCTCTTACAACGCTAGGCGAGTTTGGTTCAAAACAGTGTGCTGTGTTGCCTCTTCTTTTTCCCTGTGGTTTGCAGGAAACTGGAGCTCACACCGCAGGTGCCCTAAACCATATAAACCCTAAACCCTAAACCCTGAACCCTAAACCCTAAACCCTAAACCCTAAACCCTAAACCCATTTTGTTGTCTCTTCTCTAAACCCTAAACACCCCTACACCCTAAGCCCGATCTTTGTGACCAATTCTTCAGCTGGGCGCCCCGTAGCCAGCCAGAACCATGTGCAGGGGCCCCGATAAAGGGGAAAGAAACCGAAGATGACGCGGGGGTGTCATAGCAGCACGGGGCCCGAGCTGCTCAACAGCGCGCAAACAGCAATTCCCCGAACCCCACAAAACCCCGCAAGATGCCAAAGCCCTCCCAACAACAAAACCCAGGCCCGACTCCTGAAGCCGCGGCCGCCGGACGAAAGGAGTCACCTTCGTGGGACGTCTTCAGCTGCACTAAACACACCCGTCATGGCCAGCCTGATAATTTGGTTTCAAAGGTCCCTTTGCATACGCCCTATAGGCTCTATAGGGTGCTGCTTCTTTCCCATTCCGGGTATTCAGGGGATGCAGACATGGGCGGAGGATGCGGAGCACAGGAAATTTGTGAATACTGCGGCCTTGACTCCTCCTCTGGGGGATGGCTTCCGCGAACTTGCGGAAGAGTCCAGCCGGAAGAGGGGTTGCTGCAAGTGCGTATGGCAACGCGAAAACCTTTAAGCATCTGCTTAGAAAGTCGGGGATTGGGGGTCATGTTGAATCTGCTGCCGGCCTTCAATGTGCTTTCTCACAGTCCTCAATAGGGATTCTATAATAGTACCCCCCCCCCCCCCATTTGAACCCCGATGAAGGACTGCTAGTATAACAGGGAACATCCCAAGATATCCCAAGGCATGGACATAATGGGCGACTCATGCTTGCGGATCTTTCTTTGTGCCCTGCAGGAAGCTCTAGAGCTTCTGCAGCGGCAAGCCGCGATGAAACTGAATACGTTTAACACATACCTGCGGCAACAGAGAATCGCCGAATGTCGCAGAAAGCTCAGGCCCCGCTACACAGGCGAGCAGGCACAAACAATTTTGCGCGCAGGGTACGCAGACATGCATGGACCTCTCCGGATTTGTGGATGAGCCTGACGGGGAAGAGGGGTTTCTACAACTCGATGGCCTTTGAAACAGTTGGGTGCGACGAACTTTCTGTCGGCCACGCGAACTCCCGCGAAGCCCCAGAACTCCCAACAGATCCCACCGAAGTCGTGGGGCACCTGGATCTGGCTCTCGATCTCGTCGAGCCACAGCAGCATCTTCGCTGCCTCGCGAAGTCTCTTCAGGGGGCCCGGGGTTTGGAGATGATCCCGTGTTTTCGTGATAGGCTTGTTTAGGGTTTGGTTTGGGATTTTTGGGGCACAGAATCATATACCTACCTACATACATGCATACATACACTGATTGGACATGCGCACATGCATACTTAAGATGTGTTTCTATATAAATATATACACATACAGATACATACATTGGACATGCCTGTGTACCTATACCAGGTACATATGTACATACACGCATATACATGCATTTAAAGATCTCGAAAATTGTAGCCCTTTCGATGGGGCCCTGAACCCTTCTCGTATCTTGACCGCGCCAGTCCTGCACATGCTGGGCGGTGCAGAACAGCGAAGTAGGAGGGGGGGGGGCAAGTGGACTGCAAACTGCTTTCGGACACTTGAACCACTTGCACCACTTGCTCCACTTTTCTGGTCCAACTGGTCCTGCCTTAGCCGCATCATCATCCACGCCCCCTTGCCCGTCCCTGCTTTGCGTCGGAAGTCGCTCCTGGCATCCCATTGATTGACATTCTGAACTTAGCAGAAGGTTGAATTTGAAAGGTTTCAGGAAGACCTTCTATGCAAGGTTTGATGTCCCGCCTTCGGTTTTGGAACTCCTTGAAAACATGAAGAGCTCACAAAGACAAACTACGCATACAAGTCTGGGCGAAAATCATGTCCCTCCGGGCCCGCGGTGTTGAGATCCCCTTGGAAGAACAAAGGCTCACTAAGAATCGACACAAACAAGTTTGTTTTGCCAGGGAAAAGCTACCAGCACGCACTAGGAACTGTGGAGTGAGCATGGTTCGCGACGCGGATCATCGGAGCGCGGCAGGTTGCGAGGAGACAGTTAGCAGCGTTGGGAAATTTTATGAAACCTTGCAGCCCAGGTTCTAGCTCCAATCGAAGCTTCAAAACACTGCGGGAGACCGGCAACAAGAAGCTTAATATCCTCGATCCCTAAAAACCCCTATCGAAGTGTACTTCGCCCTAACCCTGAGATCGGGGGATCGCAGCAACAACCCCCTCGAACCACAGCGCACTGCAGCTTCAGCGCATCAACTTTGAAGCGTCCCACTACGCCTGGTCAAATCTCACAAATATTTACCAACCCCCCCTTAGCTACTAGGATCCCCAACTCATTCCCCAAAGGAGCGCCGTCTTGTGCTTCGCAAGGCACCTCGGCCTCGCGGTCGAGCTCCTCCTGGAAAACCCATCAAAAAAACTTATTCCCAATCAAAACAAAACTTTCCTTGGTAGCTTACAAGAGGTTTTGAGTTTCTTGGACGACACCTGACCCATCAAAAAAGACTTTCTCTCCAGTTATGTTGCACCCGCAATATTCTAGGGGGCCGCTATTATGAAAAGTTTTTCGGCTATTGAGGATCTGGACCCTTTGTTTTGGAGGTCCGCTATAATGAAAAGTTTTCGGGCCGTGACTGTTTTTTTGAGGGTGTCAGGAAGGCATAAGCTTCTCGAGAAGGAGAGATACTTGAAGCCTGAAGCCTCGACCTGTCCAGGATCTCCGACAATCTTCTTTTTTCAGGGCGCCTTTTCTTTATAAATTCCTTACATAAAACTAGATGATTCCATAGGCGAATCATATCCGGAAAGGGGGTACCTTTCGGAGGCCTCCGGACACACTTTAATACCTTTGTTTGGGTTTGGGGGCCCGCTATAATGCAAGTCTCCCGGGGCCAGGGGCTCAGTCCTTCGGTTTTCAGGAAGGCATAAGCTTTCTCGAGAAGGAGGGATACTTGAAGCCTGAAGCCTCGACCTGTCCAGGATCTCCGACAATCTTCTTTTTTCAGCGCGCCTTTTCTTTATAAATTCCTTACTTAAAACTAGATGATTCCATAGGCGAATCATATCCGGAAAGGGGGTACCTTACGGAGGCCTCCGGACACACTTTAATACCTTTGTTTGGGGGCCCGCTATAATGCAAGTCTCCCGGGGCCCAGTGCTCAGTCCTTCGGTTTTCAGGAAGGCATAAGCTTTCTCGAGAAGAAGGGATACTTGAAGCCTGAAGCCTCGACCTTTCCAGGGTCGGGGGGTAGCTTAGGGAGGCCTCCGGGCTCCGGACCCCTCCCCTGCCTGGGATGGGGTAGAAACACAAGAAAGAAAAGGCCCGCGCAGTAGCTACAGAAACGGCCGAGTAACTAGGGGACCCTGACCCATAAAGACATATATGGTTGATGATAAGGGTTAGGAACGGTGTTTGGGGCAGAGGGAGTAAGGAAACAAGCGCATAGCCCGCATAGCACACGAAAACGCACCCAGTCCGATTGAATCCACTTCCCACAAATTGGGACCACAGAGAGCCCCAACCCAGAGAAGTTCTTAGTGAGGAGATGTTAGGAGCTTGTGCCAAAGGTGGGCGAGAGTTTAAGTGCGCACTCAAAGCGAGGTCTCCTTTGCCGATGTTACCGATGTTGAATCAGTCTCCTGATCGTCTAGCTCCTGCAAAAACTGGAGCTCTCAGATCTCTCCGTATGCATGTCTCCGGCATTTTGCTACGGCCAGCCTAGAGAGGCCCAGAGCAAGTCAGCACGTACTGATACTGGGTTTTTCCCATCGACTATAGACATGATCTTCCCTTGATTTCGATTGGAGCATCCTCAATCCTGCCATTGACATTCAAACCAAAAACATCGCTTTGCACCATCTCCCACCAGTCCTCTGTGATTGCAGAAGTTGGCGATGACCCCCAGCTGGATGGCGACGGATCCCCACAACTGAGTCCGCCTCAGGGCTGCAAGACCGGTGGGGCACGGAAGGGTAGCACGATTGCGGCTGTCTGCCCAAAACCCGCGGTCACACATGCTGATGAGGAGCCGGTGGTCATCGGGGTTTGTCCTGCACCATCTTCCAGTGAATTCGAAGATGGCGACGTCTTGACCTGGTCATGGGTCAGGCATGTGACTTACCATTTCACGCTCCTACCCACCTACCGCTGAACTCTGTGCTCTTTCCCAGTTCACATATCAATCTGGAAATCCCTGGCCTCCTTCTGGCGCGTTGGCACAGAGCAAATCCTGTGGCCACGCCGTACATACGAAGGAACGGGTGCTCAAGAACGGGGAGGAGGAGTTGTAAACTCTTTCGAGCTGCGCGGGGGGATCTGATGAGAAACTAAAACGTGCTGCTCCTCGTTTGCAGCAACTTTATCCTTGCAGCATGTGCAGTGCTTAAGCCATTGTACGCAAGCTATTTTGGTCATGTTCTTCGCTTGTTTCACGGTCCCGTTAGGCATCAACCTATGCGCCCCGCGTTTTGTATATTATTGCGTATCAGGGATCAGAATGGCCCCAAATGAGAAGCAAAACCCGTGATGCATGGAGCACCTTCGCAGCGAGTGAAGCAGGACGAAGCTAGTTTAGACGACGAGCCGTGTCGCGTCGTACATGCAAATGAGGCGATCACTCAAAGGCCCTGAGTACTTCTGACTGCTCGTGTTGCAGAGGGGGGTGAAGGGGTTTCCTCCATTCAGAACAGCAAAGACGTGTCCCAGCTGAAGATGGAGAGGCCATTGTGTCGGCATTGCAAGCATCAGCATCCCGCAGACCCCCAAAAGCCTCCAGAACCCCTTCCGCCATGAAGCCCAAAACCCACAACCCGGCCTGCAGAACGCAAGCCAGTCGAGGCAAGATGCCATGGCACCGAAAGTGGGGGCTGTTAGCATTGTCACAGCCCACCACCAAATTCTGTTCTTTTGGAGGCGGTTGGGGTTTCTGCCGGAGATTCTAGGGCTTCTTGATGCTTCTTGATGTTTCGAGGCCTCTAGGACCTCGCAGGGCTCAGGGATGGCTGGGGGAATGGAGGGTTTCGCCTTTGCAGCCTCTCTCTCAAAATCCAGCCGGGCACTGGCACCTGCTGCATCCCTGAAGTGGCCTAAAGCTTCCTGGCCTAGAGCTCTAAAGCTGCTAACAAGCTGCTAACAAGCTGCTAGCTAACAAGCTGCTCAGACTTGGTTCTCCGCAATCCGACGCCTTTGAGCCGGAGTCACGCTGCGAAGACTCGGGTGAATTCCCGAAGTTGGCTTGAAAAAGCCTCTACCAGCGCCCTAAAGGTCAGTACAGCAACACTGCGGCTCTCTCAAGCACCGAGAGACCAGACCGCCAGAAAATGCCCAGAGACTGACTGAACTCCGGCATTCTGGAGGGACCAGGCTCACGCACCAGCATGTCTGCCGGGGTGCCATCCGGGTTGTGCTTTAGCAGTTCTACACCTGCTAACTGCAACCTGGCGGATCTGGAACAAACCGACTGCACGAAGTTCACAAGTACAACCGCACATGCCCGTCTGTGGAGCTTGGACCGTCAAAACCTTCAAAGCACCGCTACTGCAAGGCAGGTCGTCGCGCGTGCTGTTTTAGCGCCTCGCACCGGCTGCCTTGAACACCATGGGACCTGGCAATCCGCGCTAAGAACAAATCTCAGGACTTTCTCACAGTCTGTCCTTTCAGGTTTACGGTTTAGGCTTTAGGATCCAGCCCTGTCACAAGGCCTGACCTCAGACCTCAAGCTCCAGTCAGACAACACGGGGATGGTTGGAAACAGGATCTCGAACGATATCCTTCCAGTACAGCTGCAGAGACTCACACAAACTACCACATCTCTGAAACTGACAGGTGGCGAGCTTAGGGTTTGGGGGCTTGAAGCTTAGACTTCGGGATGCTTTGGGCGCGCATGTGGCTTCTGAACTCCATTTGACTATGTACTGTTGAAGGGCTTGGTGCTTAGATGCTCGTCAGGATCTTGTAAAGCATACGATGGCATTATGTAACATTCTGGCATGCGGCGGCATGCCAGGCTATCAGCATGGCGAGGAAATGCTTTACGCGGAAGTCAACGGTCGGGCCCGTGAATTGACGGTGTTTACAATCATGCGGGGTTGCAGGGCGCCCCGAACAAGCTTCTACTTTCTTTTCGGTCGTTCTACGGGTGTTCTATGCCTACTTATGCTCGTTCCGTTGCCTCTGGACAGGAGGATCAGTTTTACGGTCGTTTAGCAGTATTACGGGTGTGGAGAAATACGGTCTGCCAACGACCTAAAAAGAAATCCGTCGTCTGGGGATGAACAACTGAGCCCCCAAGCTCCCGGTGCCTGCGACAGCTGCGACAACGTGGCCAGGCGGCAAGAACCGGGTCCTGCCCAAGCTCACGCAGAAAGAAAAGCAGGAGGAACGCGTGGCACAATGGTGCTCGTGCTCAGCATCTGACCGGTAGAGCTGCCCTTGCTGGTTCGCAAGCTGGGACTGCGAAGCCTGAAAAACCTCCCAGAGTTCGGTTCTCATGTGCTGGGAGATCTCAGGGCAGCTCATTCGCACGTGAGACGCCAAGCTGGGCATCATGCTCCAGAGGCTGAGCCACCGAAGGCTCCACCGTAAGCCTTGTGTCTCACCAAACTCGGCACTCAAACCTTCCCAACTTCCGCGGTTTCCACGAAGTCTTACGCCTGACCGACGTTTGCGCCCATGGGACCATAGGAGCCACCGCCATACATCCTGGGCAAAAGGTGAGAAGAGTGAGAAGAAAACTGTCCTCACATGTGCTCACTTTGTTGACCCTACACTGGCGTTGAGGTTGCCACTGCACTTCAGAACTGGGCACACGGCCTGCCCATTCCGGGCATACCAGGCATGCCACCCATGGCCGGAGATGCCGGAGCAGGGGCCTGGTAGAGCAAACACAAAACGCACAGCAACCACGGAAAACAAGTGAACGACACCCAAGGCCAGGCGCTTTCAGCAGAAAGGGCCCGGACACCCTGCTGCGGGACTTGCGTTTGCATGGTCATCGCCTGCCATGGCAACCCGAACCTGACCACCACTAAACCTGCCCAGCAGATATGTAGTCAACCAGGAGAAAGCATGAAACCTTCCAGCTCAACTTCTGCCAGGAGGACCGGCACGCCTGGGGCGTACATCGACCTGCACCGCTCTTCGCCACGCTTTTTTGCCATGCTGCTCATGCCCCGGACTGAGACCAACGCCTGTGGATGCCGCCCATGTGGTTGGCAAGCTGCGCTTGCTGCAGCGATGCCTGACAAGCTCTCTTCTACCTAGCGTCCCAGCATGCTATTGAAGAGGGATACCCAGTGTGGTGAGCTCAGCTGCTCCCGATGAAGGAGCGCGTTAGTTCACATTGACATGCTGCTCGTGTTGTGGGGCAGTCTGAAGGTGCCCTGACTTAGGCCACGTCATGTCCACATTTCATCTCACTCGCATGCCGTTCTTGGTAGCGGACAACAAGCTGGGCACGCTGCCTCAAACCCAACCAAAGATTCTGGCCCTGCAAGCCCAGTTCAGGGTGCCTCCGGCTTTGTAGAGTAACCACCCCCCACACGCGACCCGCACCAGTGAATTCCTTCCCGAAGTTTCCATATGAGTCCGCCTGTAAGCCCCTGTAAAGCCTCAAGTCTGACTCAGCCAGCGAGCGCATGCGAGCGCCTCCTCCTCAATCTCCTCAACGATGGAGTGCAACAGAGCCGCGCGGCCTTTAACCTCGGCGACTACACAGTCCTGTCGGGCCGGACTGGCTCGGCATGTGTCGGAAGAGCCTCTGGGCCTTATATAGCTTGCGCAAGGCTCAACGAGGCTGGAAAGTTGAAATACTCCCTCAGATTCCGAAGCTTCCGTTCTTGAAGGCCCCTAACTCCTACAACCTCTAGAGCTGCGTGGGTGGCCTCCTCTCGGGCCGCTTCCAGCTCCGCCTCCTTCGAACATGAAGCAGGGGAACAAACAATAGGAGCACCATTCGGGCTTGGGAGGGTGCAGGAATCCAGGTTTCCAGGACCAAGCCTGCCCCTGCCCTCCCCGTCCCCTGGCCTCCCCCGTTGCTACCCAGTAGCGGGGTCAGGCTCTTCTGTTTCTCATGCTTGTGGCCGAATTGGCCGAGCTACTGGCAGCTAGGTTGTGTTTTTGGTACTTGTTTTGGTTTCGGGTGGCAAGTCTAAGGCCTCCCCGATAGTTGCGTGCTGCCTCACGGCCTCACGGGGCGCACCTCACACTCGTGAGGCAGACGCGCACAATATGCGCAATTGAGACAGCAAGCGCAATTTGATCCAGCAAATGGCTTTGGAGGCTCTTGAGGTGCTTTTCAGATGAGCTGTGGGCTTCTCAAGGAGTTGAGAACCACAAGGATATACGTGAGAGAAACGCTAAACTCCCACCCAGCACGCTCCCACCCCTGCACGCGGCGCTGCAATTCGCGCTCACTTTTGGAATGGTACCACGTTGGCGAGGACGCTCGTATATGATGGGATTTGGAACACCCGGGCTCCCCCCCCCTCCGCATTGCAAACACAACGCACGCATGATGGGGTTTGGACAGGACTCAGATGTTCTGAATCACTGAAGCAAGCTCGCGCGGCTTAAACAAGCGGGGAACCACAATGCTCTCATGATGGGGATTGGACAGGATTCATATGTTGTACTCGCACGGCTTCGATTGAACCGAAGGACCTGGCGAGGCCCCAAAACAGTGTTAAACACATAGATACGGGATAAATTTAAATTCAAAGTTTCTCCAAAAATAGGCACGCAGTCATAGTGTTTCGGTGAAACTTTTCGGGGCATGGGCAGGCCCAAAATCCTAAACTCAAAAGGCCGAAATACTTTGCGGTCATCGCTACTTTTGTAACTTTGTAAAGCCCATTCACCTATGGAAGTACAAAGGTAACCTGCAAAACAAGTGTGCTCCTGACAAGCACGAATCGATCTTTGGGGCACCACAGTGTGTGTTTCGCTAAAAAGGCGGGAAACACAATGTTCGCGTGATGGGGTTTGGACAGGATCATATGTTGTGAAGCCAGCTCGCATGGCTCAAAGAAGACGGGGGTGTGGGGGGGGGGGGGGGGGGGGGGGCGCACCCCCCTCCCCCCTCGCCCCCGCCACTTGCACAAAAAAAATGCATGAACGGGTTTCGACAGAATTCACATTATTCACATTCACGTACTATGTAAATATACATATGTATGTATATATATATTTTCTAGAAATGTTTTGAAGCAAGCTTGCACGGCTTCAAAAAAAGGAAAAACGCGGCGACGCAAACCCCCCCCCTTACCATTTGCAAACACAGCGGTCGCATGTTGGCGTTTGGCCAGGATTTCTGTTGTCTCCCCCGCCCGTTTGCAAACAGAATGCTCGCATGAAGGGGTTCGGGACAGGAACTCATACGGAGTGAAGCAAGCTCGCGAGCAGCTCGCGCAACAGTGGGGGGGCGGGGGGGTGGGGGGCCGGGGGGGGCCGGGGAGGACGCAGCCTTTCCTTTTGGCAAACACCAGCATTCCATGCTTTCCTCAACTCATCAGCCCCCGGGCTGTTCTCACAGGACCTTGCGAAGCCTTTCCACTCCGAACGGTGAGTCGACCTGTTGATTCGCTCCATCGGTAGGCTATTGGGGGACGGCAGGCCAATAGGTGCCAGGGCAAGTGTTGCTGGCTGCGGCCTAGTCGGTGCGAGTGTTGCTGGTGTGGGTGGCTGAGTCTTTGCTGGGGGTGCTGTGGCAGGGGCACTATGCACGCATCATGCATGATGGGGTTTGGACAGGATTCATAAGATAACGCGGCTTGAACAAAATACGGGTGGGCTGGGGGGGGGGGGGGTGCAGACCCCGCCCTTTGTGAAAAAGCGTACCGCCGTCAGACTGACACGCTGCAGCACGATACGCCATGCGCCGAGCAGCTCAAAGGCGCGCAAACAATGCAAACAGCAACACCCCGAACCCCAGAAAAGCCACAAACGCCAACGCCCAACAACAAAAACCCAGGCTCGACTCCTGCAGTCGCCGGCGCTCCGCCGGGCCCGGCTTTCCATCTGCCTACAAAGTCTCAGAAATCTGGAGCGCTTTGGCAGGGTCTCCTTTGCGGATGTTGAACCGCAACCCTAAACCCTAAACCCTAAACCCTAAACCCTAAACCCTAAACCCTAAACCCTAAACCCTAAACCCCAAACCCCAAACCCTAACGATTTCGATTTGTTTCCTTCTCCCCAGGAGGCCTCCGCAGCCTCCCGCGCAGCCTCGCGCGCAGCCTGCAGAGCGGACTCCTTTCGCGCGGAACTGAGGAAGCGATTTGGGGGGGGTTCCGAGATTTGGGGCGCCCTTTTGGGGTCCTGATTATAAGGGAATTCTATGAGTTGGGGGTCTATATTAGGGGTCCCTTATTTTCTTAAACCCCCACATTTGCTAAGGTGAAGGAAAGCCCCCCCACCTCTGCCTGGGGGCCTCTGGGACTGCAAACTTGCCCGTTAAAAGGGTCTGGTGGCCTGTCTCATGCTCTTAGCCGAGCACAGAACATGAAAAACAAAGAGCTTATCTTGAACCACTTTTTTTATCTCTCTCACAACCCTAGGCGAGTTTGGTTCAAAACAGTGTGCTGTGTTGCCTCTTCTTGTTTCCCTGTGGTTTGCAGGAAACTGGAGCTCACACCGCAGGTGCCCTAAACCATATAAACCCTAAACCCTAAACCCTAAACCCTGAACCCTGAACCCTAAACCCTAAACCCTAAACCCATTTTGTTGTCTCTTCTCTAAACCCTAAACACCCCTACACCCTAAGCCCGATCTTCGTGACCAATTCTTCAGCTGGGCGCCCCGTAGCCAGCCAGAACCATGTGCAGGGGCCCCGATAAAGGGAAAGAAACCGAAGATGACGCGGGGCTGTCATCGCAGCACGGGGCCCGAGCTGCTCAACAGCGCGCAAACAGCAATTCCCCGAACCCCACAAAACCCCGCAAGATGCCAAAGCCCTCCCAACAACAAAACCCAGGCTCGACTCCTGAAGCCGCGGCCGCCGGACGAAAGGAGTCACCTTCGTGTATGGGACGTCTTCAGCTGCACTAAACACACCCGTCATGGCCAGCCTGATCATTTTCAGGTTTCAAAGGTCCCTTTGCATACGCCCTATAGGCTCTATAGGGTGCTCCTTCTCTCCCATTCCGGGTATTCAGGGGATGCAGACATGGGCGGAGGATGCGGAGCACAGGAAATTTGTGAATACTGCGGCCTTGACTCCTCTGGGGGATGGCTTCCGCGAACTTGCGGAAGAGTCCAGCCGGAAGAGGGGTTGCTGCAAGTGCGTATGGCAACGCGAAAACCTTTAAGCATCTGCTTAGAAAGTCGGGGATTGGGGGTCATGTTGAATCTGCTGCCGGCCTTCAATGTGGTTTCTCACAGTCCTCAATAGGGATTCTACAATAGCACCCCCCCCCCATTTGAACCCCGATGAAGGACTGCTAGTATAACAGGGAACATCCCAAGATATCCCAAGGCATGGACATAATGGGCGACTCATGCTTGCGGATCTTTCTTTGTGCCCTGCAGGAAGCTCTAGAGCTTCTGCAGCGGCAAGCCGCGATGAAACTGAATACGTTTAACACATACCTGCGGCAACAGAGAATCGCCGAATGTCGCAGAAAGCTCAGGCCCCGCTACACAGGCGAGCAGGCACAAACAATTTTGCGCGCGGGGTACGCAGACATGCATGGACCTCTCCGGATTTGTGGATGAGCCTGACGGGGAAGAGGGGTTTCTACAACTCGATGGCCTTTGAAACAGTTGGGTGCGACGAACTTTCTGTGCCCCAGAACTCCCAACAGTTCCCACCGAAGTCGTGGGGCACCTGGATCTGGCTCTCGATCTCGTCGAGCCACAGCAGCATCTTCGCTGCCTCGCGAAGTCTCTTCAGGGGGCCCGGGGTTTGGAGATGATCCCGTGTTTTCGTGATAGGCCTGTTTTGGGTTTGGTTTGGGATTTTTGGGGCACAGAATCATATACCTACCTACATACATACATACATACATACACTGATTGGACATGCGCACATGCATACTTAAGATGTGTTTCTACATAAATATATACACATACAGATACATACATTGCACATGCCTGTGTACCTATACCAGGTACATATGTACATACACGCATATACATGCATTTAAAGATCTCGAAAATTGTAGCCCTTTCGATGGGGCCCTGAACCCTTCTCGTATCTTAACCGCGCCAGTCCTGCACATGCTGGGCGGTGCAGAACAGCGAAGTAGGATGGGGGGGGGGGGGGCAAGTGGACTGCAAACTGCTTTCGGACACTTGAACCACTTGCACCACTTGCTCCACTTTTCTGGTCCAACTGGTCCTGCCTTAGCCGCATCATCATCCACGCCCCCTTGCCCGTCCCTGCTTTGCGTCGGAAGTCGCTCCTGGCATCCCATTGATTGACATTCTGAACTTAGCAAAAGGTTGAATTTGAAAGGTTTCAGGAAGACCTTCTATGCAAGGTTTGATGTCCCGCCTTCGGTTTTGGAACTCCTTGAAAACATGAAGAGCTCACAAAGACAAACTACGCATACAAGTCTGGGCGAAAATCATGTCCCTCCGGGCCCGCGGTGTTGAGATCCCCTTGGAAGAACAAAGGCTCACTAAGAATCGACACAAACAAGTTTTGCCAGGGAAAAGCTACCAGCACGCACTAGGAACTGTGGAGTGAGCATGGTTCGCGACGCGGATCATCGGAGCGCGGCAGGTTGCGAGGAGACAGTTAGCAGCGTTGGGAAATTTTATGAAACCTTGCAGCCCGGGTTCTAGCTCCAATCGAAGCTTCAAAGCACTGCGGGAGACCGGCAACAAGAAGCTTAATATCCTCGATCCCTAAAAACCCCTATCGAAGTGTACTTCGCCCTAACCCTGAGATCGGGGGATCGCAGCAACAACCCCCTCGAACCACAGCGCACTGCAGCTTCAGCGCATCAACTTTGAAGCGTCCCACTACGCCTGGTCAAATCTCACAAATATTTACCAACCCCCCCTTAGCTACTAGGATCCCCAACTCATTCCCCAAAGGAGCGCCGTCTTGTGCTTCGCAAGGCACCTCGGCCTCGCGGTCGAGTTCCTCCTGGAAAACCCATCAAAAAAACTTATTCCCAATCAAAACAAAACTTTCCTTGGTAGTTTACAAGAGGTTTTGAGTCTCTTGGACGACACCTGACCCATCAAAAAAAAACTTTCTCTCCATCAAAAAAACTTACCGCATTCGACGCAAAGATATGTATATTTTAGTGTGCATGTGTGTATATATATATATGTATATATGTCTTGGGTGGCAAAACAGACACTCCTTTCTGCACGGCTTAAAAAAAGCGGGGGAGTTGGGGGGGGGCGCAGCCCCCCCCAGTTGCAAACACAATGCTCACACGATGTTTTTCAACTAGTTTCTTGGGCTTTGAAGCACGCTTGGTACGGCTTACGCAGCCCCCCCCCCCCATTTGCAAACACCCTGCTCACATGATGGGTGTCAACAAGTTTCTTGGGCTTTGAAGCACGCTCTGCACGGCTTAAAAAAAGCGGGGGGGTTGGGGGGGGGGCGCAGCCCCCCCCATTTGCAAACACAATGCTCACACGATGTTTTTCAACTAGTTTCTTGGGCTTTGAAGCACGCTTGGTACGGCTTAAAAAAAGCGGGGGGGGTTGGGGGGGGCGCAGCCCCAGCCCCATTTGCAAACACCCTGCCCACATGATGGGTGTCAACAAGTTTCTTGGGCTTTGAAGCACGCTCTGCACGGCTCAAAAAAAGCGGGGGGGTTGGGGGGCAGCCCCCCCCCCATTTGCAAACACAATGCTCACACGATGTTTTTCAACTAGTTTCTTGGGCTTTGAAGCATGCTTGGTGCGGCTTAAAAGAAGCGTGGGGGGGTCACGCTCTGCACGGCTCAAAAAAAAGAGGCGGTGGGGTTTGGGGGGGCGCAGCCCCCCCCCCCACTTGCAAACACAATGTTTTTTCAACTAGTTTCTTGGGCTTTGAAGCACGCTTGGTTAGGGTTTAGGGTTTAGGGTTTAGGGTTTAGGGTTCAGGGTTCAGGGTTCAGGGTTCAGGGTTCAGGGTTCAGGGTTCAGGGTTCAGGGTTCAGGGTTCAGGGTTCAGCATCTCAAGTCCGAGCATTCACTAGTCAAGCAGCTTGTCAAGCGTTGGAAAGAAATCCCACCCACCCAAGAAACCCATAACATTGAGAAAATATAAAGTTCACTCAATACTTTCCCGGTAGGCTTAAAGCTCAAAGTCCAATTGGTCCAAAATTTTTTCACGGACCCAAAACCCGAAATCTAATCTAAGGCCCACAATAAGCCCTTTATGCTCTTAAGGCCCTAAACCCTACGGTTTAGAAGCCCCTGTCGGTGAAGTCACAAAATCCACAAATGCCAACGCCCTCCCAACAAAAACCCAGGCTCGACTCCTGCAGTCGCCGGCGCTCCGCCGGGCCCGGCTTTCCATCTGCCTACAAAGATCTCAGAAAGCTGGTTGGAGCGCTTTGGTAGTTTATGAGGTCTCCTTTGCGGATGTTGAACCACAACCCGAAACCCCAAGCCCTGTGCCCTAAACCCCAAACCCTAAACCCTTTGGGTTTGTTTCCTTCTTCCCAGGAGGCCTTCGCAGCCTCCCGCGCAGCCTCCTGCGCAGCCTCGTGCGCAGCCTGGAGAGCGGACTCCTTTCGCGCGGAACGTTGGCAGCGATTTGGGGGGGTTCCGAGATTTGGGGTCCTTATTCTCGTAAACCGCCCACATTTGCTAAGGTGAAGGGAAAGCCGGTGAAGAGGTGTCCGGTTCCCCCCCAAGTTCCCCCCCATCTGCCTGGGCCATTTTCTGGGGGCCCTTTGGAAGGGTTTGGTGGCCTGTCTCATATTGTCTCATGCTCTTAGCCGAGCACAGAACATGAGAAAAAAGAGCTTATCTTGAACCTTTGTTATCTTTCTTACAACGCTAGGCGAGTTTGGTTCAAAACAGTGTGCTGCGCTGCCTTTTCTTTTTCCCCGTGGTTTGCAGGAAACTGGAGCTCACACCGCAGGTGCCCTAAACCCTAAACCCTAAACCCTAAACCGTAAACCCTAAGCCCGATCTTTGTGACCATTTCTTCAGCTGGGCGCCCCGTAGCCAGCCAGAACCATCAGTGCAGGGGCCCCGAAAAAAGGGAAAGAAACCGAAGATGACGCGGGGGTGTCATAGCAGGGGGCCAGCAGCTCAACAGCGCGCAAACAGCAACACCCCGAACCCCACAAAATCCACAAACGCCAAAGCCCTCCCAACAACAAAAACCCAGGCTCGACTCCTGAAGCCGCGGCCGCCGGACGAAGGGAGCCACCTTCGTAGGAGTTTCAGATGTCTTTGAGACCTGTGCAGTTTCGTGCCCCCTCTCCGTCACATCACCCCGCGCGCCGACGTACAGGCGGAGTCACAAAGATCGAGGACATGTTTCGCTGAGCGGGCAAACACTGTGCGACCTTCTGCTAGCCTTTGCATCCACGGAAAGTAGAAAAGCACGACAACATGCACTCTTCAAACGCAATCGCGGTGAGGCAGCAACAGCTGCTGGCTGCAGTGCTACATTACTGTTTTCTTGTATGGGACGTCTTCAGCTGCACTAAACGCACCCGTCATGGCCAACCTGATAGTGTTCCGAGGTTGGGCAACCTTTGCTTTCAGGTTTCAAAGGTCCCTTTGCATACACCCTCTAGGCTCTATGCATACACCCTCTAGGCTCTATAGGGTGCTCCTTCGTTCCCATTCCGGGTATTCAGGGGATGCAGACATGGGCGGAGGATGCGGACTGCAGGAAAGTTGCGAATACTGTGGCCTTGACTCTTTCCGAGCAGGACTTCCGCGGTCTTGTGGAGGCGTCCAGCCGGGAAGTGGGGTTGCCGCAAGTGCGTATGGCAACGCGAAAAACTTTAAGCATCTGCTTAGAAGGTCTCAGAAAGCAGGCGGGGATTGGGGGTCATGTTGAATCTGCTGCCGGCCTTCAATGTGCTTTCTCACAGTCCTCAAAAGGATTCTATAATTGTACCCCCCCATTTATTGAATCCCGATGAAGGACTGCTAGTAAAACAGGGAACATCCCAAGGCATGGACATAATGGGCGACTCATGCTTGCGGATCTTTCTTTGTGCCCTGTCCGCAGGAAGCTCTAGAGCTTCTGCAGCAGCAAGCCGCGATGAAACTGAATACGTTTAACACATACCTGCGGCAACAGAGAATCGCCGAATGTCGCAGAAAGCTCAGGCCCCGCTACACAGGCGAGCAGGCACAAACAATTGTGCGCGCAGGGTACGCAGACATGCATGGACCTCTCCGGATTTGTGGATGAGCCTGACGGGGAAGAGGGGTTTCTACAACTCGATGGCCTTTGAAACAGTTGCAGGGGTGCGACGAACTTTCTGTCGGCCACGCGAACTCCCGCGAAGCCCCAGAACTGCCAACGGATCCCACCGAAGTCGTTGCGCCAAGCGGGGCACCTGGATCTGGCTCTCGATCTCGTCGAGCCACAGCAGCATCTTCGCTGCCTCGCGAAGTCTCTTCAGGGGGCCCGGGGTTTGGAGATGATCCCGTGTTTGAGAGCCTTATAGGCTTGTTCAGGGTTTGGTTTGGGATTGTTTGGGCACACAGGGTGTTTCGGCCAAGGCCAGATCCTTGAGGCGGCGTGTCGGCATAATTCGTCGAAGTTGTTCGCTTGCCCATAAACACAGAATTATATACCTACGTACGTTCATACATACATACATCCATGCATGCATGCATACATACATACATGCATAAAATGTGTTTCTAAATGAATACATATATATATGTATATGTATACACATACAGATACATACATGCCCGTATACCTATACCATATACATATGTACATACACGCATATACATGTATTTAAACATCTCGAAATTGTAGCCCTTTCGATGGGGCCCTGAACCCTTCTCGTAATGTTGCACCCGCAATATTCTAGGGGGCCGCTATTATGAAAAGTTTTTCGGCTATTGAGGATCTGGACCCTTTGTTTTGGAGGTCCGCTATAATGAAAAGTTTTCGGGCCGTGACTGTTTTTTTGAGGGTGTCAGGAAGGCATAAGCTTCTCGAGAAGGAGAGATACTTGAAGCCTGAAGCCTCGACCTGTCCAGGATCTCCGACAATCTTCTTTTTTCAGGGCGCCTTTTCTTTATAAATTCCTTACTTAAAACTAGATGATTCCATAGGCGAATCATATCCGGAAAAGGGGTACCTTACGGAGGCCTCCGGACACACTTTAATACCTTTGTTTGGGGGCCCGCTATGATGCAAGTCTCCCGGGGCCAGGGGCTCAGTCCTTCGGTTTTCAGGAAGGCATAAGCTTTCTCGAGAAGGAGGGATACTTGAAGCCTGAAGCCTCGACCTGTCCAGGATCTCCGACAATCTTCTTTTTTCAGGGCGCCTTTTCTTGATAAATTCCTTACTTAAAACTAGATGATTCCATAGGCGAATCATATCCGGAAAGGGGGTACCTTACGGAGGCCTCCGGACACACTTTAATACCTTTGTTTGGGGGCCTGCTATAATGCAAGTCTCCCGGGGCCCAGTGCTCAGTCCTTCGGTTTTCAGGAAGGCATAAGCTTTTCTCGAGAAGAAGGGATACTTGAAGCCTGAAGCCTCGACCTTTCCAGGGTCGGGGGGTAGCTTAGGGAGGCCTCCGGGCTCCGGACCCCTCCCCTGCCTGGGATGGGGTAGAAACACAAGAAAGAAAAGGCCCGCGCAGTAGCTACAGAAACGGCCGAGTAACTAGGGGACCCTGACCCATAAAGACATATATGGTTGATGATAAGGGTTAGGAACGGTGTTTGGGGCAGAGGGAGTAAGGAAACAAGCGCATAGCCCGCATAGCACACGAAAACGCACCCAGTCCGATTGAATCCACTTCCCACAAATTGGGACCACAGAGAGCCCCAACCCAGAGAAGTTCTTAGTGAGGAGATGTTAGGAGCTTGTGCCAAAGGTGGGCGAGAGTTTAAGTGCGCACTCAAAGCGAGGCCTCCTTTGCCGATGTTACCGATGTTGAATCAGTCTCCTCATCGTCTAGCTCCTGCAAAAACTGGAGCTCTCAGATCTCTCCGTATGCATGTCTCCGGCATTTTGCTACGGCCAGCCTAGAGAGGCCCAGAGCAAATCAGCACGTACTGATACTGGGTTTTTCCCATCGACTATAGACATGATCTTCCCTTGATTTCGATTGGAGCATCCTCAATCCTGCCATTGACATTCAAACCAAAAACATCGCTTTGCACCATCTCCCACCAGTCCTCTGTGATTGGAGAAGTTGGCGATGACCCCCAGCTGGATGGCGACGGATCCCCACAACTGAGTCCGCCTCAGGGCTGCAAGAGCGGTGGGGCACGGAAGAGTAGCACGATTGCGGCTGTCTGCCCAAAACCCGCGGTCACACATGCTGATGAGGAGCCGGTGGTCATCGGGGTTTGTCCTGCACCATCTTCCAGTGCTTTCGAAGATGGCGACGTCTTGACCTGGTCATGGGTCAGGCATGTGACTTACCATTTCGCGCTCCTACCCACCTACCGCTGAACTCTGTGCTCTTTCCCAGTTCACATATCAATCTGGAAATCCCTGGCCTCCTTCTGGCGCGTTGGCACAGAGCAAATCCTGTGGCCACGCCGTACATACGAAGGAACGGGTGCTCAAGAACGGGGAGGAGAAGTTGTAAACTCTTTCGAGCTGCGCGGGGGGATCTAATGAGAAACTAAAACGTGCTGCTCCTCGTTTGCAGCAACTTTATCCTTGCAGCATGTGCAGTGCTTAAGCCATTGTACGCAAGCTATTTTGGTCATGTTCTTCGCTTGTTTCACGGTCCCGTTAGGCATCAACCTATGCGCCCCGTGTTTTGTATTTTATTGCGTATCAGGGATCAGAATGGCCCCAAATGAGAAGCAAAACCCGTGATGCATGGAGCACCTTCGCAGCGAGTGAAGCAGGACGAAGCTAGTTTAGACGACGAGCCGTGTCGCGTCGTACATGCAAATGAGGCGATCACTCAAAGGCCCTGAGTACTTCTGACTGCTCGTGTTGCAGAGGGGGGGGAGGGGGTTTCCTCCATTCAGAACAGCAAAGACGTGTCCCAGCTGAAGATGGAGAGGCCATTGTGTCGGCATTGCAAGCATCAGCATCCCGCAGACCCCCAAAAGCCTCAGAACCCCTTCCGCCATGAAGCCCAAAACCCACAACCCGGCCTGCAGAACGCAAGCCAGTCGAGGCAAGATGCCATGGCACCGAAAGTGGGGGCTGTTAGCATTGTCACAGCCCACCACAAATTCTGTTCTTTTGGAGGCGGTTGGGGTTTCTGCCGGAGATTCTAGGGCTTCTTGATGCTTCTTGATGCTTCGAGGGTCTAGGACCTCGCAGGGCTCAGGAATGGCTGGGGAATTGAGGGTTTCGCCTTTGCAACCTCTCTCTCAAAATCCAGCCGGGCACCTGCTGCATCCCTGACATGGCCTAAAGCTTCCTGGCCTAGAGCTCAAAGCTGCTAACAAGCTGCTAAAAAGCTGCTAAAAAGCTGCTAAAAAGCTGCTCAGACTTGGTTCTCCGCAATCCGACGCCTTTGAGCCGGAGTCACGCTGCGAAGACTCGGGTGGATTCCGAAGTTGGGGCTTGTTGCTTGAAAAAAGCCTCTGCGCTGAAGGTCAGTACAACTGCACCGCAGATCTCTCAGAAGCAAGGGCCGGAGATTTCATTGTCAGCAGCGGAAAATGCGGAACACAAAGCTTCGGCAGTTCCGGCGGGGTTGATAGGTCCCAGGACTTGAAGGGGGTGCCAGGGGTGTCAAGCCGGATGTTGGGCGTAGAAAAGAACGCGTTCCCTATGCGCACACAAGCATGCTCAAGCATGTCCGCCCGGGCTTTGGAATCATGTCAGCAGCTGCACTGCACTAAAGCTCCCATACATGTCTAGACGGATGTGGAGGTGACCGACTGCATGGAGTTCCCTGGAACAACTGCGCCACTTCGGTTCTAAAGCTCAGACCCTTAACATCCTCAAAGCATTGTGCTTTCTGTTTTCAGCTCTTTGCACCAGCTGCTATGAAAGCCATTGTGCCTTGGCGTGGGCCAGACAAAAATCTCAAGGGACCCGTCTCTTGCATTGACACCCGATGCAAAACAGCGAGAGCCTCCATAGCTACAAAATGCTGCAAGCCTACGAGTCCCAGATCTCAAGGTCTAGAGTAGTCAGACCTGTCATGGAGGGCACCAGCCCTCCGAAAATGAACTACGCACTACCCTAAGCTCGAAGACCTACATCACCACCTCACGCCTAGCGCCTGTAAACCCAAACCCTGGTAAACGTCAAACCCCAAGAAAAAGAAAAAGGCTTTGGAGCGCAGGCCAGGGACCCGGCCACCCGCTGGCAAGTCAGGACGCCTTCGGAAGGGCTCATCGAGGTGGCCATAGGCATCCTGGTCAGGCTTTTGTTTCAGTTTGGGAGTTGGGATGTTCCCCCCCTTACACTAACAGCCCTTATTGGGATTAGATCCCCTAATTATAGTCCCGATTAAGGACCGTTGGTATAGCCTGGAACATCCCCACCTGGGAGTTTGGCGTTTGAGCTAGATAGGCGTCCTCATTTGCAGGCTTGCGGGGCCGAGGGTTCATAAAGCGTATGTGAAGGTTCCGGCTTTGTTGCGCCCCTTTTCATCGCGCCTGGCCTTGCCTCGCTAACGAACACCTCGGCTCAACCAGCTGGCAGGAACCCTTAAACCCTACAAACCCTAAACCCAAAATCCTAAATCCCAACCCCAAATCCAAAACCCTACAAACCCTAAGGCCTCTGCCCCAAAGCCCAACAAAAGTGTTGGACACACATGGCCCAACAAACCCTAAACCCTCAGATCCCTGAACCCCTCCCCTAAACCCCCCAAACTGCCCGCCTTGAACCAGTCCTCATCTGAGAAGAAGAACGCGCCCAGCTTGCGCAGGTGCCCTGGAGGTTGGTGGAGCTTCCAGGGTCTTAAGGGTTTCGGGGCTTCCCGGGTTCAGGCTTAGGATGCTTTAGATGCTTTAGATGGTTGAGTCCAGGCGTTGAGGGGTTGGAGTGGGTTGGTGCGACTCGCGTCGCGCGGCTGCAGACGTCCCTCAACAAAGAGAAAAAAACAGAGCAGGAAAAACATGTTCTTCAGCTCTTTGCCACCCTTCTCAACTTGTGGCAGATCCACGCTTGTAAGGCTCCATGTCGTGCATGGCGACGAAGGCCACCTGTCAGCGCAGGGCTTTGGGGCGAAGAGCAGCAGCGGAGGCTTACGTGAAGGTTCATGTCAGTGCTTCTGAGTTAGGGTCTACAAGGGTTCAGGGGTACTTATAAGCAGGGGTATAAGTGGGCCAACTATCGTTTTCTTCTAACCGCTTACAACCCCAAGTAGGAGTACTTGTGGCCTTTTTGGGGCCGGGGAAATGGTCTTTACTTCGGGAGGCCCGGCCGAAAGTTGGAACATGCGACAAGGTTTCGGGGACAGGGCTTCTGCTCGTCAATTTAGAGCCTAGGGCGAAGGGTTTAGGGTTTGGGGTTTCGGGTTCAGGGTTTAGGGTACGAAAAAACACAAAGCCCTAAAACCCCTGCCTGTGGCAACTTGACCAGGCTCAGGGCCAGGTGAATGGCCAGCTCCCCCTTGGGCCCATCGATGAAAACCTCGGGCTGTATAGGGTCCCCTAATCGGTCTAATAAGGGACGCCTAGAACACTACGTAGAATCTCAAACCCTAGACCCTACTTGGAGGTTCATGGTACTTATTAACCAAATATAACTGTACTTACAACTGTACTTATACGGACATCGACCCTGAGCCCTAAACCCTAAACGCTGTACACCCTAAACCCTGTAAACCCTAAACCCTAAACCCTAAACCGGCTCTTGGGGCTCTTGGGGCAGTTCGTGGCCCCGGCTGCCGCGCGGCGGCCTGGGCGGCTCAGGAGCTCGGGCCTTGCGTCTGCACGCTTAGGGGTTTAGGGGGTTTAAGGGTTGGTGGGGTTTATAGGGTTTAGGGGCTTTAGGTTTACAGGGTTTAGGGGTTTGAGGATCTAGGGACGGTCTAGGGTCTAGGGTTTAGGGCTTAGGAGTTTGGTGGTGTTGGGATGTTGGCGGGTGTGGGGTTTCGGAGGGACCCCAAGAAAGGGCCTTAGTCCTAGTACCCAAGACAAGGCTTTTCTACACGCCGTACTTTTTCCCCAATACATAAATTCATACATAACTACACACACCTACACATACACCTCTTTATCTATACATATATATATATATACTTTTTTAATACTCATACTGTATAAAGTTCCCGAAGAACCTAAAGTCCTAGAAGCTCACTGTTCCATGCAGAGGGTGTTGGGGCGTGATGGGCACAACGGGACTCCCGGGGTCTCGTCATGTCTCATCATGCCACGCAGGCTGATCGAATGGGGGCCTTAACCCTAAACCCTAAACCCTCAACCGGGCCTTTGGGGCGCCTGCGCTTTTTTTGAGGTCGGGTTTAGGGTTGAGGGTTTAGGGGTTTAGGGGTTTAGGGGTTTAGGGGTTTAGGGGTTTAGGGGTTTAGGGAACCAGTCTAAGGTCAAGGCAGCAGCTGGCGGCCATCTCCTGCAGGAGCACTTTAGAGCGAGCCAGGCATGATGACATGGGATGGTTTAGATGGTCTAGGGCTGACTTACAGTTCAGGGTTTAGGGATGTTTAGGGTTTAGGGGTTCACCCTACTTGGAGGTTCCTACGTACTTCTAAGTAGGGACACAAGTGGGGCAACCATGGCCATAACCTTCTCTTAGGGTACTTATAACTTACCTATTAAGTGCCCATGAACCTTCCAGCAGACACCCCAAAAAGGTACCCTTATCTCGGAAACGTGCAAAGTCTTCTTTTGCTCTTCGGCAATTCAACGGAAAGTCTGTCAGTGCTGAGTGCTCCTAAACTATGTATGTGAACCTCAGATGTGGTTCAGCGTCCGTGGAGTGTTCCCACAAGCACCCTTTGGGTACGCTCGCACGGCAGGGCATGAATGCGCCTGCTGTCAAGCCTTCTTTCTACCAGCTGAAAGCTACCGCAACTACTGTCTGCACGGCACAAAGGCAGGATCAGGGCAACGACCACACGTGGCAAGGCACCATAGTCGAAGGTCAGCAGCGGCAGTTCACAAAATTATCATTGGCGCACGATCACCGATTGGCCGTATCGGCGCAAGGGTCTCTGCCTAACGTCCACCCGAGAGAGAAGAAGCTGGAACGGCCCAGGACAATGGCAACTCTGGTAGTCTTCGGCAAGAGCTGAAGCCGGTTGGCATCAAGATCTTTCCCGGCTGGTGAATCCATGTTGTCTTCCTTGCCGATGTTGTTGCACAGGAGCTTGTCAACGGCCCTTCCTCGCCCAAAACATAAGTCGCATGCAAGGACTGCGCCCATCAGCGGTGGATCGGCTATGGAAAAGTTCAGAGACGCATCGGATTCATGAAGGCTTGAGGCTCGTAGCAGCAAAGGAATAAAGAGCAGCTTGCGGGCTAGAACCATATCTGGGGGAAGGTGTACATACAATTGAGGAACTATAGTTGATCTTAAAAGAACTTCTTTTTTCTTGTGGGCCAGTGGGGGCAGGGGTTAGGGGGGGGGGGGGGGGGGGTGGCTCGTCTGATCAGGGCTACAGCTTGTTGGGATACACAAGAAAATGCCCGCTATTCTGCTCGCTCATCTGATCAAGTCTCAAAATGATGTCTGTCAAACAGAACTACTTGGAGGTTCATGAGCACTTCTGAGTTGGATTTGAAGTATGCCAAACATGGTATGTAGTTGTAACCAAATATACAACTACTCATAAGTATCCATGAACCTCCAGGCCAGCAGGCAAGACTCCAATGCTGGCCTGTATGGAGCTCCACATTGCTTCTTCGCTGAAGTCGCTCTTCAGCCTTCCGTGCCGCGTTGAAGGTGCGCGGACAACCGATTTGTCTAATCGTAGATACGTGTGACCACAGCTACACCTCGCAACAATCATCCACAACCCAAAGAGATGCCTAGATGAGCAAGATACAAAGGCAACCTATCATCTACCAACCGAGCCCTCTAGTCGAAAAGCTACACCGTCCCTTTTGAAACCCTTCACTGGTGTGTTTTTCGCGATGCCTCATTTGGAAAGCAGATGCAGGACAGGGCATCAAATCCGCGCCTCCGGCGTTAGGAAGATGTCAACAGCGGCCACCTCCTCACAGAGATCACAAAGAGCCCGATACCCCTCAGGTACACCCCTTATTCATTAAGGGAGCATGGTGCTCTCTGGGTTGCAGGAGTTTCCCGTAGGAGTAGAGGAGTAGCAGGCAGCCTACACACCTCTGTGAAGAGCATGGAACCCTCATTGCGGAGCTTCGCACCTTCGCGAAAAGACTCCAAATCTCAGTGGAAACCTGCCCAGACAAGCAGACTGCCCGGCACGCAGCCAAGGGCAAAGGAGCTACTTAATGCGTGCTTGCGTGCGCAAGATGATTGAGGTCTGCACACCTTTGTACACACCGGACTCCGCAATGAAGTCGACCTGGCAAGCGGTTGCCGCAAGTTCGGGGCCGTGAGGATGCAGCTACAGGGTGGGGCCCCCTAGTTATAAGTAGAGTTATAAGGGCCCTAAATTGGGTCATAAGGACCCTAAGTTAGGTTATAAGTCCCTTAACTACAGTTAGTATAGTAAGGGGGCCCCACCCTGTAGGGGTTGAGGAAAGGTTGATCACAGAATCCCACCTAAATCCTACACCCTGAACCCCAAACCCTAACCCTGAACCCCAAATCCAACCAGGAACCCAAAATGTCGCAGGTCGCCACCTGATGCAGATGGCAGAAAGCCAGGAAGGCAAAGGCCTGTTGCAGGTGAAGGGCTTAAAGGTTCAGGGGTTTCGGGGTTTAGGGTTTAGGGTTTAGGGTTTAGGGTTAGGGGTTTAGGGTTTAGGGTTAGGGGTTTAGGAGTTGCAGGTGAAGGGCTCCAAGGTTCAGGGGGGTTCGGGGGGGTTTGAGGTTTAGGGTTCAGGGTTTAGGGGTTTAGGGGTTTATGGGACTAGGGTGTTTAGGAGTTTAGGAGTTCAGGGTTTCGGGGGTTTGGGGGGTTTAGGGGCTTGAGGGGCTTGGGAGGTTTAGGGGGTTTAGGGTTCAGGGTTCAGGGTTCGGGGTTGAGTTTAGGAGTTTAGGGTTTCGGGTTTTGGGTTGCGGGCTTAGAGTTTAGGGCGGGATTGACTTAAGGCGCGGGTCTTTGACTTTGGTCTAGGGGCTCTGCAGTAGGGCTTTAAGAGGCTCAGGGTTTTTGGGGAGGGGGACGTCCTGAACACTAAGCCCTATAGACCCTAAACACTAAACCCTGCAATCCCCCTAAGCCATCTTCAGCTTTCCTTTCAGGAGACTTCGTTCCCGCCTCCGAGTAGAGAACCGTGTTTTCGGTGATGCTCAGGTCATATACCTGGAAAGCCAGACATTGCAGAAGCGCCCCTTGTTGGGCTCAGGGCCTTGGATCTGTGACAGCTTAACCCTAAACCCTAAACCCTCATGGACTTTTGCCCGTCTTGCAGTGGCTCCCCGCTCCGGAACCAAGTCGTATAGAGCTTTGTCTATCTCAGGGGGCGAGATTTCTCGAGCGCTGCTAAGCTGACCTCTCTGCCTGGAGGGCATCCCCTAAACCCTAAACCCTAAACCCTAAACCCTAAACCCTAAACCCTAAACCCTAAACCCTAAACCCCGAGAGATTCGAACACCTTCTGGGCAGCGTGATGGCCACTCAGCCAGGCGCCCTCCACTCGCCCGTTGTAACACCTGACAGGCTTTCTGAAATCCGGGCCCTCTGGTTTTGGATTCCATAGTACACTAAGCCCTAACCACCATAAAACCCTAGTTTTTTCCCTAAACTTTTGGTTCAGACGACCACGAAACTTTTGTTAAGGTTCAGACAACCACGAAGCTTACTTTTTTGGGATCATGCCCCCCCCCCCCCCCCCCCCCCCCCCGGCCCCCTTTCGCACGGGCCCCCCACCAATCTCCGGCCAAAGCCAGGCGCTTCGTCGCGTCCCAGGCATGTCCCTCGGGAAGCTTGTAGTCCATGTCGCCATAGGCCCATGTCAGGGCCTGTCCACTTCCCGAGCTCCCTACTAGGGGAATGGGTAACCCCCTGAAAAGGGCTATTTATTTAGGGTGATGGAATTAAGGTACCTGATTCCCTGATTCCCTGACTCAGATTCAAGTTCGCGTTGGCTGAGGATCGAACCTTCTGGTGCTGCACTGGAGGTAGCTCTTTTCCAAGGATTCGGCTCAGCTCGCGGAGAAGCACAGCGCACACCTTCACGGGGCTTCTTTACGGGTTTAGGGTTTATAGGGTTTATAAGGTTTGCAGGGTTTACAGGCTTTTTGCCTGGTTTACAGGGTTTACAGGTTTTATAGGGTTTAGGGCTTATGAGGGTACAGTGCGTCAAAGAGCCAGGCTGCCCTTTCTTGGTGGGGGAGGGGGGGGGTTTTGGCAAAGGCGAAGGCACCTCTGCCTCTGGCATGGCATCCTTGATGCATTGAGCTGCCCACTCGGTCGAGGTCTGCGCCACCCACGCCTCGACCTGAACTGGGTACGCCAAGGCGGTTTAGGGTTGCTAGACCGGAGGTTCCACTCGGGCAGACGACAACGAACCCGGCCTTCGCGCCGTCTTGCGTGGCACGCGAAGAGTCATTCAACACAAGAGAGATCGGAGAGTCTTTGACCTCGGCAGGTCCGGCATGCAATAGTTATAGGAAGCCCAGAGCACATAAATCCCAACCAACGGGGCCCAAACTGCCGTTGATTGTCATCAACAGATTTGTTTTAGAAAAAGATTGTTGCATCTAGGGCCGAGAGGCGAAAGCTATCCTGAAGGGAAGCTCCAGCGGTGCCGCAAAGACCCAAGCCTGGGCTAGCAGAGATTTGCAGGCGCGGCCAGAGGGGTTCAGGGTTCAAGGGGCCTTTGGGGCTTTAAGAGGGGTTTGATGTAATTAGGGTTTCATGGTTTAGGTCTTTTGGAGCTTTACAAGAGTTTTAAACAGGGACTTCAAAAGTGGCTCAGGGACTTAGGGTTTAAGGGTTTAAGGGTGGGCTCGGGCCCACATCTCCAGGCGAGCATCGGCCGCGACCCGCGCCTGGCCGGGCCACGAACAGACTTGCATCTTGTGAGCATCACTGGTTGCCGCAGCACCCTAAACCTAGACCTTAAACCCCTTAATAGGCCTAAAGGACAACACGAAGTGGAGTTTAAGCTTCATTGGGTCTGGCTCACGCTGCCCCCGCGATGCAGACTTGGCATCCGAGCCTTCTCAAAGTCCTTCTCCAGCAGGTCAGTCGGCAGCATCCCCTCGACTGTCCCCGCCTGTACCAAGAAAAGTTCGGCACAAGTTTGCTGCACATGGGAGTTGATCTAAAGGATGGTCAGATGATGGTCACTTTTCTAGTACAGTTTAACGGCACATTCCTCCAGAATGGTTCAGCATCAACCCCCAACATGTTCCATCGTGGCCCCCGCCCCGCCGGAAGCAGCGATCGCAGCGGAGCCAATGGCAGTGCCAAGATCAGTGCCGAAACCGGGTCGCTGCCTGCAGAGTGGCGTAGGCAAACCAAGCACCTTCCTCGCAACAACCAGCCCCTTCAGCCCCGTAAACCCTAAACACGAAACACTAAACCCTAAGCCTATCCTGATTTCCTGGTCGGTCAATGCAAGACCCTACTTGAGCTGGGAAAAATACTGGCCAAGCTTCCGTTCAGCAGCCACGTCTCCTGGGCTCTGGGTCGTAGCAGTCGTAGCACTTGAGAGTTGTCATTTGTTGCTCTGCAATGCGAGTACACGACCCTGCAACTGAGTGAAAGGGAGGGAGGGAGGCGGGGAGGGAAGTAGGGAACAGAGAGAGAGAGAGAGGGGGGGAGTGAGCGAAAGCCTGTGAGTCAATGTCCGCCCTTACCAGCCATTTGCTCCTCGTGTGTTCCTGTGCTTGGCTCCCTGCGGCCAAGCCCAGTCAGGACACTATTTTCATGAGTAGCGGCTCTCTCTCAGCCCTCAGAGGTGGCTCGCGGCGCTGCCATCAGTTGATATATCATGGCATGCTTCAGAATTCAGCATGATCTAACATAAGTCGCGGACAAGGGTCCCCTTCCCAGCTGACTGACGCGACTTCACCGCAGCGAGTGATGTGCTCGAAGTCCTCACGGGCGGCCCAAATCTCATGAGCAGCAAACTCCTAAATGCCCGTGATTTTTCATTAGAAGCATTAAGTTACTCCTTTCTACGTTACCTGAAACAGGCCATGCTCAATCTCGCTTGTGTGATAGACACATCCCCAAGCCCCAAGCGTAACCCCAATTCCTTCAGAAGTCCTTGGCGGAGAGCTCCACCAAGCTGCCCATGTTCGGCCGGCCCACATGCCAGCGGTCTGTGGGGGCTTTGTACTCCGGCTTCTCGCTGAAGTCTCCCGGAGCTGCCTTAAGGACAGGCAGGTGGGTTGAAGGGGGCTTTAGGGTTTTGGGGTGTCGTAGGGTTATGTGGGGTATGTGGGGTTATTTGAGGGTTGTTTTTGGGCTATGTTAGGGTTTTGTAGGGCTTTTGGAGTGGAACGAATGTCCGGCTTGCTGCTCCGCACCCCAAGGGTTTGGCTGGGCGTGCCTTTGAATATGTGCCGTACGGGCGTCAACGAAACATAAGAGGATTTGTGGTGACGAATAAGCGGAGCTCGGCAATTTCGTGTTGTCAGCGCGATCGAGAAACCTGCACAAAACGTGGTGATGGTAAGCAGGGCCAGCTGTTCATACTCACCTGGGCCTCAATAGAAGGTGGGCCCTGCCAACTGCTCAAAAAATGTCCACAGCTTCGCCCCTAAACCTCCGGAAGTCCTTGAAAATCGCAGAGGTGTGGGAGAGGGCCAACTTGCTCTAGACTCTAAACTGCCACGTGCATGTTTGATTGGCGAAATGCCCCGCAATCTTCCCTCAGCTCCCCTGGAAACCCTCAACCCTGAACCCTAAACCCTACACACTAAACTTCAAATCTTTGAAGGGTCGAGGCAAGAGCTGGAAGCGCCAACTGCGACCCGAACCTAAACCCTAAACCCTAAACCCTAAACCCTAAGCCCTAAACCCTAAACCCTAAACCCTAAGCCGCGGTCGTGAGCAAGCAGTCCAAGCAGCTATGAAATGCGGGGTGCCCACCATCCACTCCGAGGCGAGGCCGAGCTCCTCGCACTTCGCCATCTCCGCCTTGCTTCGGGTTTAGGGTTTAGGGGTTTAGGGTTTAGGGGTTTAGGGTTTAGGGTTTAGGGTTGGGGTTTGGGTGTCAATTAAAAGGGTTTAGGATTTAGGGTCTAATTTGGGTTTAGGTGAAGAGTAAGGGGGGCATAAAGTCAGAAAGCATCCCTTTCTAAGCATGGTGAGAGAGAGATGCAAGCTTAGAACATGCCTTTTGTGATTTTCCATGATTCCCCCGCACTCTCACTGCCTCCTAGCCAAAACCAGAAGATGGCGATCCTCGACGTGGATGCCCCTCTTCGAATGGCTGCCCTCGATGCCCTAAGCCCTAAACCCCAAATGAATGCCCTAACCTAGGGGCCTGAATATTGGAAGAAGGGTTTGGGGGTTATAGTACAATTACAAGGGGGCCATTAGGGAACGTTATTAGTCAAAATTCCGACCCCTTTTTTTGCACCTTAACAACCCTCCAACTTCCTCCTCCTGGCCTTGAACAAGGGGTCCTTGGCCTTAACGTACGTGGTGCCGAGCCCAAGCCACTGCTCCCCCAGCTGCACGGCACCCAGGCGTCCTCCCAGGGCGGCCTCCTTCTCGTAGAGCCGCACCGCCACTCCTGGGTCAAGGCCAGCCCCTGCCGAGCTGCGAAAGCCCCCCCAAAATCACGGTTCAGGGTTTTCCAGGCCATGAGTGTAGCCCTATTTTGTGGGCAGATAGGACATACTATTATTAGTGCTATTTTGTTATTGTTACTATTATTGTTATTTACAGTACCCCCTAAACCCAAAACCCTGGCTCTTGGGGCCCTTGTCCTTTGCCGCTGAGAGCCCGGGCAGCAGTGACACCAGCCATGCCACCGCCGACGATTCCAACGACGCCCGCAGACTTTGATGCCATGGCGGCTCGTGCAAGTGGTAAAGGCAACTACACACGTAGACGAGGCATCAGATTTCGAACGGAGGCTAGCTTAGTGGTGACTACAGTGCGATGCCTTGAAGCTGTACACTCGGGTGCGTTCCTGCGCGCTGCATCATACTGCTCTCACTGCAAGCCAATGCTGCTCGACGCCGTCACTTGTCCACAGGAAAACGGCACACCTCGGTGCTGAGCTGACACTTGCAAACTGAGTTGTCAGGTGCGCGCGCACGCCACTGGCCACGAACTTGTCTACGAAGTTCCTGCAGACTGGCGGAGGGGGTAGACCAAAGATGGCTCAAAAGCATCACCACGCAGTCCCTCTCATGCTCTTTCTGACAAACACTTCCCTCGTGTCTCGGGCTTTTGCACAAGTCCTGAACAGGAAGTCGTGGTGCCTCGTTGCAACCATGCTGGATTGGCACAGGCTTTGGCTGCCCCGCTCCAATCCATGATGCCGCTTCCAGCGACAGAAATTCGAACAAACGTAAGAAATACACACGTGCAAAGATACATCTATGTATATATATATATATATATATACATATGTATATATTCATATACACAAATGAGCAGACATGCAAACATACAGACATACAGGCATGAAATGATGATGCGTGCGTGTACACACACAACATAATATATATATATATATATATGTATCTGTATATGTACATGTATATGTACATGTATATGTACATGTACATGTATATGTATATGTATATGTATATGTATATGTATATGTATATGTATATGTATATGTATATGTATATGTATATGTATGTATGTATGTATGTATGTATGTACGTACGTACGTATATATGTACATATGTATATATGTATATATGTATACATGTATACATGTATACATGTATACATGTATGTATGTATGTATGTATGTATGTATGTAGGTATGTATGTATGTCTACACGTGTGTCTGTGTGTACATGCAGACATATACATATACATATGTACATGTACATATATATATATATATATATATATATAGTGCATGTGCTTATGTGTTTATGTGTTTATATGAGTATGTACGTGTTTGTGAATATTATGTTCATGTGTGCTACGTCTGTAGGGAACACTGTGCAAGCCACTTCCAGGCACAGCGACCACCGAGCTCCCAGCGGCCGCAGGATCGCAGGACTCAGGGACGCCGCCTGAGAGTGCCCCCGTGGGTCATTCGACGTGGCGTGGGGCACCGGAGCAGAAATGATGACTGATTCGACTGATTCTGTAGGGCTACGGTTTCGGGCTTAGGGTCCCTAAACCCGAAACCGTAACAAAACCCATCAAAACCCTAGACCCTAGACTCTAATAGCGTTCAAGGGGCCAAACGTACGGAGTGATTGGAGCACAAGCAGTGCCTGGTCCACATCAGCTGGGAGGTCCTTGTCCTGGGGCATATTCACCCACCTCGGACGCTGACCCACGCTTCACAACCCTAAGTGTCCCTAAACTAAACCTTATTGGGGTTTAGGGTTTCGGGCGAGGTTTTGGGGTTGAGGAACTCTACACCCATGTAAACCCTTGCTGGCTGAGCTTCCAAGGGAGAAAAAAAGGCTGAGCTTCTGGTTCGTAAGGTGGGTTTACATCGTACCCAAGAAGTTGAAGCTTACCTCAGCACCCGTAAACCCTAAACACTAAACCCTAAACCCCAAAACTAACCTGAAACTGTGAGTCCGCCCCGCCTGGCGTCATGCAGGGTCAAGGCGCGCGATCTCAGGCTGCGGCTTGAGATACGTGAAACGCAGCCTGACATGTGGGTAGCTTTCTAAATTCGGGTCCCTTTTGGGGGTCCTCATTACAAGGGAGCCGTACTAGAGGACCCAAACAGGGTGATTTAGAGAATTACCCATGTGGAGGTTGTGAAAATTGGAGGGGGGTGGCCTTAAAACCCCAAACCCTAAACCCCTAAACCCTAAACCCCTAAACCCCTAAACCCCTAAACCCCTAAACCCTAAACCCTAAACCCTAAACCCCTAAACCCCTAAACCCCTAAACCCTAATGGCCCTAATTCATGTGTTTGTCGCCAACGTGCCAAAGCGGCATCGACGAGACCGCCATCAGCCAGTGCTGCTGCCATTCGGAAGGCCTCAGCCCGGCGCTGTGGTTTAATAGGGTTTGATTGGGTTTGGCTGTTTATATATATATATATATATATGTTTTTTTTTTTTTGTTTTGGGGGGGGGGGGGGGGGGGGTAGGGGTTTCGGGGTGTCGGGGTTTAGGGTTTAGGTGGATAGCGTTTTTTTTTGGGGGGGTTGAGGGTTTAAGGGTTAGGTGTTTAAGGGTTCAAAAAAAACCCGTAAAACTCCTATGACCGAACGCTTCCTCCGCCAGGCTCCAAGAGAAGATCCGAGAACGGGACTCCAGCGCAGCTGCAGGAAGCCTCGAGACTGAGAGGTTTATGGCGCTTGGGGGTTTGAGGGTGCAGGAAGTTAGGGGTGTAGGGCCCTAAACCCTCAACCCTAACCCCTGGAGGTTTAGGGGTTTAGGGGTTTGGGGGTTTAGCTTTAAGCCTTTTTTCGGGATTGAGGGTTTAGGGTTATGGGCCATGGGGTTTGGGGGTTTAGGGGCTTTCGGGATTCAGGGATTTAGGGATTTGGTGGTTTAGGGACACTTCTTTGGAGCTTTTGCCGGTCCAAGGGCACCAGATGCTGAGGAGGATGCTCGCGGCTGCTGAGCATGTGGTACATCATCTTGATGATCCTGGGTTTAGGGTTTAGGGTTTAGGGTTTAGGGTTTGGGCTTTTCAGGGATACCTAGGGACTGTGGCTTCGGGAAATCAGGGGCGAAAGCCTAGGGCGTTTTTGGGGGGCTTTTCGGGCGTTTCTGTTTTCCGGGATCATTCCGCAGCCAGTTGCGAAGTTCCGGCCCGTGAGTCTTTCGTGGCATCTGAGGTCCTGGCTCCAGCACGGTGGAGTGGCCATCTGCCTAACTTTCCAAACGCTCTCCAGGGCTGGGCTTATGGTAGTGAACTATAAACCCTAAACCCTAAACCCTAAACCCTAAACCCTTCAGGGCCCTAAACGGCTGCTTTAGGGATGATGTGACTTAGCGGCATCGCCTCATCCAGCGCGAGCAGACCGTGGGCCACAGCTGCCACCGAGCCCTTGTAGGGTTCAGGAGCCCCCTCTAAACCCTCAACCCTAAACCCTAAACCGTTTACCCTAAACCCTAAACCCTAAACCCCACCCCCAGGAAAAAAAACAACAGCGGCTCTGGGGTCCTTTTTCTCGGCTGGGGGGGACCAAGGGGGCAGTTTCAGAGTTTCAGGAGGTGAGTTGGCAACGAAGGAAGGAGCGCAGGAGCCCATCTTTATTGGGGGAAGCCAATCCTCCCCAAGTGGTCTCAGGTCTAGCCGCGACGACAACACAGACACAGCCCAAGAAGCACCGGGCCCGCCCCCTCCCCCCCCCCCGCCGCCCACAGGAATTAGGGTTTAGGGCTCCACTTTTTGTGTAATCTTTTTCTGATCACAAACAAACAGGACAACCAAAACCAACGGCAAATCGGCCTCAGAACCCATATCAAATATCCACGGGGTTTGGGCCCATAAAAACCTAAGCCAAAACCTTTGGCCTCTACAGCCCTGTTTAAACCTCTGCAATATGCGGGTTTCCGAAATTCGGGGTACCTTATTGGGGTCCTTATTGTAAGGGAATCCTACTATTTGGGAACTATATTCGGGGTCCTGCACCCTAAACCCTAACCCTAAACCCCAAACCCTAAACCCTAAACCTGGGGGGAAGGGGCGGGGGGGGCCTCCGGGCAGTCGCCCATGCTTTGTTCAAAGTCTCCCGCCACCTGACGGTCGAGGGCTTGAAGGATTTCGAGGGTTTAGGGTTTAGGGTTTGGGCTATGAGGGGTTGTCCTGGCGCTGTATATAGGGCTAGGAACCCGTCGACGCAAAAACACCTTCAACCCTGAACCCTTTCCCCACCCTAACCCTAAAACCTAAACCTAAACCTCTCTACCATATAAACCTAAATGTTGAAACACTAATTTTGCGATTTGATCAATTTTACCCCCCCCCCCATTGTTCAGCACGAATTTGGCGATTCCTGACCCCATTGGCCCCCCCATTGTTCGGCGCGAATTTGGCGAGTTGCTCCATTTTCAGTCTCACCCCTTCGACCCCCCCATTGTTCAGCACGAATTTTCGAATTTGGCGATTTGATCCATTTCGGCCCCTCCGACCCCTTTGGCCCCCCATTGTTCAGCACGAATTTGGCAATTTGATCCATTTCTTGGTGCGTCTGAACAGACATTAACAAAAACTTCTATTTTCGTAATGTCATGGGACTCTTTGGGCGGGTGGGTGTTTTTCCGTTGCCTACACAAACTGCTGGCCCAGTCAATGCTCGATCTTGAGATGCTGAACCCTAAACCCTAAACCCTAAACCCTAAACCCTAAACCCTGAACCCTGAACCCTGAACCCTGAACCCTGAACCCTAATGGGTTCCACCTCCAGGGCCACGGGTCGCCAAGCCCTGCTCCACTCCAGCCAGGTGGCGGCACTGAACCTCAAGAGTTGGGGTTTAGGGTTTAGGGTTTAGGGTTTAGGGTTTAGGGTTTAGGGTTTAGGGTTTAGGGTTGTGGGTTTATGGTTTAGGGTTCAGGGTTCAGGGCAATTTGGGGTCTTGGGGTGGAGTTTAGGGGTATGCTCCCAAACGCTTGAGTAGTGATCCAGCGTTTACTTCACAGGGGAACTTGAGGGGCGTGCACGGGTGACCGGATCCAAGCCTGTAAGCCGGACTACTTCGACATTGCTGGTCCACCTGTCCACCTGGGACCCTTGCCACACATCCCCCCCATGTCTCCGGCAGAAGTTGCTGAGATCCAGGCGGCAACTGCTCGGCACTCCGACACAGCGACAACGCGGCCTCGAAGCAACTCGGCATCCTGGAGTACCATCCCCGGAGTCCTCCCCCTCCTTTCTTCCGGCCTGCCACGTCTCCGCCGGGATGCGCGCAGTCCCCGCGCAGGAGGCATGAGCCTGCAAGAAGAGCCAGTGCTCAACCCGAAGTGCGTTGTGAGGCGCTGGACAGCACCTTAACCCCGAACTTCCCGAAACCCTGAAGAAAACATGCCGTGTGAAATCCACGAGATGTCTTGAAGCACGCACCTGGACTCCCGAAGCCAATGCAACCGCTTGCATCAGTTGCGTTGGCCTGTCTTGGGATATCTACCTTTCTGTGAATCTTCCGTTGGATAAGGGAACGGTCATGAGCAAGTGACAGACACTAGGCTTATAGGAAGTAACGTCTCAGTATAAGAGGATACGCAGGTTCCAATCGAGCCCTGGAACCATTTAGAAGCAAACGAACCAACTCGTGGGTTGGGACGCATGGTCTTTTTATTGCCAGTACGCCCAGAAGAGACACCAACTGTGTACATTCACCAATAGGTTTTAAAAAGGAACTTGAAATGCACTCACCAATGCCCGTACTATCAATTGATTGCGAACAAAAAGATTCCCCTAAACAAACCTAAACAAAAGCCTGGACCATCCCTGACCCTAAATCCTAACAGCCCCTAAACCCTAAACCCTAAACCCTAAGCCCTAAACCCTAAACCCTAAACCCTAAACCCAATGTAAAACCTATAAACCTCAACCCCGCCCAAGAACTCCCAGGCTGGCGCCTGGCCCCAGCAGCTCAGAAACTGGGCAGCCGTTCACAAAGGCAGTCTTGGGCAAGCCCTAAACCCCAAACCCTAAACCCGGGGTCTCAAGGTCTTTAGGGTTGAGGAGTCACTTAGGGGCTGATGGAGATGTCGGGCCCTTTGAAGCTGAGCAAAAGAGGAATACCGTTAAGCCATGTAGGAGCGAACGCTCTTTTTCTGACAGCAGAGGGCTTGGGAGGTAATGTCACGGCACGATATGCACATAGTGTTAAAACTCAACGGCTATCACAGCGCAAAACTACACCCCCCCGCCGATTTGTGGCAATGAGAAGGCAGACCTGCACTGTAACCAAGGAAACACAACTGGTGCACAGCGGCCTCGTCTCGCGACGGGCAAGCGGTTGCCTCGAAGGGTCAGAAAAATGTTGATGCTTTCTAAGACATGCTCTCAAGGCTGCACGTCAAAGCATACATGAATTCAATTTTGCGCTGGGCAAAGCAAAAGTACGAAGACTCATGCACTTACAAACTCCAATGATCGCATCGAACCCAAAAGTGAGGATCAAATTGGTATCGTTAGCCATTAAAGTGAAGTATGACGCCGATAAGGTTCGGAGTTGTCACTGAGTGACGGAATTGAAATGAGCACGAGGTAGAATTTTTCTACTTGTGCACACAAGCAACAATGGCTATCGGCCTCCGCGTTAGCGGGGCGATTTAGATCGGGGTTGCCTAGAACGCGGCTCATTTGAAATGAAAGGTTGGCATGACTGCTCATTGGGGCGGGGTTGTGGTTCTACCACTGACGATTCCATCGTCCCCCCTGGCCAAGTACGACGACGCTTCCAGCTACTCCATGAATGGATGATATTCTGAATGATGTCATCCTTAGTGCTGAGGTCATGCACCACATCACGCGTCGGTTCAACCTTGGTCTCTGCTGCAATCCCTGCGAACGAGCACATGAATTTGGCGTGTCCAACGCACGCAAATTGATGAGGGCATGAAAGTCTGCAAACCCTCAGCAGCAATCGAGTCATGCACATGCAAAACGCAAAAATTCTTAATTCCTTGCTCGACTTGTACGTGGAGGTAATGCTTGGATTATTCTCTCAGCAGCGCAGCAACGAAAGTCCGACTTCTCAAGCACCTCCTTTGCTAACACCTCAAAGTCCGGCCGACCGCTGACTGTGGCTGAAATTGAGGGTTTAGCTACCAGGTGGCTATCAGAGCCCTTTCCCTTTGAGGGATTTTTCCTGATTGGGGCAAAACACGTAGTTGATCAACCTAAGCGCGTGCAGCCACTTGGTCTTCCCGGCAAAGGGCTTGGTGAAAATGTTGGCCTCTTGCTCACTAGTGCCGGCGTTAACCAATGCAAGTTGAAAAACTTTCGCTCGAACTGTTGCTTCAACCAACCGAAAGAGATATGCTGAGCGCGATCAGTGCGCCTTAGCTTTTCACTGTCACCAAAAACAGAATCGTTACGGTGGCTTGATTGTCCTCCAAGACTTGCACGGCGAATTTGTCGATCAGTGCGACATTCAGTCCTTGGAGGTCGCCTTCAGGGTTACCTCCGTACCTAACTTCGTCAAGTTCGGGGTCTGTTCTGGCCACAATGTCGACGGTGTCAAAACGAACCTTTTGCTTCGGCCGAGCCTCTCGACTGGCTGGGTCCACAACGATGTGTTTCCATAGAAAGAGCCAAGCTCGGAAGCCCTTGCGCTTGAACACCGTGGTTGGCAGATACGACCTCACTCTCAGAACCAGACACTGCGAGTCTAGTTTGCTTGGTTGAAAGCGCACTCAGAGGGTAGCAAGCATTGTCCTACTAGGTACAATGCACAACCGGAGGTGGATTTGTTGTCGCGCTCCCCTGACGAGTCTGCATCGCAGAAAAACCACAATTTACAATCACTCACGCGATCTCCAATAAAGCCTTGCATCTTGGGGTCCAGAGAAGAGTTTCTGTAACAAACTAAACGATGGAGTCTGACGTCGCAGTCTCGAGACCACTTCGTCACCCTGCATGCTAGGCTTTGTTTTGCGCGCAGGAGATCCCACCTTGCCACATGGGCTGCGAAAAGAATTTTCACTAGCGCTCGGCTAGCAATGGGCTGCAGCCTCCTCTTCTCCCTCCGTGGGCCTTGCCACGCACTTTTCACGGAAGGGAGTGGCAGCATACACTAGGGAATGATGAGAAAATCCCTCACGTCATACGTCATAACATTCACCGGCTTCGACATAGCAGGGACGGTTTCCTGACAAATTGAGTCCATTGCTTTGAACATCTTTGAACCTGCCTTGCTTCGCTTCACGCATGGCTTCAGTCTTAGACCTAACAGCTAAGGCACGTTTGAATTCAGTGGGCTCAACTGTTGTTGTGACTAAGTAGGTCCTGCAAGTCCAACCAGGTGTCCTGACGTTTAGCACCATGTTCGTTGAAATTGTCGTGAAGGATGTAGCGCCCCCAACCTCAGCAAAACTCTCAGGCGAAATGTTCGGAAAGCGCTGAACATCATGTTCATCGGGAACGTACAGCCTTTTTCGAGGGTAGAGGTGATGGCGAACAACAGTTCCCAACTCTGGGTCGACTACCCAGAAATCTTCCTTTCGAGTCGGCTCGGGATCTTCTTCCCCAGCTGCAGGAGTTGCCATCTTCTTGTCGAAGACATGGGCAAACGGACGCGCTTCCCTAGGCAAATCAACCTTATATTCCCGCAAAGTGGTTGCGCCCGAGTACCTACCGAAGGGTTGCGGGGGATCCATGTCGATAACGTCGCTGATGGTCTTCCATTCTTGCCCATGTTTTCGGTCGGACCAGCCATCTTGGAATCATCGACGTAAACGGCTAGGAGGAGGTCGAGTTCAAGGTGACACAAAATGGACCGCCAGATTTTGGGGAGAACCGCGACCCACCCAGCAGAAGTGAGCTGCTTAGCACAGCACTGTTCCCAAATCCCTCCAAAATCGGGGTGACCATACAGCACTAGCATCAGTGGACAAACAGGGTCTTTATACTGCAGCCATTCCTTTGGCCACCTTTTCCTAGGCAACCTCACCCAAGTTTCGACGCAGTGCCTGGGTGTAAGCCTGACGTGCATCTGCATGCTGCTTGCTATGCCCAGGCAAGCTTCCGGAGACATCAGTCACCTTTGCGGCCACCATGCTGGCGGGGCTAGATCCGAGCTGCAAAGATAGCGTGATCGTTGTGCTCATCGGAAACCCTATTACCTTGAAGGACACTACGTCCTTTCCACTTGCGATCGGCATGACCCTCAGGAAGCTCCGGCCCCTTAAGGCTACAGATTTCGAAGATCCTGCCAAAATATGCTTTGACCCCTTTCTTTTGGGCTTCACTAGCAACATCGGAGTACTCGCAAACTTTATCCGAGAGCCAACACTGCTGATCGACAACAGCTTCTGCCACTCTTTGTCAAGGGCACGCTGCGCATCTATGTTGCTACTGCGCTTCCTCCAAGAACCTAAATGCTCTTTCGGTGGCTACAAGCCTATCCTCAGTTTCGTCTTGCTGCAGCACCCATTACCGCATCCATTTCTTCCCTTTCGTACCTCTGGTAGTTCAGGAACCTTCGTCGAACTCTGCGTACAAGAACGGCGATTGCCCTTCAGCAAAACCGCTGAGTTGTTGATGATGCTGCTCTTGCATTGTTGTGATACTGCCTCAGATTGTGAAACTTGGTACTCAATGCTAGTGAATGTGGCTTGCATTTAGTCAAGCTCTTTAATCAGTCCTAATTCTCTGGTGGCTGCAAGATGTTCGAACTTTGCGAGACGCTGTTCACATGATGCCATTCGGGTAGGATGGACTCTTTCAGCGAGCTCTTGTAAGTTCGAAACTTTCTGCTCGTTGCACGAGTTTGTGCTTCCATAGCCTGAGTGTGCCTCCTTTCCGCTTCTATTTCTAAGAAACTGAGTTCAGTCTTAAGACATGCTCTGTTCTCATCATGAACATGAAAGATGCTGGTCTGCGAAAAAGAGTTCGCCGCCATGCTAAGGCTCCAGCCATCATGCATGGTCATGTTAGCGAAATTAAGTGCTTGAGGGTGCTCTTGGAGATCTACCTGCATCTCTGCCCCCCCTGCTCGGCTTCCGTCGCCGGGAACAGCAAGGGACGACCTGATTTCTCTGCGGTAGTCTCTTCTGCAGGTATGAGCTCAGGCGACGCGGCGTCGGCGATCTCACCCGCAAGCATGTAGTAGGCTATACGGCTGAGAACCTATAGCCATCAGAGAAACACCAGATGTAGGAGCGAATGCTCTTTCTCTGACTACAGCGGGCTTGCGAGGTAATGTCACGGCACGATATGCACATAGTGTTCAAACTCGACTGTTCCCACGGTGCAAAACTACAGGGTTTTTAAGTGGCGCGGTTTTAGCGGCTTGTAGCGTATTCTGCAATGATGTGGGTCCAGAATCTAGCGCGCTGAGGTACTTGGAGGCATTCATGGGTACCTCCCAGTAGGGTTGCAAACGTCCTAATTAAGTTGGTCCTGAATAAGTTATACCCAAGCACAGCTATAGCTACTCTACTTGCAACCCTACTTAGAAGTACCCACTAAGTGGTTCCCCTAAACCCTATAAGCCTAAACCCTAACCCCAAACCCTGAGAGCGGGACTATCCATCTCAGCGCCATGGCCACGCCGATTTGTTTTCGGGCAGGTTAACGCATGTAGCACTCTTTGCGACTGTTGCGGCGGTATATTTAGGGCTTACCTGACATTCTCTTCACCTAGAGGGCTTAGGGCTCAGGGTTCAGGACTTTTGTGCTGTTCGGCTGAGGTTTGGCTGATGTCAGAGAAGCAGCCGAAAAATCTACGTTGAATAGGCATAGGTATTGGTATTGGTAAGTCCCACACTCTTGGGCTCCGCTTCCGGCATATGGCAAGCTTCTTTTGTTAGCAGTTGCTTGCAGAGCCCATATGTCTTGTGTCTGCCACGAGCATGGACAAAGTGTTAACCAGGTTCGGTTCCCCTTTTTCTCCCCCTGCCCCCCTAAATTGGCACATTATGTCGTCCATGCGGCTCTACATCAGCTGTCAGGAAGTCAGGAGTTGCGAAGGATGTTGCTTCGAACACGGCTGCAGAGCATCACTTTTCTCATGCACCGTGTCTGTTGCCGTAAGATGCCGTAGGCACAGGTTGTCGTGAACATGCGCATTGGCTTCTACAGACGGGCAGAGCTACAGTGCTGTTACGCTCAGTTCTCGTCCCTGCCCTTGTGGCTTCGACACCGGAACCATTGAGCAATGCTTACGAGCACTCAGAAGGACACGAGCTGCTGTACTTGCCCACATAGCACTCGTCGGCGCAATAGTTCCTTTGGGCTGTCTTGTCCTTGCAGCAAACCTTCGATGTCTTCTCACTCGTAGCGTACTGCACTGAGGCAATGACGGTATCAGTTGCCTCCAGCAAAGATCCCGAGCACTCAGAAGGACAGAAACCGCTGTACTTGCCCACATAGCACTCGTTGGCGCAATAGTTCCTTTGGGTTGTCTTGTCCTTGCAGCAAACCTTCGATGTCTTCGTGGCGTTCTGCACTGAGGCAATGACGGTATCAGTTGCCTCCTCCAGCAAAGATGCCGAGCACTCAGAAGGACACGAGCTGCTGTACTTGCCCACATAGCACTCGTCGGCGCAATAGTTCCTTTGGGCCGTCTTGTCCTTGCAGCAAACCTTCGATGTCTTCTCATTCGAAGCGTACTGCACTGAGGCAATGACGGTATCAGTTGCCTCCAGCAAAGATCCCGAGCACTCAGAAGGACAGAAGCCGCTGTACTTGCCCACATAGCACTCGTTGGCGCAATAGTTCCTTTGGGTTGTCTTGTCCTTGCAGCAAACCTTCGATGTCTTCGTGGCGTTCTGCACTGAGGCAATGACGGTATCAGTTGCCTCCTCCAGCAAAGATCCCGAGCACTCAGAAGGACACGAGCTGCTGTACTTGCCCACATAGCACTCGTCGGCGCAATAGTTCCTTTGGGCTGTCTTGTCCTTGCAGCAAACCTTCGATGTCTTCTCACTCGTAGCGTACTGCACTGAGGCAATGACGGTATCAGTTGCCTCCAGCAAAGATCCCGAGCACTCAGAAGGACAGAAACCGCTGTACTTGCCCACATAGCACTCGTTGGCGCAATAGTTCCTTTGGGTTGTCTTGTCCTTGCAGCAAACCTTCGATGTCTTCGTGGCGTTCTGCACTGAGGCAATGACGGTATCAGTTGCCTCCTCCAGCAAAGATGCCGAGCACTCAGAAGGACACGAGCTGCTGTACTTGCCCACATAGCACTCGTCGGCGCAATAGTTCCTTTGGGCCGTCTTGTCCTTGCAGCAAACCTTCGATGTCTTCTCATTCGTAGCGTACTGCACTGAGGCAATGACGGTATCAGTTGCCTCCAGCAAAGATCCCGAGCACTCAGAAGGACAGAAGCCGCTGTACTTGCCCACATAGCACTCGTTGGCGCAATAGTTCCTTTGGGTTGTCTTGTCCTTGCAGCAAACCTTCGATGTCTTCGTGGCGTTCTGCACTGAGGCAATGACGGTATCAGTTGCCTCCTCCAGCAAAGATCCCGAGCACTCAGAAGGACACGAGCTGCTGTACTTGCCCACATAGCACTCGTCGGCGCAATAGTTCCTTTGGGCTGTCTTGTCCTTGCAGCAAACCTTCGATGTCTTCTCACTCGTAGCGTACTGCACTGAGGCAATGACGGTATCAGTTGCCTCCAGCAAAGATCCCGAGCACTCAGAAGGACAGAAGCCGCTGTACTTGCCCACATAGCACTCGTTGGCGCAATAGTTCCTTTGGGTTGTCTTGTCCTTGCAGCAAACCTTCGATGTCTTCGTGGCGTTCTGCACTGAGGCAATGACGGTATCAGTTGCCTCCTCCAGCAAAGATGCCGAGCACTCAGAAGGACACGAGCTGCTGTACTTGCCCACATAGCACTCGTCGGCGCAATAGTTCCTTTGGGCCGTCTTGTCCTTGCAGCAAACCTTCGATGTCTTCTCATTCGAAGCGTACTGCACTGAGGCAATGACGGTATCAGTTGCCTCCAGCAAAGATCCCGAGCACTCAGAAGGACAGAAGCCGCTGTACTTGCCCACATAGCACTCGTTGGCGCAATAGTTCCTTTGGGTTGTCTTGTCCTTGCAGCAAACCTTCGATGTCTTCGTGGCGTTCTGCACTGAGGCAATGACGGTATCAGTTGCCTCCTCCAGCAAAGATCCCGAGCACTCAGAAGGACACGAGCTGCTGTACTTGCCCACATAGCACTCGTCGGCGCAATAGTTCCTTTGGGCTGTCTTGTCCTTGCAGCAAACCTTCGATGTCTTCTCACTCGTAGCGTACTGCACTGAGGCAATGACGGTATCAGTTGCCTCCAGCAAAGATCCCGAGCACTCAGAAGGACAGAAGCCGCTGTACTTGCCCACATAGCACTCGTTGGCGCAATAGTTCCTTTGGGTTGTCTTGTCCTTGCAGCAAACCTTCGATGTCTTCGTGGCGTTCTGCACTGAGGCAATGACGGTATCAGTTGCTTCCTCCAGCAAAGATCCCGAGCACTCAGAAGGACACGAGCTGCTGTACTTGCCCACATAGCACTCGTCGGCGCAATAGTTCCTTTGGGCCGTCTTGTCCTTGCAGCAAACCTTCGATGTCTTCTCATTCGTAGCGTACTGCACTGAGGCAATGACGGTATCAGTTGCCTCCAGCAAAGATCCCGAGCACTCAGAAGGACAGAAGCCGCTGTACTTGCCCACATAGCACTCGTCGGCGCAATAGTTCCTTTGGGCCGTCTTGTCCTTGCAGCAAACCTTCGATGTCTTCTTATTCGTAGCGTACTGCACAGAGGTGACATGGGCACGATCATCTGTAGTTTCGTCCAACAAGGCCGTGGGCAATGTGCGGTCAATGGTGTCGGTATCGATGTCCAACGACAAGGTGTCGAGGCGATCGTCCCGAAGTCCGAGAACGGGCGCGAGGAAACACAAGGTCACAAAGATGTGCATCGGAGAGGTCATGTTTGACAAGCGGGAATGACGACTAACGAAGTTCCGTACTACCTGAAGGCTGAATGCACGGGAGCCCGAACGGACAAAAATATGGTGTAGCCTTGCAGAGGCAGAGGTCTAGATATACATATATAGCAGACCAGGTGCACCAAGACTCCACGGAAGCTCCGCCGAGAGGCTCTTTCTGATTCTCTGTGCATCTGCGTCAGTGAGTGTCAGGACCACCCAGGAGCCCTAAAGGATTCATTTAGGGTTTAGGGTTTAGGGTTTAGGGTTTAGGGTTTAGGGTTTAGGGTTTAGGGTTTAGGGTTTGGGGGATCGACCTTCATCGGGGTTATAGCAGTATACGGGATACATGACCCCAATTGTAGGGTTCCTTTGGTGCCCCCGAGGATCTCGCGAATTCGGGGCTTGCAGGCCCGGCGGACTTTGCAGGAGCTCTCGCTCCGTCTGCTGAGCGGCGCCGTTCCAAGACGACTCTGCCAACAACCTGAAGTCTTCGGTTGCCTTCTCTGGCAAAATCTACCATTTGCTTCAGAACCTCCAAAAAAGAATAAGACTAATCCCTATATTGCCCTTATGAAGAACATGTTTTGCCTTTTTGGGGTTCTGAAGCAATTGGTAGAAATTGCTAAGACATCGAAAGGCCCCTGCTCTCAAGACCAAGCTCCGGAGACCACGACCTGCAGCTGGGGTTAAGAACCGCAACAAGAGCCAAGACCCGGGAATCCAAAAGCCTCCTGCCTCTCCCCCAGATGTGAAGTAGGGTTTGTAATGTCCGCCGAGGTCGGAGGCCTGAGGCGTTTAGATCCAGGTCTGCAACTTTTGATAGTTCTACACCCCGCTACCCTCCCCTCCCCTGATCTTCTTCACAACATCCTGCGGCACCCCCTCCCCCTCGCCCCCCCTTACCCCTCGTGAACCCTTAATTCGCCTCGGTACCCTTGCGAGGCGGCTTCGCCTTAGCGGTAAAATGAGTATCCTCGAAAGGACACTCAATGTATACACTCGCCCCCAGAAATTGAAGGAACCCTATATACACTCACCAATAACAGCAATATACACCATGCTTCATGCGAGGGTGCATCCGGCGCAGGTAGGCTTTCAGGACTTCACAGGATCGAATCGATGTCATGTTTCAGAACTGGATTGATGTCGAATGGAGCGCTATACTCACTACTTGAAAGGCTCCACACGGAGCACGAATGGTGAAAGCACGACCAGGTGCACAGATGTGTACACTAAACCTACACTAAACCCCCAAGTCCCTGCACCCCTAAACCCTAAACCCTGGAATTTCTCGGAGCGGGGCAATGCATCTCAGCCCCATGGGCCGCCCATGTGGTTTCGGACAGGTCTCGACATGCAGCCGAATAAGCAGGTTAGATGGGAGATGGGTTTAGGGCTTAGGGCGTGCTGGTTAGTTGAGGCTTGACTGATGTTAGAGAAGCAGAAACAATGGAACCAGCAATGGCATGTCTCAGCAGCAGGTGTTCAGCTTCTGGTACAAGATGATGTAATTCTCCTTTTGACTGTTGCGGCGTCTGCCGTGTGCTGTATACTCATGCTGTGTGGAGACATGATGCCACCAGGGAGCAGATGCTCGGGCTTGTAAACAGCGAGGGTTCACAAATGCAGCATCGGACAGATAATGCTGTGCACAGCATCGAACGGCATCGATGTGGCCCGGTCAAGAGCGCAATATACCACAATAGTGTGTGCTAGGCAACCTAGATTTGGCCTTCTTTCCCTCCAACCAGACTGAGCAGGAAGGCTTCAACGCTTCATCAGCACACCTGCCGCACCACAAATGGGATGGAAAACAGTAGCGTGGCAGATGCACCGGCCATAGCATTCGGGAATTGCGTGGCTGTCACTTCCACCACGTTCCCTTTCAGCTACAAGAGTTTCTACGTTCATGTCTCGCAGCATGTGCATGGCCACTTACCTGCGGGACAGGGGACAGGGGATGCGTGCCTCACCGCAGAAGAATACTGCACGGCACAAGGGACTCGGGCCTCGGGCCCAGGCACATCGGCCGTAAGTCACGCCAGCCAACACTTTTTGATACTCAACGTTGGTAGATACATATATATATATACATACATACATACATACATACATACATACATACATACATACATACATACATACATACATACATACATACATACATACACACACATATTTTTTAAAGATATAAACACACATATACGTATACATGTATATATACATATATATAGTAGACATATACATATATATGTATCTTATCTCTCTCTGTATGTGCACTCCAAAGGCGAAAGGCCTCACACCGAACGTTGAAAAAAAGACTTAGGACCTCTGTGGCACTTTCGCCAGCGCTGCTGTGAGATCTCAGAAGCCGAGGGGGGGAAGATCCAGCCTAGGAAGCAACAACCACGCTTTGAACTTGACCGTATTTAGGGTTTAGGATTCAGGGTTGTGTGCCAGTACTTAGTGGCACTTCTGCTCTTCACCATGCCAGTGTCACCGGGGCTTCGTGAAAGCAACTTGAAATTTCGCAAACAGAGTCGGCGGCCTCCCAGCTTCGTCACAAATTCCCACAACGGCAGCCGGCTTGTCGTCAGCCTGATGCAAGCAAACTGGCACGGATGCCATCTCAAATCGTGAATACCGGCCTGAACCCAATACCTGAAACCGTTCGGGACAGAGCCATCGAGCATGAGCGGGCACAGCCAGTTTGCCGCTCCTTGCGAGCAAAGCGCCTCGCTGTTTTGAGTGCTGAGATTTCACTTCGTGCAAGCTTGACAAGCAGCGGTAGCAACCCTGCTCTTGCAAGTACTTGCGTGAGAGCTCTTCAGGTACGCCCTTTCCCTATGGTGGTTTACGGTTTTTAAGGGACCCCTTATGTAGACAGACCCCCAAATAGCAAGAAGGTACCCCTAATAGCGTAAACCTGCTAATCTCATGGCAGTCTGCAAGGCCAATGAAATGTCCACCCCGCCTTTGCTTATCCTCAGCCTCCGCCGAAGGGCCTCCGTGGGGGCTCCTTGACTCTGGCTTGGCCACCCATAAAAGACACGCAAGATTCAGTTATGTACAGATAGTAATATACAGTAGAATGTAGCCCCCTTTCAACTTCCGACCCTGTCACTTGGTGTACTTCAGCAGGCTCCGAAGCCATGTCCCAGGCGAGTAAAAAGGCTCAATCGCCCTCAGCAAGGGCAGACAGCTGTCCTCCGGCCGCGCGGTGGGCTGGAAATTGAATCCATTTGCTTGCGACGGCTGCACCGTGGGAAGAATCTGCAGCCACGGCAGGCTTGCAACAAGACAGAACTGCGCAAGGTAGGCAACGGCACAGCCTAAAAATGCCTACATAAAACATGTCCTTAAGCCCCCGAAACCCTCAACCCTAAACCCGAAACCCTAAACCCTAAATGCGTTTGCAGAGCTTCGGGGCACCTCGCCCCGGTCGAAGATGCAGAAGGGGGCCATGCCTGGGCGGTGCCTGGCAATGGCTTACCGCTCCCAGCCGAGGGTTGTGAGGGTTTAGGGGGCTGGGGCGCTGGGGTGTAGGGCTTTTTGGGGTGTTGTTGGGGTTTAGGGTTTTGTTGGGGGGGTTTAGGGACTTTGGGCAGTAGGCACCCCACTTGAAGGGAACTCTCTTGATTTGGAAATCCTCCCCGCAATTCTGATACCCATTTAATTGAAGTGTCCAGCTTTGAAAGTTGTCGAGCTTCCCGACTAAGTAAGAGCCCATGCACCCCAAACCCTAAACCCCAATTCCCAAGGCTACGACTTGTCGGTCGAGCCGATGTAGTTGTGCACATAGCTCAAGCCTCGAGAATAGGCCACAAGATAATTTCGGCGTTTCCGAAGACAAGGGCACCTTTTTCCGAGGGTTCCTGAAACAAGGGCTGTCTTATTCTTGGGGGGGGGGGGGGGGGGGCAGTACCCCCCCCCCGCCATTTTGTCGAATGCCCACCATGCGAGAAAAATATATTTACTTCGAACATCCCCACCCTCTCTTGGTAGAGATACTCTGGGGTTGGGCACTCCAGGGACACTCTGGGGCTGGGCACTCGTTGGGCACTCCAGGGAGACTCTGGGTGTCTGGGGTTGGGCACTCCAGGAAAACTCTCACTGCGGGGACACTCTGGAGTGCTCAAGGGGTGGCTTTGGGGTTGGGCACTCCAGGGAGACTCTGGGGTTGGGGTAGACCGGGCGAGGAGAAGAGTTCCGGGCGAGGAGAAGAGTTGAGCTTAAAATCTAGCAACCCCACACCGCGGGTGGGGAAAAAGAGGTACATTATGAAGGTTCCTGCAGCCTAAGGTGACTTAGAAACATTAAGCTTATAGTTCTGCCTACCGTGACGGTAGAGCCACAGTAAGGTTCCGACCGTCGACCTCCTGGACCTGCTTGGAAAGACAGAGCACCGGATTCGGAAAGTAGGGTTTAGGGTTTAGGGTTTAGGGTTTAGGGTTTAGGGTTTAGGGCTTAGGGCTTAGGGTTTAGGGCTTAGGGTTTAGGGTTTCGGGTTTAGGGTTTAGGGTTTAGGGTTTTGCCTTATGGGGGGATTTTGCCAGGACTAGGCTGCGGATTCCACTCTGCTTGGAGTATATACGAAGGGTACGCTTCTGTTGGGACATGCTCAATTATTGCTCATTTCTTACCGACTCTTAATCAGTGTGGGGAGATCAGGAATCATGGCAGATGCCCCACGTGCCTTAAAAAGGAAGAGGAGCTTCCCATCCATGTGGTTTCGGGTTTAGGGTTTATTCCCTTATCCCTTTGCACGAAGAGCCTGTGGGCCGTCGCAGGCACGGCCTCAGACTGCAGGAATGTCCGTGTGATTTCGACACTCAGGTTTGGGGGGGGGGGGGGGGGGGGTGAGGGCTTCGGTTTGGGGTTATGAGTTTGGAGAAAGGCTGCGTGTAGGTGACATCGCTCAGGGTGATCTAATCTAGATGTACAGTGAACAAGGGCCTCCCGTGCGTATTCATTGCATCACGGCGCAGATGGTACTCAAGCCATCTCAGGCCCAGGCCGTAGACGTGGACATCCGATCCAATCGTTCGGATCTTGCACGGCAGTGATTTAGGATGATTTAGGGTTGGGGGTCCATTGGATCCATCTCGCAAGATGTTCACGAGCTGGTCTCCTTGTGCTCAGAAACACTTCGGATGTGTATGCTCAGCTCCCGAAAGCCTGAAGCGACGCTAAGCCTTGAACCCCTAAACGCTCTGCCTGCTCATCCAGCCCCTCACAGCCGATGTGGTCCCAAATGCCCGGAATGGTCCAGTCCTCAAGCAGTTCAGGGTTTCGGATTTGGGCTAGGGGTTTAGGGTTTAGGATTGAGGGTTGCTTTACAATCAGGTTTGGGGCTTGAAAACTTGGTGTTCAACACCCTTTGTCAGATACCCCCCCCCTCCCCAGCGGAAAACAAAATGCCGCCAAAGCACGGGTGGGGGGGGGGGTGCCCTGTTGTCAGGATTCTTCCATGTTGGGGTAAAAAAGGGATACCCCCAATTGGTACAGGTAAGTGCACATCGCTAGTCTAGACAAGCAGGTGCGCAAGCATGCTGAGCCATACTTGGCCTGCTGAAAGATGAACTTGGGCAGTTCAAGGGCTGGTCTTTTCGAGTTTAGGGTTTAGGGTCTAGGGTCTAGGGTTTAGGGTTTACGGATACCTTGAGGAGGTTCTACAACAATCTGGTGGTTCGGGAGGCTTGAAGCGGATTCCGGATTCCCCACAACAAGGGAACCCATTTCGGGGTTCCTGTCGCCGAACGAGGATACACGCCAGGGGTACCCTTTTTGAGGCAATGCCCCACATAATTCCTCATGACAAATGCCCTTAGCAGTCAAAAGGACTCCAGTGCCTGAACCCTAAACCCTGAACCCTAAACTCCAAACCCTCATGTACAACCACCCGACACACGACAGAACTTGTTGAGCTCCAGGCAAATGACAACTCAGGCCGGGTGAGGAAGTGTGTCCTCAGACGGCGTGCTACATCGTGGGATCCTATACGGGGGTTTCCGAAAATGGGGGTACCTTATTGGGGTCTGATGAGAAGGGAATCCTGCGATTATATCGGGTGTCCCTTGTTTTTGTAAACGTCCCATACCCAAAAGAAGGTGAAGACGGGTATTAGAGGGACCCCCCAAAAGGGTACCACAATGGAAACCCCCAAATATGGCCCTCAGTTGAGGGTTGTGAGGGGCCTTGTTTTGGGTGGTCGCTAGTAGGGGCGGGCAGGTAGTATCGGATCCCATAATTACGCTGCCCTTGCATCCCATAAAAGCATCCAGAGCTGGCTACATGCATGGCTCTCTTCATTGTCATCTCGCCCTAGCGCCTATACAACAGCATCTGTTTTGTGACCAGTCAAGAATTGCCGGATCGTAACTGGACAAGCCCTAAGTTGGCAGAACTACCCGGATTGAATACCCTGTGACACCAAGCGGGCTGTTCTACATTTCAGATCCCCTTTGACAATACCTTTTTTGCACAAAAAACTCCATCTTCAAGGCCATCTCTATGGGGATCCTCCTAATTTAGAACCCAGGGTTTTGGGGTTTAGGGTACTTTGGAACCCCTGACACGCTTGTCTTAGGCCAGCGGCATGGTCAGCACCTGTGCCGGTTGGTCGCAGAATCCTGGAGGGCGTCGTGACAGCGGGAGGGGAAGCGGGCAGTTGGGGCGCCGGAAATAGGTGGAGGGCCTCATCAGTAGCTTCAGCTTGAGGAGTTAGCATTCAGAGCATCGCGATACTAAGAGTATCAAGGAGCATTGGGAAAATCAGGAACATTGCCGGCAATCGAAGCAACTAGGAACATTGGGGACGATGAGAATTCGGGATGCCGGGATATGATCAGGTAAATGGGATTTGCGGGAACCCAAGAAGACTGTGAAACCTTCCACAAGTTATGCGATTCTTTGTGACTTCGAGAGAAGCCTATGGCCTATGACATTAGAGAACGCTACATGTTCGACACACCAGCCGAGAGGCGTCTAGAACAAGCAAACCAGGATCTACGCCTCGCCCCCCCCCCACAGGCAGCCCTGTAGGACCGCTTGGAGGAGTCGAAAAAGACCCACGCCAAAGCACGAAGAACCCCCCCCCTCCCTCATTTGATTATGTTGCCCTGGTCTCTCTTGATTGTTGTTCTGCTGTCTGCCCTTCTTAAAACATCACATTTCCTGTCGCAATGCGTCTGCCGTGTCGACACAAATCGTGCACGCGTGCATACTTTGTTAATGGCATTATGGGCTGGGATACAGTACTCGGTACTGCCTGCACTCCGTCTTCGTTTTGGAATCGGCTTTGGCATCTTCGCGATGCTTCTGGCCAGCTCGATCTGCTGCAGCACTCGTAGTTGTACTTGCCCACGCTCGCTGGGGCTCTTGTCCTTGCAGGAAACCTTGGTCGTGCGCCTCTCGTCCGTATCGTTCGTACCGGGCACCGAAGCGATTACGGCACCGAATTCGATCCGCTGCAGCACTTGGTTCAAACTAGATCGTCCCCCACGTATTTGCTTTAAGCTATACGAATTACACACACACACACACACACACACACACACACACACACACACACACACACACACACACACACACACACACACACACACACACACACACACACACACCGACTCTCTCTCTCTCTCTCTCTCTCTATATATATATATATACACCATATATTATGTATATGTGTACATTGATTTGTATGTACACTCCATAACCGAAAAAGGGTTCCCCAAATTGAAGCCCACCACGGCGCAGCTGGGCGCCCTGCGCTCGAAGGCTGTCTTCGCCACAAGCGTTGCCCGCAGTGCAGCTTCATTCATCCTCACGGGAGGGCGAAGCTCGTGAAACTTCAGGGCGGGCCATGGCGGGCTTTTAGGGTTTAGGGTTGGGGAGTGTTCGTATAAGGGGGAACATCCCAAGGTTTAGGGTCTACCCGGATAGGGTTTCAGAGACTAAGGCCAGGTATGCCATCGCCAGCTCTCCTCATGAAGAACTTCCAGGCATCGTCCGAGCCACACGGGAAGGGCCATTGGATCCACTGATCGATGGTCACCTTCATCCAGGTGCCCACCCCCCCCCCTTCTTCCAAAAAAAACACAACAAAACAATAATACTGAAATAATAATAATAATAATAATAATAGTAATAGTAATAAAAAATAGTAGTAATAACGATAAATAGAACAAACAAAAAAACCCTAAACCAGAAGCCCCAAACCAGTAACCCCCTGCACCCTAAACTTTCCTAAACCCGGACTTAGGGTTCTAAGCCCATACGCTGCCCTTGTGGTTCGAGGAGGCCTTGGCATCCGCATCGGTCGCCGACGCATGCTGCTGGCGCAAAGCCTTCGAGATGAAGTCTCTGGAGTACCTGCGGGTTAGTCTTAGGGTTTAGGGTTTAGGGTTTAGGGTTTAGGGTTTAGGGTTTAGGGGTTGGGGGTTAGGGGTTAGGGGTTAGGGGTTAGGGGTTAGGGGTAGTTTCATGGAGGTTCTACAAGTGCTCTGCTATGTCTGTTCTTCTGACATACTGGGGCTTCGGGAACTTGGGCTTCACGTTGGTTGGGCACCTTATGTAGGGAATTGTGTGGTTTAGGGCTTGGGGGGCATCTAGTTCATTGTCGGGATACTATTAAAAATCTAAATGTTTATTCCTTACTGGGTTTAAGTACCCTTAAACATGTAAACTGTTACCCAACTATCATAAAGGCATGGTGTGGCAGCGTGTTGCTCCTACGATCGAGAGCAGCTTGTACCAGTGTCCGGCTCGAGCATTTTTTCTCGCATGCAGATCCGCCGAGGGTGCCAGCAAGATACATTTCTCTCGCGCAGCAAGTCGGCAACGTGCAGGCCCAAGGAAGGGCGTCACGCCCAAACGCACTGAGATGTGCGCCTGGGGAAAACGGCCGCAAAGTGCCCAAAAGCACTCCTAACGACCTCCATGGGGGCTCACGGAGCTGCCTCAGAACTCGTCTCCGTAGCCTTCTTCCTCGCCTTCCCCCTCGGCCTTGGCTGCATACCGATGCAAAAAGACAACCTATCACCCCGAGATCCAGTGAGCTTTGAGGTTAGGATCATTCGGATCCTTTGGGGCTCCTTTTTGTAAGGTGCCATACTATATAGGAGCCTAACAAGGGGACCGAATATAGAGAACTACCCACTTGACAAATGATGTCGACAGCGAAGCTGAATGTAGACGAAGTGGCAGTCTCAATGCCCACCTGTCAAAGTCACTTCTCAGGACGTGATTGGTTCCTACAAGGCTCCTACAGTATGCAGGACCTTGTTGGGGGTAGCATACCCTGAACCCTAAACCCTAAACCCTAAACCCCAACCTGCAGGTGGGCAGAAAGCACGCAACCTCTCCGGCCTCCTCGTAGTCCTTCTCCAGGGCCGCCAAGTCTTCCCTGGCCTCCGAGAACTCGCCCTCCTCCATTCCTGCGACTCTTTTTTTGGGGGACTTGGAGTAGGGTTTAGGGTTTAGGGTTAGGGTTTAGGGTTTAGGGTTTCGGGTTTGGGGTTCAGAGGCTCGAATGGCTTAGGGGGTCAAGTCTCATCCCCGAATCTCGACCCCTCCTTCGCCCACGTAGTGGTGCACGAAGGCACGCTTCCTGAGTTCCGAGAGGTTCCGAGGCTTTTGGGAAAAGTGTCTACAGCCCCGGAACACAAGTTGGGTTGAGGGTTGAGGGTTGGGAAGTTGGGGGTTGAGTTTAAGGGTTGAGGGTTGAGGGATGAGGGTTGAGGGTTGAGGCTGCACGCCGTTAATCTTTCAGCAGGTTGCCTCAGCTTTGTCATTGGAGGCCTGCCCCCGAATCTGACTCGGAATGTAAGACCGAGAGCTCGCTCTCTTCCGCTCTTTCTGCTTTTTGGACCCTGGAACTGGGCTTCCCAATTTGAGCCTCCAGAAGCATCTGGCAGGCCACGACAACGGCGAGCAGGTTTCTGAACTATTGCAAACACCTCCCCCCCCTCAAAGCCCAAACAGGTTTGGAAAGGTGGATCAGCCCAAGGGTGTCCCTGCATTGCATAGTACACCTGAGCTACCGGAGCTACCTGCGAGCCCTAAGCCGGGAAAAAGCATCTAAGGCTTCGGGTCCGGGCTTGTCAAAGTGTTACCTACTCAACTACTAAGTCTTGCCAGGGCTGCGAGTACATCAGGTCAAACTTGTGGTCGATGCGGGAGAAGACTTCCTTGGGCTGCGCGGCACTCGGTTCCCCAGAAGACAGACACCCTTCTTGTTGGTTTAAGGGTACCATTGGGGAATTACTGTAGCCAAGAAAACGCCCCTGCGCCCACATCTTCACACAAGCAAACCGCCCAATGCCCCCCACATTTACTGTACTCCGGGCAAGCCTTCCTAAATGCAAGCCCGACGCCGCAATGGCCGTCGAGTTCGAGATCATGCAGCAGGCGCGCATCACCTTGGCCAAGTCTCCACCTCGGGTTTTCAAGGGCATTGCGCTGGGATGCTGGGAGTCGTTCAGAAGCCTCAATTCAACTGCTCCACAGCTTTAGACGACACCTTGGGGACTTTTCTCAAGTTCTCAGGGCTGTCACTTCCTTGCATCTGCGCACAGGGTTTGCCCTGCAACCCCGAAACCGCGAACCCTCAACCTGTCGCCAAACCCTGGCTTGTGTGTTGACGTTGGAGCAGAGGCCCATGATGGGGGCCTTCTTGGTACCCCGACTTTCAGGCATGCCATTCAAACAGACACAGTGACCCCCCAAGGGTCCATGGTCCAATCCTCATCCCTCAGCCCCCGTGAATATGATGGGCCCTTGCGGGGGAAGTAGGGTTTTTTTCTAACTAGGCGAAATATCGCTATGGTAGGGCATAACCTTCTTCAGGATACTTGAACCATACTTACAAAAAGAGCCCTGTGCAACCTTCAGGTATGGTCCTACAGAGCCCTAAGCCCTAAACCCTACAAACCCTAAACCCTACAAAGCTCTATAACCCTAACTCTCCCGAACGCAAGGGCCTGGAACCACCGTCGGCGGCTGGTAGTTGATGCCGCACTTGAAGCCGGTAGGGCACCAGTCCTTTTAAACAAAAAATGGCTTCAGGGTTTAGGGTTTAGGCCATTTTCAAGACAAATTGGCGGGGGTTAGGTAGGAATGAAGATGAGAGCGCAGGGCTTCTTGCACTCTTAATCCCGAAATCTGACCCTATAAGCCCTAAAAACCCTTAAGCCCTAAACCCTACTCCTTCAAGACTTGTGCCAGGCCGAGAATCCACGAACTGGATGGTGCGCTTGGTCTTGATGGTGGCCACTGCGGCATTCACGTCCTTGGGCACCACGTCGCCGCCTGAGCGAGAAAGCTTTCTCGTAGTCGCAGAGGGAGGGAAAGGTTCCGGGCCCTCAAGCCCCGACCGCCCCCCCGCCCCGTTCTGCATTGCTCGGGCCCCGCGCGGTACATCATGCAGCAGGCCATGTACTTCCCATGTCGGGGATCGCACCTGGGTCGGATTGGGGGCTGACTTGCAGCAAGTGCTGATGTCAGCCATCTCAAAATGCCGCTCCTGCAGTGTTGCTGTCTCCTGGCTACTTGTGCAATGGCTGCAATGGTTGGTTCGTATAGGGGATCTAGCTTGTGCATGGCCTGCCTGCCAGCTCAAGAAGGCCGAGATGCTTGACCATCATTGAAGCCGGCTCAAAGACGGACATCGTGATCTCGGCCACGGAGAGCTGCTCGTGATAGGCCTTCTCCGCGGAAATGACCGGGGCGTAGGACGTCAGCATGAAGTGGATGCGTGGGTAGGGCACCAGGTTCGTCTGGAACTCGGTGATGTCGACGTTCAAGGCTCCGTCGAAGCGCAGGCTGGCTGTAAGGGAGCTGATGATCTGAGCAATGAGGCGGTTCAGGTTGGTGTAGGTCGGGCGCTCAATGTCCAGATTCCTGTGGAGGGCGGTGAGCTGGGCGGGAGAAAATGCCGTTCTCTCAACAACACCCGGCCAAGTGTGGAGCCATCCCAAATCTCCAGGCAAAGGGTCCAAAATAGATGCCAAGACTCCTGCGGCAAATGTCATACAAGGCTTCGTTGTCGTACATGATCGTCACGTCTGTGTGCTCCAACAGGGAGTGGACGCACAGGACCTTGGTTTATCGCTGCATTTAGATGAAGACTTGTCGCAAGGTCCAATAGGCCGGAACATACAAAAACTTAAACCGCCACCACACAGAAAGGCGCGGGTGCCCTAAACTTGAACGAGGCGCCGTGTTGTACGGCTCGACGACTGCTGTCGCCACCTGGGGGCAGCACCAGACCGTGAAGGAAATCTTGCTCTTCTTTCCATAGTCCACGGACAAGCGCCTCGGGCGAGATTCTTGAGATTCTGGGAATCCTCCACCCCAACGACACAACCACTTCATGGCCTTCAGCCCTGCGAAGACGACTTTCCAAACCCCTGATAAGCCCTAAACCCTAAACCCTAAACCATAAACCCGAAATCCTAAACCCTAAACCTAAACCCCATTCGGCACTTCAAGCCCTCGAAAACCGAAAGAGGGAACCCTGAAACCCCGAAAATCCGGAGAAAGGCGCTCAAGCATCAGGCAGCCCAAGCCCGAGCCGGTACCCCCGCCGCAGGCCTGGGCTGCTCTTTTCGGGAGCTTCCACGTAGCTTCCCTCGTAGAGACCGAGGAAGCACAAGTGAACAAGCAAACAAATACTGAAGCCTAAGCCCTAAGCCTTAAGCCCAGAAAAAGAATAAGGGTAGCACTGGGGGCCGGAATAAGGATCCAGGGCTCATGAGGTCGTCAGAGTTGCTGCAATGGGGTATTTATATAAGCTGGAGTCGTCGGATTTCAAAATTCCAGCGTCTGCGAGAAGAGCCCCTTTTCGCCCAAATCCCAAGCCCAGAAAAATCCTAAAATGCCTAGAAGCATTGTAGACACAGAAGCCCTGCAAGCCAGTGCCTGGGCCAAGGGGTTGGTGGCGTTTGAGAGCCCTCCATGCAGGGTGTTCTCAGAATGTGCATATTGGTTGCTCACCTCGGCCCAACGAACAAAGACCTGAGCCGCCTAACTGAAACCATGGCCCATGAAATTCATGACATGAACCGAGCTCCCACTCTAAACCCTGACTTTGCACGATTCGATCATCAAAGGCCGGGCCATGTCGCGTCATGGTTGCAAAGAGACGGCCCACGCACAGACTGGTCTCTGAACACAGGCTTCATGCATCTCACAGATTTTTTCAGTGTCCGGTCATGCATGCGCAACTTCCCTATTATACTACCGTGATCAGAAGTGGTACCCATCTGCGACCCCTCCAAGGTGTAAGGCGTCATTGCAAGAGCCTCGCGAGCACTCCTGAAACTCAAGACTTCAGCAGCTGCGTCCGCGTTGCAGTTGTCGGCCAGCTTTCGGATCCTGCGGCAAACTGGGGGGGCGGGGAGGGGCAGGAGCAGATATATTTGTTCCATTCTGTCAGGCCGCGGTTAGATACAAGAGGTCTATATAATACTGTACAACTATATATATGTATGTATATATATATATATATACATACGTACATAAAGTTATGATGCCTAAAAGATCCCCGGCACACCTTCGGCCGACGATAAGAACGACGTGGCCCAACCGTACGTGTTGTAGAACGAGGAAGTAGCTTATCGCTTCAAACAAAGCGTAGCAATCCAACGGTCGATGCCCCAACACTTGAACTGCTCGCTTGCCTTTATCGCCTCAAGAAATTCGTAACATCCCTTGCTCCTTAACTGGCTTCCAAGCAAACGCTAGGCCAGCACCCGCAGACACACAAATGACAACGCCCGCTCCTGTCAAGCACCAAGTCAACAATCTCTTTCCCGATGGTGTAATGTCCACGAGCGAAGTTATTTGCCTTAACTGCTGCGCTGCTACAAAATGTCAGCCGTTTGCAATATGCGTCAACACCCTGGCGAGTAAGACCTGGCGGACCGAGCGTACCACCTGACCAATGTGCATTCGACGTCCAAGTGGCGGCATCCTCCTTCCCTGAAATGAGCTGCTCTGGGTGGAACAGCTGGCGGTAAGTTCCTGTGCGAACTTCATCCACGACTGTGGGCTCGAGATCCTTAGCACGAGATCATTTCTTGTACATGCATCATCCTGGCAACCGGCGGGATAGGTGCAAAGGAAGTCATCACGGCACCCCGAGGCGCTCATCAAAAGAAGGTCGAAGGTCTCAAGCTGGTGTGCAAATTGCTAATTAGCTATGAACTATTTTGTTTAATAATTGTATAAGCTCATTAGTTATTAACTAAATTATTAATTACTGTGCAACTGCGTAAGGCAGAGGCAGCTGCACAGCTCAGGCCCGGTCCACCATGACACAGCGAGGGACATGCTTCCCTGCCCCGGTCTCTGAGAAGAAGGTATTGAAGGCGTCCTTAAGGGGGGTCTATGACGGTTTAGGGTTTAGGGTTTAGGGTTTGGGGTTTAGGGTTTAGGGTTTAGGGTTTAGGGTTCAGCAGCTCTGGGTCGAGCAATCTCTAGTAGAGCCGCTGTCTGGACTCTAGAAAAAACCCACCCACCCAGAGAATCCCAAAACATTAAGAAATATAAAGTTCACATTTTTCCTCAGCAAGCCCTGTCCTCCAACCTCATTTATTCATTCTGCTCGTGTTCTTTGTCATTCTGCTTGGTTTCCATTCTGCTCGTATGCGTTTCTTTCTGCTCGTATTCATTCTGCTCGTATTCGTTCTTTTTCTGATCTGCTCGTCTCGTGTTCGTTCTCGTTCTGCTCGTATTCATTCTGCTCGTATTCGTTCTCTCTCTGCTCGATTTCAGTCCGCTCGTTTTCGTTGTTTTTCTTCTCGTATTCATTCTGTTCGTATTCGTTCTCTCTCTCTCTGCTCGATTTCAGTCTGCTCGTCTTCGTTCTCTCTCTGCTCGTAATCATTCTGCTCGTATTCGTTCTCTTTCTGCTCATATTCATTTTGCTCGTGTTCGTTCTCTTTCTGCTCGTATTCGTGCTTTTTCTGCACGTGTTCGTTCTCTCTCTGCTCGATTTCAGTCCGCTCGTTTTCGCTGTCTTTCTGCTCGCACTGAGTCTGCTCGTACTCATTCTCTTTCTGCTCGTATTCATTCTGCTCGTATTCGTTCTCTCTCTGCTCGATGTCAGTCTGCTCGTATTCGTTCTCTTTCTGATCATATTCACCTTGCTCGTGTTCGTTTTCCCCGGTGACTCTGCCTATGTTTGGCCGTCTTGTTGGTTGTGCTTGGCACACTTTAAGCTGCCTGACTTCCACATGGTTGCTTTCCAATTCGTGCCCCGGTGACCTCGCCTCATGTTGGCTCCTGCTCGTAGGGTTTGATGAGAGGCTTAGAGGTTTGTCGTATGTCCCCTCTCTTCGTGCTCGTAGGGTTTGTCGTATGTCCCTCCCTTCATGCTCGTAGGGTTTGATGAGAGGTCTACAGGTTTGTCGTACGTCCCCTTCGTGCTCTTAGATTTTGTCGTATGTCGCCTCCCTTCGTGCTCGTCGGCTTTGTCGTATGTCCCTCTTCGTCTGCTTGCAGAGAATCCCAAGAATTAAGAAATTGAGGTTTTATTTTCAGAGGTTTGTCGTATGTCCCCTCCCTTCGTGCTCGTCGGCTTTGTCGCATGTCCCTTTTCTTCTGCTTGCAGAGAATCCCAAAACATTGAGAAATGTACGGGTTTATTTTAGAGGTTTGTCGTATGTCCCCTCCCTTCGTGCTCGTAGGGTTTGACGAGAGGTCTACAGGTTTGTCGTACGCCCTCTTCCTTCGTGCTCTTAGGGTTTGTCGTATGCCTCCCTTCGTGCTCGTAGGGTTTGTCGTATGTCCCCTCCCTTCGTGCTCGTATGGTTTGATGAAAGGTCTACAAATTCGTCGCATGTCCCTTCCCTTCGCGCTCTTAGGGTTTGTCGTATGTCCCCTCCCTTCGTGCTCGTCGGCTTTGTCGCATGTCCCTTGTCTTCGCGCTTGCTTTCCCCAGACCGAAGGTAGAACCAAAAGTGTTGGTCCGGATTGACAAAAAAACCTAATTTTGTGAACCTCATGTTTTGTTTTCCCCCACCCCACCCTCGAACCATTCCAGTTCGAGCCAATCCCCAACCCACCCTAGAACCAACTACCCGTATTCGTTCTCTCTCTGCTCGTATTTCTCTTCGTCTTCGTTCTGCTTGCGTTCGTTCTGGGGGGGGGGGTGGGGGGGGGGTGGGGGGGGGTTGTGGGGGGGGGGGGGGGGGGGGGTGGGGGGGGGGGGGGGGTGGGGGGGGTGGGGGGGGGGGTGGGGGGGGTGGGGGGGGTGGGGGGGGTGGGGGGGGTGGGGGGGGTGGGGGGGGTGTGGGGGGTGGGGGGGGTGGGGGGGGTGGGGGTGGGGGGGGTGGGGGGGGTGGGGGGGGTGGGGGGGGTGGGGGGGTGGGGGGGGTGGGGGGGGTGGGGGGGGGTGGGGGGGGTGGGGGGGGTGGGGGGGGGGGGGGGTGGGGGGGTGGGGGGGGTGGGGGGTGGGGGGGGTGGGGGGGGCGGGGGGGGTGCGGGGTGGGGGGGGTGTTGGGGGGGTGTTGGGGGGCGGGGGGGGTGGGGGGGTGGGGAGGGTGGGGGGGGTGGGGGGGGGGGGGAGGGGGGGGGGGGGGGGAAAAGCCGTGGCCATTGGCAAAAAAGCCGTGGCCATTGGCAAAAAAAGCCGTGGCCACTTGGCAAAAAAGCCGTGGCCATTGGCAGAAAAGCCGTGGCCATTGGCAAAAAAGCCGTGGCCATTGGCAAAAAAGCCGTGGCCATTGGCAAAAAGCCCGAAAAGTTGCCAATGGCCACGGCTTTTTTGCCAATGGCCACGTTCCCCATTAAGGTTGGGGGGCATTTTGTGCGAATTGGGTTTGAAAAACCCATTTTGGCGACCAACCTTAATGACATTGGTGGCCATTGGCAAAAAAGCCGTGGCCATTGGCAACTTTCCCGTGGCCATTGGCGAATTTGCCAATGGCCACGGCTTTTTTGCCAATGGCCACGGCTTTTTTGCCAATGGCCACGGTTTTTTTGCCAATGGCCACGGTTTTTTTGCCAATGGCCACGTTCCCCATTAAGGTATGATAGAGAGAGTTTAGGGTTTAGGGTTTAGGGTTTAGGGTTTAGGGTTTAGGGTTTAGGGTTTAAAGTTTAGGGTTTAGGGTTTAGGGTTTACGGTTTAGGGTTTAGGGTTCCGGGAGGAAGACAAAAAACGGCAGCCCATTGAAAACATCGTTTGAAAAACTCTAGCTTTCTCGGTCCACATTGCCAATGTTCACGGCCCAGGCAGATCCCTCATTCTGCTGCCCCGTACGAAACCACTTAACTCGACATCACGTATACAGACACCCAACAGGCAGGGCAGAAGCAGAAGCAGAAGCAGAAGCAGAAGCAGAAGCAGAAGCAGCAGCAGCAGCAGCAGCAGCAGCAGCAGCAGCAGCAGCAGCAGCAGCAGCAGCAGCAGCATCAACCGCCCAGCGTCATCGCCACCTCCGATAGTCTTGTCCTTAGCGCCACGGAATGCAAGCGTGCAAAGGCACGAAAGGCAAATCACAAAGCCTCTTGCCGAGGCTTCTTCAAATCAAGCTGAGGGAAGTGTTTTGACTGCAGTCCAGAACTTTGTGTTGGGGCGTTCCTCACTCTACTGGGTACGAGGTCTGCTTTTGAGGCACAGAAGACTCTCCCATCTTCAAGACGAGTCTCGCTTGGCATCTGACCATCCGGCTGGATGCCATGCTCGAGGCAGAAGAGCTCCCAGCAGGCGTTTCCGATCTGCACACCACCCTGCACGGAGCCACAGTAAGATCCACCAGTCCTAGATGTGAGCCTCGGAGCCCTGATTGCTTTGGGCTTGGGGTTTACTGCGTGGTTCAGGGTTTAAGGTTTAGGGTTTAGGGCTAAGGCTTAGGGTTTAGGGTTTAAGGTTTAGGGTTTAGGGCCTTTCCCGCCTGGCCGATGTGAATGCAAATGGCCTCACGCATGACTTCGAAGGAGGAGTCGAGAAAGTCTCCGGAGGATCGAAGGAATCAAAGGCACCGATGGAAGGTGTCCTGTCTACCGCGAAGATCTTAAGAACTCCAAAAAGCCAAAAAACATTCTCTTCCTTATAAGGGTTATATAGGGATTATCACTTTTTATTCTTTGGGAGGTTCTTAAGCAAGTAGTCCTCAACCACCGCGCGATGTAGTGGCCTCAGTCACCAATCCTTTGTGCCGAGATGGCGCCCGGGGATGCGCGCAGGTAAGTGAAGCCAGCTCAATTTTTGCCTTTGGGCTGCAAGCTGAACCCATATCAGGCCGAGGGTTGGGGGAATGGACCGTTAGGCAGAGGGCTCCTAAACCCCACACCCCAAACCCCAAACCCTACGTCTAGGAGGACACTCATGAACCCGAGGCCTATGTCATGAACAATGCTCGTTTAAAAACCCTTAAACCTCCCTAGCCGATTCGGCCCACTAGAGGCAAAAAAAGGGACCCCCATGCAATGCGAGACGACCGACTCCGTTATTCTGCTACAGGTGGTGGTGCTGGATGGCATGATGAGCCGAGATGTTTCGTGGCTTTTGCCTCGTTCTTGCTGCACTGCGCGATGCTATTGGTACCGAGCTGCCCAGGCAATTTGTGCATGTGGGGGGAGCCTCCCAAAATACCCAAACCCCTAAATCTGTTTTTCTTCTCCTGTGGCTGGTGCTAAATACCTTAAGGCCTAAACCCTGAACGCTAAACCCTAAACCCTAAAGCTCAACCCTGGGGCACCAGGACTGCATCGGCACGATGAACAGGCCCGCTGCAACCTACCAACGTGGAACACGTCAAAACTTGGGCATTTAGGCTTGAGGACTGTAGGGCCTCACGGTTCAGGATTTAAATTTAAGGACCTATAAAGCGCCTGAACTCTAAACCCTGAAAAAAAGAACATCAATGCCCGGCTCCTTAGGAGCCTCTTTTGTGTTCAGAGGGCATACCCTAAACCCTAAACCCTAAACCCTAAACCCTAATACGGTGTAGGGGTCTCCCTATGATGCTGCCATGCAGCCTCGGCGGGCGCAGTTTCCACGCCCAGCTCGTCGCAAACCTGAAGCACCTGCCGACAGAGGGCTGCTAACATGGGGGGCCTTTCGGACTATAGTGTGGGTACGGTACAGTTTTTTGAGGCTGTTCATATTCATGTACTAGGCAGTACAGTTACACAAGGATGTTTGGGGGACGAGTTGGTGATGATTTAAGCTCCTGAGTGATCCAGCTCTACTGGCTTGGCCGGGTGGTTTGGGGAGGTCTGTGTCCTACAGTTGCAGCGCTTCAAGCTAGGCCTCTCCACCAGCTCTTGCCATCTAAGTCTAAACCCTAAACCGTAGACCCCAAACCCTGAACCCTAAGCCCTCAACCCTAAACCTTCGACCCTAAACCCTAAACCCTCAACTTTGAACCGCAAACCCTGAACATCGCAACCCTCAACCTTCGGAGCATGCCCGGCCCTGCTCTCCCGGCCCTTTCCTCCCAGGATCAACGTACGATGTCGGGTACATGACAGGACTTTTGAGGGAATTGCAGAATTTGCAATTCCGTGTGCACAAATTCACGCGCTGCTGTAGTTTCTAAAGCTGCGCCCATTAAAGCAGATTTGATTCCGCACTGTGCCGTGCAGTGGGTCGAGCCACAACGGGCTGCTCAAAAGAGGCGATGGAACACTGGCCACAAAGCGGCTAGCGCACCACAACCACATCTATACAGACGGTCTGGGCTGTCAAAGACCAGACGGTCTACCAAAACTAAAATTCATTGACAAAATCGTCAGAGTTCTAAGCATGTGCCTAGCGAATTAGAGCGGGGTGTCTCAGAATGCGTCAGACTTCTGCGAGAGCATTTGCATCTTACACAGCACATCCTTCTGAGACCACCAAGATTTCTACTGAACCCTAAACCCTAAACCCTAAACCCTAAACCCTAAACCCCTCACATCTTGGACCTCAACGTCCTGAGACATGTGCAGCTGACAGCCTGCGTGAGTCCGATGCTTTGGGATGAGACTCGGGCTCTTAGGCTACTTGGGTAGTAATATACTGGGTAGATATAAGGTAGGTTCTAGGTGTTACAAGCTAGGGCCCTCGTGGGCGATTCTTCTTCTTGAGAAGCGCATATCAAGAAAGTTACCCGCAGGGGAACGCGACCTCAAACTCAGGACAACACCATACCTTTCTCAGCCAGAGCTCAACCGGTTCCCCTGCACCCCCAAATTAACGAACACAGGACCCCTGTATCGTTGCAAAGGCAGCTCCATACAAAAAATGAACCCATTCATTTAAGGAATCCCTTAGCCCCCATAGAGTTCCAGGCACCCTACACCCTAAACCCCAAACCTTAAACACCCTAAACCCTGATTGCGAGCTGTTGGGCTCTCTGGCAACAAAGCACAGAGCACGCCGGGCCCCTCCCCCATGCCTCAAGGGTTCTTCGGCTGTAGGAAGCCTGGCCATCAGCGTTCAGCGTTTCAAGGTTTGCCACGTAGGGCTTAGGGTTGCAAAATCTAGGGCCCCGAGCTCCTGTCCCTTGAGACGTGATTTCTCAGAACGCCGCACGAAGTGTTTTTGGACCACTAGCCCTGAATGGCATGCGAGTCGTGTCTATGTGTGTGTGTGGTGATCTACATGTTGAGCCTTGTCTATGTATACATTTAGACAGTACGTATCATCTCTAATCTTATATGTATAAAAGAACATAATCTCATGTAAATGAGAGTAATCTGAGAGTATACTACATGTACGATTACGGTTCTGTGCATGCATATATATATATATATATGCACGCACACACACACACACGCACACTTTTTGCATGATTTAAAAATCAGGCTCCATGTAGTTAAGGTGGCATCAAAGATACCCCAAATGTATAAAATACTCCCAGTTTGGTCATAATATAGTGTATACCGGGGGGGTGTTCATGTTAATATTAAATGGGAAGGGAATCAACAGCTCTCCTGCCTGGAGTTTTCACGTCCTCGAGGCCTCGGCAGGGGTTGGCAACTTGGCAACCCCTGAGCCGTAAACCCACTTGGAGGTTCATGGGTACTGATAAGTGGGGATGTAAGGTCCCTATAATTATGATCTTACTTAGGGGTACTTCCAACCCCACTTACAACTACCCTTGAACCTCCGAGTAGGGCTCACAGGGGACTTTCTGGGCCAATGAAAGGCCGTGGCCTTTCTTTGACTTTAACAAATAAATAAATAAATATATATATATATATTTTTTTTTATTTATTTATCTATTTTTGTTCTTTATTTGTTGTTTAAATTTACTTTGCTTTTTTTGGCGGGGGGGGGTTGGGGGTTGACATGGCGAAAAAGAGAGTTCTTTGGGGGCTTCGAGTGTAGGGCGTCTCCTCTGGGCTTGGGAAGAGGACATGGAGTGGTGCAAGCGACTGCGGAGGGGATGGGTCCTGGGCAAGATTTTGGGGCTCGCAGAGCCTTGGGCTTGCTGGGGAAGGGTGGTAGGTCGGGCTTTGGGTTTTGGGTTTTGGGTTTAGGGTTTAGGGTTGAGGGTTGAGGGTTGAGGGTTGAGGGTTGAGGGTTGAGGGTTGAGGGTATGGTTTTGTAGAGGTCTCCTGCAGGCAGGCAGCAGCGGCAGCTCGGAAAGTCTTCCGGCAAGGCGTCCTGCAGAGGCCCGCAGGCCCTAAACCCTAAACCCTAAACCCGGTCTCAAGTGAGAGATGAAGGCGCGCCGGAATATGTGTATGCACCGGCAACGTAAGTGCGGAAGCCCGGCTGCAGAGCACTCCATCCGTCTAAGTAATAGAAACGACAAGAGCAGTAATGGTCACAATACTCTAATACTCATAGTATAAAATCCTTCAAAAGTGCTACTGGTAACCCATGGCCTTTGCCCGTTGAGAGTGAGGCGATGGCAGGGGCAGCTTTGGAAGCCGCGCGATTTGCGCATCTGGCAGCGAGGTTGAAGAAACCGCAAAGCTCGCGCTGCCCCAGGAGCCCAAATCGGCCTACTTGGGGGAACATGGGAACTTTTAACAGGCTTTTTTGTGGGGTGACTATGGCTATAACCCGACCCTACTTATAAGGTTCTATGAGCCTTCAAGTATTCACAACCACCCACAACTGAGGACTGAGGAGCGTGCCGACGGATACCTTACTCGGCAACACGGACGCAATGACCGGCTCGAAGATGGGGCCCTCAGGGCAGGGAGGTGGCAGAAAGTCACGCCTGGCAAAGATCGGGACGATCTGAGTGTGAGACATACATGGACTTCACGCGATCTTCGAACACGCCATAGAGTCGGTGCTCCTCCATGTATGCACCTTGGACACTCTTTGAAGCTGCACACAGCGGGGTGGCGGTGGCGGTGGGGGGACTATGGTCCCTTCGTGTCCTCCTTCGTTCCCATCATCCTAAGGAGCGTCACTTTTTAGCCTTACCCCAAAAAAGGACCATAATTTTGAGGACTGCACACACGAGATCTTGCCAGTAGGATGTTGTGAAGTGCCTCTGCTTGCTCACGATGCATGCAGGGCACGCAGGATGTGTCCGGTCCCGCCAAGCATTGCCACGACCTGGCAGTTCATCACTTACTAGGGTTTTCTCTCATTGGGGCTTTGGGTCGTTGGGGTACATCTGGCATAGCGTTACTAGGGCTTCTCGGGGTAGTAGGGGGTTGTGCGGGCCTACTAGGGGTAATTATTGGGGTCCTCTAAAACTACTCGGGCACTTAGCAAGATCTTGAAGGGCGAGGTGCCGAGAAGAGCAGCCCTTCAATTATGAGGCCAAAGGTTTAATTCTGGTCGTCACTGGTTCTAACCTCAAGCACAGCGGGCACTTATAGCCCTTGGGCACTTCTGGCCCTAGTTGTGGATTCTCCAAGTACTGGGCGCAGGGCCGTGGTGGCTTTCGCATCCCAAGTCGCCATTGGCGCGACCTTGGCCACTTGGGCGCAGTTCTCTCAAACCCTTTCCGGAACGAACTTCCCCAAAACCCCCCTAGCCCCTAAACCCTAAACCCTAAACCCCCCTTCCCCCAAAGAAACCAGCCCTACAACCCTCAGACCCGAAACCTGAGCTCGAGCCACCAGGGCTCCGGACGGCCTTGCCGGTGTTTGTGAAAGACTCGATGCTGCCAACGGGGGTTTGAACCCGAGGCATGGCAAGCATGTGGTTGTACCTCTCGGGCTTAGGGTTTCTAGCTGAGGGTGGTTTAGGGTTTAGGGTTTAGGGCTTAGGGTTTAGGATTTAGGGTTTGGGGGTTTCGGGTTTAGGGTTCAGGGCTTAGGGCAGTCTTGATTTGAAAGGAGGGGCTTCTCAACTCAACACACATGTGCACATGGGGGTTTTGGCCAAAATAAGGGACCCCCAATGTAGACCCCATGTAGTACTTATCAGAAGGGCCCCAATAAGGTACCCCTAATTTCGGAAACCGCCACATGCATCCTAAAGCTCGATGAAGGCTCCCCCCGCATCGTTGCTAGACTTTCTGAGATGCCTCCGTGTTCGCCGATGCAGAGCTTCCGGCTTCGAATAGGGCTTTACAGGGTGCGTTTTTTGGTGCTTTTCAGGGCTTCATGGAGCTTTAAAAGGGCTTTGCAAATGCTTTTCATGGCTTTACAGGGCTTTTGGAGGGTTCTAGAGGTTTAAGGCTCAAGGCTGGCGCACCACGCGAGTCCAGCAGCCGAGTCCTGGGCTGGTGACATGAGAGGCTCACCGTGGGTTTAGGGTGTGTAGGGTGTAGGGTGCAGGGTGCAGGGTGTAGGGTTTAGGCTTTCGGGTTTAGGGTTTAGGGCTACAACTCAATCCTGTGGTCATCTCAGGCTCACGCGACCAGAATTGAAGGGAACGCTGCATACGGTGTGAGAACTGTCTCCTCAGCACATCTCAGCAGCGGTTGGGAACAAAGCCGGGGGGGGGGGGGGGGGCGCGGATTCTCAAACTGCAAAGGACGAAATCGTTCTAAGCGCCAGGCAGTGAAAATTGGCTGCTCTGCCAGTGCCTGCGCTGACGTGAGGCCACATAGACTGAAGTGGGGTAAGTGTGGGGTTGCCTAAAAACACAGTAATGAACCCTTCCTACAGATCCCCCCAAAAATAGCAGGATCAGGATTCCCTTATAGTCAGGACCCCAAGAAGGCAGGCACCCCTAGGCCCCTTAGGGAAACACCCGAGTCACTCAAGAGCCCTCTGAGACACCCGCAAAAACCCACAGGGCCCCCCCACCTGAATGCCCAGGGCGCTGCAGTAAGGATGCGCGTCGCACTGCACACCTCGGCATCCAGGGCGTAGAAGGAGTTTAGGGTCTAGGGTTTGGGGCTTAGGGTTTAATTAGGGTAAGTGTCTGCTTATGACCCTGGCTTCTGGGCCCTCTTCTTACTTCCTGCTGCGGCTGGGTAAAGTTGATGTGTCCAGCATCTTCTGCTGGAGTACGGAGCTTCTCCTAAAACCCTAGACCCGAAACCCTAAACCCTAAACCCTAAACCCTAAACCCTAAACTGGCTTCCGAAGCAGCTGCTTCCAGCCGGGATGCCGTTGGGCGCGTTGACCGAAGCCATCAAGCCGGGCCTTCAGTTGTCAGTAGGGTCTTCAGGGTTTAGGGTTTAGGGTTTAGGGTTTAGGGTTTAGGGTTTAGGGTCTTCAGGGTTTAGGGTCTTCAGGGTTTAGGGTCTTAGGGGTCCGGGTTGAGGGTTCAGGGTCCTCAGGCTCGAGGTCATCTAGTGTGCCCTTGACAAGGACTCCTTTCACTTACGGCCTGCTTGATCCATCCGGTCATGTCTGGTCAGCTCTCTAAGTCTCTAAGTTGGTTTTGTTGTTGCGCTAAGCACAGGGGGGGGGGGGGAGTGCAATAGGACCCCGAACAGGAGTTCCGTTAGAGACCTGCTGGTGAACGCCGAGGAGGCTAGAATTAAAGGTACGAGACGGGATTTGGGGTCGAATGGGGCTCAATTCATTGCATCCTGGACTACCCCTCAAAACAGGGCTGAACCATCCTGAATTATGGCTGATGTGGCTATGGTATCGCCAAGCAGGTCAAGACACCCAAGTCCGTGGCAGCTGTAGTTGCACTGAATTCTCCAAGCGTGCAAACTCTCCGTTTGCAAACAGGTGCTTGACCTGGGCGCACGCGCTGCCAGCAACGCGGCCCGTCGAAAACTCTGTGCTCTGAGTTCACATGTTCTAGAGCGACTGTAGTACGAGTACCTCCAGTAGCAGGTTGTGATGCACGCCGCTCTCTCCACTCACTGCGAAAAAACGCCGCTGAGCGCCCAGACCAAGGGAATGTCCATGTAGGGAAGCTGTAGCGTCTTCCACTGTTCATGTGCTGAAAACCTGCGTCCCGCACGTGGAGAACAAAAATCTGACGACCTATAGAAACCCCAAGGAGGCTCCAAGGACCTCAGGGCGGCGCCAGAAACCCTTTTGCACAACCATCTTCGTGCTGTCGGCAGCAGTATAGACAACGGGCTCGACCTCAAGCTTACGGGATCTTGAAGCTTTATAGGGCCACTTTGGCCTTAACAGAATCTGAAAGTTTCAAAGGCACGCGAAAGGAATGTGAGGCTCGGGGCGTGCTCCGCTTTGATCTTCCACATGCGCTGCTTCTCCTCCTGCAAAGAGCTTGCAGAAGCACGGGTGCAGCTAAGAGAGAGATCGCACGGAAACCAGAAAGCCTGCTGTCAGTTCCATTTCCATTCTTCGTTTTTTCTGGGTGGGAGGGTCCACCCCGGAGGCCCCCCTGCACGACTCAGATTTTCTCCTCTCTTTCTCTGCCGAAAACAAAGTCTCGGTTTGTGTAAGATGAGGGGAATGTCACATGGGAGTCTACGAACATGCCCGTGATATAGACCCCCAAATAGTAGCATCCCCTTAGAATAAGGACCCCCAGTAAGGTACGAGCTTCCGCGAGCGGGATTTGCAATCTTGGAATTTTCTTGTCTTCCGTCTCGGGTTGGAGTTTACGATAGCTTCTGCTTCGACTCCATCCCTCATAGTCTCTCTCACACAACAAGGAACATGATTTGCTAGTTTGGGAGTGTCTTTCGGTTCTGCATTTGTTTCATCTCTTCGTACAGGCGAGCTCGCCAATTACGCCAGGGCTGGCTGATCTCATCTTTGGTTGGTCCTTTCCATCTCTCTGGGAAACTACTTCCGTCTTCGATTATAGCAGCGAAAGCGCCCACACAATTCGCGAAACTACTTCCGTCTTCGATTATAGCAGCGAAAGCGCCCACACAATTCGCAAGAGGTTCGTTCTCCATGCAGCACCGGCAAGTGATAACACTTTCCCGGCCTCGCCATTGTTTTCGAATTTGCTCCAGTTGCCAAAGAGATCCATGAAGAGAACAATCCTGTTGTGCACATTCTCCGGACTCTGGTTCGGCGCCAAAGTCGCCAGTACTGCGAACACCGGCTACTTGAAGACTGAGGGAACCGCATCTCCCCCTCAAAAGGATCCCAAAGCACCTTGGTACGAGGCATGGCGGCTTAGTGGCGATCACCTCTACAGCGATGTTCACACAACTTGCGCGCACCAGCAGGATTTCCGCTGATAGTTTGCTTGCTTTGCAAGCGTTTGTCGCCCCATGTGCTCCACCGGTGCAAGACAGAACCCGGGCAATGAGGCAGCGACCATGTTGTTCAAGTTGCGGGCATTGGAGGCATTCTTTGCAACCTCAAGATGCGACAGGAAGTCCACAGTCCTCCTCTATTTGGCCGAAGGAAAACCTGTCGTCGAGGCAGGCACATCGATGGTCATGTTCTTCAGCTCGGCTATCATGCGCACCTCTGCAGAAGCGCCGCAGGTAGCGCGGCACATGACCCTCTCCCTTAGGGTAGTTACATGGACCTTAGTCTGTGCCTTGAAGGGGCCCCTTATATACACTTACATACCCTTATATACCCTTATCTGCCCTTATATACCCTTATATACCCTTGATATACCCTTCTATACCCTTCTATACCCTTCTATACCCTTATATACCCTACACAACCCCCCAAGGGCCCGTGCTTCAGAACCCTTTAGACAAGAACAAGAACAAGAACAATAGCAAAACGCTACCAGTATCAACCAGGAATTCGTTTTTGCAATGAGGTGGGCTCCAAGAGCAGCGATTCGTTGGATGCGGGCATCAGCAGCCAGACCCTAAGGGGCTTCGGGTGTAGGGCTTATGACCCTAAACCCTAATTCCTAAACCCTAAACCCTAAACCCTAAACCCTAAACCCTAAACCCCGGACATCCTGAGGCCAAGACCAGGCCAGACCCGTCGTAAAACAAGTTGACGACCGAGGCCTCGCAGGCCCACAGAGTGCTAAGGAGGCTCCTGAACCCCAAGCTCTTAGTAGGGTTTAGGGTTTAAGGGTTAGGGTTTAGGGTTTAGGGTTTAGGGTTTAGGGTTTAGGGTTTAGGGTTTAGGGTTTAGGGTTTAGGGTTTAGGGTTTAGGGTTTAGGGTTTAGGGTTTAGGGTTGTGCCCTTGAGAGCCCTCAAGAGCCCTGCCTAGCCCTTAAAACCCTAAAACTCTCCAGCCCTCAAGCCCTTAATAGCCCTTGTAAAGCCCTTAAACCCGATAAGCCCCGGGACCGGGATCTACACACACACACACACCCTAACAACTAAATTAAATCCATCTGTTTGATTATTCGGCCTCTTTTGGGCTTAAATGGGGCCGGCGGTTGTCGGTGGGCCCTCTCGGAAGGCACCTTCATCCTCAAAAGCCGGGCGTTCCAGCGCTGGGCCATCTGGGCAAAACGGCCTCATGGCTCTGGTCGGGCGCTGGCTTCGCTAGTAAACCTTTTTGCACTACAAAATGTGACTCAAAGGGCACCACACAGAGACCCCGTGTTCAGAACTACCCCAAACTTAGGGTTTGAGTTCAAAAAATATTGAGAAGCTTGCGGGTTTCGGATGGGGTTGGTCGGTGGCTTTAAGCAGCTTCCAGGCGTACGGGGGTCAGGAATTACAGGCTTTTTGGGTGCTCGAACCCCCTAAAGCCTCCTCGACGCCCGCGCTGTTTCTTCCTGGAAACATCTACTTGATTTCGCTTTGATGAATACGGAACACAGAATATACAGAATACAGAATTACACCCAGAATGTTGCACTCATAGGCGACTGCAGCTCTGTCGGCGTGTGCTGCTTAGGTCAAGACTGGATGCACCCTGCTGCGCAGCCCGCCGTTCGAGAACATGCACCTCGGAGGTTGTTCCGCAAGGTTCACGTCCCTCAGACAGGGACCCGGCACCCACCACCCCGAAAACACCAAGGTGCCCCGAAAGGGCCAACGTACTCTGAATGCCTGTGGCCCTTGATATGCATCCCAAACCCTCATCTCTAAATCCCATAAACCCTAAACCCCTGAAGTGGATCCCATAAACCCTGAACCCTTGAGGAAGCTCAGCTGGAGTCCCAGGACCAACCCGTGGCTAAGGAACGCGCCACCGCTGCGGCGCCGAATGCGAGCTGACCGTTGTCCAAGCCGGGCAGGCCTCAAGCTCAAGGCTTGAGGGTTTCGGGCTTGGGGATTATGTAGGATTTCTTTGGAAGGGTTTGGGAGGGTTTTGGGTACCCTAGATAAGAGGCTCCCAGAAAGGACCACAAAAGTTGAGAATCTAAAACCTAAACTTTATAGTTATAGATCACCTTCGCTGCTTGGCTTGCGGCTCGTCTCCCAGCCCAGAAGCGGCATTATCTTGCTGTCGCCAGGGTCCGTGGGACCTTGTGTCTCTGAGCAGTTGCCCGCATACTCCTACAGGTCTTTCGTAGGGGATGAGGGATTTAGGTACCTTAGAATCCCTTAAAGGGTTTCCCTACTAAGAACCAGCACTTTGAGGCCCAGGCTAGGTGGGCCTCATGTTTCATCCGCCACGCCCACCATCCTTAACCCTACAAACCCCTAAACCCTCTGAACCCCTAAATCCTACAAAGCCCCAAACACCATAAACACCCCAAAACCACCCTCTGCGGGTTTACTGTAGGGTTTAGGGTTTAGGCGGTTTAGGAATCAGGGTTCAGGGTTCAGGGTTTAGGGCTTGTGCAATTTGATTTGAATTTATATTACTACCTGGAATATCTCTTGGGTTCAGGGCCTTAGTTGGGCTGCAGAGGGTCCCGGCTCTTGCAGTGGCCGGCCTCGTTGACGCCACGAGAGCAAAACCTCTGGTGGTTCGTCAGGTCAGAAAGGGTTTGGGATTTAGGGTTTAGGGCCTTAGGGTTTAGGGTTTAGGGCCTTAAGGGTTCAGGGCATTTAGGGCCTTTAAGGCCCTTAGGGTTTCAGTTGGCCTTTAGAGGTTCAGGGCTCAGGGTCGATTGACCTTTTCCGGGGGGTTGGGGTTCACTTAGTGTTCAGGATCTCGTGCGGGAGGCTCAGGGCTTCGGATCCTCTGGGGCTGGGAAACCTTTGGGGATCTGCTTCAGCGCTTTGCTCTTGAGGCGTATTCTCTGCTTGGTCTTCTGGGGAAACCCTAAACCCTAAACCCTAAACCCCTCTGGGGAAAGCTTTCGTGACGCGCATCCTGGGGTCTCCGAGCTCCCCGGCCAAGGGAGGAAGCCACCGTAGCCTGGAAAGCGCGCGTCGAAGTCCTCCAAGCTCTTGGCCTGCTGTGGGCGGAGCTTTACAGCTTTAGGGGTTTAGGGTTTAGGGTTTAGGGTTTAGTTTTTCTTCTCCCTCTTGTTGATGTTGGGTGTTCTTATTGAGCTTTGGTTTTCGTCTCCTGCGCGTTGTGCTGTCCGGAGCCGGACCTACCCACAGTGAAGGGCCTGCAGGGTGCCTCCTCTACTCTCTATGTCAGCCAGTCTTTCAGGAGAAAATCTGCGAGCAGGCCCTTGCACTCAGGGAACCATGCCTGCCCACAGGCACTAAGAGCGATGTCGCCCTGCTTTAGTGCGATGAACCGCTGGCTCACTTGGTCCAGTCTGTCACGGACCAACATCTCTCAGACAGCTGTTGCAGGATGTTTGCTTGATGGCGGAGGTTGACTTCATCTTGCAATGTTCGGATACATACCATCATACTTGAAGGTTTGTGCCTGCTTAGAAGTAGGACTATACGTAGCTTAAGTCCTTAGGACCAGAATCCGTACTTCTAAGTACCCATGAACCTCCAAATACAGAGACCCCAAGCCCTGGCCTTCTTCTCCAGGATGTCCAGCGCCTGCAGGCTCAGGGTTTATTGGGGGTTTGAGGCTTGTAGGGTTTTAGGGTATGGCCCATGTGCGCAAAATGGAAATCCACGAAACTTTCGAGCTACCTAAACGGGCATGAAATCGGGGGGTTCATCCTTTCTTGGGGGTTCCCTGTTATCGCTTTTTCCTGATGGCACAGGGTCGCATAAGGGTATCGAAGCCTTGAACTGCCACAATCAGACAAGCATGCAGGGCGGGATGGACAAGGATGCTGGTTTTGCTGTCTGAGCGCCCATGTAGGAACAGGGGGTAACTATACCCGGAACACGGAAGCCCTTCTGAAACAAGGGTGACCCTGAGTTTTGGAAACCTCCCTAAAAGGAAAACTCGCAGATTCCTTGAAGGCCGGGCCTCATCGTCACTGTAGAGCAAATGCAGTGCGGCCGCCTGCCTCGGCAACATCCAGGAATTCACAGAGCTGGCACCGCGCTTTTTGCAGTTCAGGGTTTAGGGTTCACAAGGGTTTGGGGTTTAGGGTTTAGTGCCGGGCGAAATGCAAACGGCATCACGCGCCTTGCATATTTTGCTGGGCCTCTGGTGGGAAAATCGGCAGGGGCGCAGCCCGGAGTGTGTCAGACCACGCGAAAGCATGTTTGCACAGTTGTACATTGCGTTTTTGTGAACCCTTGAACTTGAGCAGCAAAACTGCTCACCGCATCTTGACCCCCTGCTTCTGGAAGAGCGCCTGCCCTCCGAAAGATGAGAAGCCCATCTCCATGGCGTTCCACTCAGTGGACTTTTTGACAAACATCCTAAGTAAGGTCGTCTTCCTCTTCATCTCCTCAGGCGTGTAGGTCACATCAGGCACCCAGCAAGCTTTGAGCCCATAAGGGACTGCTGACTGCTCAAGAGGGATCTGACACACAGGCCCCTGCGAGATGTCCTTTGCATCGAAAATGAGGACAGAGCTCTTGTCCTCCTTTCCATTGAAGCTAACTGAAATCAGGTACCCATCCTCCTCTCCATCGAGGCCTTCTTTGGGAACGAACAGAGGCTCTCCCACGAATTCGGAAGTTCCTCCTAACCACTCATCAACCTCGCCAGTCTCCACGTCGATCTTGGCAACTCCGCCATAGGGGCCCACATCGCCATGCGCCACAGCAGCATAGACAAACTGATGTTTCTTGCCGTTCAGGGATGGGTTCACTGAGACGAAGCCCAGATGTCGGTCACAGAGGCTCCGCTTCGTGAAGCTTTTGGTCTTGAGGTCCACCTGGGCGGTAGCAGCTCCAGATTACAAGCACGAATACCAGAATGCTAGCATTAGTACTGGTCATAGGAGTAAGTACAAGAAGGACCAGGAGGTGAAGTAGTAGTGGTAGTGGTAGTGGTAGTGGTAGTGGTAGTGGTAGTGGTAGCGGTAGCGGTAGCGGTAGCAGTAGGGGTAGTGGTAGTGGTAGTGGTAGTAGTAGTAGTAGTAGTAGTAGTAGTAGTAGTAGTAGTAGTAGTAGTAGTAGTAGTAGTAGTAGTAGTAGTAGTAGTAGTGGCAGTAGTAGATGGTAAGTGAGACTATGCAACAAATAGCCAGAGTTGTAAGGGCTACGCAGAGTATAGTCAACAGTAAACAGCGCCGAACAAGTACTTACCAAGTACCAAGTACTACAGGAACTGGGTGGTACATAATAAGAGGTTCGTAGATAGTAGTAATATACAATACGTAGTAAGTTGCAAGTGCAAGCTATACGTAGCAACAGGAGGAGACGCTTAGAGCAAGGGTAGGGTGGAGTAAAGATTCGTCTCCTCCTGCTTGCCGTGCCAAAAACTGAGGGGTAGCAGTTCCAAGCTTTCAGACATGCGCCTCATAGCGCACGAGCGAGCGCTTGGGCATGTTGCAGGGATCCTGGTCCTCCCAGCGCGGTCTTGCAGCATCGCTGCTGCCAAGCTCCCAGCGTGTGGCAGCCACCATGTCCACTACGATGCGCGCACCACCGTCCTCCATCACTCTAAAGGTGGAATTGAGGGTCTATAGGGTTTCGGGTACCCGTGTCGAAGGGGGGGTTTTGGGCTTGTGGGTTCCGGGTAGTCGTGGAGGCAAGGAGCATGCGGCCAGTGCCAGGCACGGATCAAATCTATTGATGACGTTCCGGGCATCGTTCGTCACCGTTCGAAACAGACTATCTTTTTGTGATGCAAGACTATTCTTACATACACAATATGGGGTTTACGAAAATAAGGGCCCAAATAGTAGGATCCCCTTATAATAAGGATGCCAAAAAGGTGTTTACCCCTGATTTCGGAAACCACCATTTTTTTGGCTGGTAGTCAGAAGTAGCAGGAACACTTAAAGGGCCCAGGGATCCTGGTTCAGGGTTTCGGGTTTAGGAGTTTAGGGTTTAGGGCCTGAGGTTTCGGACTTCGGGTTTAGGAGTTTGCAGCAGGGTTTGGAAGTTTAGGTTTAGGAGTTTAGGGTTAAGGGCCCAGTGTTTCGGACTAGTTTAGGAGTTAAGGGTTTAGAGCCTAGGGTTTAGGAGTTTCGGGTTTAGGGCCTAGGGTTTAGGAGTTGGAGTTTAGGGCTTGGGGCCTACCGCCCCTTGTCACGCCCGACAGAGCATCATGAGCATCAGCCGGCAGGCCTTTTAGGGTGGGTCACGCCAGTCACGCCCGACGGCGAGCATCATGAGCATCAGCCGGCAAGCCCTTTAGGGCGGCTCACGCCAGTCACGCCCGACGGCGAGCATCATGAGCATCAGCCGGCAGGCCTTTTAGGGTGGGTCACGCCAGTCACGCCCGACGGCGAGCATCATGAGCATCAGCCGGCAAGCCCTTTAGGGCGGCTCACGCCAGTCACGCCCGACGGCGAGCATCATGAGCATCAGAGCATCATGAGCATCAGCCGGCAAGCCCTTTAGGGTGCGTCACGAGCATCATGAGGATCACTCGGCAAGCAAGCCCTTTACGCCCAACAGCAAACATCGTGAGCATCAGCCGGCAAGCCCTTTACGGGGGGTCACGCCAGTCACGCCCGACAGCGAGCATCATGAGCATCAGCCGGCAAGCCCTTTAGGGTGGCTCACGCCAGTCACGCCCGACAGCGAGCATCATGAGCATCAGCCGGCAAGCCCTTTAGGTGGCTCACGCCAGTCACGCCCGACAGCGAGCATCATGAGCATCAGCCGGCAAGCCCTGTAGGGTGGCTCACGCCAGTCCCGCCCGACAGCGAGCATCATGAGCATCAGCCTTACGCCAGTCACGCCCGACGAGCATCAAGCCCTTTAGGGTAGCTCACGCCAGTCACGCCCAACGGAAAACATCAGCCGGCAAGCCCTTTAGGGTGGGTCACGCCAGTCACGCCCGACAGCGAGCATCATGAGCATCAGCCGGCAAGCCCTTTAAGGCGACGCCCGACAGCGAGCATCATGAGCATCAGCCGGCAAGCCCTTTAGGGTGGGTCACGCCAGTCACGCCCGACGGCGAGCATCATCAGCACCAGCCGGCAAGGCCTTTAGGGTGGCTCACGCCAGTCACGCCCGACAGCGGGCATCATGAGCATCAGCCGGCAGGCCCTTTAGGGTGGCTCACGCCAGTCACGCCCGACAGCGAGCATCATGAGCATCAGCCGGCAAGCCCTTTAGGGTGGGTCACGCCAGTCACGCCCGACAGCGAGCATCATGAGCATCAGCCGGCAAGCCCTTTAGGGTGGCTCACGCCAGTCACGCCCCACAGCGAGCATCATGAGCATCAGCCGGCAAGCACTTTAGGGTGGCTCACGCCAGTCACGCCCAGCGAGCATCATGAGCATCAGCCGGCAAGCCTTTTAGGGTGGGTCACGCCAGTCACGCCCGACAGCGAGCATCATGAGCATCAGCCGGCAAGCCCTTTAGGGTGGCTCACGCCAGTCACGCCCGACAGCGAGCATCATGAGCATCAGCCGGCAAGCCCTTTAGGGTGGCTCACGCCAGTCACGCCCAGCGAGCATCATGAGCATCAGCCGGAAAGCCTTTTAGGGTGGGTCACGCCAGTCACGCCCGACAGCGAGCATCATGAGCATCAGCCGGCAAGCCCTTTAGGGTGGCTCACGCCAGTCATGCCCGACAGCGAGCATCATGAGCATCAGCCGGCAAATCCCTTTAGGGTGGCTCACGCCAGTCACGCCCAACAGCGAGCATCATGAGCATCAGCCGGCAAGCCCTTTAGGGTGGCTCACGCCAGTCACGCCCAGCGAGCATCATGAGCATCAGCCGGCAAGCCTTTTAGGGTGGGTCATGCCAGTCACGCCCGACAGCGAGCATCATGAGCATCAGCCGGCAAGCCCTTTAGGGTGGGTCACGCCAGTCACGCCCGACAGCGAGCATCATGAGCATCAGCCGGCAAGCCCCCTTTGAGCATACGGCAAGCCCTTAGGGTCACGCCAGTCACGCCCAACAGAGCGAGCATCATGAGCATCAGTCGGCAAGCCCTTTAGGGTGGGTCACGCCAGTCACGCCCAACAGCGAGCATCATGAGCATCAGTCGGCAAGCCCTTTAGGGTGGGTCACGCCAGTCACGCCCGACAGCGAGCATCATGAGCATCAGCCGGCAAGCCCTTTAGGGTGGGTCACGCCAGTCACGCCCGACAGCGAACATCATGAGCATCAGCCGGCAAGCCCTTTTAGGGTGGGTCACGCCAGTCACGCCCGACAGCGAGCATCATGAGCATCAGCCGGCAAGCCCTTTAGGGTGGGTCACGCCAGTCACGCCCGACAGCGAGCATCATGAGCATCAGCCGGCAAGAACTTTAGGCTGGGTCACGACAGGCACGCCCGAAGCGAGAATCAGAGCATCAGCCGGCAAGCCCTTAGGGTGGCGGTCCCGCCAGTCACGCCCTGACAGCGAGCATCATGGCATCAGCGGCAAGACTTTAGGGGGGTCTCAACCAGTCACGCCAGAGAGCATATGAGCATCAGCTGGCAAGCCTTTAGGGGGTTGTCACGCCAGTCCGCCCGACAGCGAGCATCATGAGCATCAGCGGCAAGCCTGTATGGTGGGTCACGCCAGTCACGCGACAGCGAGCATCATGAGCATCAGCCGGCAAGCCCTTTTAGGGTGGGTCACGCCAGTCACGCCCAACAGCGAGCATCATGAGCATCAGCGGCAAGCCCTTTAGGGTGGGTCACGCCAGTCCGCCCGACAGCGAGCATCATGAGCATCAGCCGCCAGCAACGCCCTTTAGGGTGGGTCACGCCCACGTCAGCGCGCCCTTTAGACGCCAGTCACGCCGACAGCGAGCATCATGAGCATCAGCCGGCAAGCCCTTTTAAGCCGACGCCCGACAGCGAGCATCATGAGCATCAGCCGGCAAGCCCTTTAGGGTGGGTCACGCCAGTCACGCCCGACAGCGAGCATCATGAGCATCAGCCGGCAAGCCCTTTTAGGGTGGGTCACGCCAGTCACGCCCGACAGCGAGCATCATGAGCATCAGCCGGCAAGCCCTTTAGGGTGGGTCACGCCAGTCACGCCCGACAGCGAGCATCATGAGCATCAGCCGGCAAGCCCTTTAGGGTGGGTCACGCCAGTCACGCCCGACAGCGAGCATCATGAGCATCAGCCGGCAAGCCCTTAGGGTGGGTCACGCCGTTTCAGGGCAGCCCTTTAGGGTGGGTCACGCCAGTCACGCCCGGACAGCGAGCATCATGAGCATCAGCGGCAAGCCTTTTAGGCTGGGTCACGCCAGTCCCGACAGCGAGCATCATGAGCATCAGCCGGCAAGCCCTTTAGGCTGGGTCACGCCAGTCACGCCCGACAGCGAGCATCATGAGCATCAGCCGGCAAGCCTTTTAGGGTGGGTCACGCCAGTCACGCCCGACAGCGAGCATCATGAGCATCAGCCGGCAAGCCCTTTTAGGCTGGGTCACGCCAGTCACGCCCGACAGCGAGCATCATGAGCATCAGCCGGCAAGCCCTTTAGGCTGGGTCACGCCAGTCACGCCCGACAGCGAGCATCATGAGCATCAACCGGCATCAGCCGGCAAACCTTTTAGGGTGGGTCACGCCAGTCACGCCCGACAGCATGAGCATCAGCCGGCAAGCCCTTTTAGGCTGGGGCACGCCCGAGAGCGAGCATCCCGTCGTGCCGGAATTGTGCCGCAAGCCTACTGCTGCGACTATAGCTTCGCATCGTGACAAGTATCTCAGAATAGACAGAGGAGACCGCGAACAGTCTCATTGCACCATCAGTGGTTCTCAGCAACATACTTACTCGCACTTCCGTCCCTGAACCCTAAACCCTAAACCCTAAACCCTAAACCTAAACCCTAAACCCTAAACGCTAAACCCTACTTCCGTGTCCTCGAAGGCGTTAGCAAACTCCTCACAGACCAAGGAGTCCACGGGAACCGTGATCTCCTGCTCGTCCCGGCGCAGGCGCGTGGCAAAGATGAGCTCCCCGGCGCCCGAGGGATCCTGGGAGGGCCCTGGAAGAAGCCTCTGAACCATAGGGTTTAGGGTTTAGGGTTGAGGGTTTCAGGGTTTGTGTTTAGGGGTTCCTTTATAACAAGATCCTCTTAAACCCAAAAACAATGCACACATATCCCCAAACCCTGCCGAGGATCGAACTCCAGCACCTCCGCAAAGGTCTTGCCGAAGGCCGCGCCAAGGCCATCCGCCTTCAGTGGCGGCTTGGCAAGGACCTTGGAGACGAGTTAAGAGCGCCGAAAATTGGGCGTCATTATACCCGGGTAGTACTATAACTCACTGTTAAGGTAATATGAGCCACAGAATCCTAAACTTCTGAGTCATATACCCTGTGCTAGCATAATTCCTATGAAGGTGTGTGCCATAAACCCTTTAGGGTTCCTTTAGGGTTCACCTCGCCCCCAAGGGACCAGCCACTTGGGCGTGATGGCGAAGTCGGCAAAGCGCGTGAAGCCACCCACCGAGAACTCGCGGGGTTTCGGGTACCGGGGCCTCCAAGCTCCGGGGGCGAACTCCAGGTACTTCACCGTCGTCGAAGCCAGCGAGGGCGTCTGATCGATGAAGCTCAGGCAGCCCTCCGTGCCACAAACCTGCACCATTGTTGGGGTACTATTAACTCTCATCATTTCTGTTCCTTGTTGGGTTTAAAGTATTCATAAAGATGTAAAAGGTTTTCAACAATGACCCAGAAACCTTTGGACAGGAGCCAAAGCCGGTCTCGCTGTCCAAGGCTCCGTCCAGATTCCAGGAGCCCTCGTCCTCATTCCCCAGCACGGTGCCCAAAGTGGCGGGGTCGATCATGTAAGGTTTCGTGGCGCCCGCTGTCCCGACGGCCAGGAGCTGCTCTTCCCAGAAGATCATGCCTGCGTTGGCCGTGTGCTTGGGGAAGCCCTTGCGGGGATCTAGGGCAGTGCCTCCCTCAGCAGGAGGTGTGCCATAGTAGCCTTTGGCAAAGATCCGCTTGGCGAACTTGTCTCTGAGCAAGCCCTGCGTCTGAACGAGCCGATGTCGGACGCAGACGCGCCCATCCTGGAAGGTAAGAGCCAAGACGAACCCATCGCCATCGAGCTCGTGAACTACCTTACTCTGCCCTTCCTGGAACTTGCCAGGTCCATTTCGGAAGTAGGTGCCGCAAAGGTCTTTGGGAAGACCTTGGACGTCATCCAGGAAGTAGAACCCGTCTTCCAGCTCATCGGCTTCCCGAAATCCCCGCCTCCATGCGTCGACATCGACCGCCGCATCCGTCGCCTGAACCGCGACAGCCTTGCTCCGTGCAGAACGTCCAGCACCTGAGTGCAGTGACGGAACGAGCAGAGGTTGGCAGAGAGCTCGTGTCATCTCATGGCATATAGCGTATACTCGATGCTTCGACATCTTAGCCTTCAATCTGACCTTTAGCAACTCCTGAGCATCAAAGAGCAGCCACTAAGGAGCCGGCCGGACTTCTTGCGCTGAAGTGCGGCCAGAGCCAGGATGGCCGAGGCCCCCAGGGCCGGAGCACCTGCCCCAGGGGCTGAAAGAGGAGCTTGTCGGCGGCCCTCGCGCCCTGTCCTGGCAGGCTTGGGAAGCACTGCCGGCTGGAGGAAGCATGGGGAGCTCACCTCCATCTCTCGCAAGAGGGGGGGGCCCCTTTGCCCCCCCACCCCGCCTTGTGCCTAACTGCTGCGGCAGCGAGTGCACAGGCTAAGAACCGAATGAGCGAGTGACCCTCAACATCAAGCACATCAAGCTGGGCACGCACAAGCTTCAAGAACTCAGGTATTGGTAGAGGCTGGCAGCTAACGGCGCTCGGCAAAAGGCTACGGGATGGCAAAGATGAGTGTCAGACTCAGCCGGCACATCCTGCCAAGTGAGCGGGGTTTAGGGTTTAGGGTGTAGGGTTTAGGGTTTAGGGTTTAGTCTTTAGGGAGACCTTGCTCGGTAGGTGTCATGGTCTGCGCATGGCAACACCAAAGTTCGGGCGGGACGCGTTCCAAAGCCGCGACGATGGCCAAAGTAAGTTCGAGCAACTTGCTGCCATGTATTTCCCAGAATGCCGCCGGGCACCTGATACCTCCGACCTGGTGTACCTGCTGCTCACCCTAAACCCTAAACCCTAAGCTCGAAGCAGCACATGTGCCTCGATTGGCTGGAGTGCCAGGGCCAGGAGGCTGAGGTGCAGGGCCCTGGGTTTAGGGCTTAGGGCTTAGGGCTTTAGGGCTTTAGGGCTTTAGGGCTTAGGGCTTAGGGCTTAGGGCTTTAGGGCTTAGGGCTTAGGGCTTAGGGCTTAAGGTTTAGGGCTTAGGGTTTAGGGTTTAGGGTTTAGGGTTTGGGGGGTCTACGGCCCTAGTTGTTTGACATAGGGCTCTCTTGTTTCTGGCTGTGTCGGATACAGGGCTCCCAGGAAGGACAACATAGAATTCGGCGCCGCGTCGGACGAACTATGGGTCCGAATAATTGCTACTACTAAACCCTTCTGGTCCCTATATACTTCTACTAACCCTTAACCCTAAACCCTAAACCCTAAACCCTCGACCCCCCCAAAACCCTATCTTGTTAATTGCGGCCCCTTCGCAACCGGCTCAGGCCGCGGCTCCTTGGATGGCGCCGAAAATGTCCGAAGCGCTCCGTGCCTTGGGCTTGCAGGGGGCTTTTCATGTGGAAGTGTCCGAAGATGAGGGGGTGCCCTTTTTGGGGGTCCCTTTTTTAGGGGGATTCTGATTCTCTTCTATTTTTGGAGTAGAAAAGGGGTACCCCCTATTTTGGGAAATGCCCGTATTTTGGGATGCCCCGTTGCGGCATCTCCAGCAGGCGCAGAAGCAAGGCAGGCAACGCTTTGCGCACCTCTTTTTCGCTGTGATCCGTTGCCGTGGTCCACTCCTAGCCCTAAGGCATGCTATCGGTACTGTCGCATCTCATTTCTTGGCTCTCCAATTCTGACTCTCCTGCAGGGCAGGGCTAATTCACGGCTTCTCGTGGCGCCCTGAGGCTCTGAGGCCATGCTAGCAAAGAGTCGCCACAAGCTCCTCTGTAGACTCTAGTCGTCTTCAGCAGCAGCCGCAACATCGGCCGTCCTTAGCAGGTGCATCGTGCGGCTGGCCCCCTTTATGTTCCGGATCCGCATATCAGAACCAGCCGGAGGGCAAGGTGTTCACGGCCTCTTCGTTTTCGGGGCGGACCATCTCCACACCCATGTCGTCACCTTGCGTAACATTATTTTAGGGTTTAGGGGTTCATTCGAACGGGGATTCTGGGTAGTTGACACCATCAAGGGATAATACGGGAAATTTGTTGTCCTTGTAATTGCTCTGTCTCAGCCTTCCCTTTCGGCTGCCGGGTCTCCCTTCCTCAGTCACCTTCTTCTGAAAGACTAACCCTGAACGCTGAACTCCTAAACTCCTCAACCCCTACAAACCCCACAAACCCTACAAACCCTATACCCTATACCCTAAGCTCTAACTAAACCCTAAACCCCGAACCCCAAACCCTAAACCCTAGAAACTGTAAACCCCAAACCCTAAACCCCAAACCCTAAACCCTAAACCCCAAACCCTAAACCCTAAACCCCAAACCCTAAACCCTAAACCCCAAACCCTAAACCCTAAACCCTAAACCCTGCGAACCCTCCTCGTTTCCCTAACGCCAGCCAGGTGACCGCCATCCCCGTGGAGCTCCATCCTGGGTTCAGGGTTTAGGGTTTAGGGTTTGGGGTTTAGGGTTTGGGGTTTAGGGTTTAGGGTTTGGGGTTTAGGGTTTGGGGTTTGGGGTTTCGGGTTTGGGGTTTCGGGTTTAGGTTTCGGGGTTTAGGGTTTGGGGTTTAGGGTTTCGGGTTTAGGGTTTGGGGTTTAGGGTTTCGGGTTTAGGGTTCGGGGTTTAGGGTTTCGGGTTTAGGGCAATTTGGGGTCTATAGATACGATCCAGGGTCTGTAGGATTTGGCAATTATAGGATTTAGGGTTTTGGGTATAGGGCCTTTCGGATGTTAGGGTTTAAGGTTAAAGCTTTTGGGTTTGCCGGAGTTCGGCGCATGAGCCCAAAGCAAACACCAGGTCGGGTTCAAGCTTAGGGGACTCGCGCGTAGTAGGGTGCTGTAGTAAGAATTATTAAGATTTGGGCTCGGGATACTTTAGGGGCTCCTGTTGGGCTCAGGGGGGGGCTTAGGGCCACAAGAGGGGCGAGCGTCAGCTTAGTGATATCGAACTTGGGCTTCTTCAGAATCTTCACCTGCGTCGCACGGGGCCACATGATCCCCCACCCTCGTTTCAGCCCCGGCCCTCTAAACACTAAACCCTAAACCCTAAACCCTAAACCCTAAACCCTAAACCCTATAGCCCGCAATCTATCAGGATGTCAGGCCTTGCGGATGAGGCAGTCCTGGGCAGGGAGAGGCCAGTGCTGGGGGCGCCTCCTAACTCCACTTTTCATACACCCTAAACCCGAAACCCGAACGAAACCCTAAACCCTAAACTGGCCCTAAACCCTAAACCCTGAACCCTAAACTGGCCCTCAACCCTAAACCCTAAACCCTAACCCTAAACCCTAAACCCTAAACCCTAAACCCTAAACCCTAAACCCTGTTCCCAACCGGGGCTCCTTGAGCGGGAAGATACCTTGGGCCTGCTTCTCGATCTCCTGACCGCCGGTTCCCTTGCTCTTTCCCCTTGCCCAGCAGGATTTCAACTACGATATACAGTAGGGTTCTGATGAGTTATGTTAAGGATTCCGTAGCTAAGGGTATTTGGCTCTTCGGGTGATTTGCCGCAAGCTTCACGTCTGAGGCTGGTGTAGTATATAAAAAGTGCAATGTCTTGTGACGGATTACAATATGTGAGGTCAGGCGCTTAGCGGCGTGTGGCGGGGAGGGGGATGGAGCCGGGGGGGGGGGGGGGGGGGGGGGGGGGGGGGGGGGGGGTTTCCAGACTTTGGCGCGGTTCCCAAAGTCGCGACCCCCCAACAAACCTCAACTGTAAGGATTCACATCAAGATGCTGCAATTCCCGAACCTAAACCCTGAACCCTGAACCCTAAACCCTAAACCGTGGGAATAAGCCGTGCTCCTTGCCGATGGACTCAGGGATCAGCTTCTTGACGAGCTCCCGAAGTTGCACCTGAAACCCAACTGTGAAAATTGGTGGTTGCAATATGGAACGATGTTCTCTTTTTGATATGTGTGTGTATTGTATTCACAAACACATGTATCCCTACTTGTATATATATATATACATATATATATATATACATATATGGACCTTGACGATTATGTATATCGAAACGGCTCAAAGCTAAAATGCTCCAGACCTTCAAATCCGAAAAGTTGGTTCCCTTTTGGGGCTTGGGGTGTGTCATGCTTTGGGGGAAATAGGGAGCGTGCGCTTGAGGAGGGCCACGGTAGGTTTCGCCGGTGTCGCATGTCACTTCGCTCGGTTTCTCTGACTTGCTTGTAGTTTCAGTGTGGGCTCCAAACTGGAAAGTGGGTTCAGCTCAGCATACCGCTGTGGCACGCAGGGGCATGCTGTGCAGAAGTACATGCTCCCTTGCGCAGCGCATCCAAGCCCCCCACCTTGCTGGCCTCCTGCACAAGGGGGAGCATGTGGAGCAACCGTCAGGGACATTCACAGGTGGGAGAGGGAGTGGGGGGTGTGGATGGGGGCTCTTCGAAGAGGGCAAGTATGTCAGCACGTCCTGCGTCATGATCTCGGTCATCTTCTTGCGGATCTTGCGGATCTGCGCAGACCTCACGGCGAGAATGCCCAACCCTGCCTTCCTATCCCAGCGCCATGTGCGTCTCTGTGCCTTGCGCCTGAGGCAGGCACTGTGCGTAGCAATTTGCCTTCACCTGGTCCTGTCGGCGCTTGGTGAAGGCAATGCAGAACATGCGGACCACGTAGTTGTCCGTGGTCTTCACATCCACGTGCGCTTCGATGAGCGTCTGCCACCTGGGTCGCCAAGTCATGCTAAATTCCCGCAAGACACGTCAAGGAAGCGTCAAGGAATGGCCTCTCAGCTCATGTTTCGAAGACTGAGAGGTTGTGCAACCCAACTTCAGTTATCTGCTACGAGGCAAACCAAGACCAAGCCACTTCTTGATCAAGGAGCAGATCTTGTCCCTGGTCAAGGTCATTCCGTGGAAGTCGGTGAGGCAGCTGCGCCCCTGCACCTCAACAGGCGAAAACGAGTGCCAGCAAGCAGCGCCAGCCCGAGAATTCCGCCCCATGCATCTCCAGACATCCAGGCCCTCATCTCCCGAAACCCGAAACCCTAAACCCTAAACCCCAAACCCTCCTGCTTCGAGCCTCCTCGATGCAGAGGCGGATCTTCTTGGAGGCCTGGTCCTCGTCGCTGTTGAGGTCTGCGAGATTCACCTGCAGCCCGAGACTGAGGGGGCTCAATTCTCCCTAAATAGGCTTAAGGGTTTAGGGTTTAGGGTTAGGGTTTGGGGTTTTAATTATGGGGGGGGGGAACCGAGGGGGGGGGGGGGGGAGTGAAGAGGGGGGTAGGAGGAGAACCCATGATAAACCTCAAGCCCCATACCACGCCGGCCCACGCCGGCCCCCTTCCCCATCAACAGCTTCTTGGGGGGGCTCCGAGTGCCGAAGATGGACAACCCCATCACCCCCTGGAGCATATCCAGGAGGGTCCGGAGAACCCTCTGAAAAGTACTCCTGAACGCAAAATCTGCCGAAGCCCTAAACCCTAAACCCTAAACCCTAAACCCTAAGAAGCTTCCCCTAAAAACCTCCCTAAAGACGACACACCTCCCGGATGGCCTCGAGCACGCGGCCTTTGAGCTCCTCCGTGGCGATCTTTGTACCCTGCGTTCCTGGGATTCGCTTAGGGGTTTAGGGTTTAGGGTTTAGGGTTTCGGGTTTCGGGTTTCGGGTTTCGGGTTTCGGGTTTAGGGTTTAGGGTTCAGGGTTCAGGGTTCAGGGTTTAGGTTCGCGATGGTTCGGGGTGCAGGCCTTGCGTGGGGTTTCATACGATTGCGATTATAGCGTACTGCTTTTCTTGAAGATTCCTCTTCCAACTATACCGCGCATTGGAGTTCTAAACCCTAAACCCTAAACCCGAAACCCTGAACCCTGCACCTTAAACCCTAAAGACCATGGAGAAGTGGCAGAGTTCAATCAACCCATAAACCAGCTTCGAAAGGATGGGATGCTGGCCAAATTTGCTCACGGGTCGGCAATGTGGGTTGCGCAGCCTTCTTTCACAGAAGCGCACTCTGCGAATATGCACATGCATAATATTATCAATTAAGTCTGTCTCCGCCGAACTAGCCCGTCCGAACTACCTAGAGACCTAGAGGAACCTGGTACATTGTGCGATCGATGCGTGGCGATGTGCACCTGGATCGACCCGACGTCTGCATGCCAAACCCCATGTGCCCTTCGCTGGATTCATGCTGCCGGGCGACGGCTGACCAAGGTCTTACCGCACTGGCGCACTGTGAACATGCCTTGCGTCTCATAAAGCAGCTTCGTCAGCTTCACTTGACTTGGGGAACCCAGGAACCCCCCCAAAAAAAAAGCCTTTACGGAGACTCGTATCGCAAGCCGAGAGGCTGGGGGCCTTGATGTCATACCACTCTTTTCGGAGAAAAGGATCGCCGGCCTTCTTCTTGCCGCCCTTCTTGCCGCCCTTGGTGAGTCTCTTGTTCTTTCCGACGGCCATGGCAAACTCGAGCGCTTGCGCTCACTGGCGTCACTCGATGCTTTCCTGTGTGGACCACAATGGCTCCTGTTTTTGCCCCAGGATGCCTCTGACACAACGGATTCTCTTGGGAACCTCCCATAAGAACAGGGTGAGCTTAGACTACGTCTTATGTGGTCGGTCCGGTATACATCCATTTTGGGGGTGTTCCCATGCTATCCCCTTTTACTTACTGTTGGCTAGCTAGTAGGGAATGAGGGAATGAAGTACCCTATATAACCCCTTAAAGGGTATAAGTATATATAGGGCCCTAACTCCCGAATTCCCTGCTAACCAACAGTAAGTTTTAAGTACATGACGCAACGCAGCAGCACAGAGGTTCGTGCAAGCTCTGTCAGGCAGGGTCCCCGGCTGGACGTCACCGGTATTGTAGTCCAGGCCAATCCTGACAGTCAGGCTGCCCAAGGGTTTAGGATTTAGGGTTTGGGGTTTAGGGTGTAGGGTTTAGGGTTTAGGGTTGAGGGTTGAGGGTTGAGGGGTTAGGGCTTCGGATGGCGAATCTCGCACCAGCGCGGTCGACCAGACAGTCTCCCCCCTAGGACACTCTGAGCCCTGAGCCCGTCGTAGGTCATGCCCGTCTCAGCGTCAAAGGAGAGCGCGGCATCCTCGGGGTACGAATATCAGGGGTTTAGGGTTTAGGGTTTGTAGGGTTTGTAGGGTTTGTAGGGTTTGTAGGGTTTGTAGGGTTTGTAGGGTTTGTAGGGTTTGTAGGGTTTGTAGGGTTTGTAGGGTTTGTAGGGTTTGTAGGGTTTGTAGGGTTTGTAGGGTTTGTAGGGTTTGTAGGGTTTGTAGGGTTTGTAGGGTTTGTAGGGTTTAGGGTTTAGGGTTTGTAGGGTTTAGGGTTTCCTTGACTCCTTGACAGTTCGGCCTATGGATGGCATTGAATACGCAGCTCTTCTGGGCAACATGGGCATTTCCCAAAAGAGGGACCCCCCTTCAGAGACCCCAAACAGGGGTTATGCACCTATCCCTAAACCCTAAACCCCACACCCTAAATAAACCCTAAACCCCCATGCTGAACTTTTGAGCTCTTGACTGCAGGGTACCGGCTGCTGAGGCCGCTGCTCCCAGAAATCGGCGCTCCACGTAGAGCACGTTCTTAGAGCCGGCGGGTGGCAGCGAAGGGAGTTGAGGAATCCTCATAAACCCTAAACCCTAAACCCTAAACCCTGAAAGACCTTTCAAACCCTGGGTGTGAGGCCGCCAAGAAGTCCGCCCGGGTCTGGGGATTGTACCAATCCACATCTGAGGGTGCAATGGCGAGGTGAGGATGCATGGGCAGAGTTTCCGACGAATCTCCAAGTCTGTCTCGCCCGTGTGAGTTTGTTGATCTCATTGAACGCGTAACGGGAATGGGTCTGCGACTGCAGCCCTGTCCTGCAAGACTCTGAGACCCAATCCTGACCCCAGAGACTTCCACAGCATTCCTTCACATTCATTCGGATTCCTCGCCTGATTTCTGGAAAACCAAAGTTTTCTTCGCTTGGGCCCATATACACCCTTGTGTCGCCTTCGAACTCCTTCGCGAAGCGGCAGCAGCCGGTGCTGGCGAGTTGCGGCGCAGCCCTCACGACGGGGGACTCTTTTAGGGCACTAGGACTTCCAGGGTTTAGGGTTTAGGGTTCGGGCTTCGGGCTTAGGGTTTAGGGGTCTAAGGTTTAGGCTCCCGCAAGCATCGCTGAGACCAGAACAACCTCAACCCCAAAAACCTGATACCCCTGCACCCCCCCTTCTCCAGCCCAACAAAACCCCCAAACCCTAGACACCCTGAGGGCCGATCGCATCCGACAAGCGTCGCTGGCTCGCAGCGTCTCCTGGAATCTGAAAGATTCCTCGGCGTGGCATCGGAGTAGGATTTAGAGTTTAGGGTTAGGGCTCATGGAGGCTCCCGGTGCCTTGAAGCAGGGGTCAGCTGAAAATGAGATTGATCCTAACCTTAGTTCGGGAAGCTCTTGCCGGGGAACGAGAAGCCGTGGGCGTGACTCGACTGGTGCTCAGCTTCTGGCCTTTTGTGCTCGTGAAGACCAGGCCCACCAACAGCAAAGCCTGGTTCAGGGTACTTCCATCCCATTCTATCCCATTTTCGATCTTCATATGAAGGGGCTGAGGTTTAGATAATGGGGCAGTTGTACCCCCCTAAGTCCCCTCAAAGGGCCATATTTGGGATGCAAGTACGTATCCACGAACCTTCAAGGTGGCACGAGATCGAAAGGCATTTTGCGTTGCCGCAAGTCGGCGGTTGCTCGAAATTGGGCCCTTTCGGGTGCTGGCTCTAAGTCCACTAATTACAGGGGGACGTTGGGTACCTATCTTGGAGCTTCAGGATATTTATTATGCAGGGCTGACTTTAAATGGCTTATAACCATATTCCGACTACTTTATAACTCTACTTACAAGTACCCATGAACCTTCAAGTATAGCAAGTAGGACCCCTGGTTTGAAGCGCACGCTTTCACACCAAGGGCCGCACGAGTGGGCTGCCTGCCGGGTGTATGAGGTACATGGTAGATGGCACAGGGTGCAGGGTATGGGGTATATGGTTTTGAGTTTAGGCTTTACCCTAAACCCTAAACCCTAAACCCCAAACCCCAAACCCTAAACCCTAGCCGTAAACCCCAGGGCTCAAGGCACAACACGAAGCTGCAGGCTGCGCACCGACGCAACAGACCATTGGCCCAAGTCGTCGCTTCGACTCCGAGCATGTCGACCTGCCCACTCTTCAGACGCTTTGGGCCAGGCTCTCTAATCTCTAAGTTCGGGTCGCTTTTTGGGGATCGCTGGGGTTTAGGGTTTAAGGATATTTTAGGGCGCTTTTTTGGGGTCGCTGTTGTAACTGTGAAAATCCAGCCCCGCACTCGGCCAACCGCAGACGTGCAAGCCATAAGCAAAAGCCGTAAGCCCTGTAAAGGGTCAACCCTAAACCCAAAACCCAAAACTGGTCTGAACCCTACAAAGACCGATCCCCCCCCCCACCAAGAAAACACACACCCCAAACCCTGAACTCGAAACCCTATCACTATACTGAACTTGGAATCCTAGCAACAATTGTAAGAATCCTAGCAAAAGTTGTGATTTTTGCTGTTTCTTAAGAATTAACGTAAAAATTTGAAGATTATTTTTCCAAATATCTCTACAGTAAACCTCAGTTCGCAACTCCTTGAACTTGAAGCCCCTCCCGGCCTCTCCGCTGGAGCTTCAGAACTGGCCTCGGGGTTTGACGCCCAGGGACTCCCCCAACATTGAAGGCCCCCTTAGGCTAAGAGTCCTTAATAGGGAGTAGAGTACCCCCTACTTATAGTCCCTATTAAGGGCTGTTAGGGAGCTCAGGGCGCAGGGAAATTTGGGGAATCCGGGCTTAGGGAGCTTACTCGGGAGTTTAGGATTTAGGGCTTAGGGCTTAGGAATATTCTCAAACTGTGACGGGGATCTTAATCGAGGTTTCGGAATCTGCAGCGCTTGGGGCCTTGGCAACTTGGGGGTGTAGGAGGGTTTGGAGGGCAGACACACGCTGGCAACAAGGCTCGCTAATGAAATTCTGTGGGTTCTTCGGGGTTTATACAGGATTCAGACCCAGAGAAATGTAAAACCCCTACAGAGGTGATGAGCATCAGCGATGGCAACCCCCCAAGCCTCCGCAAAAGCCGGGCCTCGGCCAAGAACGCAGAATTTTTTGGGGCGGCTGCCATGTCAGGGTTCAGGGTAAGAAACAGTAAGGACTTAGGGGGTTTCGGGGGCTTGGGGGTTTTGGGGTTTCGGGTTTAGGGTTCAAGGGGTTTAGGGGTTGAGGGTTTCAGGGCTTGAATTGAGGGGTTTAGGGGATTTGGGGGGGGGGGGGGGCAGGGGTTTAGGGGTTTAGGGCTTGAGGGGCTTAGGGGTTTCGGGGTTTTAGGGGTTTAAGGGTTTAGGGGTTTAGGGGATTAAGGGTTTAGGGGTTTAGGGGTTTAAGGGTTTAGGGTGTTTAGTGCGTTTAAGGGGTTAGAGTGTTTAGGGTTTAGGGGGCTAAGGGCTTCCCATTCACGCCAAGACATACTCTAAAGCGCACGGCCGGAACTACTTGGGGCTGCCTTCGCGCCTTCCAACCTTCGCCCCACGTGGCAGTTGCCACAACCGAGGCTCCCGCATGCTTCTCTGAGTGTCATTGCAAGGACACGAAAAAAAAAAGGAAAACCTTCTGCCTCTACTTCCACAGAATTCCGCAGGTGAGCCTGGGGCTGGCAGCCGATACCGGTGAGTTCAATTGGCAAAATCGCGAACGAGAGGAATTTTTAGAGGGGGGGGAGGTACCTCTCCTTCTGCCGTTGCCCATGCGTCGCCTGCGCAACTCGGCGTCGGTGATGCTAGCAGGCGGTGCGCTGTACAGATTCCGAACTTCCCTGTGAGCCGAGCGCGCGAACGGGGCGGAAACGATTTGAAACGATTTCGCTGTTGGGGCCTTCCCTAGCCGCTAGCCTAAACCCTTTGACCTCAAATCAACCCTAAACCCTTAAACCCTCAAACCTAAACCCTATGAACTGTGAACCCTAAACCCTAAACCCCTCAAACCTAAACCTTCTGAATCATGAACCCCAAACCCTTAAACCCCTAAAACTCCTCCGAAACCCTCTGTGAACCCTGAAGCCCTGAAACCCCTGCATGGTGCGCTGATGGCCACAGATGCCCTGAGGAACCTCCAGGAGCTTGTAGATGGAGTCTCCCATTTCCTGGGAATTTAGGGGTTTAGGGTTCAGGGTTGGAGGGTTACGGTCTCGGGCTCAGGGTTGATTGGTTGGGGTTGAAATGGGCTGAGGGGTTGGGACTTAGGGTTTAGGAACCCAAAACCCCAAAGCCCAAACCCTGAACCCCAAATTCAACACGGCCCCTTCCAGTACATTGCAGTGCTCTGCAGCCCAGTTTCCCTCTGCTCATCCTTGACCTTTGGCAAGGGAAGTATGCGGGAGTCCGATGTTTGGGGTTCGAGGTTTTGAGGTTGACAGCGCAGGCTTTCTGCTGAGGTGGCGGCTGCTTGTTTGGGCGTTCTACATCATTACATCATTGCAAAGGGATTGGTTTGAAGGCGTGCCAAGTTAATGCCGACAGGCAAACCGAAAGTCTAGCCAACGCCGTACCAGGGTACACCTGCAACCCCAAACCCTTCCAAGTAATATGCAATCACAGCCTAGATAGAGGGCCTAAAGCCCTCTTCACAACAGGTGCTCGGAAACCTCAACCCATTCCATGTCCTGGGCACAGGACCTGCTCCCCCCTGATGATGCTCGAGAGGGTCACGCGGCGGACCTCAGGCTGAAGAAGGGGGGGGTGGGGGGAGAAGGGGCCTAAGTGGATCCCTTTTCGTTCTGCAGGTACTGCATAATAAGGTGACCTTAATGAAGACCTTACTATTTGCCCTTACCAATGAAGCCCTTAATCATTGACAATTGAGTAGCTGCCCAAGGTGTGGGGGATTTCGCTACGATGTTGTGGGTTCAGAAGCCGAGGCCGCATCCCACAGATCGTGGTTCCCCGGCACGTAGAAGATGCGACGGAACCTGGCAAAGGTTTGGGGTTTGGGGTTTGGGGTTTAGGGTTTAGGGTTTAGGGTTTAGGGTTTAGGGTTTAGGGTTTAGGGTGTAGGGTTTAGGGCCCCCACTCCTGGTGCATACCACGCAGCTCGGGCGGCCCGCCACTTAAACCCGCCAGCGGCGCTTGCTCTTCAGCACTGTCAGGGCGAACCGAAGCTGGGGCAACGAGTCGGCCAAGTTTCCAGCCTCCAAGGGTTTAGGGTTTAGGGTTTAGGGTTTAGGGTTTAGGGTTTAGGGTTTAGGGTTTAGGGTTTCGGGTTTGGGGTTTAGGGTTTAGGGTTCAGGGTTCAGGGTTCAGGGTACTTGGAGGTTTATGATTATAATCCTACTTAGGGCATTTATAACCCCACTTATGAGTACCCATGAACCTTCAAGTGCAAGAGTGGCTCTCCTATCTCAGATATCTCAAAGTCTCAAAGTACGTATACAGACAAATAGAAAGTGCTTTACCTGAACAAGTTGTTCACCTGTGATTTTGTGACGTTGTGCTCAGGTGTTCGGTTACTTCATGTCTGCCACACTGAGCTCAGAGCCAACATAAGCACATCATCGCGGAAAAAGGACGAAGACAAGCTCTTGCACCTGGCTTTGAATTGAAAAACCATTGGTCTACGGAGGTTGAGCTACATGATGGGCTCTGTTGGGGTCTCTATTCATGAATTCCGTGAGACCAACTCTCCAAAAACAACTCGCGCAAGACCCGACAGGTTCATCCGAGGAACCATTCAGGCACACCGTGCTGGTCGAAGAAAACGTCGCTGAGGGCCCAGATCCGTATCCCCTCCAAGGGTTTCAGGCCGATGGGGGGGGGGAGCTTTTCGGTCCAATGGGGCATAGATGTTCGGGGCTTCGGACCGGAACCCCAAACAGAAACGGCAGTGCTTGCAGGTCTGCCGCGCCATCATGCATCGAAGGAGAGTGCTCTATACTTACTAGTAGCTAATGGGTGCACCATTGAGCCATCACAACCATCTCTTTGACTAGGCTGTTGTAGTAGCTATCTGCAGTCTCGATAAGAAGGTTGAATCTAAATTACGTGGCCTTGTGGGGTCTCTCCGTTCTTGTGTGTTCCTCATGATTTAGACCAAAAACAAGGGCCCTTGATGTAGATCGACTGCCATTCAAGGCTTGAATGGAGCCGAAGACCTGAACCCCTTAAAGCCCTACCCCTCCACTCTCAACCCCTTTCACCTTTTATCCTCCGAAATTTCCCACGCGCAAAACCTTCAAAGCCCTAGAGGCCTCCCCTAACTCGACCCCTCCCAGCCCAGCAGCATCACACATTCCCCAACATACCACATTATGATAATTATACTCAGTGAGGGTGATACTAGGGGTGAGGTGAGGACAAAACACATTGGCTTGAGGATTGCCCTAGGCCCTGGCACTCTGATGCAACCCTACCTAAATCCTTAAAGCCTCTAAACCTTTGAAGCCCTTAAACTCTTTTGCAGCCCTTGAACCCCGAAGCTCTTAAGCGCCCTTAACCCTGCCCGAAGAGATTCCCGGCCTTCCGGGGCCGTTGCCGGTCTACTGCGAACTTGGCCCAGCGCTTGGAAGCGGCCTTTGTGTTCGGACTGTTTAGCGTGTAGGGCGTTTGGGGCTTAGGAAGTTTAGGGTTTGGAGGTCTAGGGCTCCCCTGATGAAACGTTAAAGCTGGTCCCGTGAAGTCGCGTCAACTCCAAAAAATGTGCTGAGAGTCCTTGGGGCTAAGGAATTCCGTAGCATCTGGGAGCGACAGTTTGATGGGACACGGTCGTGGAGCAGCTATCCTTGCCGGAAGTATCAGATTGCGTGGGGATGTGAGACGTCCAAAGTTAACGGCTAACGGCTAACACCGAAGTGACTCGCGTCTCTTCAACGGACCCGAGAGACGTTGAAAATCGTGGCTGCACCTTTCAAAATCCAAAAACTAGCAGACGGATGCGTACGCCTACTCTGATTGCGAATAGATGCTTCCTTGGCCGAACTCGCTGGGGCAGGTGCAGAGTATTCCCATCGGATGATCTTCTGCAGACCTGCACAGCAGCAGCCCTGATGAAATGAGAACCCCAACACCCTACACCCTATGCAGAAGCCCAAGTGTTACATGCGGTGGTGGTTGGCCGGTGGCCATATTTGAATATATTTGCGTGTGCTCGAACACTGCGATACGAATGGGGGGGAGGGGGGTTGTCCAAAGTTGAGGCCCCTTGTCAGTATTCTTCTTGGCGTAGAACCGAACCCCTTAACAAGAACGCCAAAAACAGGACCTGACTTCAACACGATGGCCAAAAAAACAGCGCAGCACAAGGTGTCGCGATGGTGTGGAAACCAGGCAAGTCTCAGCAAGAAGCTTGGAAGAACTTCTGCACTCTGCTGAGGTGGAAACAGCTGCTGACGCCATCATTCGCTGCCTGCAAGGATGAGCCGACATGAACGCCCTCTGTCCGTGAGGTCCAATGACTGTGTGGACGCTCAACTGAGAGGTGCAGGGAAACTCGAAAGCATGGTGAGGTGGAGCAAAAGAAAAGTTTGTGGCCTAGTCAGCCCTAGCCGTTCCAAGCTGATACTGTTGCTTTTGAGGCGTTACAGTACTAGATTGATGCAATCCTCTGCTGCAGACACTTCTCCGATCTTCTCCAGGTGTTTGCATCTTTCCGTGAAGGTTGCATTTTGTGTGTGAAGCTTGCCTCGTAGTGCTCATCCAGCCGCCGAGCCTGCTGACTGACATAGCAGGCTTCGCACAAGAGACACAGTGCTTCGAGCCTCGCCTGGCCTTCGCGAAGCAAGCATACGCTGCCTTGAAGTCGTCCAGAATCAGGGACGCCTCGGAACGGCTGTGGCGAGGACGATGAACCTGCCGCATGCGCCTGGGCCTCCTCTGATACTGATACTGGGAGCCACACCTGACCAGCCCGCACCAAGGGCTTCGACCATATTGGATCCTGGCGCCACTAACCCAAGCTGTTCGATGATCCCTGCGACATGGCTGGCGGCTAGGAAAAAAACAGTGACTGACTGGCCTTGTCCGAAGCAGCCATGGCATCTGCGTAAGCCTGCACACGGGACGCGTCCCGGGTTTCGGAAATTAGGGGTACCTTATTGGGGTCCTCATTATAAGGGAATCCTATTGTTTGGGGGGCTATATTCGGGGCCCCTGGAACCCTAAACCCCAAACCCCAAACCTGCACGGGCCTCCTTGGCAAGCCCCAGCTTCAAGAAGCAGGCGGCCCGGTTTGAGAGGACCACAGCCTGCTTGTGCAGCTTCACGCTTGGGGAATTGGGGGGCTCTAGGGGGGCTTTGGGATTTGTAGGCTTTTGGAGGTTAGCAGCCTCACGTTTGGGGAAGTTGGGCGGGAATTCGCGGGGCTTTAGGGGGCTTTGGGGTTTTTGGACTTTTGGGGGTTTAGGAGCGTTAAGGCTTTCAGGGTTGCAGGGCCAAGTTTAGGGAGCTGAGGGCTTTAGCAGTCTTAGCGGGTTTGAGGGTTTCAGGGTCTCTTCGCGCTTCGAACTCAGGATCTGCGCCTCGTCTTTGGACTCCATCATGGAGCGGTGGTACAAGGCCCTCAAAAACCAAAGCACAAAAAAGGCCACGCAGGGGGCAGCACGCCAGAATGCGAAGCGCATGCCCTGCCTGGTGTACAGGAAGACTGCCACCTGGGCGCTGAAGGGGAGTTCAGGGTGACATGGTATACATGTCCGGGGTTGAAAAGTATGGGCCCCTCATATGGGCCCCTGTTTACGGGTCCTTGTATACCCACTACATAATGTACCTTATATACCGGCCCGGGGCTGCACCGATGAAGCAACAACAAGAAATCAACCCCCCCCCCCCCCACAAAAAAAAAAAAAAACAAAACAAACCTGGCAAAAAAGCTCCACACAAACCCTCAGCAAAGGCAAAACACGCCAAACCCGCGGCAAAGCAAAACCCGGACCCACCCACCCTACACACTCCCAGTTGCCAAAAAAAGCCGAATAGCAAAACCCGGCAAAACCCGACAAACCTTTGGCTCTGTAAACCCTAAAACCCTAAACCCTCAACCCGAAACCCCAGAACCCCGAAGCCCCCTGAACCCTTTGCCTGAGTGCCGTGCTCCATGAGTCCCCTGCTTGAAGGCCAGGGACGCACCCTGCGAAACCCAGCGCCCCAGGAGGTTTAGGGGTGTAGGGTTTAGGGTTTAGGGTTTAGGGTTTAGGGTTTAGGGTTTAGGGTTTAGGGTTTAGGGTTTAGGGTTTAGGGTTTAGGGGTAGGGTTTGGGGATTTTGAGGGGATTGAGGGGATTTGGGGGTTTGGGGAGTTTAGGGTTTGGGGAATTTAGGGTTTAGGGGGTTTAGGGGATTTAGGGTTTAGGGGATTCGGGTGTTCGGGTATGCAGGGTTTCGGGTGAACTTAGGGTTTACAGGATTGCTTCGGGGGCATTGGTGCAATAGTCAGTGGTCATATCATGGGCATGTAACAAGACGAAGGGTACCCCGTAAGGTGCAGCATTATGCCATCGAAGATCAGAAACGAGCATACCTTTACAATAACCATGTGCCCACAAGATCTCAATCACCACGGGGAAGCTGGAGCCCTCAACCCTAAACCCTAAACCCTAAACCCTAAACCCTAAACCCTAAACCCTAAACCCTAAATGAACCCTAAACTCTATTATTGTCTCCACCCCCACCCCACCCCCGGCCTCCTTGAACTTCTCTATCCGCTCCACGGCCGAAGCCGGAGCGTCCGGGTCGTCGCCCTGGCGGTCGTTGTAGAGGGCGGCCTGCGGTTGAGGGTTTAGGGGTTTTTAGGGTGTTTAGGGGTTTTAGGGATTAAGGCGTTAAGGGTTACAGGGTTAAGGGTTTAGAGTTTAGCAAAGGTTTCGGCATAAGGGTTTAGGTGTTCAGGGGTTTCAGGATTTGGGGCTTGGGGCTAAGCACTAAGGGTTTAAGCGTCTCAGGGCTCGAAGCTACAGCCAGCAGCCACTCAGACTACACAGATGTTCGGTGAAATATTCGTCGACGTCTTCGGCGAGCACTTTTCGAGGACCGGTCAAGAACCTCTGCGACTCGTGACCCCCAGCTGTCACGGTTTAGGGTTTAGGGTTTAGGGTTTAGGGTTTAGGGTTTAGGGTTTAGGGTTTAGGGTTTAGGGTTTAGGGTTTAGGGTATCCAACGAGGACTTCACGCACGGGAACGTTTGGTCGAGCTCCCAAATTTGCTCGTCCTAATCATGAAAGTCTTCCTTTGCACGTTTCTACCCCACATCTGGGACAGGGTGACCATGGCTCTATGGTCTGGCGAAAGTGCTTCCATATTTGTGTGTCTAGGTTTGTAGTGTTGATAGGGTTTGGGGTTTATAGCGTTTTGTAGTGTTTATCGTGTTTATAGGGTTCAGGGTTCAGGGCCTTAGCGGCAGCCGTTGCTTCTTGGATGTCTTTCTGACGATCTACTGCATCAGCCAATGCTTGGCTACTAGTGGGCTAGGGGAAGCCGGCACTTTCAAGCCCTAAGATAAGGACCTGATTGGCATGTTCTATTGGTTGTTGAGCCAACTCGGCAAAGTTAATGTGGGGGGGGGGGGTTAATTGGCTGCCCTCAACCGTGAGGTGTACGGCGGTGTACGATGACGGAAACTAGGTAACAGGAGACTAACTTTGACCACCAAAGCCCTCATGCAATATACGACATGATGATCCGCCTCGCACTCTGTTGCCAAGGACAGAAACTGGCCTGCCTGGCACATACAGGACGAGGGTAGCTTAGGGTAGTTTAGGGTAGTTTAGGGGTTTAGGGTTCAAAGAGGCTTGCAGTCTTGAAATGGCACTCTTGCCGGCAGGACCGTCTTCCCGGCACAGGCAAAGCCCCTCTTCAGGGAGGCCAGCGCCTCCAAGCAGCACAGAGGGTTGAGCAAAAATTTGGGTTTAGGGTGCATGTTCAGAATCCACTGCCTAGCAGGTGTTTTTGGAATCCCATGGGGTGTGGATCAGAAAAAGGTCTTGGGTTCTTAAAGAGGTCGGGTTGAGGGGTCTCATTACGTCCTGGAGATTGAAATCAGTCTAGTGTTTGAGGAACCTCTTGCAACGACGGCTTTTTGTCGGGAGGGTCTGAAACCTGCTGAGCTCCCAGGCAGCCGTCCCCGCACTGATTCGGGGTTCAGGGGCTGCCCCACCTCGCGGCTCTGGCAGAGCCGGAGCTCTGCCGTCGCCCGCCGAAGCCAGCCCTGCACTTCGGGGGTTGGGGGGGGGGTAGGGTTTAGGATTTAGGGTTTAGGGTTTAGGGTTTAGGGTTTAGGGTTTAGGTTTTAGGGCCCATGGCTCTAGGAACTTTAGCGCTTAAGGAGATTCGGGTTGGAGTGGAAGGCGGGGTCTAAAGTGGCAGCTTTCGCTTGAAGGCAACCTGACAGGTAGCACGTGCCACATCGCTCAAGCTTTTTGACTTGCCTGAGCTTTTGCAAGCTTCTTGGGTGGCAGGGGAGGTAGTAGTGCAAGCTTCGCTCAAGGCTTAGGGTTGTTTCGTTGCTTCGGGTTTCAAGGGTCCACCTACAAATGCGCAGCATGATGGGGTACTACCACCTCGCCTACCACCAGGACTGGGAGCCATGGCTGACAGCTTTTCACTGCGTTGTGCGAGGCTAACTAAACTAGCCCTTCGTGGTTCGAAGGCTGGGCTCTGAGTCTCATGAGCCGGTTGGCTCAGAGGGGGGTGAGAGTTTAGGGTTTAGGGTTTCGGGTGTTCGAGTTAAGACCCTACTTTTGGTAGTGGTCCAAGGTCTCCTCGCGAATTCACGGCTCCTGCGCCTTGATGGGCTCCGCCACCTTCGCGGCCTCACCCTTCGCGGACCCTCCCTGAGCCGAAGTCCCTCCTTTCAAGCGCAGCGGATGAAGGACGAAGAAGCCTCGGTAGCCCGGTGGCCATATTTTGCAACACGAGTACCCTTGTGGGCTCGTTTTGTGCTTGATATAAACTTGGTAGCCCAGTAACCATATTACAATAAGGGCACCCCTTTTTTGGGGGTTGGACATTTTATAAGGGAACCCATAACCAAAGAAAAGGTTAAAGGGTACCACTGGGCTACCAAGTAAAGGAACCTAGAACCGGAAGAAGAGAAGAAGGGTCCCACTAAGCTACCAAGAAGCAGAGCCGGAAGATCAGGCCGACGGGCTCGGACAAGGGCAGCAGGCGGCTGCGAGCCATCGGGCCCTTGGGGTTTAGGGTTTAGGGTTTAGGGTTTAGGGTTTAGGGCTTGGGGATTAGGGTTTAGAGTTTAGGGCCTTGTAGCGGTCGGGCCCGGCCATCTGAACGTCCGGCTGGGACAGCTCGGCAAAGGTCCACATGATCAGCACCTAAGGATTTGGGGGCCCTGTGAAAAAACTTAAGCTTTCATGGGTTCTTAGGGTATATAGGGATTAGGACCCAAAGAAATTTGAAATCTTCGAAATTCCCCCTAGAGCACCAGCGTGAACAGCTGCATGCCCACGTAGAGCGCGCCGAAGCACCACCTGGGTCACAATTGGGGACTGAGGATTCGGAACGCGAAGCTCCTAAAGCAAAGTGCTTAGGGTTTAGGGTTTAGGGTTTAGGGCTGACTAGGTCCAGCCGTGGCACCAGGACACCGTACGGCATTTGCCCGCGCCGACTGGGCGCACAAAGGCCATGAGGAAGATCGCCCAGCACCAAAAAGAGATCTGAAGGGCAACATATGGGATGCTGTGCGCGAAGACTGTGTCGATGCTGTGGTCTAAAACTGGGCTAAAGATGCCGACCAACCAGAAGCAGTTCACGCACAAGATCATGAAGGCCGTGAAAGCCACGAGGCAGATCTTGCTGCACCTCCCTTGCCACTCATTCTTGCAGTGCTGGTAGACCTTAACGATCGCATAGCCGTGCAAGAGGCCGCTAAAGAAGAACATGGTTGTAGCAGCCTCCATCCAGCCAGGGAAGTCCATGGCCACACAAATGGACCCTTGCCCGAAGACGTGGGAGATCGCGTTCTCCTCGGGGTCGTTGTTCCCCGCGAGCCGCGCCGCGATCGGCACAATCAGGCTCAGGATGATATTGCATGCCATTAGGGTGAGCGGCTTCTCCACCACATACTTCAGCATGGCCAAGCACACCATCACGACCGAATTTCCTCCCTTTGAGAGACTCCGGCCGGCAGGTTTCAAAACGAGGTACGCGTGCCTGAGTGGGAGCCCACCCTGCAAGGCCAAGACGGGCAGACGGCTGCCGCTACAAAGCTCATGTTTCAGGGTCACTGGCAGCCGCTTGCAACTCATGGACTTTCTCCATCCTACGCACCGAAATATCTGATTTACAATTCCTAGAGGCGCTAAACCCTAAGCCCCCTCTGAACCCTGAACCCCTCTGAACCCTGTAAAGCGCTTTAAACAGTTAAAACACTCATGACCCGAATTAACCCCTCAATCCCAAACTGCTACACCCCTCAACCGCCCCTTACACCCCTAGACCCCCAAACCATAGACCCCTGAAACCCCAACGCCCAAAACCCCTAAACCCCCTAACCCCCCTACACCCCCCTAAACCCCTCATCCCGAAGGCACCGCAGAAGCTCTGAGCCAAGCCTTCGGCCAGTCCGGCTCCTGGATTGTTGCATCCTGGGGCATGGCTTTTAGGGTTTAGGGTTTAGGGTTTAGGGTTTAGGGTTTAGGCTTAGGGGCTTAGGGGCTTAGGGGGTTTAGGGGCTTAGGGGGTTTAGGGGGTTTAAGGGTTTAGGGGGCTTAGGGGGTTTAGGGGGTTTAGGGGATTTAGGGGGTTTAGGGGTTTAGGCTTAGGGGCTTCGGGGTTTGGGGTTTATGAGGGTTCAGGGTTTTAGGGGGTTTGGTGGTTTAGGAATTTAGGGGTTAAGGGTCTAGGGAGGGTTTAAGAGTTTAGGGTTAGGGGGTTTGGGGTTTAGGGGTTTAGGGGTTTCGGGGTTGAGGGTTTACGGGTTTGGGGGCTTAAGCGCTCTGGGGTTTTAGCGTTTGAAGGTTTAGGCGGTTTAGTGGGTTGAGGGGATCTGGGGTCTAGGGGATTTAAAGTTTAAGGGGTTTAAGGGGTTTAGGGGTTTAAGGGGCTTTGGTCTAGGGGTTTAGGGGTTGGGGAGCTACATAGGGGTTTAGGGTTTAGTTCCACAGGGGTTTAGGGGTTTAGGGTTTAGGGTGCTACATACTCGCATAAGGGTTTGGGGGTTTAGGGTTCAGGGGTTAGGGCCAAGGGGTTTGGGGGATCGTTTAGGGTTCAGGGTTTCGCGGGGGGGTTCAAAGCTTTTGGTTGAGCCAGCAAAATCCGGGCGATGCTTTGTCTGCCCCTCATGATGTTGATGCTTCACGGTCACGGGTTTGCAATGGACCTTCGACTGGTGCTATCTCCACTATTTTGCCGAGCACTCCGGCCCCTCGCCGACGTATTGTTGGCAAAACCAAAGTTTCACAGGCTGGATTACGTTCAGCGCAGAGCGGTATCTCACCTTCACACAATCTTCTTTCTTCTTCTTATTATTCTTCTTCTTCTTCTTCGTCTTATTCTTCTTCTTATTCTTCTTCTTCTTCTTCTTCTTCTTCTTCTGTTTCTTCTTCTTCTTCTTCTTCTTCTTCTTCTTCTTCTTCTTCTTCTTCTTCTTCTTCTTCTTCTTCTTCTTCTTCTTCTTCTTCTTCTTATTCTTATTCTTCTTCTTCTTCGTTTGTCAGGCGGCCACATGCAGATGATTTTGCTATTCAGAGCTTGTCGATTTTCCAGTTTGATGACATGGGCTAGCTTCCTTTCCCCTTTCCGGGTGACTTGGCACCGGCTGGGTTGCCCTGGGCAAGGCAAGCTTCAGGGTTTGGGGGGGGTTCAAAGCTTTTTGTTTGGGGGGGCGAGGGTCTGAGGGTGTGCTCACGCTCGCCACGCTTTCAGCATTACCTTATCACAGAGAGCCCAACTCTTATCTTAGCTGAGGAAGAGACCGTAATTCGTCATAAAAAGGGCCTCGACATGTTGCTTGACATTCCTGAACTAAGGGGTCTTATGGCGGAATTCAGGTGTCTTCCTTGCGGAAAAACCCCCAAAACTAAACCCTGAACCTCAACCTACTAAAACCCAAAACCCAAAACCCTAAACCCTAAACCCTAAACCCTAAACCCTAAACCCTAGATGGCAGGCCCCTCTGGGCCGCTGGCCACCGCATCTTCCAGGCTCTTCGCCCAGTCAGAGAGTCTGGCGTAGACAAGTGCCTAGGCTAGGGGTTTGTAGGGGTTTCGGGTTTGGGGTTTCGGGTTTAGGGTTTAGGATTTAGGGTTCAGGGTTCAGGGTTGAGGGTTGAGGGTTGAGGGTTAATAAGGGCCTAGGCTTGGGGTTGATAGGGTTTCGGGTTTAGGGTTCAGGGTTTGCAAGGGTAAGGGTGTATAAGGTTGCTTTTTGGGTTTCGGCTGTTTAAGGGTCTTAGGGCTTTAGGGATTTTCTTACGGCTTTCGGCTTTCTTAGTCGTAGGGCTTCAGGATGTCGGGCTCTTGGGGTCTTCGAAGGGGGTTAGGGCAAACCCTTAACCCTAAACCCTAAACCCTTAGGGTGAGAGCTTCAGGGGCTCACGCTTTGGAGGCTCATTTGCCAAGCTGCGCGATTGGACATCAGTGTTGCGCGCTGCGCTGACTCCAAGGTATCGCCACCGAGTTCGAGAGCCTCCGACGTCTGCAACGCGCTTCGGGAGTTCGCAGGGTTCAGGGCGCAAAGTTCAGAGGCTTCCTGTGATCAATCCAGCCATGGCATGACAAACCGCACATGATTCCATGATCAGCTCCAAACGTTTCGAATGGCATGCCGATCCACAGGATGGGTGCTGCCTGGCCGTAGAGTGAGAGTGCCGTGTTCCATTCCTGGCCAGCAGATACACGTGGAAGTGAAGCTGCTCACTCGAATGGACCTACTTGAAAGAGCCCAATGCCCCTTGATTGAGGATGATTTCTTGATCCCTTTAGGGGGATTCTATTCTATTTAGGGGTATCAAAGGCGTACCCCTTTTTGGGATTTGAAGACTCCTACACAGAAACATGGTATCGACCTTCCAAAAGGGGCATTGGGCTCCATTCAGACTGAGCCGGCCTTGTCTTTGAAGGCTTTGTCTGCGGCTTGCTTTGTCTCCTGGAGGCCGGGGCGTGATCTCCCCCAAACCTACTCTCAGCCCCAAGCACCCTGAAGAAACCCTAGAAAACCCGATGAAACTGCGAAACCCTAGGAAGGCCCTTAGCCCAATCAAAACCACAAGGCAGCAAGTCTTTTCTTCGAAAACTGCCAAATCCCGCCGGACCATAGACAAGTTTAACTGTGGCAAAAACACCCTAAACCCTATAACAACAACCTATATACCCATCATTTTAACCTCTAAGCCTACTCCTTTTAACCCTAACACATACAACCGAAAATGTAAACCTATAATTCCTACCTCTACACCCTATTCCACCCTAAACCCTAAACCCTAAACCCTAAACCCTAAACCCTAAACCCTAAACCCTAAACCCTAAACCCTAAACCCTCAACCCTAAACCCTAAACCCTCCCTGTTCCGCGTCCTCCCACGGCCGATGCTCGGTGGCCTCGGCTTCGGCCGGCTCCGCCGGCGCCTGGGGGAATGAAGGGATTTAGGGTGTCCTCCCTAGGGTTTAGGGTTTAGGGTTTCGGGTTTAGGGTTTAGGGTTTAGATTTAGGGTTTAGGGCTTAGAATTTATCAGGTTTAGGTGGTTTAGGAGATAGGACTTAAGACGTGAGGTTTTGGGGGTTTAGGAGGGAGACTGTACATGTAAGCAGCCTTTAATTACGAAGGAATCTTGGGGGCGGGGGGGGAGGGCCCCTGCAGTAGACCCTAAAGCCCTACAAATCCTATCAACCTAGGCCGCTCATGGGGCCTTGACCGGAGTTTTTCCGAATCCTTCTCTGAGGCTTGAGGGTCAGGGTTTGGGCTTCAGGGCTTTTGGCCTAAACCCTAACCTTAAGCCCTAAGCCCTAAACCCCAAGCCCGAAACCCCAAACCCTGAGCCCTAAACCCCAAACCCTAAACCCCAAACCCTAAACCCTAAACCCCAAATCCTAAACCCCAAACCCCAAACCCCAAACCCCAAACCCCAAAAGGGGGGAGCGCCTCCTCGCTCTTCAGGGCCGACTCGAAGCCCGCCGGCAAAGGCGCGGCGGCCAGGCCCTGAAAGAGGGCGGAGCTTTTGAAGGGGGGGTTTTAGGGTTTAGGGTTTAGGGTTTAGGGTTTAGGGTTCATAAGGTTCAGGGTTTAGGGTCTTCGGGGTTCAGGCTTTCAGGCTTTCAGGCTTTCAGGCTTTCAGGGTTTGGAGGCTTAGGATTCATCATGATTCTGGGCTTGGGGCTTGATTAAGGTTCAGTGCTCAGGGTTTGGGAGGTTCGTAATTCAGGGTTTAGAGCTCCGTGGACACACGACTTCGGTCCATGGAGCAGGATTCCAAGGCCGCTGCCGTGTGCGCGGGGCGCGCGCGCGGTCTTTTTCACAAGCGCCCGAGGAGGAGAATCAACGGTTTCCTGAAGCTACCTGCCCTGTGGGCAGTCCTTCTACGTGGACAAAACCCCGCTGAGGCCTTCAAGCCTCGCGGCATAAGGCCTCGCTCAGTGCCCTCCCGTCTGCTGCACGTGCATCGGTTTGGTCAGGAACTCCTCGTAGTAGTACTCGTGGCAGTCCAGCTTGCCCTTCCTCCACGGGGGGTAGCCGATGGACTTCGGGTTCGCCCAGGCGCGCAGGCAGTCGTACAAGTCCACGAGGCACGGCATATCGCTGCTGGTGGCCTGGGTCTAACTTTGAGTTCTCTGAGCGCAGTGCTGCGAGAGAAAGCGCGAGGAGGCGTCTCTTCAAGAAAACAAGGGTCGCTGGTTCTCGAGGCAGGCTACGCTCGCAAAAAATGACAACCCCTCATGCTAAGTCAGCCCCAAACCTCGATGGACATAGGATTACACAGGTTCTGGGCCAAAAAGAGCTTGAAGGCTAGACGCGCATGACAGGGCCTGAACTGAGACACGCATGGTCTTCGATTCGGGGAGCTGTCTCGCAGAGGAATGCGAAGTCGGACCATTCAAGCCCAAACAACTACGTCCCTAAACTGCGGAATTCTTCCCCCCATGCCCTGGCTGAACCCTGGCTGCTACCCAGCTTGGCTGGAGGGCTGGAGGTTGAAAGGGTGGGTGGGTGGTGAACGGCTCAACGAAGGCCGCTGTCGTGTGCGCGGCGCGCGCGGTCTTTTTCACAATGAGGAGGAGAATCAACGGTTTCCTGAAGCTACTTGCCCTGTGGGCAGTCCTTCTGCGTGGACAAAACCCCGCTGAGGCCTTCAAGCCTCGCGGCATAAGGCCTCGCTCAGTGCCCTCCCGTCTGCTGCACGTGCATCGGTTTGGTCAGGAACTCCTCGTAGTAGTACTCGTGGCAGTCCAGCTTGCCCTTCCTCCACGGGGGGTAGCCGATGGACTTCGGGTTCGCCCAGGCGCGCAGGCAGTCGTACAAGTCCACGAGGCACGGCATATCGCTGCTGTGTTCTCTGAGTGCGAGGGGAGGTGCTCTCTTCAACAAACCAAGGCCCTCTCTTTCAGCCAAACAATGCGCAAATGGCCGCCACATGCTGCCGATCTCTCCCACAAGTCATGGTCAAGCTGGGCTTTTGTGTTTAGGATTCACACTAGATGCGGGCTCTTCTTGTGATTTAAGGTACTCTACTTATCGACCCATCCATGCATCTTATGTAAAAACATGCCTTTGTTGAGGAGCCTGGGACCCTTTTGGGGCTCAGGGCTTCTTCAATCCGGTCCCACCTCTGCGCCAGCATCACGCCGCTGCTTCTCGGCTGCTGCTTCGAAACCTGGCAGAGCAGTCAGGAAAGCCTAAACCCTAAACCCTAAACCCTAAACCCTAAACCCTAAACCCTAAACCCTAAACCCTGAACCCGAAATGACTCAAGCCTGGGCTCAAAATTTTAGGATCCGGAGCCTTTTGGGCTTGTTAACTTGTAGGCTCACGCTGCGTGGCACTTACCAAACTGCACGTAAGCGCAGACGAAATGCGGCCCTTCTTGGGTTCATTACCTGCTCCAGACGGTTGCTGAAACTATCAGGAGCTGCTTCTTGAACTAAGCCCCTACACACCCTCAACCCCTATAAGCCCCTCTAAACCCCAAAAACCTACCCCAAAAGTCCCTAGAAACCACTGAACCCACTCCAACAGTCCCTGTAAACCCCTATAACCAACCCTCCCCAGAAGGTTCTGCTCGGCTCATTAGGCTCCGGGCGCTTCTGTCGGAGCTCCCTGAGGCGCCTCCGCGAGAACTTGGAGGCGTTCAGGGTTTAGGGTTTGGGGTTTAGGTTTTGGGTTTAGGGTTTGGGGTTTGGGGTTTAGGGTTTAGGGCTTGGGGTGTAGATTTTAGGGTCTAGGGTTCAGGCGGGGGGCGTTTTCACAAGGCTGATCATCATGCTAGTGGAGGGTGCTTGAAGCAAGGGCTGAAGGGACAGCATTTCAGCGCATTTTGTAGAAGGCTCATCATCAGAAACCATCCGAGTTTCGGTTGAGGGCTTGTAGGGTCTGTTAGAAGCAGGGTCCAGTTGCAATATACTTTAACAAGATTCTAGTGTTTAGAGGACTTCGTCGGTTGTTTGGAGTTTGGGATTCGGGTTTCCATGGCGTAAGGGGCTTATGATAGGTTCATGGTTTCAGGGTTCAGTGCACTCCCAGCTCAAGCCAGCCCAACAGGCTGCCACGGCCTCTTGCAATCTTTCAGCTCTTTCAGGATCGGCTCCATCAAGAAGTGAAGTTGCTCGCCTTCCTCGTCCTCCAGCTCGCACTTCTCCTCCTCGGACCTCTGGGATGCCATCTCTTGACTTCTATTGCATTGCAGCACGGCATGCACACCAGAGCCTCCATGGGATTCCATTGTGCAAATTTCAGGGAGCCGGCCACGGGCGCTGGGCGGGAGGGGGGGCGAGGGAGGGAAGGGAGAGCGAGAGAGAGAGAGAGAGCGGACATCGCACGGAGAGCCCAATTTATATACAGCACCCCGCAATTGAGGAAAATGCTCTTCACTGTACACATCCATCTTTATATGTCTGTGGTAGATGTCATATGAATATGTACGTATATTCACATACGTGTATATATATATATATATATATATATGTATGTATATATATAGATATGTTCATTGTGCTTTTGTATGTATATGTCAATAAATACAATATGGCTGTTTGTTCTTCTGTCGCTATGTTCTAGGACTCAAGTGTCTTTCTAGGGGGTGGAAGAGGAAGGTCGTGATTGGCTCGGCGCAAAAAAAGTTGGGGCCCCCACGGTCCCGGCGGGATGCTCCACTGCTCGATTTCTTTCTTCCTCAAAAGGGCTGAAAATGCTTCTTTTGACTCAAAAAGAGAAGCACTGAAGGGCTCGAGATGTGTGTAGGGCTTCCGGAGTTTGCTGGGGTTTCTGTGGCTTTTGGAGTTTAGGCTTCGGGGAGTTTGGGGCTTGAAGGGGGTGCCTCGTGCAGCGAACCAATTCGAGCCGAGCGGCTTCCTTCGGTACGCCACAAAAGTCTCGTTGCGCCCCTGACACGGAGGCTCTGCAGACTTCAAAATATTTTCGCATGCCCTCCTTGTCAAACCCGCCACTCTCCTGTCCCGCCAGTCTCCTGCCTTGCGCCTCTCCTCAATCTTGGCCTGAGCACAGTGAGTGCTTGAGGTTCAGGAGTCCTGGGGCTCTGCGTTCAGAGTCGTGGGTACAAAGTGGTTAAGGCAGGGGGCAGTATGCGCGGCCGCCGGGGCTTTCCCTGCTAAGCAGGACTCCGGGTCTTCAGGTGATGCCTTCTCTGCGCCCAAGGTTGGCAATCCGATACATGTTTCAGGCTCGTGATTCTTGATGTTCATCGTCTGTAGGTCCTCGTTGCTCCCTCAGCCCCCATATAGGGGGTTTGGAAGAAACTAGGGATACCCTTTTGGGATCCCTTTGAGGGGAATTCCTAAAAGGAGGTTCCCCCCTACTTTGAAAAAACGCCCGTAGTCCCCAAGCCTCCCACAAACTCTAAACCCTGCAACATGCCCAAAAGGGGGGGGCCTGGAGATCCAGGTACCGCTGCTGCTCAGGCCCAAACCTCGGCCGCGGCAATGGCCGCTTTGGGTTCAGGGTTTCAGGTCTTGAGTGTAGGGTTCTTGTGGACTTGTTATTGGGGGGAATTTTAGGATTTGGGAGTTTGGCGTTTAAGGAGTCTTGTCTGTGGAAACCTGAAGAGAGTTGAAGGGAATTGGCACCCTGACATACAACCCTGTCTAAGTTACTTGGGTACTCAACCCACTAAGAAAGTGGGTATTGGGACGTTTTGGGCCCTAAGCCCTTATTCTTCTACTTCGAACATCCCCCACCCTACAGAATTGGAACTGCAGGGCGAGGGGTTTTGACGGGATACTCTCGCGTTGGGCACTGCATGAATTCTCTGCGTTGGGGATTCGGGAGATGTGCGAGGAGTAGACCGGGAGAGGAGAAGAGTTTAGATTAAAAATCCAAGAGCCCCGCCAACCGAGGGTGGGGGGACATACCAAAAGCCCTAAACCCTAAACCCTAAACCCTAAACCCTAAACCTGAAAGCCACGCGGCCAGCGCTGGAGCAGCTGCCCGTGGACCTTGTGCCAGGTCAGGGCCTGAGCTCAGGGGTCCGTGAGCACGCAGCTGAAGGCGTGTAGGGTTGGGAGCTATCGGGTGCAGGGCTTAGGGTTAGGGCTTGGGTTTAAGGATGTTTAAGGTTTAGGTTTATCACCTCTAGGGTCTTCAGAGTTCACAGGGCTTTGGGCTTCAAGGGTTTAGGGGACAGATCTTGGGTTCGGGTGGGGGCATGGCATACTCCGAGCTTCAGGCCCACTCGTCCGTGTCAAGCTGGATCCTCAGGGCTCTGAAAAAGGTCATGCCAGGGTTTACCCTAAGCCCTAAACCCTAAACCCTAAGATTTCACTTCTCTGCAGGGTTGAAGGCAACCTTAGGGTTGATGGTTTATGAGTTTAAGGTTTAGGGGGTAGGGTGTTTCGGGGTAGAGTGGGTTTATTGGGTAGGGGATTCATGGGCTTAGGGTTTAGGGGTTTAGGGGTTTAGGGGTTTAGGGGTTTAGGATTTAGAGATGTTTGGGTTTATGGGTTTATGGGCTTGTGGGTTCATTATGGGTTCACGGGCTTTGAGTACATGGGTTTATGTGCTTATAGGTTTAGGGGTCTATTGGTTCAAGGGTTTATGGGTTTATGGGTTTAATGGGTTTAATGGGTTTGTGGGCTTATGGGTTCGGGAGTCACTAGGGACACAATGCCCTTTCAAAGGCAACACGAACATGGCGGCGACAAGAAGAAGCATGCTGGCTGCTGCCAGGCTGCCAGTAGTCATCCGTCACCTTGCCCTTTGCCTTAATCACTTCGTCGCACATGATCCGACGAGTGATCGGCCCATCCTGCCAGGGAGAGCTGGTGCGAAGCCTGACGATAGCTGCCAGCTCACCCTAACCACATATTGGGGAGTTCCGAAAATAGGGTACCCTTTTTGGGGGGTCCCTTCTAAGGGGATTCTATTCTATTTGGTGCAGAAAAAGGTACCCCCATTTTGGGAAATGCCCATACGCCCTTCGCTCCTCTGCAGGCTTCTTCCGGATGACCATGGCCGGCTTGAACACCTGGGCAGGTTAGGGTGAGATGCCGAGGCTAAACGCGTGCCCGTGGGGCCCAGGAACCCGGCACACACCCACTGATTCTGGTAGTTGTGGGTGGAGATGAACTCGTCCACCCACTTCTTTTCCTCAGCCGCGACCACACTATCTTTCAGCCCCCTTCAACGGTGCGTGTTTTTCCCGGGTAGTTTCTAGATGTACCCCCCCCCCCCCCCCAAACAAAAGCTTGCTGTTCAACCTGCGCGAGAGCTGCGGCTTGTAGCTGGAACTCGAAGGTGGAGCGGAGCCTGGACATTACCGGAGCCGATCCGAGACATCAGAAGCCCAAGCAAACAAAAGAAAACCTAAGAGACAACTAGTAACGTACATTGACACACATGAAAATCTCTCGTAAAATGTCCCAGGGCGCCCGGTCATCTCGCGCTCCACCCTCTCCAGCTCCCGCTTCTTGTCCTTCTCGAGGAGCTCCCGAAGGAGGCCCTCCTCCTCCTCCCGCTGCCCCTGCTGGTGCTCCTTCTTCTCAGCCCACCGGCGCTTCGCGCCGTCCAGCTCACCTGGGGGGAGTTGAAAGGAGGCGGGGATAGAGTCGGATAGAGTCGGATAGAGTCGGATAGAAGGGAACCACGGGGAATGATAGGGTGGATGGAGGAGGCCAGTTCTGAGTTGGGGGTGGGTTCTATGTTGGGCTAAAGTTGGGCTCCACGGCATGCAGCTGGGCGGCTCTGCTTCTCACGGATGCGGCGGGTCAGCTCAGCCTCTTCGTCCCCCTCCCCCTCGCCTTCCACCTTCAGCTCCACCGTCGCCTGACCGGGCTGGCCGGCGAATGCGGGCGCCGGCGCGCGAGCCACCGGGGAGTCGCCGCGCGCGTCACCTCCTTCGCCCTCCTCGTCCGTGGAGCCTGGATCCGGGAAGCCTTCTGGAGGACCCAGTTTGAAACGCAGGAGAAAGCTCTCCACCTCTGGCCGCGACCTCCGGACACGCCTCCTCTTTGTGAGCCCGTGTCCTTCGCGAGGCATCTGAAGGGCTTCCTGGGCCTTTGCAGTCTTTCCAGGCTTCTCCTCCTCGCTCTCACTAGCGAGCTCCTCGTCGGCCAGAGCCACGTGGCCTCGGCTGCGGTCTGGTTCTGCCCTGGGTGTGTCTGTCTCTACCTCCATGCCTCCCCTCTAACGCAGCCCTCTACAGTGTCCCTCTCTTGCATCCCCCTTCTTTTGCCGAGGTGCCCGCATGAGGCAGCGCCTTCCTCAAGAGCCCTACGTTGCAGCACCAGCCGTAGCCTTGCGGGTTCAGCTGGGCATGATGGCCCAAGGCGGCCGCAGCCTTGCCAAAGGCAACGGGATCCGTCCCGGGAGCCGACTCCCAGACGACCGCCACGGAGGCCAGGCCAAGTCGCAGGCCTCCGCGCTCTTTGGCGTCGCCCGCCACGAACTTCCGCACGGGGAACCCGGCAGCAAAAGGGTTGGAGAGGTTGATCCTGAGGTGGGCCTGGTGGTTGTAGTGCTTAAGATGCCGCTTCGCCACGACATCCTTGCAGCACGGTGCGTTCATCGAAGGCACCAGCGGATTGCCGTCCAGCTGTACGTGGACAGTCACTCCAAGAGGCCCTCTACGAGTGGGCTCTCCCGGCACAGGGAGACCCTCTCCATCGATCACAAAAGCGACATTACACGCCTTGTTCGGCGCCAGCTTCAACAAGGGATTCTGGAATCGTATGAGCACCATGCTTCCTTTGAAAGTGGGTGACCATACGGACAGGACCGGGTCCATGGCCTTTGCACGGACCGTCAGGGGCATCGCCAGCTGAAGTGCGCCGGTCTCCTTGTTGGACTGGCGGAGGAAGGCATGGGGCTTGTGCCGAAAGACGACGACCAAGTCCCCCGGCGTGGTGTTGAAGCTTGGCCAGTGCCCATCTCCTTCCAGGCGGTACTCGCTACCGTCCGCCTGACAGCTGTTGCACACGGAGAGGCACGGTGTGCACAGATTGTATACCGTATGTACTGCAATTTCCCTTAGCTCTTCAGCCCTGAAGTGCCGAGGTCTGACCTAACCCATGACGCGCGACAATCGGTTGAAGTCACACGCCTGTCCCGGATCGATCTTGACGTTGACCGTCTTGAGGTTCTGGTTCGTGCCGCCAAAGGCGCGCTGCATGCGATCCCTCTTTACCTCTCGGATCTTCAGGCCGCCTCCAATCAAGTGACGGAGCTCTCTAAACTGTTGGGGGTAGGATATAGGGTTTAGGGGTTAGGGCCCGAAACAAGGGGGCTCTTTGCAGAGGTCCTTGCAAAATAAGGATCCCAAAACAAGGGTCCAAGAGTCAAAGACAAACTGGCGCCCGTCACCACGAACAGCTGATCGGAATGGACCAGTTCCAAACCCTCCACACTGAAAGCTACCCAACAAACACCCATACACTTGTAAAAGCAAACCCCTAAACCCTAAAACCTAAACCCTAAACCCTAAACCCTCATTGAACTCCTAATATGTGGAACAGTGTTGTGTGGGTTGTGGGGGCACCCTTCAACCCACCCTCCCACCTCGGAGGGCTTTCTCCAGAGAGATCCTGAGTAGCCCCAAGAGCTCCCGAAAAATGGTTTAGGGTTTAGGGTTTAGGGTTTAGGGTTTAGGGTTTAGTATTAGCCACTTGTCAAAAAGGTACCCCAAGTAGGGAATGAGGGAAGGTGAGTGCACCCCCATGGAATCCCTTCACATCTTAGGGGTGGAGCCTTAGACACCCAGCTCCACCGAGCCACCCCAAGCCCTAAACCCTAAACCCTAAACCCTGAGCCCTAAACCCTAAACCTAAACCCTAAACCCTAGCCCTAAACCCTAAACCGGAAACCTGAGACCCTATACCCTAAAAGCACCGAGGATCTTGATCTCGAAGCGGAGGTCGGCAGCCTTTGGCAGCTTGGGAGCCTTGGACTTGAGCAGGTTCTGAACGTCCTGTCTCGGGATATCCGCCCCACCCGCCCCAGGGCAGATTTCAAGTGTATATATATATATATATATATTTATTTATTTATTTATTTTTTTTATTTGTATTTATTTATTTATTTATGATTTGTCGCTTGATATATATATATATATATATATATATATATATATATAGATATATATATATAGATATATATATATATAGATATAAATATATATATATATATATATATATATGTGTGTGTGTGTGCATATATACTTATTTAACTATTAATGTATTTATGTGTTTTTACTTATTTAAATATGTATTTATGTTTAGCTTATTTTTTATATTTCTGCTTATATTTGTATGTCCCCACCCCAACCCCCCAACCCTCAGCTCTGAAATCTCGGGGTTTCGGGTCTCAATTTTTGGGCGGTTTCAGGGTCAGGAGGGCACGCAAAGAAGGTCCTGCGCATTGACGCTGGGCTCACGGCCCTCCTTTTTGCCGGACCAGCGGCCCCAAAAGTTGGCGTCGCTGTTCGTCTTCTGCGAGTAGAAGGTGGAGTTCATCCCCTGCAAGTTCTTCTTGGGGAATGCTGAGGAGTTGGGTGAAGCTCCCCAACCAGAACCCTGAAACCCTAAAAGCACACCCTAAAAGCACTGCAACAACCCTAAGTAAACCCTAAATTCACAAAAAAACAACCCAAATCAACCCGAAACGCACTAGAACTACGATAACAACCCTGTAAGAACCCTAAACCCTAAACCCCTAAACCCCTTTTCTTCCCCCCCGACCCCCCCCCACCCCCCGTCGGCGGCCTGGGACTTGGCCCTCGCCTCGTCGAAGCGGGCACGGTCGTACTGCCGGCGGGTGGCGCGGTCCGTGAGGATCTCGTAGGCCTCGAGGTTTAGGGCTTAGGGCTTAGGGCTTAGGGCTTAGGGCTTAGGGCTTAGGGTTTAGGGTTTAGGGTTTAGGGTTGAGGGTTGAGGGTTGAGGGTTGAGGGTTGAGGGTTGAGGGTTGAGGGTTGAGGGTTTAGGGTTTAGGGTTTGGGGCGGGTTTCGGGTTTAGGAGTTTCGGGTTGAGGGTTTCGTGTTTAGGACAAGCCAGGTTTAGAGTTGGAAGTTAGGTTCCCGGTAACTCCTTGAAGGGATACATAGGGTGGGTATGCGGTTCGTGGGAGCCTCCTGACAACAAACAAACCCAGAACTCCCAAAAACTTAACCTGATGCTTGTGTCTGAGGCTTGGGGCTTGCCAAGCTGTAAAAACCCTCAAGGCAGTCATACTCGGACGCCTAAGGTTGTACCCCTAAGAGCTTCCCTTCATATACTCCACACACTCCTCTGACATAACCCCTTATATTCCTTCAGAGGATCTTGAAACAGGATCCCCAAACCCAAGGGTCCAACCTTAGGGGGTCCAAGGGAGAGTCCCGTGACCCTCCCTTTAAACCCCCTGAGCTACCCTAAACCCTAAACCCTAAACCCTAAACCCCTCTTGAGCGCCTCCTGGATCTTCTCGAACTCGTCCTGTTCAGGGCTTCTGGGAGGGGAACTCCTGGAAAAGGCACCCCGAGATCTTACTGAGCCCCGCAGCCTAAACCCCTAACCCCAAACCCCAAACCACCAAAGCACAAACTTCAACCCCCAACACCCCAACACCCCAAACCCCAAACCCCAAACCCTAAACCCTAAACCCTAACCCCCCCTCCCCCTGGCCCTCCTGCATCTCACGGAGCTTGTCCGGCTTCTTGTCCCGGTTCTTGTCCGGGTGGTACTGCAGGGCCAGTCGCTTGTAGGCGCCCTTAATGTCCTCCGGTTCGGGCTTAGGGTTTAGGGTTTAGGGTTTAGGGTTTAGGGTTTAGGGTTTAGGGTCTAGGGTTTAGGGTTTAGGGCTTAGGGCTTAGGGCTTAGGGCTTAGGGTTTAGGGTTTAGGGTTTAGGGTTTAGGCCGCTTTGGGCTTTTGAGGGGGTTGCGGGGGTTGGGGGTGTGGGGTTTAGGGTTTAAAGGTTTTCTTCCCACAGGTTTGTCGGAGCTTCGGGTTTTGAGGGAGTTGAGGGTGTTGAGGGAGTTTGGATGGGCTTGGGGAGTTTGAGTTTGAGGGTTTGGTTCTTGTTGTACTGCGGTCACATGTACTAGTGCTACGATGATTCGTATACTCGATAACTACTAGCATCGAAAATAATTACTACTCTCAGCTTCTCTCCCTTAGCCCCAGACCCTAAACCCTAAACCCTAAACCCTAAACCCCCTAAACCCTAAACCCCCTCGAACCCTAAACCCCCTAAACCCTAAACCCTAAACCCTACACGTCCTTGACCGACGCGAAGTCGTCCACCTCCAGCAGCTTGTAGTAGTCGTTCTTGGCGTCGAACTTCCGAACCGGCGCGACCTTGAAGTCTTCCTCGTCGTTCGGCTCGTAACCCGGATCTGTTCCTGGGAGGTTTAGGGTTTAGGGTTTAAGGTTAAGGGTTTAGGGTTTAGGGTTTAGGGCTTAGGGCTTAGGAATTTGGGTTTTGGGTTTAGGGTTAGGTTTCGTTGAAACTCTCTAAGATCCGGAACCTCTCTACCCTAAAGCTCTGCCACAGTCACTGCTCATTCCTTCCCCAGTACTGCTGGGAAAATTGCTTTGACGCATGGCCGGCCGAGCAGCGCTTACGGATCAGGTTCCGGATTTTGGTCAGCTCCTCCTCAATGTCTTGGGACTTGACGAGGGCCTTATACAGGCCCGTGTCTTCCCACTTCACCTTTGGGCCGGTGTAGACGTCCAGGTAGTCGTTCTTCTTCGGCCTCTCCTTGGCCTAGGTGCACGGGAAAGCTGAGATCTTCACGGGGCACTTCAGATCAATGACATGTACGAACCGGTAAGTAAGTCCGGTAAGTCCTTGCTGGGCGAATTGGAGCAGAGAAAGAGTCGCCACAAAAGCCCGGCTCAACGCCAAACATCGGGCGCCGAGGCATTTTAGCCACGCGGAGGACGGTTCGTGGCACCCGCAAAGCAAGCGTCTGAAACATGGCCGCCCAACTCACACCATCTCTCCAGGCATCTGGTCTACAGCGACGAAATACATGCTCCAGAAGCCTTCCTGCGTACGGATTCTCAGTACGGAACTCGGGAATTATGTACCATACTAAGAACGTGGTAAGCTTCCTGCCTCAAAATCGCCCTTCCGGCTCCTTCAGATTGAGTGATATGGAGTGTAGATCGCGGGTGCGAGAGACATCGAGAGACTGCGAAGCAGTGAAAGAAAGGTCTAGGAGCCAAGGATTCTACCACATCCTTCCCCATATCCCAACAAATAGAGTTTTCCGGACCTCAGGAGCCGGTCGCCTGCTGATTGTGCCAAGGCACGAGCTGCGATTCCTCCTGGCAAAGCAGAACACTGCAAGTAACGCGGTTTGGGGCGTCTGATCTTGCAGGGGCATCATAAGGCGGAAGTACGAGGCACCTGCCCTCGTTTGCACACCCCACTCGCGATACATGGATGCATCCGACACTAACTCGCTCTCTCTGCCTGCTCGTTGCTTGCTAGCTGTTCTCCTTATCCTTCATCGGAGATTGGCCGAGTGACAGTTCTCTGGCAGATCTGCTCCACCAAACATGCAAGTTTCATCTCCACTTCCAACTTCCGGGGACCCGTTCGCCGTTTCCATCAATCGGGCGAACCCTCACCGAAGTTGCAGATTGAATCGGCATCTCCACCGAGGTGGGTTCGTGAAGGTGTTTGCCATGGCATGGCAGGTGGTGTCGAAAGGTGTATTCCAATAGCTTCTAGCGATGGTCCTACCCTAACTTCAGCTCCCGAAGAGCAACCCTGTTGTTGGTGAGAGGGCCTGCTGCTTGGCGAGCTGGGCATCGAAGGTGACAAGGGCATTTCCACCCGCTGGGGCCGGCCGGTCCTGTGTGAGGGCTGAGATTCAGATGCCAAAGCTACCCGCTAAACCGCGAAGACCCAGGCTTCAAACCCGAGACCCGAGACCATGGCCCAAGAACTTCGGAGGTTTGGCACATGCGAGGTTCTTTTCGGGGCTCAGTTTAGGGGGCCGTCGGCTGCATGCTCGGCTTTGGGAGCGTCCTTGGGCTTCTGTGTAGCACTTCCATTGCCGGGCCGATACATGCCCCTCAGCACTCGACAAGGATTCGGCTCCGGAGGATGCTGCCACATGCGAGCCATGTCGTGCTGCCACCATGGGAGTTCTGGTCCTGTTTCCCAGCAGGGATCCCCCCCCCCAATTCGGAACAACCCTAAACCCCAAACCCCAAACCCTAAACCCTAAACCCTAAACCTCCACCCTCACATGTGATCTAAGCTCGAGGCCGGCAGCTGGCCGTGGAAAATTTCGGTGGAAAACAGATGGAAAATCACGGGGTCATATTATACCTAGTATCGTAAGTAACAAAATAGCATGTTTTGTTTATTTCTCCTTACATCTATATCCTATACTATAGTAGACTTTGTTATGATATTTATGTGTATATGTACTGGTCATGCACAGCACCACGGTACTGTGAAGATCTTTCGATGGCATCTAGGGAAATGCACGCAGCACCCAACACCAAACATGCTCTTCGACTCTTCTGCTTACCTTTTTGCACTCGCTCCAAACAGAAGGAAGGACACCTGAACCCTACACCCTCTACACAGATGAACTGCGTCAGGTGTTTCCAAGCTGCTTCTACCTCTCATGGCTCAAAACTGCTCGGGAGCCACGATGCGCAGGGGCGTTCTTCAGTCCGAGTATGTCTTCAGTCCGATGGAGGGAAGCGAGGGGCCGCTCTTTTCTCGTGTGAATGTCGATGACCATCGCGCGGGTTCAGCTAAAATTTCTTTGACAAGCTTTGGTCAAAAACCACGTGGTTTCTTGAGAGCTCAAGCTGGCTTTGCCATGCAGGGCCTCTGGACGCCTCGGACCAGGGGTCTCCCGGAACCTCGTCTTGACGCCCTTTTTGACTATGAGGATTTTTTTATCATAAACAGTATACCTATATTAGGGCCCAGAACAGCTCAAGTCACTTGTCAGAGCCTGCTTTCTCCGTCCCCTCGATCCGACCGGCCGAAGCTGCACAGAGTCTTTCTATGCTCGGCTCCATCGTCGAGGTCGTCAACAGAGACCTAAACACCAATCTCCTGACCCTCTCAACGAGGGCCCCCAAAGCCTGAACTCCACTCTGAAATCAATCCGGGATCGATGAAGGGGTTCAAGGACTAGGGCTACAATAGTGATGGTTCCTGGTGGATTGGTTCGCAACATGATGGGGCCGGTGAAACGTCTCTGAACTTGCGCAAAATTTCAGAATATTTCTGGAGCAAACAAGCCTAAGGCCCTAGAATGATATCACTGACATCGTGACATAACTTAAATAACCCCTTGGCAGTTGAATGTAGTTGGGCTTGCGCCCTCCGAGAAAATCTCATGCTAGACGACTGCCTCATCCAGCCTTCACCAAGCAGCCGGGGACCTCCGGGCCGGATCTCAGGGTGGTAGCAGTAATCCCTAAACCCTAAACCCGAAACCCGAAACCCTAAACCCTAACCCTCAACCTCTACCTGCTTTTTGTGTGCGGGAGCCCCCCTGAATCCAGGTCCGAGCCTCCGATCAGCTGCCGGCCACCAGGGCGGAAGGAGGTGCCTGATCAGGAATATTTGTTCAGTGCTTAGGGCTGAGAGCTTTGGGGTTTTCGGGTTTAGGGTTTAGGGCTTATGGGTTCCTTGTGTAGGGCCGAAGGAGAACCTTTCGGCGGCTGCGGCTTCGAGAGCTTGCCGCCTAGGGCGCGTGAAAGAGCTCGTCTTCGCAAGAGCCCAAGCTCCAGGGCTAAGATTTGCACATGGGCTCTTCGAGGCAAAGGACTCCGAGGGGCCCAGCAACCACAACTTCAACCCCACAGGCAATGAGAGCCAGGAGTTTCCTCAGTGGGACACTTGGGGTCTCATGGGAATCTGTAGGAGATCAAGGGAGCTCCCTAAAGCCCAGGGCTCCAAGGCCCACACTGCAATCGTCTGAGGCTGCGGTCGTCCGCCCGATGTTCGGGCCGACCTTGCGCGACGCTGCTTGGGGGGTTTAGGGGGTGTAGGGACGCATGCAGACTCGGTGCATGTCCTTGGTCCTTGATCAATTCTCCAAATTATGAGTCCTCTGTGGGGTACCCTCAACCGAGGGCACTATCATAAGAGCCCAACAATAGAATGGGTAGAACGAACCCTAACTCCGGAAGAAGCCATTAATCAGGAGGGAACCTACCACTTGGTGCTGGACTGCGGTCGCCTCATGCGGTTACCGCCCTGCCTGGACAGCAAGCGCACGAAGGCTACGCACACCAACGTGTGCTGAAGAAGGCATTGGGGTTCATAGGTTAGGTTCTAGGGATATAAAGTGCAAAATATAAACATTTAATACATAGTATACAAAATTGCTATATGTGAAATAAAAAATGTTTAATCTCTGTTTCGTCATATAGTGCACAACCTATGGCATATAATGTTTAATATATACCATATGAGGTATATTAAAAACAATGATATCGTACAACAACACAGAACAGATAATACATCACATTATACTTGTATAATGTATACTCGAAAACATGTATGACAACACTCATAACGATAATAACTCTGAAAATAATAGTTATTGTTTTTGTAATGTTAATAATAGTAAGAATACTCATACTAAAAGTAATATTATCGTAATATTAGTGTTGTAGTAATCATACTAATTCGAAATATTGATATTTATACCACTCTATTCTGCAATCCGCGGCAGCTCTGAGCAAGTGACACTGGTGGCGCGGACGGTGGTCGCACCGGAGTCGGAGCTGGAGTCCACGGTCTGGGAATCTGTCCTCAAAGGGGTTGAGGGTTTAGTTTTCCTCAAAGGGGCTGCTGGTACTTGGGGGGTTCAGGGGCGTTAAGTGAACCAGGGAGCCTAGTATAGACCCTCAATTGGCAGGATCCCCTTATAACAAGGACCCCAATAAAGTACCCCCAATATATGGTAAACTGGGGTTTAGACGCTAAGGGTTTAGGGTTTGGGGGATTTCGAGGTTTGGGGGCTTTGGGGTTTGGTAGGGGGTTTAGGGTTTGGGGGTTTGGGGGAGAAGTGAGCTTGAAGTTGCCATAGAATACGGATATACAGCGAACCCTGTGGTTTCCAACTTGTGGCAACTCGATTTCAGTTCTTAATCAACATTTCGCAGCCATTGCAGAGCATTCTGCCCACAAACACCCAGCCGCATACACGTATACAACTCCCAAATTGTTCAGAGTCACCCAGGCACTCTCCAGCAAAACCTATCATCCTGTAAGGCTGCTGGGGACTACAGCTATCCGTAGAAAGTCTCTATGGGAGTGGATTACTGATAAATGTTAGGAGGGAGTGGTGAGTGGAGGGGCACTAGTCTGCGGCTTCGCACGCGATATACTCAAAAGCCCCTGCATATTGCAAGCCCAGTCACCCGCAGGCATCGTAATACGAGGATCTGGCCTGGCAATACTCTCGCACTTGGGGAGCAAAACGAATCACCATCTCCCAATGCGAAATCCCCCCCAAATCGCCCTTCCAAAAAAAGAAGCAAACCCCCAACCCTCCCTTAAGAACCCCAAATCTGCGTTTCTGTAGGGTAGTACTGTAAGACCCCATATCGGATTTTCAGATAACCCTGCAAAACTGTAGGTTTGGGTTCCTAAGCCCTAAGCTGTAAACCCTAAAACCTAGACCCTAAGACTCTAAACCCTAAACCCTAAGACCTAGACCCCAAACCTAAACTGCTGAACCCTAAACCCTAAAACCTAGACGCCTAAACCCAAAACGCTAAAACCCCAAACCCGAACACCTGGACCCTAAACCCTAAACCAGAGAGCTGCGACGTGTTCTGGGCCCCCAACTCAAAGACTCGCGGGTTGCCCGGGTAGCCCTTGGCCATGTCCTCAGAAGGTTTTAAATTAAATTTAGGGTCCAGCCCAAGAAAGTTTGAGAGGGCTTGGAAGAACTGAAGGCCTCAGGGAGTTTAGAAGGAGGGGGAGGGGGGGGGGGGGGGGGGGGGGGGGGGGGGGGGGGGCTGGTTTGTAGGCTTCTAGGGTTGAGAGTTTTGAGTTCAGGGACAAAGGGGTTCTGTAGGGTTGAGGGTTCAAGGGCTTAGGGTTTGAGGGTTGTGGTTCTCGGGCTGAGGCCAGCAAGGAAGCAGCAACAGAATCTCAGGTTCAGGCGTACATGTGGGTGCCTGGGCTGCAAGCAGGTGGAAAACAATCCGGCTGTGCCCTAAGCCCTCAGCCCTAAGCCCACGCCCTAAGCTCCTAAGCCCCTAAACCCCCTAAGCCCCTAAGCCCTAAGAACTTGCAAGGCTCGCGGAGTGCTTCAGGGGTGACGCTGCCGAGCCGCATGGACCCCGCTGCTTCTGAAAAACACGTCGATTGTGCTCGTAGGCAACCTGTCCCAGTTTGCGCAGCCGCTTGGGATTCTGAACCCTGAGACTGCTCGTATAAGCTCCTTTAGCGGGCGAGCACGGCAGAGGGAGAGAGAGCAGGCAGAGAGAGGAGCTATATCCCTCCTTAGAAGTACACATGAACCTCCAAGGACCCACAGATGAATAGAGCAGATGATGCGAGGCCTTGACGTGAGGGTTCGGCCGGTTTCTCCCAGCGCAGCAGAGGTCCACAAACCTGAGAAGCACCATGAGCCATCATGTGGGGGCTTTCCGAATTGGGCGGGGTACCTGAAAGGGATCCCACTAGTGGTTGCCTATTTTCGAAAACTCCCATGTTTGATAAGGAGCTTAGGCCCATCCCCTGCAACATACAAGTGTTTCCAGCGCTATGCCGCTACGCCACGACCATGTAAGCTGAGATCCTGGCTCAGACAGCCCTTTTCGCCGGCCTTTTCACAGCGTTCGCTCTAAAACCCCCAAGCGCCCAAAGACGTCCAGACATCCTGCACAGGGCCCAGCCTTTTTGAGGTGGCGCGGCCGCCAAGCGGCGCACCATCTGTTCCCAAACAACACTGTCGCTGTGGTGGCACATGCAGGCTTGGGAGTTTAGGGTATGTTGTTCGCATCAGTTATCAGTTGTTTCGCTCGAATGCACTGGCACGTGGAACATGAGCTTGCATCACACGAGCCTCCCGATACTCTTGCGCCTCGGCGCACTCCAGATGGAGTTCCGTGCCAAGTCGTGCTTCAAAAAGCCCGCGCTAGGCTCCAAACGGACGGCTCGCACTTTTGAACATTGCCGTCTCTATTCACATAGACCTCCACCTCCGGGCTTGCTCCATGAAGCGCGGCAGTTTCGGCACAAAAAAAACACCCCAAGACGTAATCCGCTTCATGACCTCGTGGGTAATCGGATTGTACCGGAGCTCCTCCGGCAAGAATTGCCTGCATTCGAGGCAACATGCCCCCTGTCACACGACAGGCAAAACCCTGCCAAGCTTCGGGCCTATTCGGCGCCCAGCCAGCGTCCTGGAGATGATGACTTGGGGTTTGGGTTGCAGTTACCGTAAACCCTAAACCCAAGGACCCAAGGACCCAAGGACCCCCTAAACTGCCCTAAACCCTGAACCCTAAACCCCAAACCCCAAACCCTCAACCCCAGTCCCTAGCCCCCCCAAAACGACATCCCTGGAGAGCCTCGGCCATGGCAACGTCCGGGCCACCGCCAGGAGCCTGGCATTTGAGAGGTGGTCGTTTTACTGGCGCTTATGGGCATGAATTAGGGATTTCGAGGTATGTGTGGGTAGCATAGCGGACATTTGGGCGCGTACGGAGTTACCTAAGCTTCTCCACGGAAAATCGGTACATTTTAAGCGGATGTCTTGGGTTTGGTCCTTAGGGTGCAGTGTCTGGAGTATACAAGCTGTTGGCGCCACAGCGTTGTTTGCGCAAACCATAGCATGCCACGGGCAAGCCTTGCAATGGACCTCTGCAACGAGCGCCTCATCGGCAGACTGCCATGCCTCAGCCAGACCGAGAGACTCAGCCATCCCCAGAATTTGTAGTCATGTACGTATGAGTAACCAGTATGGGATCAGTGACCCGCAAATTGGCACCTAGACTGCACCAAGCACAGGGAAGATGGCACACGAACGTGAGCAGCAGGAGCTTTCCTGCCGGATTTTTTTTTCGGGGTTTTTGGGAGCTCTCCTCTCCAGAGCATCTGGCTCGCACGGCTCTGGGCGTGCGCATGCCGGCAGGCCGGCCCACACCTCATTGGGGGGGGGAGTTGTTCGAAGTTGGGGTCCAGGTTTTCAATATTTCGGACATGCCGTACAAGCAGCATCTCTCTTTTCGCTGGGACATATTGGGGGTTCCCGAAGGTAGGGGTACCTTCTTGGGGTCCTTACGACAAAGGAACCCTACTATTTGGGGGACTATATTCGGGGCCCCTTCGTAAACCCCCATAACCCCCATATGGAACCCGCACAGCCGGGGCTGCGGCCCGGGTCTGTCTGCGCCGCACGCAGCCTGAGCACCACAGTGACTTGATACTTGAGGGGGGTTATTAACTAACGACCCCAGATATCACCATAGTTACCCCACTTAACCTCACGTATAAGTACCCAACAGCATGGCACCGCCCTCCGAGGTGCGTGCGCGGGAGGGCGTCCGGTGGACGGTCGCCGTGTCTCCCGCCGTGGCTCCGCCGGCGTGGGCACCGCTGCAGGCGGGGCCAGCCATTGTGTCGGCACATCGTCCGCACTCCCGGTGAAAGCAGCACGGGGGTACCCATCTCGATGTGTCGCTTGAGTCGATGAGGTGCAAGCGGCCCTTGGCAGCCACAAACGGTCCTTGTTGGACGCGTCCAGGTCACATGCCTTCGGTGATGCAGCCACAAGCGCTGCAGCCAGGGCCGTGCCAGCGCTCGTGTGGCTCTGCTGGGCTCCGCAACTTCGGCTGAAGTCAGGTCCGCCGTAGAGTCGAGCGCCTGCCATGTACTGACGGTACAGGCAGGCCCCGGGGCCCAGAGGGCCCTTGATCCGAAATGCCTGCCCACAACAAGTTCTGTCATGGCGTGTCGAATTATGTCGATGCCATGGCAGGTTCCGAGCTGCGTCGGAGCACACAAGAGCCAGCCAAGCATGGACAAGAGACTCAGGGCACATGGCATTTGTGCAGCAAGAGTCCTGTCCTTTTCTTCCGTTTCTGCCGGTGGTCGGGGCCCTTTAAGGGCTCCATGCAATTCAATTCTCACCCTGAAAGTGACCAAGTCGTACCGTATAGCACAACGGAAGTGCGGAAGAGGCCTGTCACGTTTATGAGATGGGCGGTCTGGGTAGCGAGACAGGGCCTTGGCAGGATTTGTTGGCATGACCTCCATCTCTGGGTAAACCTGCGCGTTCCAGGCGTGACGCATTCCTAAGGTTGGAAGCCGCCAGAACCAGCCGGATACTGTACACTTGCAGTCCTGCGTGTTCCAGATGCGCCTAATGCTGCGAAGGGAAGACAAGTGCTTGAAAATTGCGCCACAAAGCGCAACGAAAGCCTTGCGCGCAAACAGCTGTAGGCCGAAACCCAGCTTAACAGGCATTCTTCTGTACAGAAGCCAACCAGGCGCACGGTGCCCTCGAGCTGCTTCCGCCTTTGGCGGGGTATGCTCTCAAAGGCAGTGCACATGAGTTGGTGGAAAAATCCCGTGCTTGGCGTGTTCGACGAGCCAGGCTTTGCCTGGACCTTCTTTGTGGGATCATAGCACCTGAATTAGGTTCAGAGGCGGCCGAGGTGGCCGCAATTCGGTGGTTGCATGAAAGCTTGCATATTCCTGCAGCTCTTCATGAACCGCGCGGCTTGAAAACCGCTACTGTAGTCGACGTTCTTCTTCCAGAATAGCAAGCCAGCGCTTTGCAGGTGGTCATCTTGAGAGAGGGCGACCACGCGCGAGAACCTTGCATCTTAAGCATCTGCCGAAAGGAAATGGTCAGGAAATTTGGGGGTATCCTGATATTTGTGTACATATGGCGGCTTGCGATATGAGGGGGATCCGAAGACGGGAACCCGAACTCTCAACCAAGGGAACTTTCACGGCTTACGGTTTAGGGGGGATCTTTTGAACACACCGCCAGCCGCTAATGCTCGCTGGGCCGCTGCCTCCCTTCCACCGCGAAGGGGCTCCTGAACCTCAAGAACTTGAAGAGCGCTTCAAGGGGGGGGGGGGGGTTTAGGGGTTCATTGGTTGGAGGGTTTAGCGGGGTTTAGGAGTTTAAGGGTTTAGAGGTTTAGGCGATGGGGCTTAGGGAGTTCAGGGCTTGAGGTGCTCTGGAGTCTGGGTTGTGGCTCTTGAAGCCACCTGCAAGAAGTTGGGGATTTTCGAACGTAGGCGAACCCTTTTTGGGGTCCTAGAAGAAGGATTCTGGTATTTTGAGGCAGACCGAGGGTTTCGGGAAACACCCAAATGCCGCCTTCGCGGGAGCTGACGCCCTGCTCGACGGCCGCTCGCGATCGCCTCATCAGTGCCAGGGCCCTTTAACCCTAAACCCTAAACCCTGAAGCCCCAATCCCTGAAGAAGGCCAAACAGCCAAAAACCCCTAAAGAAAAATAACAAAGTGCTGAACCCCCATACCCGTACGCCCTGAACATCCCCAAAACCCCAAGCCCCAAAAACCAAAACCCAAAACCTCAAACCCCCTAACCCTCAACCTAAACCCCCAAAACCATAAACACTAAACCCCCGAAAGCCCCGAAACCCCCGAAACCCCCGAAACCCCCGAAACCCCTAACTCTGAAACCCCCTAAACCCCCTGAACCCCCAAACTCCCTCAACCCTAAGACCGCCTCACACATAGCTCTCTAACTTAAGGTCCTTTTTGGGGTCCTTCTTTTGAAGGGTGCCGCCTTAGCCCTAAACCCTAAACCCCAAACCCAAAACCCAAAACCCTAAACCCTAAACCCCAAACCCAAGACCCTAAACCCCAAACCCTTAACCCTAAACCCTAAACCCCAAAACCCAAAAAGACACCCTAACTTACCGAACTGCCCGCATGGTACCCGATGTCGGCCTTCAGGACTTCGAGGCCAGAGGGGGAGGAGCTTGAAGGCGCCTCGAGGGGTGGGGTGGGGCCCCCCCTCCCAAGAGTGAAACAGACCTAGGTTTAGGGTTTAGGGTTTAGGGTTTAGGGTTTAGGGTTTAGGGTTTAGGGTTTAGGGTTTAGGGTTTAGGGTTTAGGGTTTAGGGTTTAGGGTTTAGGGTTTAGGGTTTAGGGTTTAGGGTTTAGGTTTAGTGTTTAGGGTTTAGGGTTTAGGGTTTAGGGTTTAGGGTTTAGGGTTTAGGGTTTAGGGTTTAGGGTTTAGGGTTTAGGGTTTAGTTTTAGGGTTTAGGGTTTAGGGTTTAGGGTTTAGGGTTTAGGGTTTAGGGTTTAGGGTTTAGGGTTTAGGGTTTAGGGTTTAGGGTTTAGGGTTTAGGGTTTAGGGTTTAGGGCCTACATTGGGGCCATCAAGCCCCAAAATTGCAAAAGCCCAAAAATCCTAAGTAGGGCTTTGGGGTTTAGGAATCTTGGAGTTTGGGCAGTTTGGGGCTCCTTATGGGCTTCTAAGCTTTGGCTTTGAGGCACTTTGCAATCAAGCTTTAGGATGCTTTTTCGGATTTCAGGGCTTCTCCTGGAATCCGGTGGCCCTGAGCCGTGCTCCTGAGGGCGGCGCGGTTCCCGAAGCACTCGTTCATGAGACCTGACGGTGCAGAGAGCGCTCCGCAACACGGCTCCTGTTGGCAAAGAGCAGCCGGTCAGCTCCCTGGATTACGGTCCCCTTTTTTGGGTCGTTTGCAAAAAAGAACCCCCCCTCAAACCCTCAGCTTCTCATCTGAACCTGGAACCCGAAAGGGATCATTAGATTGAGAAAGGAAAGCCGGTAGCAGGAGCGCGGCTGAAGTGCCCAGGAGAGCGGGAAGACTTGGCAGGTCGAAAGGCCGCCTGGGATGCCAACTTGGCTGCCTATTAGGGTTTAGGGTTGAAGGTTTAGGGTTTTGGGTTTAGGGTTTGGGGTTTGGGGTTCGGGGATTCGGGGCCTGGAGTTCAGAGTTTAGGGTTTGGGGCTGCAGGGTTTAGGGGGTTTTCTGTTGCTTGCGTTGCCTTGATGAGGAAAGCTGGTGGAAGAAAGCGCTCAAACACATGACCCGCGACATTTCTTGAAATCGGTCTGGAAGCAGCCTAGAGCATGCCCACAAGCTTCCCAAAACGAATTGAACTCCAACAACCGAAGTGTTCAAAGAAGGATGGAAGAGGAAAGTTCCGAAGGGAGGGGGGGGGGCTTGTAGCCTTACAGCTTCACAGCTTGTAGCCTTTTCGATCGCACCTCATCTGTCACAAACTATAATAGCACCGGGAAATGGACACCCCGCGACCCTCCGACAGGAATCCTAACTTCAAGCGGTGTCCTGGGTCTTTGGGCTCGGACGCACTTCTTCGCTGCTGCATCTGCTAAGGAATTGGCCGTCAATGAGGCCACCTGCAGCCACTTCAACCACTTCACAAGTAGCACAGTGCACAACTTCTGCACATCATGCTCTTGAAGTACTGGTAGCGCACGGTCATATCAACACGTCGTGCCTGTGACGGTGGCCACTCGTAGCAGGGCACGGGCCGGTAGCTCGAGCAGAGCGGCCGCAGGAGCTTGGCAGCCTCCCAAACGCCATGAATCGTAGCAGGTACTGTCGAGGAGGGCATCGTGCAGCAGAAGGGGGGTCCCACAATAGGGGTACCCTTTTTTGGGGGTTCCTTTAATTAAGGGGATTTCCATTCCATTTAAAGTCTAAAAGGGGAACCCCCTATTTTGGGAAATACCCGAATGGCACACAACATGGCGGCTCATGCCTGCAAGCCCGAGCTCTGCGTCGGGGCATCATCGACATCCTCACACGCGGTTTGAAGCTCTTCGACTGCAGTGGCCGTTTGATTTACGAAAGAATCAAAAAGGAAGTAATAATAATTATCATGATAATAATGATAATAATAATAATAATACTAATAATAATAATACTAACCCTCAGGAAGTCTCCACAAAGCATCCACGACGGTCAAGTCCCCTGAACGGCTTCTACTTCCCCAAGCAGAGCTCTGCTGCGCGTAACGACCTCTAGCTACATGTCATAGCCGTGCCTACAAAGAGTCTCTAGATGGCCCCTTCGAGTGCATGACCCAACTCTTGTCAGGGCGCATCGCTGCAGAGCTGCCGGCGAGGAAGTGGCGCATCGCTGTACAGCTGCCGGCGGGGAAGCGACACCTTGAGCGCCTTGCGTTGGGCTTTGGGGCGCTGTAAACGCGTTTAAGCGCTAATCGACTTGGGTATGGTGTTGGTGGCTGAAACAAGATTTGGGGCTTGAGCACTGAACCTCATGAACCCAAAGGAAGCAACCATGCCAGAGGCACACTTTCCAGTGCAGGCTCCTGAGGCGACTCCCTCGGGAAGGTAGTCCTGCATTCGCAGGCGCACCAGAGTGTGCCAAGCAGCTGCGGACTGAAAAAACGTACGCCCGCCTTGCCGTGACGTGATAGGGTTTGATGAGCATCTCCTGTCAGGTCCGAGGAGAATCTGAGACGGGGCGATGCAAGGTAGATGCACGACATCTGAGCTATGCATTTTCGTTTGGTAGTTCGTCGGAGTGAACCCTAAGGGTCCATGTACCTATATTGTATACTTGGTCCCTAAAGCTACGATATGGGAACCCCTTTAAGGCCCAAGTATAGTTATACTATCTAGGTACATGGACCCTTGCGGGAAGAAGCTCGGGTCATAAAGCAGAGCCGACTCCAGCATGCCCATGCTGCTGCTGGTAAAAGTGAGCCCCAGGCAACGTGAAGCATGCAGAGCCCGTCGGCGATCCCAGGCGCAGTTCAAGTCTGCACTCTGTGGTTTAGGGTTGAGGGTGTAGGGTTTAGGGGCTTGTGATCCAACATGTTACAGCCTGCTTTTGGCCTGGCCCATTAGATGCTAGTGGTATGTCGTCTTCATGAAGGGCTTTTTGCTCGCCGACCTGCCAAGAGTCGTGGGCCTTTTGAGGTTAAAGATTGTTTAGAGACCATCGCGTGAGTCAGCAGTCCTACCGAAGATTCTCGAGGAAGCGGCCGGCGACAGTTCAAGCAGCTACTCTGGGCACTGCGCAATCGCTACTCATGCCGGCGTGCTGATTGACGATCGTCATTTTCCGGCGGCGCTGAGGTCTGTCGCAGCTGCTGAAACATCTGGTGGGCCGACATAGCTGCACCATTGGCCAAGCAGGCCCGCGCAAGCCTGCGAGTGACCACAGAGAGCGGTAAGAGACAAGGCATGTGGTCGATCTAACCTCATCTAGCTTGGAAGCTTGGGAAGGCACCCGGCGGGGAGACCGCGGTAGCAATACCCCTGTCGCCAGGCCAGTAGGAGGAGTCCGCCAAGTCTGGTGCCTGGTCACAAACTTTGGATCTTCGAACTATCCGCTCGAATCTTTTCCAAGTGACGAGCAAGTGATGTGCATCCTTGTGATCCGCCACGAAGCAAAGACAAAAGCCAACCCCCGAGCCTTTCGAGTCGGGCGTCATCCGGAAACCCGCAACCTCACAACTCAGGCCATGACTGGCGAAGTGCGGTTTCCATGGTGTGCAGACTATGTCATAGTGTATATTATACAGGTCTCTATCTTCATGTCTACCTTACAGAACTATATTGCTCTTTGTGACCATACAGATCCATGCCTCGCTCTGCAGCTGGCTCTTCACCACATCCAGCGGCCATGCAGCCAGCCAACCTGGCTCGCCAGCGGACACAACCTTGCACAACCTTGCACAACCTTGCACAACCTTGCACAACCTGCTACTGCTCGGATCGTGTTCATCTTCACAGCCCTTGCGCGTACCGAAGAGCGACGGGTGTTGAGGCCAAGCGGCAGCAGCTGGTGACCGCGCAGCCTCGCAAGAAAGGGTGCTGCCGGAAGTCCACCCAGTCCACCAGCTCATTGGCGTGGTTCAGCTTGTCCTCGGTCGACATGATGGCCAGAGGCTCTCACTTCCCCCCACTGCCATCGGCCACTACGTGCCAGTGCGTGCCCGGTGTCGGAGAGCACGAAGAAGAGCGTGACAAGCACCACGTTGCGGCAGCAGGTTGCCGAAAGCCCTGGGGACAGAAACATGCAATGTTGCACAACAAGAAGACCGGGAACCCCGCACTAGAGCCCAGGACCCTACCTGGTCAGTTCTCTGAAGAATGGTCCTTTTGGGGTATCTCATATTTCGGGCTTCCAGAAAGGAACGATCAAAAAAGATCCAAAACAGACTCCAGCCCGGCCTTGCCACAGGCATCCAGATCTCAGTGCTTGCTTGTAGTCCAGGCCCCTGACCTGCTTTTGGATCTTCAGCGCCTCAAAGGGGTTCTCCTGCGGCTTTTGGGGGTTTTGGGCTGTTTTGGGCCTTTTTTGGTTTCGGGTTTAGGTGTGACACACCCTTTTCCAACAGGGACTCCACCACCGCACGCCCCAAGCCGGCGGCTACGCCGCTGGCCCAGATCCGGCCCTCCACGCCCAGGAAGGGGCTGCAGAAGGGAGCCGCATGCAAGGAGGCATAGACTCCTGAGTTGGGGCTGTCCCTAAATTTCAGGAGCCAATGGAAGCCCTTGACTTCTAGACGGCTATAAGGCTGGTGCCTTAGACCTTGGGAAGTATTCAAGCTACGTTTTGTTAAGAATTTCAGTCTTTTTTTTTGTGAGATTCAGAAGCCAACGGATGCCCTAGCCTTTAGAGTCTATTTGCGTGTCTTTTTATGCCCAGGGATCCAGAATACACAGTGAAGGGCACCGATCTGAAGGCCACGGAGCCGACGAGCACCGGCAGAGAGCCTCTGTAGAAGCCAGCCAGCTTCCCTATGGCGGCCTTTTGTGGAGCCTCAGTCTACGGATCGGCGCTGCCCCATACGGTGGGGCTTCCCGAACGTGGGGGGGGGGGGGGGGTTCCCCTTTTAGGGTGGCGATGGAAGAAGATTTCGGGGTGCAGAAAATTATGGGGTCCCATTTTTGGGAAATACCTGTATCTGTCGCTCAAAAACTTGGTTGCAGCTTCCTCTGGGAGCGTCTTAGGCTCCTTTTTCCCATGCAGTTAGTTGCGGGTGCCTCCTGTTGGTTTGAAGCATGAGCGCTTACGTTCGCCGACGGGGCGGGTTAGCCTGCAACCTCTCGCAAGGCGACTGCAGAACTCACGGAAGAGCAACATCAAAGTGAACAGATCAGCAGGGACTTCTTTTTACTTATCACTTCTTGTGATATCTTGTCATCGTCAGGATGCCTAAGCCCGAGCAGTCCGCTCCCTTGCTTTGCGAGGAACGCCTCGCAGGATCTGGCGGGCAACTTGCAGTATGCCTGGCCGCTCGCCTGCTGCGCCACCAAAGCCTTCAGTCCTGACAGTCTTGGGCGATGAGAATCATATGCGATTTGGTTGATAATGTTATGCTCGTACATCATAGTCCTATCAAGATTACTATGCTGTTCTATGGGCTCTCTGTTCGGGCCTCTCTCAGCCAAGTTACTGCATCTTGGTCTTGATGGTGTCCAGCGGCTGTCCCAGCAACGTAGCCGTTGCACCTTCGCAAAAAGGGGCGCGACAACTGCGTGGCCACTGGCACTGCACGGCTCTTTCTGTCCCGGCTGCCGTAGACGATGCCCCCTGCAGCAGCCCATAGCAGCTCCTCTTGCACCGTTCCCTGTCCTGCCAGGCTCGTCTGACACCAACAAAACTCGCCAACCAACCTCGGGAACCAGATCGCTGGACATTTTCCATGTATTCAAGCGGGTACACGGTTCCAGCATTGGATCTGGTGGCACCTTTCCTGTCAAGATAAGAAGCAAAAAAGGCTGACTCTGAAACCCCAGGAAGATCCAGGAATGAAGACAGCTTTTCAGGACCCTCTTTCGGTGTCCGATGAGAAAAGTCCAAGACTTGGGTTCACTACCCGGGGGGTCTTATGAAAGGTTCCAGACCCAGTGTCTCAGACCCCGAGCCCCCTGGGTTTTTGTCGCTGGCATGTTGGGGCTGCGCGCAGCGAATAAAGCGCCCCATGAGTTGATTTGAAAAGCTGGTTTTGTCTGTCCTTCTTTGTTTTTTGCATTTTTTTTTTCGGAGGGACGGGCTGTAAAACTCCTGGTCTTTTCCCTCACTACAACAGCGTTAAAAGTTTTAGGGAAGCTCACATGCCCATTTTTACGACGATTGTAATGGGAAGCTCCTTGTCCCCTAGGTCCTGCGTCTTTCCGTTTCGCACAACTCAAGAAGACTTCGGTCCACAGATGAACCGCGCTAAGGGACATGTGCTGTCATGAATCTTCATTCGTTTCACTCGCGCTCTTGCTTTGCACAGTGCAGTATCTGTGCTGCGTGCTGGCTTCAAGCAGCTGCTTGCGTCCTGCAAAGTCACCGCGTGCGGCAACCGACATCTGCTTGGAAAGGAAGCCATGTGGTCAGCACGCAAGATGAGCGACGCAGGATTAGCATGCGTAGGGTCCTACTCGCAAGAAATGCATGAATAAACGGATGACTTGGCAATATTGAGAGAAGGCGTTGAGGGCATGTCACGTATGTCTCCGATTGGTACCTTTTTGAGCAAAAGCAGCAGCTCGAGTGGGCGCGGGCTTTGCAAAACAAGGTGTCAACACAATATACTCAAAACACTTTACATATATTGTATACACCTAGATGAAAAAGAACATTAGTTGAATCTAATCACATATGATAAAATAATATGTCCATGTATTTATATAACCATAATGTTAGCAATACTAATCTACCGGTATAATAATATACTGTGCTAACTAGTATACTAATATACTAATATCACAGAAAAATGGTACAATAACATAATCATAGAACAACTATCAATATAAACATATATACATATGTAGAACAATTTATTGAACATAAATATGTCATCATAAATAAAAATTAACCCCCGTGTGCATCTGGCGGGCCGCCATTTTTGTCGGGGGGGGGAAACTGTGCGAAGCAAGAGCTTCTCACCACGCAGTTCTGCAGGGAGATCTCGAGCAGCTGCACCTTCAGCGGTGACAAATTCCTTGTAGGGATACGAGCTGACAACCGGAGCTGTGCAAGTTGGCTGCAACTTGAAAGCGAGAGCGCAGTACCTTGAAATGTCGATTCGTGCTCTTTAAAAATTGCTTTCCGGAATCTTTTCAGGAATGCCGAACTGCTCGTGGCCGAGATAAGTCTTCAAGCCTTGCTGATCTCGGCCCAGTGTCATCACATTGAAGCACCTCAGCGAAGTCCACGACGTCATGACGCTCCACAAACACAACTGCAGATATCTCGTCTTCAAGGCAGCGGCTCGGGCGGCTGGGCAGAACCACCATGGGGGGCGCAGGAATCTGCAAGCAGATGGAAAGTCTGATGCGTGCAGCCCAGGGCCCACGGTAGCTTCCCTGCAACAGCGGCAGGTTTCTTTTTCCAGATCTGCGCCAAAACAAGGGTCACGCGCTGCTCGTGACACTTAGACCAATCGCACGCGGTGGCGGCAGTGGCATCTGCCCGGCCAGCTCTTGTCACAAGCGGCGCCATGCTCCGGCGCAAGGCTTCATCCTTCGCTCAGAAAATCAGCCACAACAGCTAATATGGGCATTTCCCAAAACTAGGGGTACCCTTAACATACTTTCAAAAGACACTACAATCCTTATTATTGGACCCCACAAAAGGGGCTAGCCCTATTTTCGGAAACCCCCACAAAGCAGCAGCAAACCTGTTCCCTTGAACGCACAGGCCTTCCGCAGCACGGTGCCGGAAGTAGAGGCGCCTCTTCGCAAATAAGGCTCGCGTCTTGCGATTCGACGTGTTTCAAGGGCAGCTTTGGGGCCCCGGAGGAAAGCCCTACCTCTAGAGTATAGAGCTAGCAGGGGTCATCCCCCCCTGCCGTGGAACACGCGCCGTTTTTTTCTTGGTGTCGTGGGCTTGAGGATGTGGGGGAGGGGTGCAAACGTCTCTTTTCGGGTTTAGGGGCTTTGGGGTTTAGGGCTTAGGGCTTAGGGTGAGGATTTAGGGCTGAACGCAATCGTGTGAAAACATGTCCAACTTTTCGCAAACCGGAGCCAGCCCAAACCCAGCCAGCCATTCAAAATTCACACGTCGAACATGCTCAGAGACACTTGGGCTGGAATACATAGAGTGGGTGAGCACCAGCCCAAGCCTTCGGTGATTGGAGGCTTTGGGTCACTTGGGACGATAATGGCAAAGGCTATCCCCTCAAACTTTTCCGAAGGGGGCGGTCTGGGCCGAAAGGCCCTAGAATCCCCCAAGAGTGGGGTGGAAGCTTGACCGGGCACCGGACAGGGAATTAGGCGGGGTCGGGGTAGGATATAATTGTTTATGGATAAGGGTTTAAGTGGCCGCTTTGGTTTGAGGTTGTGGCATAGGTCGTGTTTTGGGATACTGTGTTCTGGAATTGAGATAAATGTAACTGGGGCGGGCTTTGGGGGTGGGTTTCTATTTTTCGGAGCAAGCTATGGGGTTGTTTAGGTGGCTTTGGTTTAGCGCTGGTGGTATGAGGTGGGTTTGAAGATACTGTGGGCACGGGATGAATTTGGAAATGCCCCTTGCAAGCTCCTAGAACCCTGAATCACAAATTACTTATCAAAATTTCTTATCGGGTTCTTCAGGGAGGGGGCTTCATGGGGGTGTAGGTACCTTTAGGGAACCTTAGGGAAGCTTCGGGAGGCTTAGGGAGTAGTGGGGAGTATAAGGGAACCTTGGGTTACATATCCCCTTGAATCCCCTATAAATTACAGGACCCCTGCCTTTGAAGCTCCGCCAGCTGATGCCGTGCCGCCCGCGCTGCCTCCGCAGCATCGAGCGCTGGGTTGCCCAGGGCATCGACACCTCTTGAAACCCGAGCATAGGGCTTTGGCGGTCGGGTGAAGGCTTCAGAGTACTGCAAGAACTAGGCGTGGGAGCCCCCCCCCCTGCCCCCTTCCAGCTCAACCTGGTCCCAGCGAGTCGTCGAGAAGAAAAACAGTTTTGCTATTATTGGACCCCCCTCTCTAGCGACCCCCAACTCAAATGGGCCCAAACAAATCTTAATTCAGGCCTTCTCTTGTTAGGGGTGGGGGGGAGGAGAACGCCCATCATTGCAGAACTTCGAGTATAAGGTTTGGGGCTTTGGGCTCTTCTTGGGGCTTAGGGCGCGTCTCTTATTGGGCTTTGTTTGGGTTCTGGGGAAGCCCTAAACCCTAAAACCTGACGTTGCACACGGAACACATCAAAACCTCCTAAACCAAAAACCCCTAAACCCCTATCTTTTACAAGAAAACCTCTGAAGGCCCTTTGCAGCCCAAGACTACTATTGGTTTAAGAACCCCCAAACAATATGAAACAATAATCCATACATTACCCTTATAAGGAAGAATACGCTTTTTCCATTTTCTGAGGGGGGGCTCTTAAGCAATTCGTAGAAGAAAGGAGCAGCACCTGGCAAGTCCCGGGCGGTGATGCGCGTGTGCGCGAGGCTCGGTTGGCCTTGCAGGGCTTGGGGTTTATAGGGGTTGGGACTTTCAGGGGCTGGGGCTTCCGGGGGCTTCCAGGGGCTTTTGGGGGCTTTTGGGGGCTTTCAGGGGCTTCTAGGGGCTTTTGGGGGTTTGGGGTTGTCTTAGGGTTTTCAAGGTTTCAAAGACTAAAAGGTTTGAGGGCTCAGGCGTTTAGCTAAGGGCTTAAGGGTGTAAGGGTTTGAGGCGTGTCAGAAAACTTCCCTTCACTCTTCACGCCATGAAATGACGCCCAGTTCAGTATAGAAGCCTGCTTGTAAGCCCTATAATTGCCTTCCACGAGCCGTGCGGTGAGCAGCAAGGGAACACCCCTCTGCAGCCAGTGCCGGATCTTCTTACCCGGAGTCACGTCGGCACGCGCGTCCGTCTCTGCCTGCGTGGCTTCGGGTTCAGAGACCCTAAACCCCAAATCCTCAACCCTAAACCCTAAACCCCAAACCCGAAACCTAAACCCACAACCCGAAACCCTAAACCCTGTACCCCAAACCCTAAACTCCCCCAAAAAATCCTAAATCCCCGGAGTACTCGAAGCCAAGAAGCCCGGACATGCTCCGTCCAATCCCCCGAGTCGCCCTTTGATGCCAGGAGCTTGGCCAGGGAGCTGCACCACTCGAGGATCTCCCTCACGCTCTGCTTGCCGACCTCATCCTTGGATGACATGGGTTTAGGGTTGAGGGTTCGGGGTTTAGCCAAAGAGGAGGAACTGAGCGAATCGGATGCTGCCCTTCACGGCGTACACACAGCCTTCACATGGCCAGCACACATGCCCTTCTCTACACGGGGCCACGCCCGCTAACCTGGAACAGGCGAGGCTCACCCTTCCTGTCTTCATAGCGAATCATCGGTATGATGATCACCTGGGGTCCAGTGCAGTGTCATCACAAGTCACAGACCGCACCTGCACTCACATGCACACATGTTACTCACCGGCAGCCTGCACGCAAGCCAAGCGCGGAGGCAGGACGATGCCAACATCATCACCTGGTCTACAGGAAGCTGAGTGCTGCATGGTAATGAAATTTCGAGACCTCATGTGGATTAGGGCATCAAGATTCCTTTGCTTGGAACGGACCTCGAAGCAGGTGGGCCGCTTCATCAACATACCACATAGTGACTATAGTGTTCCAGCTGCGTCCAATGCCCGGTCGAGTACATACTGTATGTCTGGTACGGGGACAAGTCTAGCAGCAACAAAGACAGTCGGCCTGCGGTAGTGTGGGCAGCATCGTGCAGTGCGTGCAAAGAATGTTGGTATGGAGGTTTAGGATGGTCAGCACTGCTCCTAATGCCACCCTAGGGGCCCTAGCGCAAGTCTAGCGCCAGCCGGGCGCAAAAACCTTGCGCGATGCCTCTGGCTGAAGAGAAAGCCAGCACCCAAGCCAGACATAATGTGTTCTTCTGAATTTTGCCCAAAGCCCTGCGACTCCTGCTGCAGTGCGTGCAATTCGGTGCCCGCACAGGACCCTCACGCTCAAGCGGACCATTCGCACCAAGCCACTGTGCGCACAGATGGCGGCGGCCAGCGCGCGGCACGAGAACGAGAAGGCTGTCAGTGAACACACCTGGCAAGTCCGATCATGTGCCTCTAGCTTGCCCACAATGTGTTGGGATGTTCCCCCTTATACCAGGGGGCACTATAATCCATTAAGGACTGGTAGCATAAGGGGGAACATCCCAAACAATGTTGTGAAAGGGGGTGCATTTGGATGCTGCCGCTGCTGCCCAAGCGTCGTGGTTGACGCATCTCCCTTCCGAGTCGGCTGTGCAGTATCCTCAGCTGTGGCTCAGTGGCCAAACTGCAGGCCGCTATCCCCTGCCGGCCTCAGAGCCCCTCCCCCCAACAAAGCAAATGCCCCCTAAACCCTGTGACGCCCCAATACCCCCAAGCACCCCCGAAACAATCCTAATAATTATCAGAAGAAGAAAAAGAACAAAAATATGAAGAAGAAGAAGAAGAAACAGAGGAAGAAGAAGGAGAATAATTGTAATATATTTAGTACAATGCTACTACTCTTATTAATAGACAGACAATAATTCTAATGATATGATTGCCCCTAAACCGTGATACCCCCAAGCACCCCCGAAACAATCAACACGGCCATGGCTGGGCAGCCGAGCGTCTCATGTTGAAGCCTGTGCCTCGTTGGCTGTCCAATTTGTGGACAGCCCCGACTTCCAAGGATGTCCCCGTCCCCGGAATGGCCCTTAGGGTTTCGGGTTTAGGGTTTAGACAAAGTAGAAAGTTTAGGGTTTAGGGTCTGGGGCTTAGGGGATTCAGACCTTCCAATTCAAACCCTTCTACAGCAGCACCATCCGAGCGGCACGACCACTGCAGTCTTCTCGCCTTCCAAGGTGGACTCCCCCACCCGCCGCTGCGGCGAAATGGCCAGCAGCTCGATGCAGAGACCTTCACAGGGGCTGAGCCTGACTAGGCCCAGGTAAGCCAGCCCTGGGTCGGCTACGAACCAGAAGCTAAGAGGAGGGAAGAGGAGGGAAGTGCTGCAAGCTGGGGCACGCTCGTAGAGGTCGGCGACAGTGTCTGCAAACTCCTTCGTCTCCTTCTCAGAGGCATGGGCTGCGTGTCCCTCCTGGACGTACAGCTCGCGGCCCCGGAGGAAAGCCAGCGGCCGCTTGAAAGTGTTGGGCGTCACAGCGGAGGCCCACCGTGTCAGCACCAGCGGCAGGTCGCGCACCGAGGTGACCCAAGATTTCCCCAAGACCTTGTACAGCAACGGCTCACATGCCGTGCGCACTTCCAAGCGAGACCCCTCGTCGTCGGGGTGGGCCAGGATGGGGACACCAAAGGGCTTCGCCCCGAGCGAAGACAGCTCGGCGTCCAGCCAGCGGCGCAGCTCCTCCCAAAGGTACATCCCGCACGGGGCGATGACCATGGCGCCCGTGACATCACTCTCCAAGGCCAGCTTACCTGAGGAGATCAGGTGCCGATACCACTCCACCAAGTCGGACTCGGCTCCGGCACCCAGCTTCCCGAGGGCGCTGGTCACCACGGATGGGGCCGAGTAGGCCCCGCCTGCCTCGCCTGCCTCGCCTGCGCCCGCCTCGCCTGCGGCCTCCCCTGAAACCTTGCTTTGTCCCGCGCTCCTGGGATTCTTGGGGGCTTTCCTTCGGGCCTCCAGGCGCAGTGCCTCCTTAGTGAAGGGACCGAGATCAGCATCACAGAGCGTGGCGTGGCAGCAGGTGCGCCCACAGAGCTCGGGCGGGCGGCGCTTGGGGCCGACACGTGCCCGCCGGGCACGGGGGTCTCGCAGACCCTTGGAGGCCCGCTGAAGCGACTTCCCGTGCCAGTACCTCGTACCGGCTTCGGGTAAGGAATAAGTTTGCTGGGTTTCGCACACAGTTCCACTCTAGGAGCAAAAACGAAAGAAACCAGCGAAAGGTTGCCTTGCCTTTGCCTGGCCTTCGGGCTAACTGCGACCAGGCTGCTCTTCTAGATGCCAGACCCTGCCGTCGGCCGCGAAGCGCAGCTTGGCCACCTGGAGGAATTGGACCCTCCTCCACGGATGGTCCTCGGACTGTCGCACCTCGAAGCTTGCCTCCCACTTTGCCACAGCCGTCTGTGCGTAATCATCGAAAACCAAGTCCTCCACGACGTTTCTGAAGTTGATGTTCCTTTCCCGCGCCTGTATGTGGGTTATCCAATAGTTCTTGATGCCATCATGCCCGCGGTAGACCCCATTCTCCGGGTCATATGGGCGTTCAACATATTGGCCATCGTCCGTGAAGAGCTCAAGTATCTTGTCTACGTCTTGCAAGCGCCAGGCCTCGCCGTAACGATCCACCCACCCGATCGCATGCTGGCGAGACACGCTGGAGATTCCGAGATTCGTTTCCAGGCTCATCGTACTCCCCTCCGAGCCCACATGCTTCGGCAAGAGTGAAGACATGGGTCGGGAGCTGTCCAAGGCAGAACATGGGGGTTACATGGCACAGCGAAAAACCATTATAAATACATAAGTATCAAAAAAGGCACGCACTTCTCATATATGAATATATATATATATATGAATATATATATATATATAGATAGATATATATATATATATATACACTCACGTACGTGCACTCAATTACACACATTGACATACAGACGTCAGTGCGGGCTCGGGCGATGTCACCGGTCCTCCGGGCCTCGGGAATGATGGGTCGCACCGCAGGCGTCGGAGACAGCCAGGGGGCCTCCTCCAACGCCGCAACAACGTTCTGGCGCTTAAGGCGTCTCGGGTTTAGGGTCTGTAGAGTGGGTTGGATGAATTTGGGTGTTAGATAGACGAGTGGGGATTTCGGACTGTTGCAAGGACTGGCAAGACAAGAGACCAAATCTACGGCGCTATAATTTGGACCAAATGGAAAAGAAATAGCTGTCCAACCTCAACACGCTAAAGACCCAAAAAACACCCCCAAAATACCCCGAACACACCCGCAAAACACCCCGAAAATGCCCCTGAAATACCCTTCAAAGACCCCTCAAATACCCCAAAACCCGAAGCCGCAAAGGCGCCTCCTCCGGCAAGGCTCGGCCTCGCCAGTCGGTGGCTTGGCCCTCGAGGCCTCGGCCCTCCTGGCCTCGGCAGCGACCCATGGAGACCATGGAGCAGACTAAGACCCTATCCTTCTAATATAAATAGAAATATAAGTATAGATATAAATATAAATATATATATATATATATATATATATATATATATATATTTATATTTATATATATACGTATATATGTTTATATTTATATTTATATTTATATTTATATGTATATGTATATTTATATTGACATTTATATTATTTATATTTTTGTTTATATTTCTATTTTTATTTATAGTTACATGTGTATATACGTGCGCACATATGTTTATATGTGTATATATATAATATGTATACAGACAGCGGTTGGGCGTGTAGGATATATGTATACACACATATATATATATACACACACATAGAAATTGACACATATGACCTCAATGTCCCTTAGCCCGAAAGTTTTGACATCTGGGCACCAGGCTCTCGAGCCAGGTGTCGATCTCAGCTCCCCAAAATCGGCTCGCGGTTCTGAGGCAACCCTGAACTTCCCGAGCTCGCGGCCAGCGTGGCATTCACGAGCCTATCCACGGCATCCTGGCAGAGGCGGAGCCTATCATAAACTCCCATCACGGGCATGTTCAGAAGATCCTGATCAGACATCTCATCAGCACCGAGAGGTCATGAGCTGCTAGGGGCTGCCATGCTCATCAAGATGCCGGGGTCCAGCCAACGCGGCGAGGTCTGGTAGCGCCGCACGGCGCTCCGGGCCTTTTCGGGGCAACGTTTTCAGAGCTCATCGGCAGCGGCAGGGTCGATAGTTTCTAAGGCCGATGCCGGCATCGCCGCGAAGGATCCCAGCAGATGCCGCGGGGCAAAAGTCGACACGAGCGGTCTGGAGGCAGTCAAGAAAACGAAGAACACCCTCCAAAGTGTAACTCTGCAGTCAAGGTGCAGCACGCGGGGCAAGAAGAGGGGCGCTGCTCGGGCCACATCCTCTTCTATTGCAGGAGGAGGCAGCATCAAGGCAGCACTGCAAGTGACACCACAATGTACTCATGCATTCTTGGTGTGTGATCTGGTGCCAGTGCATGATCGACACAGCGTGGCACGGATCTCCTCGTCGCTGGCATTTGAGGGGCTCCGAGCTATGCCTGGCTGAAGGCTGAAGGAAGGGCTTACCCCCAGACTCCAGCTTTGACTGGCATCCGCATTGTTTTTCCCACGTGGAAACTTCCCTTCAGAAACCCAGCCGCATCCACGAGGGCACTCTGGCTCTGCGCACTAGGTTCACCAGACTCGACCCAGTTGCAATATACAGGACATGCCAGGCCAGCCGGTCTCTTCCGCGGTGTCACCTGTGGCCAGCTCCGACGCATGGTAGCCTGCACAAGGGTTCGCACTTCGCAGGACACTTTGGGCCGCAAGCCCTATCCTCACGCACAAAAAGAGGAGAGAGGAGAGAGGAGAGAGAGAGAGAGAGGGAGGGAGGGGAGGATGCCACCTAAGTTCTCTGTGGTGTTGGGAGTCCCCGGTGTTGCCGGAGTTGGAGTCGGGGTCGCCTCGCGTCATCGGCCCCCGAGACCCGAAAAAACCCGAAAAGCCCCAAGAAAACAAGCTTCCGGGTGGTCTCAGGAAGCGACCGGCGCCGAGAAGTTCAGGGGCCAGACCTCTGAGGTTGTTCAGTTCAGGAATGTTCAGGGCTCCTTCACAAAGAAGGAAGGCCGACAAAATAGAACGACGTGTGCGACAAATCGCTGATACACAATCGAGCAACAAACAGAACCGACGCTCAGGTCCTTAGCACTCTATGTAAGGGTCTGACCACAGTTACCCTACCCATGAACCTCGAAGTACCGTCTAGGTCGGGCTTAGGGGAGCCGAGGGTGCTCTGAGGTCTCCGGCCGAGGCTGTGTCGAAGACCGTCTTCAGAGCAACCTTAATGGAGGAGCCCCGAAGCATCAGGGGCACGGGGAAATTTCGTAGGGTGGCTGGCCCAAGGCCTTCTAAGCCCCTCCCTGAGGAGCCGGCCGCCAGGGTGGGCATGCTGGCATCCAAGTCAAACTTGAAGGGCTTCTGGCCAAAGTTGAAAGAGAGCCTCCGCGCAAACCATAAAACCCCCTAAAAACCCCCTAAAAACCCCTTAAAAACAAAACTACCCCCTAACAACCCCCAAAAACCCCTAAAAACCCTAGCAACCCTACAATTGGGATGTTCCCCCTTATACAAACAGTCCTTGATAGGGATTCTCACAGCCCTAAAAACCCTAAAAGCCCCATCTAGAACGTGCCACACGCGCCCCTCCGGCTGGGGCTTGCGCAGGTGCTTGGTGTCGAGGCCCACCTGAGGTCCAAGGATCCGGTGTTCGGCTCTTGCCCCCATTCCCCCTCCAGAAAAAAACTCCTGAAAACATTTAGGGTTTGGGGCTTATAGGGCTTAGAGGGTTTATAGGGCTTCTTTTAAAGAGCACGAGAACAAGAATCCTGAGGCCTAGGGGACAGTCAGCAACTTCGTGACGAGGCGCGCAAGGCCACAGGGGCACATCCCAAGGGACGGGATCCAGGTCGAAGGCAAATCCTGGCGCGAGTATCCTAGTGGTTTCGGGTGGAGTGGTTTGGGGTGACTTGGGGTGGTTTGGGGTGACTTGGGGTTTCGGGCTGTTTAGGGTTTAGAGTTTAGAGGACTTGTTTATGTTCCAAGGGGTGTGGAACTCTCCAAGCTCTGACTGACACCCTGCCTAGGAAGGCACCGTTCAGGGTGTAGAAGATCTTGCGCTTTGATTGCGCCAGAAGCCGCGGCCGTCCTCAACGAACCGAAATTTTGCTATTCAAGTTTGGAAACAACTTACTACAGTTTGTGGGACATCATAGGGTTTACAGGTTCAACCCTTACTCTATTGAGGGATAGGGCAGATTGCGGGGGCCACCCTTTTGGCCACGCGGCCTGCGGAGACCTGCGACGCGCCGGAATCAGAGCTGTCGCTGGGGAGCTGACAGATCCCACATCCGACCACATCTCCGGCTCCGAAGGTCAGGGGCCCGGCCGCGCTCGCCTCCGCAAACTGGTATCCCCGATTGGACGCGTGGAAGAGCTGGCCGTCGTCGCTGTGTAGTCCCCAGGACTCCGCATCCCAGCCTGCCTGCTGCTTGGCAACGGCATAGCGCGAGAAGCGTGGCGTGCAGAGGCCCACAGAGATGCAGGGCAGCACCGCTTCCTCCCTCCTTTGCCGTCCGGCACCACCGATCAGAACCTGTCCGACCAAAGCACACAACATCACACAACTCTGCTGCACTTCCCTCACAGCCCGCCTTAACACATATTGGGACTCAACTGTTCGGCACTTACTGTAATGCAGAGCGGGCCTCGTAGTAAGCGGCACTTCTGTAGGCAACCCTCCACCGCCAGTCTTTGGCACTGTCGTCGATGTCCCGGCCGTTGGGATGCAATGGAAACGGCAGGGCGGTGGCTGATGGGACCGCGGCAAGGGGCAGCTGTGCCACAACGCAGCGATCCCGGCCGTGGAAGCCAGGACGCACGTGGCAATGCATCACCCTTAGAGGCGTGAGCATGGCATGCCACATCCGGTCTTCTTTGTATTGCATCGATTGTGCACGCGCATTGCGTTGAGGCATGCGGAGGTAGGGTTTGTACGAGCCCAATCTGCCATATAGCACATTAAACTGGCTCACTTTTGAAGTGCAAAGGCAGGGGGGCATGCTCAATGGCTTGTACGACACACGGTATGCAGGTATTCAAGACAGCACATGCCCGCGCATGCTGGCACGTACCCATGTTCACATCAGACAAGAATAACCTGCTGCCTACCTGCCGGCACTCATATCATGCCTTTAACCACGCAACACACTCCGCGCAGCAACAACAATGAAGACTCATGGTCATATTCATCCAAGTATATGCGTGTGCCCATGCACTTCTCCGGTCATCCGTGGCCGTCCAAGACCGACAAATTCAACAGATAATTGAGGCCAGGTGCTTTCCATCAGCATCTTGAACGAACTGCACACCTTCCGGTGCCGCTGCAGACTCCCCGTACTGGCTGGGCCTGCGACAATCTAGCACATGTCGGAATTGCCGGGGCATGCAATGATTATAGCACCATAGCGATGGGACTGCAATGCTCAAGTAGCTGAGGCGCAAGAACTGATAATCCTGGCTCGAGGACCGCAGAGCATTCTTCCCTGGCGCAACGTCCAAGTCATAGAATGCACCTCACTGCACAAAACGTCCAAAGCTTGAGCCCTCTCCCCGATTACTCTCGAACCATGAGGGCGGGGGAGGACCTCTTTCTTTGTGGTTGGTACTCTGAATCTTCGATCCCACCCTGCATTGCGCCACGTGAAGCTTCACAACACAGCACAACGTGACCCCTAGATTTCACAGGAGGCCGCAAGGAGCCCCAAAACGAGAAAAACGAGGCTGACAAAGTGAAACCGCGCCACGCTTCCAGCACCACCGGGTCGAAGAGCTTGCAGAACTTCGCGCACCTGCACGGGCTTGAGGGGAGTTTAGGGGATTTTTGGGGAATAATTGATACAATTTTGGGAGTTTTAGTTGTTCAGTTTAGGGAGTTGAGGGGTTTGGGGATTCCAGAGTATAGGAGGCTTAGGAAAAGCCAGCAACTGCGAAGGCTCCGCGCCTTGCGTCTGAGGTCCACAGCCCAGAGGGCACAAGTGTTCGGAAGGCACACCAAGCTCCTCCCCAAAAACAGTGGTAACAAAAACTTATGCTTGGGGTGTTTCCCCCTTATTTCTAAGAGTCCTCAACTGGGATTCGAATCAGGGGTACTATAATCCCTATTTAGGTCTGTTAGTATAAGGGGGAACATCCCAACCTACGGTGCACAAAATGGGGGCTGGTGAACCAGTGCACAAGGAATGTCCTGCGCACACAGCTCTTTCCAAGCAGTCTGCACCACTTCCTGCAATCTTGACTCCGCGCTCAGCTTGTGTAGGTCTCACCTTCTGCCCAGCCTGGTCCACCCTCGCCCAGCCGACCGTCTGGACACCTGCAAGACGTGTGCATCTGGGGGACACAGAGGCCAGCAGCGCATCACCCTGAACACAGTGCCTTCTGAATCTTCTAAAGGACGCAGACACGGGACCATACCCAACACTAGGGCACCCACGGAGCAGGGAGGCCGGATCCAGGAAGAACACCCACTGCAACGGCAGCGTGTCCAAGATCATCAAGCTGCAGCCCTCGGCCACAACACTGTTTCAAGGTCGTGGGGACGTTGCACATGGGCCAAGTCCGGGGCGTGGTGTAGCTGCGCGGCGACTGTAGTCATGCCACGCGGCTGCGTCGCCCCCATCGCCAGCAGTGCAGCACTCTGGTGCACAGCAGACAGAGGGAGCCACTCGCAGTAAAATGATGACGGAATCAGGTTGGCAAAGGCTGCTGCGTTTGCTGGATTGCCATCTTGGTGTGGGTGTGGGTCTGTGGCAAGTCAAGTCATAACGCCTACGTCCGAAGTGACACACGCCTGAGCTTCAATGTCCACGGTCGACTCATGTGCTCCAGACGATGAGCAATCCTGAGACCCTGCTAGGCACAAAGGTCCCTTTTTGGGGGCGAGGATGCAAAGGCGCTGCATGATGCATCTGCCTGTGAGCGAGTATCAAACGCACCACTGTGAGAGCACCTCACCATGCTCACACCTGCATCGCGGCTGCCACACAAACAGCAAGAAGTCACTTAGATCTTAGATTGGTGGGTTTGTCTGTCACAATCACCCCCGGAATCATCGAACGTACTGCACCCTGTTGGAAAATTAAGGATCCATCGCACAAAGGCGCACGACGGTCCTTGACAGGCTGCTAGCATCTGGCACGATGCCTACAGGACAGCTGGGATCAACAGCCCCCCAGGAAGACTGAGAAGCCGCCCTGATGGTCTTGACCACTCTGAATTCTTAGGCTTACTTGCCAGAAAAGGCTCCTTGAATCTTATGTTGCCTCGCAAGTTGCAGACGCCAAGGGGGCTTCGAGCTACTTCAGGAGGTTGACGATGCCCGCCGGAATTCTGACCCTCATTCCATCATCACGCTCCTTGTCCAGGCACACCTGCCAGGGTCTGCTGACGCTGTTCTCAACAGTTCTTAGAATCTTAGAGTCCACGAAAAGAAGACCGGATCCCAGATAGGTCTCTGGTTGAATTAGGTGTGTTGTGGTTCAAGCTCTAAAGCTTGGCACTGTGAGGGTTAGGCCCAAGCAGGCACAGCGGATGCCTGGCAGCCTAAGCGGGAGGTATCCGTCACATCCTGCGCCAAGTCGAGCATGTCGGCCTGCTGGGGCACATTGCTTAGGGAATCTGACGGCTCCATGCCACACAAAGGCGGACGATGGATGTGCACCTGCCGTTACCCTGCCGTGGTGTTTCTGCCAAGGAGCTGCAACAAGTCACTGTGCGGAGCTGTTGCTCGCTGGATTCTGTACAACAGTGTTTGTCACACTACGGCGCGTGCACGTGCCTTACGGCACAGTGGCCACGCCAGGCCCTGAGCCTGAGCAACAGCCGTTTGTCGGCAAGTCGCAGCATCCAAAGGTCGCATGCAAAGACCGTCGAGGACAGCCTCCTTTACATGGCTGTCCGTCCGACCGTCCGCGTTGGTTATTTTTTCAAGCTGGGTCGGCCTCCGGGCAGAGCCCAGCTCACCAGGTAAACGATTCTTCCACGTCACGCTCCGCCAACTGCTGGCCCTTCTGGCGCCAGCGGCCGAAGAAGGTTTAGGCAGGCCTCGGTAGGAACCCCAACGCAGTGGCAGCAACTTTGGGTTCAAAGGATTTAAATTCAGCAAGGGATGTGGTCAACTGCAGTGGCAACTGCCCAGCCTTGGCAACAGCAGGTGCGCCGCCCGCCTGCCGCAGTGCCTGAGCAAGGCTGCAAGGTGGAAGTGCCCATTCAAGCGATCAACCTTGAAATCCCCCACGCCCCATAAGCATCTACAAGCACCCTACACTCCAAAGTATCGAGTTCCCCCACCCCCTCCAAAAAAAAACAAAACTCAAGCTAAGAACTTAACAAGTGCAGTGCGAGGCATCCGGCCTGCCCCAGCTGCTGGGTGGCCCGCCGCAGCTCCGGGGCTCGGTCGAAGAGGGCCGCCTGCAAGGCGTCTGCGATGGCGCCTGGCCGCTGGAAGCTGAGGTTTTGGGGGACGGAGCGTTTCCGGAGTTCAGTGTGACATCTTGAGTTTAGGGGTTTCGGGGGTGAATGGGGGGGATTGGGGGCGGGAGGGAAGGAGTCCAGCTCATCAGCTCATGTGCGCCCCCGCAGTCCTCTCGGAGTCGCCAAGGGATCTGGGAAGCATGTGCCAGCCCCGGCCCGCTCAATGGCCTCCAAGGCACTTGGAGCCCAAGACAGCCGGTTTAGGGCTTTGCGCTTATCGTTTAGGATTGGTTTGGGATGGGTATCGTTGGTTGAGGGTTTGGGCTTGGGGTTCCCCTTACCCACCTGTCCGTTCGAAGGCTGGTCCACACAGAAGGGCACCACAATCATCGGAACCCCCAGCAAGGCCCCCTGGCCAGCCAGTGCATTCCATGCGACTGGGCAGCTGTCACCACCGTGTCTTTTGTTCAGGGCTTCGGTGATTCTGCTCTCGGTATCTTTTTCTTGAACAGCCGTTCACGCTTGCAGTTCTCAACTCTCTGCCGGCTAGGCCTCCTTGACACTGTTGCAACCACCATGTGTCACGAAGACGTCTGCATGCCTGACACACACTTTGTTCGCAGATCACGGAAGCTTTGAAGCAAGATCTATGCTGGTGCATCAACACAACCGCGCCTCAAGGCTTCAACCTGATCGCAGTGTGCATCTTCTCTCGAGCGTGGGCTTGCTGGCCTATCTGCCAACCAAATCGATCCCCACATGCTGGCGAGTGTCTTGATCGATGTACTCCAGGGCTACAAAGTTCGATGGCAGATCTCCGAGCACGTTTCGAGCATCTTCTCGCGGCCCGATGCTCAAGACGAATCGGATGTCCTGTCCTTGTGATTTTGGGTCAGGAATGTCAGAGCCAGGGCTGTTGGACCCCGGAACCCCAAACCCTGAGCTCTGTTACACATAGCCAGGAGTCGATCGCCAAAGCGTTCGATCAGTTCACTCCAAAGACGCTGGCTCACCTGACGTCCGGTGAACCTCCCCTTTGATGACCTTGGCTGTCACGGTTGCATCTGTACACATTCGGCTTTTCAGCACCACCACCACGACTATTACCTACTACTACCTACTACTACCTACTAACCTACCATTACCTACTACTACCTACAACTACCGACAACTCCTCCTACCTACAACTACCTACTACTAAGCAACTACCTACAACGACCTACTACTACCTACTACTAGCTACTACTACCTACTACTACTCCCTACAACTACGTACTACTACCTAACTACCAACTACTACCTACTACTACCTACTACTACCTACTACTACCTACTACTACCTACTACTACCTACTACTACCTACTACTACCTACTACTACAGCCTACTGCTACCTACCTACTATTCCTACCGTCTGACCACTGGCACCTACCACTGCGACCACTGCTGCCATTACCAGTACCACAGTACTACTCCTTCAAGTACTAATCAGTACTGGTACTAGCACTAGCACTAGTACTAATACTGGTACTTATGCTAGCACAACTACAACTACAACTACGACAACTACCACTACAACTCCCGTAGTATCACTACTACTATCACACGACTATCACTACTACCACTACGTCCATTGCCACCACCACCACTACCTCCGCCGCCGCCGCCACCACCACCACCACCACCACCACGACGACGACTGCTACTACTGCTACTACTGCTACTACTGCTACTACTGCTACTACTGCTACTACTGCTACTACTGCGACTACTGCTGCTGCTGCTGCTACTACTACTACTACTGCTACTACTACTACTACTACTACTACTACTACTACTACTACTACTACTACTACTACTACTACTACTACTACTACTACTACTACTACTACTACTACTACTACTACTACTACTACTACTACTACTACTACTACTACTACTACTACTACTACTACTACTACTACTACTACTACTACTACTACTACTACTACTACTACTACTACTACTACTACTACTACTACTACTACTACTACTACTACTACTACTACTACTACTACTACTACTACTACTACTACTACTACTACTACTACTACTACTACTTTGATTCGACGAGGCACACATGTTCCGCACTGTCCCAGCGCATGTCCACGGTCAGACTGCCCAAGGAGACAATGACCACCTCTAATGTGGTTTCAAGCATGGGGGTTTACGAAATTAGGGGAGTATCTTATTGGGGTCCTTATTGTAAGGGAATCTTACTATTTGGGGGTCCATTTCTCCAAATGAGTTCCACAAGGCTGCTGCATCTAGTCTACAATGAAGATGCTGCTCACGGGATCGAATCAACATATTGCGCATGTGGTCTTTGCGTATCATATGGTGATTAGTTATTCGGGATTCATTCTTATCGCTTCCCTCACCACCCGACCAAGAAAGCCGACACAAAACGGTTTAGAGACTCTTTCAAATGATTTGAGGAAATTGGCCATGCGTGCCAAGCACACTAACTACCCTGAGATGCCGCAAGGGACCAACAACCTCTCAGCAGGTGTGTGACAGCTTGGACTTAGACTTCTTTGTTGCTCTCCTCTTCCCACGTGGGGCCTTGACACCAGAAGGCACGTCCCAGGGACATTCAGACTCCGCAGGAGCTGGCTCAACCTGCATGCTCTTGGGGACGCGCACAACCCCTAAACCCTAAACCCTAAGCCCTAAACCCTAAACCCTAAACCCTAAACCCTAAACCTGACATCACTGACATCAGATCCCCCAAGCCCTCCTGCCGTGGAGCATATACACGCTGGGCAGTGCGAGCTTTCAAATCATCGGTGCCGCCGGCCCAGAGGAATGTCGAGTCATCGATGAGGGACTGCCTCTGAGTTGAGGAGTCCGGGTCTGCTGGGTTTCACAACCCAAGCTACCGCTCTAGAAAAAGGACAGAAAGACTAGCTGCATTAGAGGCGGAGTGGCTGGTACTCTGGCACCTTGCCCTGCAGCTGCGGCACTGAAAACCTCGTGTCATTGAGAGATTCGTGAGTCTTGCCTCTGAACTCTCCATCTGGGCGTCTCTTTTGTGTTGAGGGGGCTTCGCTGTCTCACACGGCCCGTAAAATTGAGGAACCAGAGAAAGAGAGCGCGAGAGAGAGAGAGAGAGAGAACGTAGTATAGAGAACTGACCATACCAAGTCGTTTATGCCAAGCTGCACGATATTCAGCTGGCGGTTGTAGAAGCGGCATTGCCTGCCAACTTCTTGAAACGTCCTTTGACTTCACATGAGACAAAATTTGCCTTCCAAGGGGCAGCTGTGACCCACATACATCCACGCCGAAGAGACGCTGAGCGACTTCGTTGACCTCTAAGCGCGTAGTCGACTTGAGACACAGCCAGTGGTCGCAACTCCGGAGTCTCAGAGCCCAGCCTCCTGCATCCCGGGATGCTGTGCAAGCTTATCGTCCACAGCCTGAGCACAAGAGTGGTCTGCAAGGAGATCTTCCGAGGACTCGGAAAGCGCCGCACCTGCCGCTCTCCCTCCGGGATCTCGGAAAGGTGCATGGGCGTCCCTGCGCGCTTGTTTCGAGGAGCTGAAAGAAAGCTCAGTTACGACAAGCAGCCCGGCCGGGACCCGGGTACGTCGAGAAGGAGGCGGAGGGCACACCGAGCTTGCAGGCAGCTAGCTGCGGGTGCAGCAGCATCACGTTGTACAGCACCTGGCAAAGCAACAACTCCGAGGAGCTTGGAAACTGGAAACTGGCACGGAAGCTAAGCAGGGGGCAAAGTCCGGGCGCCAATCCTCCCGAGTCCACAAGTCCACCAGTCGATTGCCCAGGCAGACACCTATCAGGCGCTTCCCTCGATGCAACTGCCCGATGTCATCATGTGGCTTCCTCTCTCTCAGTCACTCCTTCCACCACAGTACATGACATGAGATGTGACATGCTGTGTCACAGGATTTTCAGGGGAGTTCAGCCTGCCGGCAGGGAGAAGTGCAGCATCCGCATCTGGAGGAATTCCAGGGCCATGCCATCGGCCGTCAATGCTGCCAAGCCCTCCCCGCAGCCCTGTGCCTCAAGCCACTCAGCCTCTTCCTGAAGCGCAACATCGCAGGAGTCTGACACAAAAGCGTTGCGTGAGAGCTGCCCACCTTCATAAGCACGTCCCATCGGAGAAAATAATCGTCAAACTTGACTGGAGAAGCACCGGCAGCTTTCACATCCTTGACATATGTGTCCTCGCAAGGCTGAGGAGAAGACACCAGAATCTAAGAGCTGGTTTCTGGCGAGTAGATTATGTAGGTTCCTTGGTCAAGTAGTACCGCACATCACAGCCGCGTTTAGCAAACTCCGCAATCACCGGGAGGATTGGATTCACAGTGCCGACCTGAGCTTGTGATTTCGAGTCTTCCATGGCCTTGCCACAAGCTTCCTTACGCAAAGCAACTCGGCAGCCCTGCGCGCAGCGAGTTTGTTCAGACATGGCGCAATCTCCATGTTGAAGATGGCAATACGCGGCATCTCTTTTTGGTCCATCGGCATCGTTCCGACGCCACTTCTAAGGCTGGGCGGAGGAGCGCGAGAGGAAGAAACGCTTGAGCACTGGTATGGAGCAGTTTGCAACTGGGTGGACCCCATAGGCCTGCGCAGGACAGGAGAAGCATGCCATGGGTATGCCAGGACGTCCCACGGCATGTGTGGGCGCCAGGGATGGCTAAGCTGGCTCTACCCTAAACCCTAAACCCTAAACCCTACTTCTCTTGTCCGTTGCTGCTGGGCCTCATCATCATCCGGCGCTGGCAGCTTGTCGAACTGCTCCTGCGCAACCATGCATATATATATATATATATATATATATATATCGAATATACTGCACATACATTGGTCATATATATATATACATATATACATATACACATATAGAAAGAGACAGAGGATCAACTGCAACTGCAGCGGCCACCTTTTCGAGGATGACATGGCAGGTGCTGCACGCGCACTCGCCACCGCAAGCACCCTCAATATCGATGTCGTGCTCATGCGCGACCTGTTGGGAATCAACACATGTTTATGTCGGGAGGTGCGTCATGTATGTTGCCATGCTAGCTATCAAAACACGTTCACGAAACATCGAAGCGCGAAACAAACTCAGGACACCTTTGCCAGGCCTCAAGAAGGGTCTGGCCGCTTTTGGCCTGAACGGCCACACTTCCGGCCTCACACGCGCAAAGTACGTTCGGCACACTCCAAGCCGACCCGTCCCCTTCCCTCCTTTTCACACCCGACCCACCGACCCACCCACAAAAGTACCCAGATGTCACCAGTAAGCCTTATTTGAAACCTGGATCTAGCTAGAAGGATCTGTGGCGCTTGGTCGCGGACATCCTCGTCTTTGATGAAATGCACGGTGAAGCTGCAATATCTCGGCCTCGCATGGTGGCTGCGTGCCGTATACGACATACTCAGCATAACCAATCATCGCAGCTTCTGCAAGGGAGCCCAGACCTTGTGTTAAGGGTCGGCGTGGTCGGGCGCAGCGCTGAAAGAGCACCTGCAAGCAGCGTCAAAGACGTGGCATGTCGGAAGGTGTGCCTGTGAACATGATGTAGCATGATGACTGATGACAATCTGTTCGTTGAAACCCAATCAATGACCATCTCATGTGTTTGGAGGGCGCCTGAGCCAATCCGGCCCAGGCATGGCTTTGCCAGGCAGCGCGTAGCCCGGAGCATGGAGACTCGAGTGACTCGAGTCCCTGACAGGACACACGGGTCAAAGCCGTCCTCTCCAGGTTTAAACAATCAGTTGCCCATGTTGTCCAGTCCCGCACCACAACCCGGAACTCTCCTCCCGCCTCTCCCCTTTTGCTTCTAAAAATTTCGGTCGCGGAGCTGCTGTTCCGACAGTTGTTGGGCTCGTTCAGACGGTTTGCTACAGGAGATGGGTTCAAGAGAAGTGCCCCTCGGGCCTCTTCGCCACTGAGGCGCTGGACTTTGGGCACTTCGCACGGAAAACACCGGAGACCAGGCTGAATTTGAGCCATGCGTTCAACGAACTTGCAAGAAATGCTGGGACATGATTATCTTACATGATATCGCTGCATGGTCGGTTTTTTGGAACCCCAAATAATTAGGGTACGCCGTATAATGAGGAATGACAGCTCGGTAAGCCCTGAAGCCGCAGAAAAAGGGACACCTTTTGGGCGTGACATTGGTGTTGATCTGAACCTTTGAACCCTTCCTCCGTGGCGGCCAGCCAGAAAACTATGGAAGATCTACGCATTTTAACATAGACATCCCAATATTCATGTAGACATAAACGGGGTGGGAGCATGATGTGGGTCTCCCCCCCCCCCCCCAAAAAAAAAATGGTGAATGCTTTTGACCGGCTGTCCGAGTCGGCAACCAAACGCTTCCTGCGGAGGGTCTGGCAATCGAGGCATCTCCGGGCTGGTCATGAAGAGCCCTTCCAACATGACTTGCTTGGTGGATGTAGTCTTGAAGGATGCAAAAGACATCATACATACATACATACATACATACATACATACATACATACATACATACATCCATACATCCATACCATACATTACATACATTACATACATTACATACATTACATACATTACATACATTACATACATTACATACATTACATACATTACATACATTACATACATTACATACATTACATACATTACATACATTACATACATTACATACATTACATACATTACATACATTACATACATTACATTTACACATTACATTTACATACATTACATACATTACATACATTACATACATTACATACATTACATACATTACATACATTACAGCATTACATGCATCACATGCATTACATACATTACATGCATTACATGCATTACATTTACATGCATTACATGCATTACATGCATTACATGCATTACATCCATTACATACATTACATACATTACATACATTACATACATTACATACATTACATACATTACATACATTACATACATTACATACATTACGTACATTACATACATTACATACATTACATACATTACATACATTACATACATTACATACATACATTACATACATTACATACATTACATACATACATACATACATAATACATACATACATACATACATACATACATACATACATACATACATACATACATACATACATACATACATACATACATACATACATACATACATACATACATACATACATACATACATACATACATACATACATACATACATACATACATACCTGTGTATATGTATTTCTGTATATATCTGTGTAATTCTGTGTATTAATAGTACGACTGATTAGAATAATAATGAGAATGAGAGTATACAACTGATTAGAATAATGAATAATCATGATAATGAGAATAATGACAAGCAGAAGAACAATAATAATGGCAGTAGTCAAGCATTCGGACATTCTCTGGCATGCTGGAAAGGCGGATGTCGCCCTGGTTGCGGCTGAAGCAGACCTGGCCGCCTCGCTTTTTCTTTCTTGGTGGTTTCCCTTGCTTAGATCTGCCAACAGAAAGAGCGGCAAGCGGGCCAGCGGCTGCATGCGCGAGATGCCCAAATTTAGATTTCCGCGGGCCAGCTGCCTGTGTCAGCTGCTCGCGGTGTGAGAGTTGGGGGAACCTCTGCTGAGGCCCCTCCACGTCGTGGTAACTGCCCCTGCTTAGGGGTCGAGTGCACATAGCGCGGCCACGGATGGAAAGCCGGCTTTGGGTGGTTCAGGGTTGCAGAAGTAGCAAAAGTGCACAATGCTAGATGTTGACCGCGAAGCTGCATGGCGTTGCACGGCTGTCGCTGAACCACCCTTCCGGCCCCTTCAACTGGAACACCCTTCGTTGTCCAGATGCCGCGGCCACGCCATGGGTTGGAAAAAGATGCATGAAACCCAGTAGCTGTGGGCATTCTGGAATTAAAATGTGCAAATACGGAGCGAAGAAGACATGAGCGAAGCAACTCCAAACAGTGCACAACAGAACCGGTGTATTGCACAGGTGGCTGATCACGGTGCTACGGATGAGCAACCAGAATCCGGGGTCACTCAATCATGAAAAGGTGACCATAAAAACAAGACTTCAGCCCTTTCTCTTTTCTCTCGAGGCTGATCAGCCTGCACTACCCTGATCCCTCTGCAAGCCCTCCACAATCTTCCCCACAATCCCCCCCCCCCACAGAGAACGAGAGGAAGTCCTGCCCCGACTTCTAAGTCTGCACAGGAACGCGCGGGTTCCGCAGCTAGCTACCTTGCGAAGCTTTGCTTGCGACCTTGCCAGTGCTGGGTACGGCCCAGGGGGCCTTGCCTCAGTGCTTCGGCGGCAAGGCGGAGCACCGCTCCAGAATCCTGGTGACGCGCTTCATGTGCGCTGTCCGAGCTGAGGATTTAGGGTTTCGGGTTTAGGGTTTGTGGTTTAGGGTTTTGGGGTTTAGGGTTTAGGGTTTATGGTTGAAGGTGGCTGGAGTTAGCAGAACCCTTGCCCATTTTGGGTAATAATACCACCAGTCAACCTATTAGGCGATTATTCCTATACTCCCCCCTACACCTCACCAACTATATCACCACTACTACCCCATTACCAATACCAGTGTAGGAATAACCGATTACCTCATCCATATAAGAGGAATATTCCTATACTCCCTACTACAATCCCCCAAGTATCACCACTACTTCCCCATTACCAAGACCAGTATAGGAATAACCAATTACCCCATCCATATTCCCTAAGGTGGCATTATCATCCCGAAATGGGCAAGGGTTCTCTCATAGATTTTGCTAGGTTTAGTTTCAAAGGTTGTAATCATAATAGAATTAATTATATTCCATAAACTCTTATGAAATGTGCTTACATTATACTCATGCTTTTTTTAACTCACGTTTCCTTTTATCATTATACTTTTTCATTCCATCAAGACATTCACAGCAAGTAACAGTGGTTCTACACTGCATTAAATACCTCCCCGTTTTACAATAATAATATCTTTTGAAATGCACTAAGTTCTTCCACTCTTTACATCTAACACACTGCCTTTCACAATGAGGAGGATGACGCTCGGCAGAGCCTCGCGAGCATTCGCGACCCTCTGTATTAAAATCCATTGTTATTTTATCAACATATATTGTCATATTATATTATTTTACAATATTTATCATAATTCGTTAATTATGATAAACCTTGTTTCAAACTAATTAACCATTACCACGCTCTTATGACGTGCTTATGGAAGGCACACTGGGGGAATGGGAGAAATGGGGCGCTGTCGCTATTATAAGTAAATCACTCTTTACAACATTATTTTAGCAATTCTTCTAGCTGATAAAACTCAAACAACAATTTAAATCGCTTCTTGTAATTTATATTATTATACAATTTTCTTATCAATTTTAAACTTCAATTTTTCAATCTCTACTTCCAATCGTTCTATGTCTTTCTTAATACATTCAATGTCTGTCTGTCTCGGTCATTTCTATTCTCTGTTCGCATTCCTCGGGCGTTATACCATGAGTTCCAAAACCAGTATCACATATTTCAACGCTTCCTGTTTGATTATCATTTTTGAATATGTGGTTTTCATCAGGTGATACATGTCGACCTGTTGCTCCAAATTTCATATTATGCCTGTCTTCCACAATGTTAGTTGTTATTATGTTATTCTCTTTGATCGTTTTTGTTTCCTTATGGTAAGATTGTCTTTTACACCTACAAGGGATGCAAGCTACACCTTTAGAATTAATGAAAAACCCTTTCTTCTTATACCTTTCATCGCTTTTATCGCTCATTTATATTATTTACATTTTTTTAACATTTTTGATATAAAAGCAGAGCGCCTTAAGGAATTCCAACAAACTACGACAACACATTCTGTATCTTGGAGTTTTTATTATTTCATCAAAATTCTCTATCTCATTCATTACTTCTATGTATTTATCCATATATATTTAAATCATATAATTTCTAACTAGTATTAATGTTAGAAGATATTCCTAAAGTAGAACCTATAGACATACCCAAATACAATTATAAGAATAGTAAATACGAGATGATGCCAAGTCTACCAGCAAGAATGTTATGTGTTGCCTCTTCAACGGGCGGTAAATCGGTTTTAATCGCCAACTTGATATTAAAGATTTACCGAGGTTCTTTTGAGAGAATATACATTTTTAGCCCTAGTGCGCATGTAGATGACACATGGAGAGCAGTCAAGAAATATATTACTGACGTAATGAAAGTGGATACGGAAAAGGAAAAAGTATATTATGAAGAATACGATCCAATTGCATTAAAGCATATAATAGAAACACAACACAAGGTAATAGACTTCCAGAAGAAGAATAAGCAAAAGGAATTATTCAGTATTTTAATCGTGGTGGACGACTTTGCCGATGATCCTAAATTTGTAAGATACTCCAATATCTTGCATG